AGAGCATAATCAAACGAATTCCTAACTATTTATCTCTTCGGTGACATACATTTTGAACCCAAGCCCCCGCCGTCACTCTAAGGAGAAAGCTGGTGTATTGGCCATAATTTTGCATAATTAAGGTAAAGTATGAGGGTGCAATTTTGCAAAAAGATATTTATAATAGGAGTAATAGATAAAGTAATGCAAATAAGTTGAATGGATGAATGAACGATATAATAGAAAGTAGTTAAAATAAGAGAAAAATAAGTTTAAATTTTATATTTTGTAAGGAAAATAGAATTATGGCGGGAAATTATTAGGAATGTATATAATTAATAATAATAGCCCCCCCCCCCCCCGCGGGGTGTGTGATATATATGATATATTAATATTAAAGTTTACAATAGACTGATAAATAATCAAACAAATAGATCCTACGAATCAGTCTAATTAAATAAAATATATAATAGAAAGAGTTTTAATAACCAAAATGTTTATCAATTCAAATAATACATTTGGGATTTATTATAGTATATAAAAATTGCAAATTATCTTAATTTTCAGGTGATTTAGATTTTTCTATTGAGAATCATCCTTAGGAAGTAAATTAAATCTTACATTAAAAAATATCATGATTTTATAATAATCATATAGAGTGAGAATAAAAATTTAAATCTTTGATATACTTTTAATAATGAAAACACTTTATATGCTTATACTTGTTTTAGGAATACAGGCGTCTTTTAAACATTATTGGCCGATTATAGGTATTGATTTGGGAACCAAAAATTCTTGTGTTGGAATATTTAGAAATGGAAATGTAGAAATTATTCCTAATGAGGAAGGGAAGAGAAAAACTCCATCAGTTGTAGCATTCACAGATAAAGGGCTAATAATAGGAAAAGAAGCCAATAATTAGGCTATAATTAATCCTTCAAGAACACTTTATAATATTAAAAGATTGATGGGAAGAAAGTAAATTTAGACCTTAATTCAGGTTTGCAGATCCATCTGTTTAAAATGATAGAAAGTTTATGCCCTATGAAATAGTTGAGTTAGACGATAAACCTTAAATTATGGTTTAAAATATTAAAGGATTCTCCTCGAAGATGTTTGCTCCAGAAGAAATCTCAGCTATGGTCTTAATGAAAATGAAAGAAATATCAGAAACCTATCTAAAAAGGGAAGTAGAAAATGCAGTAATTACGGTTCCAGCCTATTTCAATAATGCTCAGAGATAAGCCACTAAGGATGCTGGAGCAATAGCAGGTTTAAATGTTGTAAGAATTTTAAATGAACCAACAGCAGCAGCAATTGCTTATGGTTTTAGTAAGAGGAAATTGAAGGAGAACTTAGTAATATTTGATTTGGGAGGTGGAACATACGATGTATCTATAGTGAGTATAGACGATGGAGACATCTAAGTAATAGCCACTTCTGGAATTACTAATTTTGGTGGAGAAGACTTTGATTAAAGACTAATAGGTTATTTGATAAAAGTGATCTATAAAAAAATTAACCAAGATATCAGCGGAGATAAGAGGGCAATTCAAAAATTGAAGAAAGAAGTTGTGAAAGCGAAAATAGCACTCTCAGTATTTTATGAGACTAAACTTGACATTTAAGATTTAGTTGACGGATTTCATTTTTAAGAAACTCTTAAAAGATCTAAATTTGAGGATTTGAACGCTGATTTATTCAATAAACTTGCTTAACCATTTATATTATCTTTGAAGGATTCAAAATTAACAGAGGAGGAAATCAGTGAGATAATTTTAATTGGTGGTTCAACTAGAATTCCAAAAGTTCGATAAATTATTGAAGGATTGTTTTCAAAAATAAATATTAATTCTGAAATTAATCCAGAGGAAGCTGTATGTTAAGGGGCGGCCATCTAGGGAGCCATTATATCAGGAGAATCTAAAGAAATTGAACAACTTCGATCGTTTGATGTAACTCCTTTTAGTTTAGGTATTGAGTATTATCAAGGAGAGTTTATTAAAATCATCGAAAAAGGTTCTATTCCCCAAGTGAAATCTGAGCGATACTTATTTGAGGAAAAGTTAGATGTGATTTCAGTATATGAAAGCAATGGAAATTTTGTTAAAGGTTACAATGAATTAGGGAGTTTTTGTTTAGACAAAAGCATTTTTTCTGCAAAAGAAGAAAAAATACAACATGAATCCATTTTCTCAGGAGGATTTTTCGGTGGAATAATATCACCTTTGATTTTCTTCAATTTAGGGACACCTTTAACAAGTGGAAGTCCTGAATGTCCTAAGATTGAATTTTTTTTTTAAGTAGGCGATGATGGTATACTCTATGCTTCAGCTAATTGCAAGAAATCTGAAAAAGTAATATTTTTTGATATGAAACATCCTGGATTGTCAGAAGAAGAAATTAGACGAATGCAACAGTTTAAAATGGAAAGGGTGGATAAAAAAATCGAAGACACAAATTCTATATATTAATTTATATAAAAGTAAGATATTATTTAATTCAATAGAATTTACGATCTAATAAAATACCCTCCCGAAAATCAGTTTTCTGACTTATGATTTGATTGTAATTTGTGATGTTTTATTACCTATCAAAAAAAGTGTAGAATAAATATTGTAATCAATATGGATAAGTTCCAAAGACTCCATCTGATCTGTTATTTCTTTTCTCTCATGGTATTCAATTTTTCTAGGTATGATCTGAGTCTAATAAATATTAGTTCATGCTCATAGAAGATTGAAAAAAAAAGGAAGTTCGTTTAATTAAAATGACGATTTCCACTGTTAATAGAACTATCCTTTTATAATAAACCTTTGGATATTTTCTTGATGCTTAAAAACATTAATCTTAAAACTTTTAATTTATATCAGCAAATTCATTTATTAAAGCTCCCTTAAGGTTTACTACTTGACTAAATATTAATCTAGCTTTAATATTAAATAAATAGTTTCATTGTTTCTATTTTTCTTTTAATCTGATTACAAAATGCTATAGAAGATAGCATCTGATATCTATGTGTGCTATTCAGATTTATGCTTGATAATTGCGGATTTTTTTATTAGACTGCCTCTTTGCCTCTTCGATTAAAGACATATTTAGCAAGATTATCAAAAATCAAAATTAATTCTATGAATCTTTCCGAAAAGTTTCCTTCTTAAGATCTAAGTAGACTGAATAAAATTGACTTTAGTCCTCTATAGGAAATAATTACTTTGGTCTTTGGTCTTATTTAAAATTGAAAACGATTAAAGTGTTCGCGATGAATTTGTGGGGGGACATTCTTTAAGTGAAGGGAAATTAGTCAAATTTCGTCGCTAATTGTTATCAAAAAAATGGCTGAAAATAAGATTTTATAAGTAAATTAGGCAACAAGGAGATGAAAAATGGATGTGTTTGTATGGTTTATAATTGTATTAGGATGTAATGCAACCCCCTATTTAAAATAGAATTACTGGAGGAACAAATCATTCTGATAAAAACGAAGGAGGTTTCTTGAGGGCCATAATTAAAAATTTAGATTGGACAGGACGAATTGATTTAGAGTTTATTTTTTGGGAAATTGAAAGGTTTCAGATTATTTAGTTTATCTCTTTAATATATTTATTATTGAATTTATTAGAAATTTCTTCATGATAGATTCAGACACAATAACTCTTGATTAAATTTATGGATGTAATTTCAAAAGGGTGCCATTACTTTATGCTGAAATGGAAGGAACTAATCCGTTTCAAATAAATGAGGCTGATGAAGATTTAGATTCCGATAAACAAATACCTGACTAACCGAAGCAAATATCGCCAACCCAATAAAAAGCTTAATTGAAACCATTGATAAAAACAAGGAAGAGGTAGTAGACTGTTCACAAGTCGCCTGTTAATATGAGCTAATTTGAGAGGCATATTGGATTTCGAAATTCTTTTTATAAGAATAATAACAAAATCAATTTAGCTTCTAGGTAAAGGGTTGAGGAAGTTAAAAATCAGGAAATCGGAATGTTTACTAAATATGTTTAAAGGTTTTAGCTATAAAAGTTATAAATTTGGAATTGAATTAAACGTAGATTAATAATTTGAATCGACATCGAATTTGCTATTTATTATTTAATATTAATTTCTAAATTTTATAAGAATTAAAAAATATATTAATATTATTGATTATGAATTCATCTCAAATTTACACTACATTTATAATGAGAAATTATTTGAATTATATAATGATCGATTATTGAAGAATCTTATAAAATAAAATATTAAAAATAATGGATGATGAAATATTCATTAAATAGCCAATGAATGATGAGTAGAACGATCAATCAGAAAAGTAAAAGAAAATATTTTATTTTATAAGATAGTCCTAATTTGTATAAAATGACGAATCCCTAGAACATCTGGTAAACTCTTTAATCTAAAATCAACAACCAGGCGAAGATGATTAATTTAAATAATAAATTGCTAAAAGGAGGATTAATGATTAAAGGTATGAATCGATTGTATAAACCATTGCATTTTAGATTCACATTCCAAGAGGATAAGCGAATCCTAGAATTAGTGCAATAGGTCGGTCCTAACTTTAATAAGATAGTAAAATCATTTCCTGGCAAAACTATGAATATGATAAAAAATAGATATTATAAAAAACTGCGCTACATAAAGGACAACATTCAAAATGATCAAGAATATGTAAAGAAATAAACTAAACACAAAAGATTAAATTGAGATTTATCTATTTATAGACTGACCTAGCCACTTTATTGTTGCTATTTAATTACTTTAATAATAATTTTATATTGTTATATTTCTTAATTGCTTTAATTATCAAATGATTATATTATATTTATAAATAAATTAAGTTTCCTAATCCACTCAGAATCCTGAAACTAATTTATTTGAATCGATTTGAAATTTATTAAATTGTTTATTAAAATAGCAAGATATTTATTCAAAGAGTAAATTGAATGAATGCCCAAAATTATTTCTTCGGAATTAATTATTAACTTAATTAAATTACAGTAAGAATGATGAGATAAAAAAAGGTTAAAAATTATTTATGAAAAATAAATATATTACATTTGTTTGTTAAAAAAGCAACACAGAATAATTAAATTTATATGACAGATTAACAATTATAAGGTCAGAACAACATCTAAGAGCAATAGGAACTTTCAGAATAGTCGAGTGATGAGGAATTAGATGTGTTTCATTATTAGGAAGAAAAGTAGTTATTTATCAATGAATTTAAGAGAGAAATATCCGATGCTTAATAGGTTATTGGAAAATGTGATAAGTTAATTGTTAGTTAACCTATTGACATTGTATGCCTTATATGGAGATGATATCAGAATAATATGCTTTGATAAACGGGCAGACAGTACTTTTGATGGCATAACAATATTTTGCATAGTAAAATATTAGAAATAATGAAAATATAGATAATATTTTCTACTGAAATTGTTATCACATCAATAGTACGATAGGGTTATTTTAATTCATTTTTTTTTTGGCTCGATATAATATCTACAGTTTCGCAGATCCTTGATATTACCTTATTTAATATGGCCGTAGGATTAGAGTAAATAATATATTAAAAGTAGAGGTTCAGTATCAGCTAAAACAGGATCTGATTTATCCTAAGCAAATAAGGCTTCAAAAACAAGTTCGAAAGCAGTTCGAGTAGTTAGACTAGTGAGGTTGATTAGAATTGTGAAACTGTACAAAGCAGTAAATTATTAGAAAGAAGTCGATTTTCAAAAAACTCTCACTAAGAAACTTTCTACTGTACTAATTAAAAATCCAAATCATGCATAGATTCATCCTTTATAAAATGGAGGTGGGGATACTCCTCTCCAAAACCAATCAAGAGAGATTCCTCACTTCACTACTATGAATGGACAGGCAGTTTAATCTAAAGATTAACTTAATAATATGACAAGTGTGATTGAGGGTTTTGATCAAGGGAATAGTTATGAATAGCGACGTAGTTTAAAATAGATTTTACCTGAAAATTATTACTTTCAATAGCAACAACACAATGAGGATATTGCAGGAAAGATGTAAGAGAAAGAACACAAAGAATAAACACACAAGAAGGAATCTAGAGTTAGTAAAAGATTATCTGATGCAACAACAAAGAAAGTAATACTATTGGTGATATTACTGCTACTGATAATGCCTCTATTTAGTTCAGATTATTATTTTGACTCATCCTCAAGTTTAGAGTATGCAGCATAATATTTTAAAGTTGTGGCTGAAATTCCAAATACTAAGATCTCAGAAATAAATGAAACCTTGAATTTTGTAATAAGCCAACACGATTAATTCGACACACCAGTGGGATTCATAAGAAATCCATTTACAGAGATACCAGATTATGAAAGAGAGAATTATGAGTATTTAAGAGAAAGTGCAAAGAGTTATTATTTCAAATATGTGGATCCAATATTGGTGGGGTTAAACTACATAGGAGATCCGATTATTTTATTTGTATCTGATAATTCATAGATAGAGAAATTAAATTCCATAATAAACATTGTAAACACACTCTTTGTCAGTTGTGTCTTACTATTTGGAGCTTTAGCCTTTGCGAATGATGCAAAAAATGTGGCATTAGCTCCAATAGAGAGAATGATCGCAAAAGTTAATGTTATAGCGAAGAATCCTCAAGAAGCAAAAGAGATGAAACTGGAAGTAGAATAACTGCAAAGAGAGACTACTTAAATTGAAAATGCTATAATTAAGATAGGAGCTTTGTTAGCCCTTGGATTTGGAGATGCAGGATCAGCTATCATAGGAACTAACATGGCATCATCAGGAGACGTAAATCCTATGTTACCTGGCAAAAAGAAATTGGCTATCTATGGATTCTGTGACATAAGAAACTTTACTGATGCCACTGAGGTCTTATAGAAAGATGTCATGGTTTTTGTTAATAGCATAGCTGAGATCGTTCATGCAATGGTAAATAGGTATTAAGGTTCAGCCAATAAAAATATAGGCGATGCCTTTCTATTAGTTTGGAAGGTCTCTGATCATTCTTGGTATGAGGAGAATGGGAAAATCAAATGGTAACTTTATTTTTCTTATTTCTAAGGAAAAACTATGAACAAATCAATATGATCGCCGATTGCTCCTTGCTTTCCTTTATGAAGATATTCGCTAAAATTAATAGAGAACCTAAAATATTGGAGTATCGAAATGATGCAAGATTGACACAAAGACTGCCTGGATACAAAGTAAAGATGGGTTTTGGATTGCATATAGGATGGGGGATTGAGGGAGCAATTGGTTCTGAGTTTAAAATTGATGCGTCATATCTTAGTCCCAATGTCAATATGGCTTCTAGATTGGAGGCTGCCACCAAATAATATGGAGTCTCACTTCTCATTTCTAGTGATCTTTATCTACTTTTCTCTCCAGGTCTCAAAAAGTATCAAAGACAAATTGATATGGTAACTGTTAAAGGAAGTGTTAGACCTATTGGACTCTACACTATTGATATTGAGGGTGATAATCTTCCTCCTAGTAAGGAAGACTATCCTCAAGAGGAAAGGTTTTAAGTTATGGACTAAAAGAGGCAAATCTTTGTGAATTAAATTGAAGCAGGAGAATTCAAATCTGAAAATCACATAAATAGAAACAAAGATCTTTTATTAATTATGAAGAATTATAATCCTGAGTTCCAAGTAAAATACTTCTATATAAAAAGGCTCAATTCAGTCAAGGATTTTAGGGATACTTATTGGGAAATTGGAAAGAAGCCCAAATGTGGTTTGAAAGAGCCAAATTATTGAAGCCAAATGATGGACCTATTGCAACTTTATTTTCTGTGATGGGGGAATCTAATTTTAAGGCTCCATCTGACTGGAAAGGATACAGAGAGTTAACAGAAAAATGAAATCCTATTTTTTATATTTTTTAATCTAACGCAAAGATCTGTAGAAATTTAAGGATATTTTAGATAGATCCAACATTTAAATTAAATATTCTAGTTAACTTAGTTCTTCTAAAATAAGTTTTGATTAAATATATCTGCAATTCTAAGAAAGAATTACTTAATTCATTCATTTAAAAAATTTATAGATTCAATTTTTAAATATTCATGTTAATTTAGATTTATAGTAAAGGACTATTTTTAATATAATAAATAATGTAATAATAGAATGATAATGTCGAAGGCTATGATTAGCTATAAGAAATAGCAAAGACTATTTTCCCAGGGTGGAATTCGAAATATTATCGTGATTTTGCTAAATAGGTTCAATTTGTCGAATTCGAAGGAGCAAATAGGATTCCATATTATTTCCTAGAAAATGAAGATAAATCTACTAATAATTATATAATTTACTTCCATGGAAATGGTGAAAATATGTAATGCTTTTAAACATTCTAGAGAGAATTCATTAAATATGTTGTAAAGATTTACAGATTATCTTAAAACTCATTTTATTCTTGTTGAATATCCAGGTTATGGAAATTACTAAAGTACAATTGTTACTACTGCTGAGTAAATAGAGAAGGATGCTTTGGTAGTGTTTGATTATATAAAATAAAAATTTGCAGTGAATGATAATCAAATTTACGTATTTGGGAGGTATATATATATTGATTTTACCAAGATCTATTGGGACTGGTCCTGCATTTTATTTAGGAGCTAACAGAAATTGTGCAGGCTTAATAATTTTGTCTGCTTATATAACTCTATATAAGTTGGTTAATGACATTGTTCCAAAAAGAGCGCACTACTTATTAAACGAAAATCATATCAATAATGAAGAGAATAGTCAAAAAATCAAATGCAAATGCTTATTTATTCATGGACAAAAAGATAACCTTACATTCCTAAAACCAATTTAAGATTTGTACAATAAGTAAAGAGTCATGATAATTAAAGTCTCCCTGCCCACATTAAAGAATAATCGTATTTGTCAATACAAGAAAATATGAGTCATAACAATTTTTTAATCAAAGAGCATATAATTGACCCAATACTAAACTTTTATACAGAGTTAAAGATTACAAAAGATGAATAGAATAAGGAAAAAGATTAAACATTACAAAATGATTGAAATTAGACATTTAAATATAATATTGCAAATTGAATTATCATAATTTCTAAAGTTATCTCCATTTATTTGTTATGCGATCTAGTATTTTTCTCCAATCCTCTCTTTATTACTTTTCTATCAATAGCATTTGAAAGTCTAAATCTGTTGTTTTAACAATATTTTTATGAGCAATTTATTAATCCAACAATAATTCTATGGCAATCAAACTATCTTAACTAAAAATTAACAAATTTTAATACAATATTCCCTCAGATATCTTCTTTTTAAGATCATCAATATTATCTCCAATCAATTTGATGATTTTTGTTGTCAAACTATCTTCTAATTTATTTCTATCAGAATCTGATAATTCAGCTTCATATTGTGTTTCTTTACAAAATTGCTCTTTACAATTTTAAAAGAAAATTTTATAATATTCCTATTCGTTCTTGATGAAATTTAAAATATTCCACTTAGTTCCTTTCATCAGAATATCTTCTCCAGAATCACAGGTTTCCTCTATCAATTATATCAACAAATTGCTATATGCAAGAACAAGCCTTGATAGAATTGCAATACATTCTTCTAATGATTAATCTCTTCTAAATAGTAACTTCAATTAATCTGATTTTTAATACAACTCGAAATTAACAAAGTGTCGAAATGCTATATTTTATTTCATTTGTTACAAAAATAATAATTACTTAACTAGTTAGTCACCTGTCATTTTTTATTATTGTTTTTGCATCCAACTCAAATTTTAATCATTATATAGCTTTTATAAAGTGGGATTGTTGGAAACTAATCCCTTTTCCATACTTTCAAACATCTAAAAGACTTGATCCCACGAAATCCTTTCAGATTCTTCTACAATCAGAGCCTTTGTCAAAAAGTCTCGAGTAAAATCAGTGATTGGTTGATTGCCCTTGAACACTAAGGGCTTTATTAAGATGTTTTTGAGCAAATCCTACTCATCCCTTCCCTTCCAAGGAACATCATGGAATACCATCTCATAAAATATAACTCCAATTGACCAAATGTCACATTTCGTTGAATAGCTCTTCCTTTGCAATATTTAAGGTGCCATATATAATGGAGAACCAACGCATGATCTTAATAATTATGATGTGTAATTGTCTACGTACTTGGCAAATCCAAAGTCTAAGTTTTTTGAATAGTCAATTACCTGCTATTTTGACAATGCCTTCATGATTTAATATATTTGCTGGCTTAAGATCTCTATGAATAACTCCTTGTTTAACTAATTCTTTGAATCCATTTACAATTTATAACATGATGCCTTGAGCCTTTCAAAAATAGATAGAATATTTACCTCTTTTTCTGTCAACCTCCTTTTTTGAAGAAATTCCTTCAAATCCCCATCCTTGCAAAACTCAGTAATTATGTAAAGAGATCTTTGAGTAGTAATCAGATCTATAAATCTGACAATGTTTGGATGATTAAACTTCTTTAATATCTCAATCTCACTAACAATCTAATTCCTTAGATAAGTATCCCTCTCAAATAATACTAAATCCATTTTCTTGATTCCAACTATTTCATTTGTTTTAATATCCATTCCCTAATACACTTTTCCATACGCTCCTTCTCCTAAGCAATGTCTCTCATTGTATTAATATTGACCAATCTATTTAACTGTTCGATTTAACGAGCTCATCAATATCAAAATTTTAATACTCTTAATATGCAATATAAAATATAGATAGAGAAGTATAATTTGAAATTCATATTGATTCACCTTTGCTTCTCATCTATTTAATGATGGTTCCTTTATGATTTCTATATATCATCATTAGCACTGTTGAAATACTTCTCCTTCAAAATTATTACAAAGAAGGCTAACGCTGATTTGAAGATACCACTCTTATTAGTCTAATTGATGTTAGTGAAATAATAATTGGATAAACTTCAACTTAGAAGCATATTGAAAAATGAAGAGAAAAATAGCTCAATTTGAAAGAATTAGGAGATATAAAACTAATTGAAATTCTTTAGTTTGACCAATCACTCTGTAATAATAAAATATAGTAATTCAGTATAGAAATAATCAATTTTTATCCTCAATCACATAATCCTATTCCTTCATTTATCTGCTAATGTTTTGATATTAGTTAATATTGCCTGTGTATCTATATAATTGAAGATGTTTCCTAAAAATAAAACTGAGAAATACCTATTATATTCTCTAACATCGTTACACTCTCTCATGCCAGATAGATATTTGTATAAGTGATTAAGTTCATCATCTAATTAATTGTCATAGAAAGGGATTATAGGGATTCCATTATCTATTTGCCATGAAAAATTGCAAGCGGAATTGTCAATTATAGCTACTTTTTCTAAATTTCTGTTAAGTATTCTTAAATCTTTAACGTGAATTCCACCTGATGTTAAGATACAAGATTCTCGATAAAGCCTATGAGCAAATATATCCTTATTTGGATCTAAATAATCAATTACGCTTTTGGCATATATTTTATTAGAGGCTGTAAATACTATTAATTCAAAATTCTCTGATAACTTTCTCAGTATTTCAACTGCATTTGGTCGTACATTAATTTTAGCTTATACTTGCTATGTTTTATTAAGATTGACAGTAAGAATGGCATCATATAATTTATGATCTCGTTCATTGCAATGTATTAATGTCTCATCTAAATCAAATATAAGAGTGATTGAATCTAAATATTTTAAAGAAATACCTTTATATTTATTTTGTTTGTCTAATTTAACTCCCTTTGTCTTAATGTCTGTATAATTGGCAGGCTTTAATTTGATGCCAATACTTAATTCTTGACATAATTGTTTAAAATGATTTCGATATAATCTAGTAAAATAATCATTTTAATTTTATAATATTATGGCTTATTTAACTTTCTGAATATAGTATATTTCTTCTAAGTTGGCATTTGTTAATTCTTGATTATCATCTGAAAATTAAGGAAATTGAAATGTCCCACATTTTGGTGTTATCGGTTTAGAATTTCCAGCATTTCTGCTCATTAGAGAATCATAGAGTTTGTCCACAATGCCATCATTTCTTATAATATCCGAAGATTGTCTAAAATGTTGAGGTTGTGGTTTGTCGTTTGCAATTGTCGGTATGGCATGAGATAATTTATGCGAATGCTTTGATTAGACTTTTTTTGAGGAGGAAGTGTCAAAATTTATTGTTTTAAACCTGGACTTATCTTACATATTTTCACTTTCTTAGGATTTTTAATAAGTCTGTAGAGAATGTGCGTCCTGATTTTTGGTTATATATTCTTGAAACTTTTTTATTGCTTAATTCAATTCATTTTAGGTGAGTAAGGTACCTTTTTTTTAAGTGTTGCTTTTATCAAGTTATTACTACAAGAATTATTAAGTGAACTGTGTATTTGAAGGATTCACTGCTATCATTCTCTCCAATTTTTTATTCTTTAATTTATCACCAGTTTTTTATAGTAGCTAAATCATCTCATTTTATTACATAAAATTAAAAATGAGCAAAATTAAAGTGATGAGCGTAACAGGTAATCCAGATTTATTGCACTTCAAAAATTTGCAATTGACAGAACGAAAAAAGACCTATGAGATCTAAGAAATGCATGAGGTAAATACATTAATAAAAAATCAGTCTGAATATGATCACCAAGTGAAACTGCTGAAAAGGGATGCTTCATTGAGAATTTAAATTAAGAAATTACAACCTCTTTGCAATTAAGAACCGTTTACTATGGATGACTCATTTATGTCTAAAACAGTGAAAAGGTTTATAAAATAGAAATATCATAGACCATTGTTATTGATTTAGAATGGAACACCTACTGTACATGCAAGTCGTAGAATTAAATTTACTCAGACCATGATTAGTTAAGCCTATGAATCGTAATTGAGATTTTTTAATTCGAGAAAGAATAGTATTTATGTTTAATCACTTTTAGCTTATGTATAAATGATGTTGTCAATCGATGATTAACTCCATCCTGTTGTTATTGAATTATTTAATGACTTTGCACCTAAGGCTTGTGAAAATTTCACCAAATTCTGCGAAGGTGTCAATATTGAAGGCAAATTTTATACTTATAAAAATAGTAAATTCACCAAATACAAACCTAATGGTTGTAATATAATTTAAATTTAGGGTTCATTTAAGGAGGTTAGTTTGATAAAAAGATATCTATTTATGGAGGATATTTTGAAGATGAATCTTATGCATTGAAACATGATTGCGAAGGTATCATTGGATTTGCAAACGATGGATTTTAGCATACAAACCATTCCTAATTCTATATTACTTTGGCACCTATGCCATTCTTTGATTATAAAAGAGTGGCTTTCGGTAAAATCATAAGAGGCATGAAATAAATACTAAAAGTTTTGAAATAGGAATCACACACTGATATTGTTATCTATGATTGTGGTCGTTATGATCATTAGGCTCAAATTAGATTAAAATTAGAAAAATTTACAGATGACTTTTATTCCAATATCCCAGAAAATACACAATCATTTAACAAGTTTATTGAAGCAGAACAATTAAAACACAATGAAGCATCGGGTGATTTCACTTAATTAGTTAAATATCTTGTTGAATAAATGAGAGTCATATCTAAATTCGTATATTCTCTAACAGGTCTAAAGAAAGCTATTCAATACTTAAATGAGTCATTCCTTAAAACATAATATTGCCAAATACTCTATATCCTTGATAATCAATAGACCTTGTAGGCAGATAATCAATAATCCAAATATATTGTTGCCTTTCGAGCTGTAGATGGCACAGATTCATGTAGAGCTTCAGCATTTATAATTTTTAAAAAATAAACTACACAGTTTAAATAAGTTACCTTGAATGATTTTAAACAATAAGCTGAACAAATAGCATCTATGGGGTATTGCGTATATGGTTAAACAACTTAACTTGTATTTGGAACTGGATACAATTTGAGTATGTTTACCCTATAGAATAATGATTTTAAGCTATAATAATAGGAGTATATCAATTAAATATATATAGGTTGTAAATACCGAAAAAAGAAACCTTTTACTCTAATAATATCAAAGATGACTTCTTATAAAACAAAATAATTGCAAATCTACCAACAAAGGTTATGAGATACACAGATAGTATTTTTACTACTCTCCATCGAGTTGTGCGTCTTGGTGGTTTGGCAATGTACAAGGAGGTTTCCATTTTTGAGGCCATTATCTGTGCTTTTACTCTAGCCAGATCATGGGGATGGTCATTTTGTGATGGAACAAGTAAATTTGAATATATTTGTTAGCTACTTTCAATCAAATTAGAATTAGAGACATCAATTAGTTAACGTATCTTTATCTTGGGTAATAGAAATGGATCTAAAAAATAGAGAACCATTTTCTATCAATAGTTTGATTATTTTAATTGTGTTAATACAAACAATATATTACGAGAGAGGTGGGATTTTCATTCTTTTAATGTCCCTAATATATGAAATGAATTTCTAAGTTAAACACTCATTAATAATTAAACAATAAATCTTTGATTGAGCGCTATTTTGTTATATAAATTTAAATTTAAAATTTATGGACTATATATCAGAGGATGCAATGTAGCATATGCCAAAAAAACCTCAAAATGCATATATGATATATAGAGGTGAAGTTTATGATGAAGTAAAAAAGAAAAATTAAGAGAAAAGCATGACTGAATTAACTTAAGTTATTTCCTAAATGTGGAATGATTTAGATAAAAAAAAAAAAGAGGTAATATTTTATATTTATTTAGAAATACGAAAATGAAAAAGAGAAGGCCTAAAATTAATATAAAAAAGATTATGAGGCTTGGATCAAAAAATATAAATTAGATGAAGAAAAAGTTAAAACTTGCTTGAAGGAATTAAAATAAGAAAAGAAAAAACACAAAAAAGGATCAAAAAAAGTCACTAAGGCTTCTAAAGATGATGAGGAAAGCGAAGATGAAGATGAATAAAGAATTTAATAAATTAAAAATAAAAATTAAAAGAAGGACTAAAAAGAGACAAAAGAAACTAAGGAAAAGGAAAAAGAAAAAGAAAAAGAAAAATAAAAACAAAATTAGAAAGAAAAAGAAAAGGATTAAAAGGGAAATAAAAAAAAATGATTAAATTTTCATATCCCTTCATAATTCATTATTTTTTTTAATTATTATTATATTATAATAATCTTTCAAAAATGATCACCAATACCTTAATAACTATCATCAGCCTTCATTAAAATATTTATATATTTAGTAAATATGTAAATGGATTCATATTGAATCTATCTTTAGTATCTAAAAGCAAGATTAATTATAATAAGCATACAATATTATTATATTCTCATATATTGAGATCTAATTATTTAAAAAAAAAATGACTCTTAAATACGATTGACAACATATTAAAGAATCATTAAACAAATAAAAAGCTATCAATCAATTAGGTATTATTAGATACTAAAATAATACTTAGTATTGGATTATTTCATTTTAGTATAGCTTTTTCTAGAATTCATTTATCTCTAAAGATATGATGAATTTAAAATTTTGTCTCTTACTACCATTAGATCCAAATAAGTGTTTCTATTTATTGATTTTGTATCTCTCATCATCCTCTTTCCATTTTCAGAATTCTCTCCAAAATAAATATGAAAATTTCAGCAATAGTTTAAAGATTTATTATAGTTTTCTTTAATTTATGTATCCAAAATTCTAATCCTTTCTAATGCGCTCTTAATCTTTTCACATTTACTGATTACTCCCTAGAAATTTTTTAAAATGTTCCAATATATCTACAACTTAGATTTAAATTAATGTATTTTTACCCCGTGTAGATTCCATTCTCTTCGATGAACTTTTCTAATAGATCTTTCAAATATTTTTTTCTCCTAAGCCTTCTTCCTCCTTTCTCCTCCATTATTTCATTTTTGGTTATGAATAAATTAATCATTTGGGTCAGCATTATCCCTTTTCTCCAACACCATGGATATCTAGTTGTATTTAATAAGGGAAAAAGTTATGTTCTGCAAGTTGTAACTTAAAAGGATTATGTTAGATTATTATTTTTTCAGATTTTTATTTCAAAGAAAACTGAATTTACCTGTCCTCAAAGGAGGCACCGATAATTCTTCCAAAATAGAATTATAAGCCAATCTTATACTAAGAATTCAAATAATTCAGCAATAGATTTGATAAATTAAAAATGAGATAAAAATATTAAATTTTTTGCATCCCTTAAGCGATTTCTAATGAGGTCAGTAATTTAATGAATTTCTTTCAAACCATTTTTAAACCTGATAAATATAAACAAATTTAAGATATTGAATTATATGATCATCTAAAGTTTTACAAGCGACTATTACAGAAAAAATCCTAATATAAATATACCTGTTAAAATTAGCCAAAGCCTATGTATTTTAGGTTAACAACTGAAATTTTGTTTCCTCTACTTAAATAATATTCTCCTTCTGGAGAGGAATAAAGAGCATGGATTTTCTTGAGAAAATACAATTGTAAAATTATTTGATTCTCTTGAATAGATCCAATTTATTAATAGATGGAGAAGTTCATATATTTCCATTTTAAATATCTCCCTCCAAATAGCCAATGGTAACATAATATCATAAAGATATCATAAATGAAATTTTTTGCAAAATTTATACTAATTATTTTATTAAATATTTGAGTGGTATTCATGAAAAAATTCCTTAATATTTCTAAATAACCGATTTTATGTGAATAGAGAAACATTTTAATTATCTTGGGATCCTATTACAAATTAATCCAATTTATTTAGCATATGCATCTAGAAGTGTTTAGATGAATATTATGATAGATAGAATAGTATAAGTTCGAATAATTCTCGATTCTCCTCCGTAGTTTGTAATAAAATTCTTTAAGTTGAATATTCTTTACTAAGTTATAAATTGTAAGACTAACTATGCATACATATATAAATATCTTTTATATAGGTATTTACTTATTTCAAATTTAACTCAAACTTAAGATTAATTATTAAATTTAATTGTAAATAGAATTCAATATTAACTTTCGAATCAGGAGTAAATAAAATAAGGACGAATAGTTTTTCATTAATTTATAAAAACTAAACTTCATTAAATTTAAACTTTCCAGTCAAAATATCTAAATATAAATTTATATTGCAAGATCAAATCAAAAAGTAGTTACATCAAAAACAAGACCAGGTACTTCGCTAAACTGAATTCCTTAATATTAAGAAAATTAAAAAAGCACTCATTACATTTATAGAAATGAAATCTTGAAAATTACAAATACACTTAATAGATTTGTGTAAGCAAGCACTTTATACAATTCAAAAATCCAATACCGATTTATTCATGACTGTGATTGTGATAGTTTATTAATATTAACTAATCTGTAGAGTGAGTCAATTTTAAATACGATTCATTTCAACTATAAGTACTCTATTTAAGCTTGAGTAATGATTACCAAAAGTTAAAAATTGACCCTGTAGGTTAGAAAATCTTGATTCAAATATATAGAATCTATATATTAAATTAAAATTTGCTATCAGAATAGAAAAAAAGCGCAAATAATACATGAGATGATATTAGAGATTCTCATCCTAGTCTTTCGCTCCTGTAACTATCAAAGAGTAAATAGATATAGATACGTTAAGATGTTATAGCATAAAGGCAGCAAAAAGATTCTGAATAAATTGCTCACTAAACAATTATATAATCACCTTTTAGATCTTTTTGCAAGTAAATGAATCTGAAATACAGATAATAGCAGATTTGTAAGAAAAGCCAAATCTAATTAAATGGTGAAATGAAAAATGAAATAAGGAACTTAAGAATGACTTGGATTGAAAGGGTATTTAGAAAATAGATAATGATTGGCATTAATTTGGTAATAAATAAAAGATTACTTTTGAAGAAAATAAATTATAATCAATTTAAAAAAGAATTTAAGTTAATTATGAATTATATACTAAAGGATTTAACTAAATTCATTTCTTTGTTTTTAAGTCAATAATTAATTATTAAAATTAATTCTAATATGATTTGCAATTTAAAATTGCCTGCTCATAATTTTCAATAGCTTACGTGTAGTTTTTGATATTTGTTAAAAATTAACCTTAAACAATAAGATATTTCAAACCTTTTTAAAAATAATTTGTTGTATCATTGGGATTTATATTAATTGCTTTATTAAAACAATCAATGGCATCATTGTTTTAATTAAGATTCGATAAGGCATTACCTAATTAAATTAAATATTTCTAACCTTTATTATTATAGGCTATTGTAAAATTTGGATCTATCTGAATTGCTTTATCATAGCAAGCAATGGCATCTTTGTATTATTTAAGATTATGTAAGGCCTTACCTTATAAAATAGAAAGACTTCATACCTTTATTATTATAGGCTATTGTAAAATTTGGATCTATTTAAATGGCTTTATCATAGCAAACAATTGCATCTGTGTATTATTTAAGATTATATAATGCCCTACCTAATTAAATTAATACATTTCATACCTTTATTATTATAGGCTATTGCAAAATTTTAATCAATTTGAATTGCTGTATCATAGCATTAAAGTGAATCATTGTATTTTTAAAGATCGTGTAAGGCTCTGCCTAATAATACTCATAGAATTCCGACCTTTATTATTAAACGCTATTGCAAGACTTGGGTCTTTTTTGATTGCTTCATCATAAGAAATAATGGCCTCATTGTATTATTTAAGATCATGTAAGGCCCTACCTAATAAAAAGTTAGAGATTTCATACCTTTATTATTATAGGCCATTGCGTAATTTCGATCAAGTTTGATTGCATTATTATAATAAAATATTGCCTCATTGTATGACTTCAGATTATGTAATGTCCTACCTAATAAGATTAAGAGGGTTCAAACCTTTATAATTATAGATTAATGTTTAACTTGAATCTAATTTGATTCCTTTGTCATAGCATTCAAGTGCATCCTTATAATTTTTAAGATCATGTAAGACCTTACCTAGTAAAATTAAAAAGATTTATACCTTTTTACAAATAGAACTCAGCCTGATTTGGATCTATTTCGATTGCTTTATCATAGCAAGCAATGGATTCATTGTATTATTGAAGATCTTGTAAGGTATTACCTATTACAAAAACAAAATTTCATACCTTTATTAAAATAAGCTACTTAGCAATTTGGATTTAATTAGATTGCTTTATCATAACAAAAGATGGCTTCTTTGTATTATTTAAGATCGTTTAAAGCACTGCCTATTACAAATTAGAGATTTCATACCTTTCTTATAATAAGCTACTTCGTCATTTGGATCTAGTTAGATTGCTTTATCATAAAAAACAATGGCTATATTGTATTATTTAAGATCGCTTAAGGCATTACCTATTACAAATTCTAGATTTCATACCTTTCTTAAAATAAGCGACTTCATCATTTGGATCTAGTTAGATTGCTTTATCATAACAAACAATGGCTTCATTGTATTATTTAAGATCGCTTAAGGCATTACCTATTACAAATTAGAGATATCATACCTTTATGAGTATAGACTGATGCATCACTTGGATCTAATTCGATTGCATTACTATAGCAAACAATGGCCTCCTTGTATTATTTAAAATTGTGTAATGTAGTACCTATTAAAAATAAGAGATTTCATACCTTTATTAAAATAGGCTGATGTATAATTTGGATCTATTTTGATTGCATTGTTATAGCAAACAATGGCCTCATCGTATTATTTAAGATTATGTAAGGCATAACCTATTACATATAAGAGATTTCATACCTTTAGAAAAATGGGCAACTGAATAATTTTTATTAAATTGAATAGCCTTATCATAGCAAACAATGGCTTCATTGTATTATTTAAGATTATTTAAGGCATTACCTATTACAAATTAGAGATTTCATACCTTTATTAAAATAATTTACTTCGTCATTTGGATCTAGTTAGATTGCTTTATCATAACAAACAATAGCTTCATTGTATTATTTAAGATCGCTTAAGGCATTACCTATTATAAATTAGAGATTTCATACCTTTATTATTATAGAAGGATGCATCATTTGGATCTAGTTAGATTGCTTTATCATAACAAACGATGGCTTCATTGTATTATTTAAGATCGCTTAAGGCATTACCTATTACAAATTCTAGATTTCATACCTTTCTTAAAATAAGCTACTTCGTCATTTGGATATATTTAGATTGCTTTATCATAACAAACAATAGCTTCATTGTATTATTTAAGATCGTTTAAGGCATTACCTATTACAAATTAGAGAAATCATACCTTTATAATTATAGGTTGATGCATAACTTGGATCTATTTGCATTGCTTTGTCAAATATAAAAATTGCATCCTAATTTTTTCCCTATTACCATAGGGAATATCCTTAAAATTTTACCATTAAATTACCTTTTCTAAAATAACCAACAGAATACTCTGGATTCTTTTAAAGAGCTACATCAATACATTAAATCGCATCTAAATGTTCACTCAAATTTTATAAAGCAACGCCTGTTTATGTTATACCATTCATTACTTTTTCTATTCAAAGCGTGAAGATGTTAAGATTCCTATATCAAAACCTTTTCGCATTGCTCAATAGCCTATTTAAATTACTTTAACTCACATAAAGCATAACCTATTTAATTTGTATATTATAATAACTTTATGCAATTAACATAACCATATTATTTGGGGTTTTCATTAATTCTTCATTTGAATAGTCTAGTAGATCTCTATAAAAGTTATTATTAATTTTTTCGGCCTAATTTCTCATAATTATTGCCTATCCAAGTTAATTCATTTCGATTTTTTTTATAACTAATTATATAAATAATCATCGAAATACTTTAAAAAAGTGTTGCCAATGTTTATTGTTTCGCTGATAATTTTATGTACTAAGTAATTTTTTCATTAGCCTCCTGCCATTTCTACTAATTTAGTAATTGTATTCCTAATTTCATTTTAACACTCGAATACCTTACTAAAGTGAATTTTCATAATCATAGTGAATATCTGAAAATTATTATTATTCTTTATCAAATTCCATAGCCTGGATAAATTTCTTCATACTAGCTAATTATGAACCTACAAATATTACTTAAAAAAAAATACTAATAAAATCCTCCTTTATAAACTCCTTTTAATTGTTTATATATTGATGCCATTCCTTAATCACCTATAAACTGTTTTCCATTTATTTATAATCCTTTTGACTTAAACATTCAGAAATCTTAACTATTGATATTTTCATATCCTCCATGTATTTTAAATATTCTTGATATTTTATTTTGACTTATGTAAATGATTGGTTCAATTAGTTTGTTAATTCATGGATACTCTGATTGAATTTTGTTATAAAACTTTAGATCTCACCAAATTCTTTTAAGTCTTTCTTGCAATTCAAATGCTTTTTAGAGTCACATCCGCATTATTGACAGAACTCAGGTCTTGATTCTTGGCATCCCAAATTTAAACAAAATCCTTTTATAGCTTCTCCTTTGTGCGCAGTGTCTTAACAAGTAAATAACTTCATTAAATAAATGTATATTAAATAGGATCAAAAACTGTCTTAATACAATTTTTTCATCTATAATGATATTTTCTGGTATTCAATTCATCTTTTTTTATAAATGTTTTTAGAAAACATATATATCATTAAACTTCACAAGTGTTAATTGATAAGCAAATGGATAAAAGAAGAATTAAATTAGTGTAATATTCTTTTTCTACTTCCATATGAGATGGCTAAAGTATATATTCATATTTTAAAGAAGGTTCATAATTTATTTTTAAATTAGAGTGTATTTAATTTAGATTCTAATTAAGATGAAGTTGCTTGAATTTTAAAAGCTTACGATATGATTTTTACTTTTCTCCTAATTTCATCGCCAGTTGATAAAAGCTGTGCCTAGACAAAAAAAAGATTTTAAGTTACTTCTCAATGTATCGGTCTTAAATATTTATCCTATTTAATCTTGTATGAGAATCCTTAAATAAGACAAATATTTTAATCGCACATTTCTTTATAATGCATCATGGTAGCATGCAACAATGAGTTAATAAAGCTAAGATAGAATGTAAAGGATCCTATAAAGACAAAAGAGGCAAAAATAAGCAGCAGAACCTCTTTATAAATGAAGGCAATTGCTTTAAAAAAATAAAAGTTTAGATAATATGTAAATTCATAATGGAGATTCTATTTGCAAAATTAGAATATCCTTCAATATAAATTTTATATAAAGAAAATATATACAATCCCTTAATGGATTAAAAAGTTGATAACTAAATTGAAGAAAAATTTTTTCATAATAATAATAGCATAAAAAATTTTCAATTATCTTTATTTGCTCAAAGAGTGAGGGTTCAATTAGAATTGCGCATTTAAGACTAATTAATCTAAAAATATAATATACCTCATTAGATCTAAATTATTTTTTAAGAGTTTATTTTTTGAAAACTATTGATCATAAAGCTATTAGAATTTGATAATTAAAAAACAGCAAAGATTTAGTTGAAATATATTTGTTCAATGAATTTGGTATGTTTTGATTATTAAATTAATAATCTTATTACGATTAACCATATATTAATAATAATAATAAAATAATTTCACTTAAATTTGAAAGTAAGTTACCCTTTCAAATTTAGGAGAATCTATCATCTTAAATAATATTGATATTTGCGACAAAAATAGAGTTTGAGTCAAATCTATATACCTTTTGTTCACTTTAAGGTCAATTGGAATTTTTTTAAATTATTAGTATCTCTTTTAAATATAATTCTTTTAAGTTCACTTGTAGAGATAGACTTTATAAAGGGTCATTAAATTTTAGAATTGTAAAAGCTAAAAAAGCAAATGAAAGACCTCTGTATTTATTTGGATAATTTACTAAAAAAAGGAGATTTTTAATAAAGTGGATATCCTGCCTTGCTTGCTGATTTAATCATATTTTTTTATTGAAAATTAAAATGGATAAATAATGAGAATTCAGCTGTTATAAATTTTAATCAATCCTTCTAAATATTTATAAATAATAAATATCTTTTTATTTTCTTATGATTATAATTTTGTTACTCTTTCATTGCTATTTAAATCTTGATTTTAAACAGATCTTTAACTTAAAAATATTAATCAAATTTCTGTATAATTAATTTCAAAAATTTACTAAAACTCAATTTATTAAAAATAAATTCAACTCAATATTTGGGGGCGTTTAAATATTAAACTAGTATATATTTTATTGCTATGAGAATAAATTAATGCTTTCTTTTACCTATTGATAACAACATAATATCAATGTCAGTTTACATATTTTTACATAATAAAAAGGTGTTACTTCTTGATAGCATATTTGTTTAATCATAATATTTTTCAATTTAGTTTGCAAACACAATTAAATAATATAAGTAATTATAGGGCACAAATTGATATCCTCTCTTATACTAAAAGGTAATTCCTTAATGAAATATCCAAATAATGTCTTTATTGTTAAAATGAATATTTGATAGTAAGAGAGAGAGGGTTAGTTTCCAAATTCAACCATAATAAATTCATAATTCATAATGAATCCAAATATAAATGGTTAAATATATTTGGTAGGTATAGGCTATTGTATTAATTTATTATGCTTATGCTATCGATATAAAAATAAATTCAATAATTTTTTATTAATTCTTATAGTTAATTTATGAAATTGATAGGTAATGCTTATTTAATTTTGCATAGATAAAGCTTAAGACTATGACTCAAATGATCGATTAAACTAAAGGAAATTAATCAGTGTCATATGTGAAACTAATAAAGAGGCAAGAGATTATTTATATTTTTTGAAATAAAGAGAACAGGAAGAATAATAATAATTGCCTAAGACTGAAGTTTTTTCAATATTCATAAAAACAATTATGGAAGTATCTAATCCGACCTCTACCTTTAGAATAATTTGGGAATCAATAAGCATGTTATTTATTTTTGTATAAATGATATACATTCCAATGGCATTATCATTTTCAATTGATAGCTCCTTTGAGATGGAGATCATTAATGATATAATGGATATATTTTTTGTTGTAGATATGCTGCTTAATTTTCGATTGGCATATTATGAAAAGTAACCAAAAATCTTATATTATAAGTGGAAAATTGGAGTATCGCTTAAAATATATAGCATTAAATTATCTAAAATTGTGGTTTTGGATAGATGCGATAGCAGTTCTTCCTTTCGATTTAATGATAGGAACTGATAGTAATTAATCAACACAAATATTAAAATTTGTGAGATTGTTTAAATTTGTGAAGATTATACGCCTATTAAGAGTCTTGAAATTGGGAAGAATTTTGATAAAAATAGAAGGTATATAAAGGATAATAATAGATTCTAGAAACATTCTCAATAGAATAAACTCTCTAGGCTATAATACAATTCCTCAAAATAACAGCTATGATTTTATGTATAGCACATTGGATAGCATGTATTTGGAATATAATTGAATTTGTGGATGAGTAAGTAGAACTAACATGGATGACACAATATGGTATCCATGACGCTCCTTGGGAAGTTAAATATATAACAGCCTTCTACTTCAGTATAACTACAATGATAACAGTGGGTTATGGTGATATCAGTCCAAACACAAATTTAGAAATGATTTTTGGGATTATTGTGATGGTTCTTTCATCAGGAGTTTTTGGATTCAGTATGTCTAGTTTGAATTTCATTATACAAGGAGAGGATTAGAACATTGCTGAGATAAAAGAATAAAATTAAAAAATAGTTAAGTAAATACTTCAATAATTCAGTTAGATATATTAAATAGAAAAACATACCAAAAACATTATAAATTAGAGTTAAGAATTATTTAGAATGGCTAGAAGGATCTGCTTAAGTAGCCAAAAACTCATAAATGGTCATTTTAAATAACTTATCATCAAATCTGCACACAGAAGTATTGACTTTATTACATGGCAGAATTTTAAAATAAGTTAATTTGATCAGCAGAGAATTTTCCTCTTAATTGACAAACAAACTAATTTATGTTTTAAAAGAACATCTTTTAGGACCAGAAGAATATGTTTTCAAAGAAAATTAAGTGGACAGTAATTTATTATACTTCATTTAAAATGGTTAAGTGGATATTTGTCTAACAAGAAGAGAGTTTTCACTAAAACTATTAAATAAAGGAGATTACTTTGGGGAGATAAGTTTTTTTAGTAAAAGTCCTAGGACAGCAAGTGCAAAAACACTTGATTTTGTTAATTTGATGAGTTTAAGTAGAAAAGATTTGTGGGAACAAGCTCAGGATTTAAATTCAGATTTGGAAAAGCTTTTCTATATAAAGAATTGTGTGGATGTTGAGAATTCATTAAAGCCATTGCGATTGAGATGTTACATTTGTGATAGGCCACATCATATTGCAAGGAATTGCACTATTATGCATTTTAGAGTTAGAAGGTTGAAAGTAATAGAAGAGTATTTGAAGTAAAAGAATACCAGAATAAAAGAATTTAAGAGAAGAAATGGAAAATCCTTAATATCATCATCTTAAATTATCTATTCAAAATCAGATGCTGTTTTTAGATACAGATTTTAATAATTGAAATAAATTGTAAAAACTTCATAATAAATTGAAAATCTTGATGAATCAGCTGTTGATTATTCAAAGTTATCAACACAGATTGATGATAATAATTTTTGTCTTGATAGACATCGAGATTATTCAGAATTCTACACTGAATTTAATCCAACTAAAATAATTTCTGAAATAAATAAATATTCTGAATAAAAATTATAAGAAATGAGAGAAGAAAAAGAATAAATAGCAAATAGATTCAGATAAAATTGGATGAATAGCAGAAGATAAAAATAGTTGTAGATTGCTCCTCCACGATAATCTAAATTGTCATTTGATGCTCAGAAGATTTTTTCATCCGACATCTAGCATATCATATTTTCTGAAGATTCTTCGAGTTCTCATTCATCTTATAATTTGTTAACCAAAAAAAGTGTGAGAGGTAAAAGACTTCTAGACATTCAAACGTAGAAATAATTATTGTAAGTATTTTGACATCTATATTAATTTAGGATTAAAAGATCAACATCTCGTTCCTAGTTAGAAAAATTTCTACAAAAGAAGTAAAGTTCATTTGAATTTAAACAGAATAAAATTAAACGATAGGTTTCATTGCATTTAAGAAGTAGCCACACTACTCCTTTAGAAATCAAATAATTTTAAAATACTAATCTTAAGCTCTTAATCATTAATTAATATTTATGCTTTAAATGAATATAATTTTATGTTTTTATTTAGATTAATATTGTAAGCAGAAAACATAAATTTAAATTATTTTCTTAGTCTTTTTTCTAGTTTACCTTATTATTCATTTAAATCAAATAATGTTGATTTCCATTTGTAATTCTCACTTTCATAAAATGAAAATAAATCGTCATTTTCAAAATAATATATAGATATATTAGTTAGTTCTAGAGTTGTTGGTAAGGATTTTATTTTTAATCTTAAACCACTTATTAATTACACCATTTATTCTTAATAAAAATAAACTTTATTCAGTAGCTACTTTTACTATGTAAAGTTATCTATAGAAATAAGACAGCAACAGACGATAGTCATTTACTTTTGATATGGAAGGACAAAATATTTATTATTATTCAGTAGCAAAACCATTACCAAATGACATTATTGATGACCTAATCGTATGTTCAAAAATTAAAAAGCTTTTACTATCTTAACTACCTAAAGTGTGGTTTATAATGGCTAAAACAACTGCTTATTTAACCATTGATAACCAGTAGAAGTTTGTGACTTCAAACTTCATTTTAGACATTTTTGTATACAGTTGGTTATCAAAGGAGTTATAAGACCTGAAATAACAGTTATTAAATAGAATGAGTAAACTTAACATAGAAATGGAAAAATTTCATCGACTAATTGACATATTTTCTTAGGAGATGACTTTTATATAAAAAGAACTCGTTTAAACCAATACTTGGGAATACTAGTTGAATTATAATAAGAACTGCATAAAGCCACTCTTCGTCTTTCGAGAAAAGTGCCCACTTGAGCATTTATGTCTTATTAAAAGAATTGATGAATTAAACATCGATGACGATAGCAAAAATTCAACTTTGACATCTTCTTAAAATTCTCAAAATTCCTATCAAAAAGAGATCAGCAGAAGCAAGACCGATACTAAAGAAATAACAGCGATCGTTCTATCTAATAAAATGAGAAAGTTTTCTAAGCAAATGGAAAAAATGAGCGAAAATTTTTTTTAAGAATTGATTACATTTAATTCTCAAGAATAATAATGGCAAATTGCGGGATAATTCGTAGTAATTATCATTGAAACCACAGTCTAATCAGATTTCGATATGAAAACAATTGAAAAGGTTAGATTTATTTAACCTGCAGTGCTCTTTTATAAGAAAGCAATATAAATTTGGATGTTAACAAAATAATCTCACTTTGATAAGAATCTAAATTAACACTCAAGAATAGGCAAAGTATCTATAATTCTTAATTCAGGTATCATTTAGCCATTTTTTGTGTAAAGCAAAGTGCTTTCTTAGCTAATATTGGAAAGAAACATTAACCATTCCTCTACACACATTTTTTTAGTTAGCAGAATAGCTTTATCCTTAGGTGGAAAATGAATCAGTTATGATCAAGGTATATAATTCTTTAACATATAGAAAATGAGCACTTTTTCGATTCTCTTGAAAGAAAAAATAGTATCATTATGGGAGCAAAATTTATCTCTATTCGCTAAATCACATATATAAAATTGATAAAATCTATAATTAAATTAATTAAAACTATTCAATATTAATGATTTAATTTTGACATACTCCAATCATCTATTAAATTAATATATCCGTATAGTAATAAAATTCTACCAGTATTTAAAATATATAAACAGCTATTTTTACTAAGACTTAAAAAGTTTTTATTTATGGGTAATCCATAACAATGATAGAATAGCATCAATTAGTAGGTTTTGGACGGCTATTTGATATTTATTTGAGCAGTTCTTCATATTTAAATATGAATTTTAATTTATCTAGGGGTTTTTTAACATTTCAAAGCTAAATTTTAGTTCTCGATTCATCTAATTATTGCTGATATAAAAACATCTCATTTGTTTATTTATGGATATGTATGTAAAATATTAAATAATTGCTAATGAACGAGATCGGATCAAATTAAAAAAAAATAATAATCTATTATAATATGAATATGTTAAATTTATTAAAGCTGTTTGGTTTTCTTCTTCAAATTTCGATATAGAACTTAAGATAATGTTTACGATAGATACTCTTTTTATAAACCTTTATCTTAGAATAATTAATTGATTAGTCAACAATTTAAAACTTTTGTTGAAAATTAATAAGATAGTTTATTTTATCATTTGAATTAAATTAACAGTGATGCAAACAGCATTTCATATGATATTTTTAACATTAAGTAGATATGATTTAATAAAAGAATTTATAAATCATCCATTTGGTGATTCATCAGCATTTAACCACTTAATTCTTTTTCCATATTCCCATATACCTTCTTTTTTTTCTCCATTTGGAAGTGTAATCATACCTTTTCCATGTTATTTTCCATTAATCCAATACCCTTCATATTTTCTACCATTTTCCCATTAGAATATGCCAAATCCATGTTTCTTATCATCCTTATAGTCTCCTTCATATTTCTTGCCATCAGCCCATTAAGTCACTCCTTTTCCATTCATTTTACTATTATTCCATTGTCCTTTATATGACTTACCGTCTTTCCAATAATACTCTCCATATCCAGTTATATCATTTTCAACAAAATCTCCTTTATAATAACTGCCATCAGCAAAGGTCAAAGTTCCTTGTCCATGCTTTTTACCATTTTCATATCTACCCTAATATATATCCAAAATTAAAGGTTTACTTCGTATTTGGCTCCATCTGGCCATACTTCCACTCCTTATCCATGTTACAAATCATTCTTCCATTCTCCGTCATATCTAGCACCTCCTTGAATGTATTTATAAAGCATACCACTATGAATATAAACGCCTCGGCCATTTGCCATATCATCTAACCACTACCCTTCATAAATATCCCCATCAACATGAACTGAATAAGTATTATAAGGAGTTACCTAATTTTCCAAATCCATTTGCTTTATCTTCCACCCATTCCCCTTCGTAAAAACTTCTATCTGGCCACACATATTTTCCTGAACCATCTCTCGTTGCATTTTTCCATTCCCCCTCATAGACACCTCCATTTTTCATTTCAATAGCTCCCAGTTTAGTTCTTGTTGTTTTATTTTTCGTTGCTTAAACTTATGCGATATATTGTTCTTCAGGTTTGTTATCATCTAAACTTCTCAACACATATTACCATTTTCTCTTTTCATAAGTTTTGGGGAAGAACTATCCTCAATAGAATTGTTTCGAGCCCCTGCCATTTGAGCTACATCTTCATCCTTTAATTGGTTGCTGATCTTTTCTTTACCCTAATAGTTTATTCCTTTTAATACATCAGGGTCTTAATTTTAAGCATTATCAGGTTTAGCTGTTAGTTTTGATTAACTTTATTGTTTTTAATTTGTATTGAGTTCATTTTCGTCATTTGGTTTAGTTTAACATTAGCATGTACAGGCATTGCCCATTTTGAAATGAGTAAAATTTAATATTAAACTAAAAAATTAATAATTAACTTTCAATTTATTTTCATATTTCATAGTTTCATATTTCACTATTGGAATGTAAGATATGTTAGTTATTAATCTAAGAACTTTTAAAATGTTGTCAAAATTTGAGTAGTTTTAAATAATAATTATTATTAATAAAATGAAATGCATTTGCAAAAATACATCAAAAGACTTAATTATATCAATAAAAGACGATAATGTAGTTTTTTAAGCTTGTAATTATTGTATATTTCATGGATAGGCAATGACAAACAAAACGTTATCTGTAAATTTCAAGGTTGTTATGATTTTAGTGATAGTAGTGATAATGATAATTAAATAATTCGATTAATGTCTTAGATCTCATGTAAGAATATTGATAAGAATTCTTTCAAATAAATCCTTGAAATAAATACTGATTGTTCAAATGTAATATTGGTTCTCAATTTAGCATTCCAAAATGTTTATTAATAGTGACACCAATTTTAGACTTGTGAGTTCTACACATTCAACTTCGGCTAATAGTCCAACAATAAAAGAAACAAAAAAAAAGAAAAAGTAAAAACCAAAAAACAATGAATCTCAACCAAAATCAGAAGTTGAAAAATCAAAATAAATCTCTGATTCAAAGAATTCATCCAAACAAACCAAATATTGTTCTTTAGTAAATGAAGATATTAGAATATTCGAAGAAAAAATAAAATAATACACATCTGAAATGGATGACTCCTAAAAAATAGTCTTAAATCTCCCATAGGAATGGATTAAAAAATTTGGAATTCAAAAAAAAAAAAAATGATAAATATGATTTCAGCTTCATAAATTTTAATGATTATATTCCTTATTTTCATGTTTCAATATAAGGGATAAGAAATAAATATATCTATATACTTTTATTGTGCTTCTATTGGCATTTTATTTATTTCTGAACATTTCTATTGTTAATTCTAAATGAAATAAAAGAACCTAAAAGATTACTAAAATAACTTTTCTTACAATTACTATAATTTTCTAATTTAATGTAAAATATTGAGCTCTTTTCAAATGCTTAGGATGAAGCAATAATGTCTGAAAGAAATGAACGAGAATAATTTCAAAGTGATTCCTCTAAAGAAGATGATAATTCTAATGATGATTCAATTCAAAATGAAGAAGAATAAGAAATTAACCCAAAAGAATCTTAAGGTTCTACATTCCCAGAATAACAGGTTATCAAGGATGAGACTAAGAAGAAAGATGTAGTCATCACATTTATATTAGATAAAAGAGACTTGTCTTGAAAAAATCAAAGCATATATTGGATTTGGTCATAGCCATTTATTATTAAATGAAAGGATTGGATCAATATTTTTCTTGCCTATACCTTCCAGATGGCCACTAAAAATATAGGTTACAATTGCATAAATAATTATCGCCATTACGTCATTCTCCTTATTTGTTGGAGTCTAATAAATAGGATAAAATATATTATTTGATACTGTATTATAATGGACTAATAACAATGTATCATCACTTTTACAAAAATAAATTTGCGAAGTCACGATAGATTTTGTTTAAATTTTAATAAAAACTAGAGAAAATGAAATATAGCTCATGAATGTAACAATAAATTTAATTTAATCGGGAACTTTAAGGTACAAAGATGTTCTGTATAGTATTGATAATTAAATACCAAAATCATCTAAAAAACAAATTTCTAAAGAAGGCATCATAGATCAATATACTCTTGATGTTGCCACCTATTCACTTTTAAAAGACTAATAGGTATCTGAAAATTAAATCAGAAAATACTTATCCATCAATAACATCATGTATTATAATTATTAAACTCTGGGATCCACTTTTTTTTGGATTTTTGATGATGGATTCATGATGCAATATCCAGGTTTGAATGTAACTAATGTCAAATTATTTAATGAACATCGATTAAAAATGTATAATAGTAGAAGGTATCTCACCAATATTCCTATTGAGCACACTTATGATCCTATTTTGGGTTCGATTTTGCAAAGGGAAGTATTGCCAATAAATGATGACAATAATAACTAAATTGGTTTGATATTTTGTGAAAGAATGCCCATTATGTTGTTTTTACTATTCAATTAAATAGCCATCAACAATCAGTATAATTACACTTTATTTTTGCTTTCATCAGAAAATGATATACTCCATTATGAGGAAAGAGAATATAAGATAAATATAGAGGAATTTTAAGAACTAATTAAAACAATTAACACAGAAGATTCAAAATTAAAGAAAATGAACATCTCAAAATTTCATTTTGACTCAATAAGTGTTTCATCATACTTCGAACTCTATTATGGAGAACTTTAAGATTAATGCTTTATATTAGCATATATTAATTATAAAGGAATCTTTTTAGGAATGTAAATTTTGGTTTTACATTTTTAGCTTTTAACCAACTTTCTTGCCCAAACAAGAAATTGGTTTCTAGAAAAGAACATATTCCAAAAAAGTTGATAGTTTCAATCAAAAATTAATTCCATTAGCTTTATCTATACCCATCTTATATATCATCTTGTGTGTTTTTTACATGGTCAGATATATCAAGCCTCTCCAAAGAATTACAGAATATGCAGACTAATTATTAAAGAAATCATAAAATTTTGATGAAAATTAATTTGAAAAATAATTTACTAATTCAACTGGTGATGATCTCATATAATAATTAACATCCTTATTTGCCAAACTTATGGGTAATTTAAATAAATCAAAATAACTGAAGAAATAAGAGATCATTGATTTCTATAATAAGCAAACATACCCAAAAAATTAGAAACCAAGGGATGTTACTCCTATTATCAATCAAGTGAAAAAGATCAAATTAGATTCAATTTTGAGAGATCCTGGAGTATTATAGTTTCCAAATTTGGACGATTGAATATATACTTTTACATAATCTGAAGTTAATTTAAAAGAATATATACTTTTTTATAAAAATTAATTTGAAAATTATCTTAACTGCCAACTGATATTTTCATATATTTTAGTTTTTTTAAGATATCACTATTATTCTATAAATTATAACTTATTGTTCTATACAAATCCAATCGATTCTATACTTATTTGTTATATTTATAGAATACAATCTTATCCGACTGATTCACCTTTTAGAAAATGAACTCCTAAATCGTTACAGTTTTGTTAATGATTCAGGTAAATTTCATAAAAGGTATTTAATTGTCTTTAAGTTTAAACTCTTTTTGAATTCTACAGATTTAGTCGTTAATAATTAAATCTAAAAGTTCCAGTTACAAAAGACAATGAGAAACTCTATTCTTGATAAACAAAATCAAAATAAGTGCATTTTACCATATTATTTGTGATATTAGTAAAGATCCTATGATGATTTTATGTTTGAGTTTCTATTCTAAATAGTTAGAGAGATTATAATGAATGAGGCGATAATTAAGTATTTGAGGATGTTAGAATATGAGAAATTTAGAGAATATAAAAAACATAGAATGATGACAATGGCGGTTTTTCAAGAAATGTTTAAATATTTAATTGCAATTAAATTTGATAATTTGAAGGAGTATGTCTAAGTTACAGTAAAGGAATTGATAAATGCCCATAGATTTATAAAAAGTGATTAATTCATCCATATATACATCGCTTGCTTATTTACTCAGATGCTATTAATGATATATTTTAATAAATAATAATAATAATTTATTACGGCTTATGCTTCATCTAGAAATCGAAGTATAATCTTTGTAGTTTTTTATTGAAAAATATTCAGAATAGTGCAAAATAGTCATTCATGATGGTAATATACAATTCTTATTAATAGCAAATGAATCTAAAATTTTGACGTCTAAAATATTGAGTCAATGTTCGAGTGTTTAAGATATAAATGAAGTTGTTGAGTTTGATTTTTATTATACTGAAAACCGATATGTAACTTCCATATATCTTATCTAGTTAAAAATAATGGTTCAAGATTGCAAAGTATGCTATGGAGAAGCAATTCTGAATCTAGGTTTTTATATTGAAAATCATTTACCATTGGTTATTGATAAAATTCCTATACATAATAGATAAGATCAAGAAGCTTATATTTAGGTGGGATTGGCATGGAACTAATCAAATTAAAGTGAATATAAAAGAGTTGGAAACAATAGATGGTATAATTATATATCGAATTTAGTAAAATTAACTAGGAAATTAAAAAAAGTGAAGAGTGGCTTAGGTAAAAGCGAGAATGTCAGCATTCCCCAGTATAAGAAAGAGGAGAAATTTTGAATCATAATAGAGAAGAAACATTAAAGAAATATTCTGAATAACCAAGTAATTTTGAAAATCACTTAAAATATTCTGAAGTTGATAAGCTAAATGAACCTGAAGTAAATACAAAAAGATAATAAACTGTAAGAGTTTAGAAAGTTAGTTTATTATAATAAAAATCCAAGGAAGAAAAATCAGATTTTGATGGCCCTGTTGCTTTGAGAGAAAATAAATTTGTTGTTCCAGGCAAGAGAAGGACCAAAAATGTATAGAATCACGAGGAAATTATGAGAGGCTCCACTAAACCTAAAGCAAATCCAAAAAAGTTAGATTAATTTGATAATTTCAATTCAAGACCAACTTAAAATGAACAAGCATTGTTATTATCATGTAGATAATTAGAGAAGGGAGAGTATGATGAGAATTCATTACAAATTTAAAACTAGATGTTACAATATTAGAATAAATTAATGAAACAATAAAATGAGAAGTTATTGGAGTAAATCAAGAAATCCGAAGCTGCTTTTAATTTGTTATCAGAAACTTATTCTGCTCTTCAATCAGATTATAAAAAAATGTAGATTCAAAGTTTCAACAGTAATTTTAGTAACTCATTTATTAATGAATTATATAATTTACCTGATAAGAATAGTAAGGAAATTCAGTAGATCAAAAAGGAGTCTGAAATACTTAAAAAAGAAAATGAAATCCTTCTAAAAGAGAATGATATTTTGAAAGATGAGAAGGATACACAATAACAAAAATATATTCAAGAGATATCAAAATTGAAAGAAGAACTAACTAAAATAAAAAACACTATTGTTGAATTATAAAAAGAAAAGATTTCACTCTAAAACTATGTGGAATCTCGTAAGGATTCTTAAAATAACAAAGAATACTGTATTTGTTTGTAAAAGGAAGAACTTAGAGCAAACAGAGATAAATTTTAATATAGTACAAATATTTGTGTAGAAACTATCTATTAAGTTAATGATGAAAAAGGAAGAACAAAATGTTCTAAAAATTAGATTGATAATTTATTAAAAAATGAAGGAAAGTAAAAATAATATACAATTTACACCTAGATTTAACTAATTATCACGATCAGAATTACAAAAATTGGTATATGAATATTCCAATGAATTATAAATTAGTTAAAAGGAAAATCAACAATTAAGTATAGATTCAATATTATTCTAAGTACTTAACTCAAAGAAAGATTAAATAAGACTTGAGAGCAATCAAAAAGAATTAGAAATAACAAAAGTAATTATCATTATTAATGTGATAGCGAATAGTTAAACTAAGTGATCAAAGATGTAGCTCTCTGGAACATTAAATTGTATAATTGGAGAAGGCTGTTCTAAACGGCAAATAAAATATCGCTGATATGATTAATGCAGTCATGGAATGCGGAGGATAAAAACTATATGATTAAGTGGAAAGATGTTTGGCTTTTAGAAGAAGTTTAAAATTAGAATGAATTTCACACTAAATATGACTAACAATTTTTGATTTATAACATTTGTTATTTATTTAAAATTAATTATTTCTTATTATTATCTAAAGCCTTTTAATTTTTAATGCAAATATAAAATAATTAAGTATAAACCTAGTTTCACAATTGTTTCTAAAATAATTAATAATGTTTTATTAAGGAAGCAATCTCTAATGCTACTTAACTTTATGGTATAATAATTATTTAATTATTCTTCTTTTTTATTTATAATAAATTTAGAATTTAATTTAAAATTAATGTCGAAGCAGCAGGATAATCTATTTTAAAATAATAGATCTTAAAGGGCACTTCGAACAGAGTAAAGCAAGTAATATGAAACTGGACATTTGTAACCTACTCTCAAACAAGTCAATTCTTCTCATCAATCTCAGTCTATTTCACCCATTCGAAGTCCGAATGAATTGAGTATTGATAATAAGTAAGGAATCAATGGATAACCAAATATCAAAAATGTTGACTAGGTAGAAATATTAAAATAACCTAAAGCAGATAGGAGCACTAATTTAAGAGATAGAGAAACAAAATATTTGTATAAAATTGAAGACACAATAAATATAGGAGTGCTAATCAAAAATAAGTCAACTTGAATTGCATTATGGGTTAAAGATTGAAGAGATGGAAACACAGCATCTTTACTAAATCCAATTAACACAAAGTTAATTAAGAGAGAAATAATAGGAGAATGCAAATTTAATTAATGAAATTAATCAATTAAAATCCCAAAAAAATAAGTATAATTTACTTGTTGAACAAACAAATATAGAAAACAATTAATTAAGGGAATAACTAAGAAAGTTTTAGATGCTAAATTCTACATAAATGGGGGATATAATTGATGACCCATCTTAAAAATAGTAGAAATTGGAAATCGTATAAATAAAGTAATAAATGATTAGACTGAATGAAGTTATAAAAAGTTTGGAAGAATAAAATAAATATTATGAAGAAGAATGCAATAAGCACTACAAGGAAAATTAATATTTAATCGATCTCCAAAAAGATTTAACTTAATAGTTAGAGGCATATAAAATAGAATTGATACAATTTCAATAAGAAAATAATGCATTGTTAGAGAATATAAATAAAATGAAAGAAGAGTTCAATATTTCCTAAGAATAAATAATTTAGTAATTAAAAAAGGAATAGATAGAAAAACAATAGCTCTAAAACTAATATTAATAAAAGATCCGTGAATTATAGAATGCCACCTCTTAATTAGAATCTAAGATTTAAGAAACCTAATCAACATCCTCTTAGATGAACTAGTACTCTTGGAAAATAAGTTAATTAGAATAATAGGAGAAAGATTTATAAAGTCTGGTTGAACATCAGACAACACAACTAGCATAATAACGAAAAACAATAAGTCTTCTTGAATAAAACTTATAAAATTCATAAAACACAGAAATTTAATATTAATAATTGTTATAAAATTATAATAGCATTAAAGAATAATATCAATAATATTCAACTTCAGAACACAATGCTTAGAAATAATATTTAGAATAATAAAATAAAATAGAAAAACTAACTGTGATGTTGAAAAATAGATTAAATGAAATAGAATTATGGAAGAATAAATGTTATGAAAACAGTTCATAACAAAATAGATAACTTTTGGATTAACTTATATAAGAAAATGAAATATTAAGATAAAAGTATTATTGATAATTTCTATTAGGTGTAATATACTAGAAATAAATATTAAAGAAAATAGCAGCCCTTCTTAATCCTAAGAAATCAATAAGCTTAACCTCATCGTACATATATTAATTTAAATAGATCAAATAATAATAAGATAAAATTATACACTAATAGCAACTTTTGGAAAATCACAAAAAATAAATGAGTAGTCCTAAAAGCTAGAAAACATTTGCAACAGAAGTAAATGTAAAAGACTTCAATCCAAAAGGTAAGCATAATTGATTAATACTTTATCTAAATTAAATATTCTATTAAATAATCATTCAAATTAATTTATTCCATAAGTATTGACAAACTTTAGCAGGATCATTTTCAATCATTTATTCACTTTCTACCCATGAATTTTTTGGAATTTGACCTAATATTAAATCAATATTGTACCATTGTTTCTTCTTTTCCATAAAATATAATACATCTTTGTTTTACTTTTTTTAATTTAAACAGCTCTACCAATTTTTTCAACTTTGTCACCTTAATCAAAAGAACCATCATAATTTATTGAAGCGCTTTATTGCATCATATCAGATTAAACAGATTATTATTTTTCTTGAGAGGCAGGTGAACCTAATATGTCATATTATTGAATAGCATTTTTCGACATTTTTAGCTCTTTAATGAGTTTCAATTGTGATTATAGAATAAACCTAACATCGTCTCTAAGAGTATTGATCTGATGCTGAAATTCACTTAATTTTGTGTTAAAAGTGGAAAGTTCACTTTTTTCAGGTGGAATATCTACAAAATCTTCAATCTAAGGAGGTTAATCTAATGGATCAAAATAGAAGGTTTTTCCAAGCATCTGAACACTCATCTTATACTCTGAAATCATATTTGAATCAGCTGGAACTTTATCTGCTTTTTCCCATGTGGATTATGAGATTGGATAGCCAGCCCATTTTACTAAAAAATAGAGTTAGTCATTTATAGTTCTAGAATCTAAGATAGCCTCCATAGAGAAAAGCTTTCTTTTAATTTTGTTCATAATTTTGTATAAATAATTTTTCCAAAAACACACTTTTAAATTTTAAAAGCACTCTAATTAAAGAAAATACATCTTCTTCAATTTCCTTAATATTTTATCTATTTAATATATTTCATTTTAACATATTCATCAATCTCAAATGACATATCATCTTCATGTACTTGATATCCTTCAATTGTGTCTGTTAATTTAATTTATAGACTTTTTGCTTCCTCTGTCAAATAATTAATCTTTCTCGGCAAGGAAGGCAATCTTTAATGGATATTTTTTGCAGTATTAAGAGATAAAGATTTTTAACGGGCCTCAGTTTTATATCTCTCCTACCTTTTCTAATATTAATAAGGTTATTCATCGGTCATTTTTAATAATTTTTAATACTTTGACTTTTATTTAGTTTTGCTGTTTTTTGGAGTTCCTTAAGTCTAAGTAATTGGAGAGATTTGAGTACAATTAATCGGAGAAAATACTGGGCCTTAATCAACTCTTTAATAGTTTGTAGGTGATATTCTTCTTAAATTAGTAGTCCCCCAACATGATTATCCAACTCTAGTGGGAATTACTACTATGTTAAAGTTAGCTTTTTTGGCCTCCTTTTCCATTTCTTTAAGTATTAATTCCTTGATAATTTATTTGACGCTTTTAGGTTGCTTCCTGAAAGGAGTTTGCATATTATTTAATAAATATATATATACATAAAAACTATTATTTATTTAATAAATTAACTATTGAAAAAAATGAACTAAGGACAATAATCTCAATAACAATAAAATGGATATCATAACCCAATAGAGGATCAATTAAATTACAAAAATTATTACAGAGTTATGGTGTTTCTTTTTGCAATTTTAGTTATATTAGGAATAATGCAAACTCATCAATTCACTTAACATAGGAGGGAGAAGCTTTTAACATTTTTATGATACATCTATTCATTTATTATTTATTAGAAAAAAATGAATATTCACATATATTGCATTCGTTTACCAATTCTAAACACAATTTCTTTTTTGAATTTAAATTCTTACCATATAACAAAATTAGAATTCAAATGCTCGTAATTCTCTTCCTATCGATTTCCATACTATCTAATCTACTATCAAGCATAAATTAAATAATAGAAATTCTCCCATTTACTCACTAAATTAAAACAAAGATAATTCTCAAACTTCTTATTAAATTATCAAATTATACTTTTTATTTGCAAACTTTATAAAAAATTTTCTTATTTTGAAGCAGAAAGTTAATAATTCTTTTTATTGTTCAAAAACCCGATGAAAAATTCATAATGCAATACTAATCAAATAATTTAATTTGTAAATCTTTTAAGAGGAATTGTAAAAATATTAGTAATTATTTTCGAATTACTTAATTTTTTAAGATGTAAAAATTAACAATTAATAGTCATGATAAATTATAATGAAGAATAAGAAAAGAATAAATTAATATGGATTTTAGTTTCTCAACATCACCAACAAACATTAATAACTTAACACTATACCAACACCAATATTGTTAGGTCGCTATCGCACAATTAAGAAACTTTTTAATAATTTATTTTATTATAGAGAATTGTTTTATTCCTGTTTGTCTTTAAAATTTATTGTTTGGTCATATTGATTAATAAGATTTGTATCAATGCAGAAAATTAATAAATCATTTTTTTGGTTAAATAACAATTTCTAGTTTGTTGTAAACATTGCAAGCTTTTGTCATTGAGTAAGAGGAAAATATCAAAATAATAATGTGTGGGTGAAATTTTAGTTATATTATTTATCTTATAGATTAGGGTAATAGAGGTCATTTAGTGTTAGAAACATAGTGAGTTTTCAATCAATTACAAATTTTTTACTGTCCAAAAAAATATTGAAGAAACACTTAAATAATAGTGAATAAAAGAATATTTTTAAGAAAAGTATTAAGTAAAGCAAAAGATATTATTTAATCAAGACTTCAATAATCTGAATCGGTTGGAATTTTCATGCATGATTTAAGTTGTTATTTTTTTGGGGAATCCTCAAGGGTTGGGTTAAGATTATGTATTTCTTTTGTTATTTAAACTTAAGTTTTAAGTCTATCTCTGAATCTATAAATATCTTCATCTTAGTATCTCAGAAAAATAGTAGTTGTTGGGGCAAATTTTACATATTTAGAAATTTTTTAATTTCTGAAGCAGTCCGTGCTTTCAAGATCAAATTATAAATATGGTTTTTCTTCCATCAAGTCTTATATTTTAATAGGCATACTAAAGTTTATCTTAGGTCCTTTTATTTGAATCATTTATTTTGTTAACTATGATTAGAAAATATATTTTATGAAAATAAATTAGTAATTTTATTGCAAACTAAATAATAATTAAATGTTGTTTCTTTCATTCTTAGAGATGCAATGTTTTAGATCTGATTTTATCCTCTTGAATCTTGAATCTTGGGAACTTAATAATTATTTCAAAAAATATTTTAATTTTACCAATTAAACCACTACCAACTTGAGACTGTATAAGAATACAAATATGAAAATTCATTTCAATCCTTAAACATCAAATTTACTAACATTTACTTTTCTATTATTTAATTTAGATTCTATATTTTTAACAACCCTACTTAATTTAAGAAAGTAGATATCTTCAATCTTATTAAAATTGTTTATTTTTATAAACAGTTTGCAAATTTAAGTAGATTCAATCAAGGTGCATTTATTAGAAACTATGTTTTTTTAAAAATTAATATAATTTTTATGAAATTACATTTTATTTAAGAGTTTTTGAATTTTCACTTTTAAAACTTTTTTTTATAAACTCATTTAATATTCTACTCTAAGGAAAATGACTGAATCAATGACATCCCCAATATTCAAATAATAGAGGCTAAAGTTAATTGACCTTTTAACAAAATCTCAATTAGACGAAACTCTTAATGCTAAGTATATTCATTATTCTTCATTATTATATTATTTTGAATCTATTTACTTTTTTTGTCATAGAAATACATAATAAATATACAAATGTATTAGAAAAACATGATAATAAATATTGCTTTAAAGAATTAAAAACTTTAAGAAATTAATTAAATTATTTAATTTATGGACGATCCAAGGTTTGCACGTATTAAGAAAGATCCAAGATTTAAATCATTACCAAAGAAACAACTCAAAACTAAACTAAACAAAAAATTCAGTTCCATTCTAAGGGACCCAAAGTTTTCTACTAAGCCTAAATTTGACATATATGGAAATAAGAGAAAACAAGAATCAGAATTCAAGGATCATTATGAATTGGATGATCAAGAGGAAGAATAAGTAGCTCAGAATGAAGAAGATGAAGAAAGTTAAGTTGAGGATTAATCAAATGAATAAGATTAATAAGAGGACTCTTAAGAAAAATCATAAAATGAATCTGATCAAAATGAAGAAGAACTAAATTCTGAGGAAGATATTTCTATATCATCAGGAGTTGATAATTGGGAAGATGAAGAATTAGATTAAAAGAATGCTCCAATCATTTTATAAGCTACTAAGAGATTGGCATTATAAAATTATGATTGGTAATAAATGAAGGCAAAGGATTTATTCGTCCTTTTTTCTTCATTTGCACCCACAGGCTCATCTATATAGTAAGTATAAGTCTTTGTAAGCGAATATGGAAAGTAAAAATTGGATGAAGAGAATGAATTTGGACCGAGACAAATATTCAAAGATAACTATGTGTAAATATTTTAATTCAATTATTAGACCAAAAAAATAAAAAGACGAAGTCAGTGCAGTCAATGAATTGATAGTAAAAGGACATGAAGAGGATTTAGATGTAGATCCTGTAAAATTAAGACAATATGAAAAAGATAGACTTAAATACTATTATGCAGTTATTGAATGCGATTCAGCTAAAACAGCAGATTAAATCTATTAACAAATTAATGGATAGGAATTTGAATTAACTAATATCAAAATTGATTTGAGATTCATTCCTAATGATGTTGTCTTACCAAAGGAGAATCTCAAATAGGAATGTAATACATTACCATCTCATATTACATCAAACAATGTTATCAATAGAGCTGTTGGACACACAGACGTAAAACTAACTTGGGAGGATAGTAAGCCTAGAACCAATTTTTGGAATAAAAACATTAAAAATTTTAATAAAGAAGATTTTGAAGATATTGTAGGAAATTATGAAAGTGAAGATGAGGATAAGATTAAGAATGAAGTTAAAGATCTTTTAAATTAAGTTTAAGAAGATAAAAATGAAGAAGAGGAGGATTGGAGAAATTCATTTAAAAAAAGTATTAATTTTCTAATTGTTAGAATCTAAAAGCAATCTAAAAGTTACATTCCAAAGTGGATTTAATCCAAATGGTTAAAATTCGATTATTGAAAGAATGGGTTAGAAGTAAAAAAATTTCCATGTGCCAAAAGAAGGCAGAATTGATGATTTCTTTGTTGGATTCTAAGGATAAGAAGAGGATGATAATGAGGGAAGACCAAAAGAGCATTTAAAATATTTAGAGAAAAAGAAACTTAAAAAATAAGAATTAAAATAAAAGAAATTAGAATAAGCATAATTAAAATTATTAGTTGAAGATGATAAAAAGCCAAAAGTTGGATTCAATCCTCATGATAAAAGGTAGAAAATGTTGTAAATAATTTTAGATTTGAAGCCATACACACTAAGCCTGAATATGCAATCGATCCAACTAACAAATAGTTTAAATCCGCAAATAATGAATAGGAATATAGAAAAAAGCAGAAATTAATTTGATTAGTTTGTATTTATGTAGATGTAATTTGTTTTTTAATAATTTTAATATCTCTAAAAAAGATTTTATTATACTGCTATTATTATTTAATAAGGAATCTTCTTACAATAGAATAAATGAAAGATGGTTGACAGAAGAAGAGATCACAAAATTGTAATGAATGAATTGTTAATATAATAACCTTTTATAAATTTAATTTACTCAAAATTAACTAAACTATTGTATTAAAGTCTTTCTCATTGGATGAAATCCTTAAATTACAAATTCATATGATTCTTTAGAAGTCATTTTCTCTTATCTCCATTTCTACCAAACTGGTAACTCTATTAACCAATCCCTATACAAACTAAAAAGATAGTAACATGAGAATGCTATTGAAATTCCAGTTAAAACTATTAAATCAACTAATTAAATTACAATTCTTTCCGAATTAATTTTTCATTGCAGCCTATTTTCTCTTTATATAAATATCATTGGAAGGTTTGAAAAAATAATTATGGTATTGCATTTTATTTTTTAATTAAAAATATGTTGAATATATTAAGAATTTTATTGAATATTAGAAATATTGATATATAACAAAATAGAAAAGCTCAATGTTTTGAGTCTTTACAATTTATAAAATATAGAAAATGCTGTAATTAAAAACTCATATCATAAAATTTGTAAGAGTAGGAATATTAAAGCTAATTTAATATACTAATAATTATAACCTGATAGTGGTGCTGTATGATAAATGATGAAATAATTATTTATAAAACACAATAAAATTATCTAATGTCGAAATTGTTTGTCTAAAATTATGAGTGATTGTGTAATTATTTAAGAATCACAAAAAGTTAGAATTAATGGTTTAGCAACTTGATGTATTTGGAAATATTTTGAGAATAAATAAACTTTATATAATTTTGTGAGCGAGTATCTTATTGAAACAAATTAAATAATATATCATAAATGTCATCAATAACAATTCCTATGATAACATAGGCTCATCGTCTTCAAAAAGACAGCACTTTGAATTTTCGAACAAAATTGCAGAAATCAATCAGATTGTCTGAAAAATATCATTGCAATATTCATCTGAAAAGAGAAGATCAATAACAAATCAGAGTATTTAAGATGAGAGGTGCATTCAATTCATTTATGAGTTTAACCCAAGAACAGAAAACAAAAGGCTTAGTCACTGTTAGTGATGGGAATTTTGCAGAGGCTTTTGCTTTCTTTTGCAATCATTTCAAAATCAAAGGTACATCCATTATATTAAAGACTAGGAACTGTCTTTTTGCCTGAAGTGTGTTTCCAATGGAAGATAGAAATAATTTAGAAGTATGGGAAGGATTATGTTGAGATAAGAAGTGTTGGAGAATCATTTGATGAAGCTGAAGCAGCAGCCTAAGAATATATAAAATAACATGATAGAATAATGATACATCCATGTGATAATGTTAAGGCAATCATAGGAAATGCCACAATTGTATAATAAATTATATTGATTATAAAGGGCATAGAAATAATAGAAGATTTTCCAGGAGAAGTTGATTATGTTTTTGTGCCAGTTGGAGCAGGAGCATTGGCAGCTGGAATAGCAACCTATTTCAAAGCAATGTCTCCAAATACCAAAATCATAGGGGTTTAACCAGATGGAGCAGCATCTATGAAAGCATCATTTGATGCAAAAAAAGTTGTGAGAATAGAAAGTATGTCTAGATTCTGTGATGGATCAGCTGTAAAAACAGTTCCTTAAATTACATTTGATATTTGTTAACATAATCTAGATGATTTGGTAGTAGTACCTGAAGGAAGAGTTAGTTCAACTATACTTGAGTTGTATAATCAGGGTATAGCAGTGGAACCAGCAGGAGTAATATTATTGTAAAGACCTTTAGGCTTTGGCAGTCTCAGTTTTGGATCAATATGCATCAAAAATAAAAGATAAAAATGTTGTCTGTTTAATTTCAGGAGGAACAGTCGATCTTTCAAGATTTGATGAATTTAAGGAGCATTCATTATTGTTTGAAGGATTGAAATACTTCTTTTTGATTCAAATTCCATTCAGACCTGGCATTCTCAAGAGCTTTGTTAGTTTGTAAATTAATATTCTAATATTAGATGTTTGGGGCCAGATGATGAAATTAGCCATATCCAATTCTAGAAAAAAACCAATAGAGAAAGGGGACCATGTTTGGTGGCTATAGAAGTAGCTAAAAAGGAGAACATCAAAAAGGTCATGGAGAACATGACGAAAATGCATTTATAATATGAAGTTGTAAATGATTCAAAGGAATTGTTTGATTTATTGGTTTGATAAATTATAATATTAACGTATATAAAATATGTCTGTTATATTCGATTAGTTGGATGTATGCTTATTAATGAATACTTTAGAATATCTAATCACTTAGATTTAGATTTACTTAGGCAATCAAGTTGGGAGTCTCTCTATATTACATTGAAAATTGCAACTTAAAAAGACTAATAGTCACTGATAATCAAATCGCATCATATAACGAGTCTGAAGCTATAAATGTTTTATAAAACGTTTCGCAGATATGTTCTGATAGTAAAACTTTGTTTTGTTTACAGAGTATAATATTATCTCATTCTTTAAGCAAATGGTGACCTTTATTAAATTGATTAATAGCCAAAATTGCTAGTTTCTGGAAAGAACTTCATGAACATTACACCTACAACTGCTATTGATCATTCTGGAAGAGGATTTTTTTGGAAAAATAATAAACCTATCTATTCTCATTGTAAACATATCAGTACCTATCAAGATAAAATGACATTAATAACAAGTATAATTTTAATTGATTAATTAAGTTGGTGGAAAGATTTTTAACATAGAGAATAACAATCAAATTCCTATTCAATAATTAAATGGTCTGGGGGTTAATGGGTATTTTAAGAAGTCATTATTGTTCTAATTTGGTGGTATTGCTATTACAGAGAATGGCGATGCTTATTGCTATAATACTAAAATGATTAAACTAAAAACATCTAATCTAGAGGATATTTAAGCAAGTAGTAGATTTATTTTTGGAATCTAAGGAAAATATATTTTGTAATGGAATCTAGATGATTTCTAAAATCATTAATTTTTTGTTAATTAGACTTTATTTAAAAAGATGAACTATGGTCATGAATTACAAATTAATTGCAAAAAGAAAGAGTTTTAAGAGGTCAAATTTATTTTTTCAAATCAATATTCTTAATATTGTTGCGCATCCATATAATAAATCTCCAAATAGAATTAAAATGATTAATCTATTTCAGTTCTTGAAAGGACTTTCAGCAGAAGCACTGTTTAAAATTTGAAATAATAATTATTTGATTAATGGGATCCACCTTCAAAAAAGAAAGCTCAAGAAGTTAGACAAAGCAAATTTCTTCGAGGAGATAAAACAGATAGATCTGATGCTAGTAATCGATAAACTGATAGAATGGATAGAAAAGATGATGTTACTCAATAATTATAAGAATAAAAGAATAGATAATAAAATAATAATAACCCTATTGAAAAATCCACTAAATAAGATAATTTTATTTCAGAATAAGAATAAAAAAGTATACAAATTGATGCAAACTTTAACTTCAACAATATTTAAAAAAAAAAGTGTGACATCTTAGCTCCTCTTGAAATTTCAAAATTTAATTTAAAGAATAAAACATAACAATAAGAAATTTTATTATTAGAAAATAAAAATAATCAACCAAATTAAGTTGAATCAATCTAATAAAAATAATAAAATTTAATTGAAGAATTATTAATCTAATAATAATAGGAGGAGAAGAAATAAGATTTAAAAAACAAAATGAGTGAAATATAATAAAAAATAGAATAATAAGTATCAGAAGAAGAGTAAATATTAAAACAAAAATAAAAATCATAATAATAGAAGTAGTAGTAGCAATAGTAATAACAATAACAACAACAACAACAATAATAATAACAACAACAACAACAACAACAGCAACAATAATAATAATAATAATAATAATAATAATAAAGTTTAGATTAATTAGTAAATTCAATAAACTCGCCTAAACAATGTTCTGAAGAAATAAGATAATCTTCAAAATTGTTGGATTAGTACAAAAAATAATTTGATTTAATTTTACAATAAAGATACGAATAAAATATAGAGTAATAAATTGATAATAATAATAATAATTGTGAAAATCTTCAAAAGATAAAATAAATTGATTAAGATACCATTTATTCATAATAAAATATCATAAGCCAAAAATTGCAGTCAATTAGAGAAATTTATGATCAACCTAAATTTAAAACATAAAATAATAGTTTGTATACATTGGATGAGGAAAGTTCAGTTGAATAAAGCATTTGCTAAGAAGAAGAGAAAGGAAAGTATTAAAGATAAAAACTTCAAATCTATGATATTTTCGATAACTAGACAGATTGTAAGCCATAATCAAAAAATTACGAAAATTTATAATAATAGAGTTTATCCCAAGATTTTAATTTGCCTATAGCATCTCAGGAAAATACAATCTAATTGACAGAGCTATAATTGCCTCCGATTTAATCTTCATTGAATAGTTTTTTTAGTAAATTATAGTTAAAACCAGAAAAAACAATAGATTAAATTCTCAAATCATAGACTTAAAAAGAAGAAATCAATGAAAATATTCTATCTTCAAATCCAAGTGAATTAAAATCACAAGATGAAATTACGTAAACAAAAAAGATAAGGTCATTCTTAAAGCCAGAATAAATGTAAAATTAAAAATAAAAGAATGCCGTAGAGATAATGGATCAATAATCTGCTATTGATTATTAAAACAACAGTGATTTTATTGATTAATAGCATGATAGTTTTATGCAGATTTTACAAACAGAAAAAAAACAATAGGAAAGTAATAAGATTTAAAACATAATGTCAATTTTTGATTAAATATAAATATAACCAAAAAAAAGTAGTCCTTAAAAATTGAATATATTCAAAAAATAAGATTAAGAAAATAAAATAAAAAAAATTGAAATGATATCAGATTTTGATGGATAATTAGATGAAAATTTAACTGAAATAAAAAATATTTTGAAAGAAAAAAACTAACAAATAATTGAAAAAAAATAATCACCACTTAAACAAAATGTGAAGTTGTATAAAACTTTAGTTACATTTTCTCAAGATATATCACAAGAAGAAGTTGAGGATAGAGTTATGTAAGTTGTTAAAATAGACTAAAATCTATAAACTTTATCCCATAAGCATTCTCCGATAAAATAAAAATCTCCTGTTAAAGAAAATAATTTTTCATCAAGCAAAAACCATTCACTTTAATTAAGTGAATAGAAAGTCTTGACTAAGATTAACTAAAGTGCCGATGTAAGACAACCAAGTTTCGATGTTAAAATATCGCTAAATCCTCCTGATTAAAAATAGTCATCTTCTCGTGTTAGAGTTCAACCCTTAAATTGCAATGCTATTAGACCTGAAAAAATATACACTCCTCTAAGGAGCAGAAGAAATAGCACTGCAAGAGGATCAAGTGTTGAAACTAATAGATTTAAATAATTGTAAATTGAAACTTAAGTTGCAGTACCAGAAACAAAATAAAATTAAACGCCATTAATAAATAATTTTGAAGCTTTAGATTTAAGTAATGCCATGTATCACGTTGATTAAACACTTATTGAAGATACAACAAAGCGTACTCCAGTTGCTTAACCTCTTGATGTGATTAATGTCAACTAGCAATCTAATTAAAAAATACTGAAGGAACCATAACTAATAAGAGTTGCTTCTTCTTCTTAAATTCCACCTTCTCTACGAACCAACAGCGTAGGGCCAAGCAGTAAAAAAACTGAAGTCTCTCCTGTAAAAGTTTAAAAATATATGAAAAATGCACCATCTTCAAAGAGTGATAATGATGAGTCATTAAAATTGAAAAAAAGACAACAAGACATTATTTTAAGAAAGTTATTCTTTAGATTAGATATTCAAGTTAAACTTATTAAATTGGAGTTTATGTTTAATTTGAAATAGTAGAATGGAAAATGATATTTTTATTTTTTATTACTAATTGAATATACTAATGAGAGACAAGCAAAAATTTAATTAAGGCTTTATATATTTAATAATTAATATATATTATAATAAAATGTCAGACGTCGACATCGAGGACACGATTAACAGAATAAAAAATCACAAATCAGTTTAAGGCATAGTAATAGTAAATCATGAAGGGACAATTACAAGAACAACATATTTGAATGAGAAAAAAGAGGAAGGTAACTGTTATATTTGATTGTAAAATAAGGTGACACTATAGCTAAATCTATACCTATTTTGGCTTAAAAAGCAAGATCTTTGGTGCGTGACTTGGACCCAACAAATGATTTAGCATTTTTGCGGATAAAATCAAAGTAAAATGAAATCCTCATTGCACCAGACAAAGACCTTTTATTAATTGTTATTTAAGGACCTAAAAAATAAGGAGAAGATGATTAATGATGAAATATATATTTATATCATTTAAATAGGTCTGGCTAAACTAATATAATATTTAACAATAATACATAATTTCATTATAATTCGATCTGTGACATATTAGTCCCCATTACTTTTGGTCTTAATCGCACTAAACCTTCCTTTTGAAGAGATTGAAATCTTTTCCTTTTATTATGGTATTATGTATGCATTTTCTTCTTTTTGGGCAACCTCTACCTTTTCCTTGAAGTGATTTAATGTAAGATGAGAATTATGCAGATCATTTCTAGTTACTTTAGATTGGCTTTGTGATTTAACAAAGGTTCTAGACTGGTACATGATTTCACTTTCCTTATGTTCAGATTAGTATTATTGGAATTGATTTATACTTTGAACTTCTCTATCTTCTAAGGGGACAATATTTCTAATTTCTGAGGGTTCTCTAGAATTACTGCTGCAAAAAGGGAGAGTTTTAGGTAATAATTAAGATTTGATTCTGCTTCTTCTAAGTAAGGTGAGATTTGGAGGCTGGATTTCTTCTTTATTTATCACTTTGACGCTATTGATATGATTGGTAAAATTTCTCTGTTTTGTACTTTTACGATGTTCGAGTATTTTAATTTTCTTCAAATTTTATACAAAATTAAAATCATTTAGAGTTCCTGTTATATGTTTAATAGGTTTATCTATTTAGTATTTGTTATTAAAAGATTGTTATTTCACCAATTCCAGAGCACTCTCAATTGTAGCATCGGATCTCTACCTCCTATCATTATTATAAAAAGGCTTTTGTAAAGTACGAGGCAATTGAGCATAACCATCAAATTTATCTGGCTAAGGAATATAGAATTGGGGAAACTGAGATAATGATTCAATTCCACAAGGGTAATGACATGGATCTGGTTATTGAATTCTACTTTTGAATCCTAACTTGCCAGTATAATCCAAGCTAAACTTTTTAATAAAATCCCCTGTTTTTGTAATCTCTTATGTTGCCCCATTCACATTATTGATCAGAAAAAATTTGCCAGTTTCATAATCTTTACTATGAATAGAATTACTAAAACATACCGAATCAGATGGGAAGCCATTTACAAAAAAATTAAAATATAAAATCAATATTCACTATTGCGTTCAGATACATAATCTCTTCTAAATACAGAGAAGGCAAGATCACTATTAACTTCTAAAAAGTCTTTCTTAGTCTACAATATCTCTTATTCTTTTTTCTCTTTATCTTATTTAATTTTCCTTTAATTTTCAGATAAAAAGTCATTCTTGTCAGTTACAATCTGAATCGCAGGAGATCTTATTTATTGTGATGTCTCTTCTAAAAATTCTAATTATTATTCTCTTTTCTTGAGAGTCTCAACAAAATCAACCAAACGGTCCTTCTCTTCTTTTCCTTTCCCATAATATGTACACATAATCACTTAGATATCCTCTCTCACTCTTTTAATTTTCTCTAAATCCATTCTCTCTTTTATCATTTATATTTCCCTTATCTTATCTTGAAGTTTATTTAACTCAAGTGAACTTTTACTAATAGCCAAGCCTTAATCACTAAAAGGTAAATTCTTGGCATGACCCAAATAGTGCTTCAAACCTAAAGATTCGGCCTACTCCTTTGGTATCAAATATTTTGTCTTCTTTATCATATTATCTTTGTCATTCACTTGAACCTTGATAATGGTAGGCAATTAAAATCCAGCCTATTAATGCTGTTAAAGTGATCTAGTCGTCTTCCCTCTTTTCAAAAAGTATTTATCATCTTGAACACTTGACAATGTAAATTCCTAAAAGAACTTTAGTTGATCTGTATCGAATTGTTTGAGTTTATCAAAGAATTTATTATGAAATCTCATTTACACCTTAGCTTCCTTCTAGGCATAATCTTTAAAAATTAATGATTCTATTACTTTAACTCATAAATTTGGAAACTTCTGCTTCAATTTATTAAGAATTTAGTATTGTTCTCTTATTCTTTAAATACTAATTCCTTAATGAATCTATTTTATTATAAACATGAAAACAAAACTAACAAACAGTTTCTTATTTATAGAAATTGGATATCTTTAAATGCTTAAAAAAAGCACTATTTGTAATATCTCCCAATGAATAATCTATAAATTATAATATAAATTACATATCCTTAATTTGAATATCAATTATTCAGTTGGTGGCTTATTAAGATAGGGTTCTAACATTTTAATGGTTTTAAATCTCTCAATCATATCTAGAAATATAGATTTATAAGTAATTTTCTTATGTGTTTCTTTCTCTCCTGCCATTATGAATAACGAAAATTGTTCATCAAATTCATCATAAAAAATGTTATTGGTCGCATAATGGCAATACAAACCAGCACATTTATCGAAGTTATGAACCTACTGTTTCACAGGATATAAGGTAGCTATTTCTACTGGTTCTCCATCAGAATGAAATTGAATATTGTCTAAACCTGTCAAATATATTTATAGATCTCCTTCAGTCATAAAAAACTCTACTTGTAGAAGTTAAATGGATCTTTAGAGTCTCCCTTCTAAAAATCTTAGCAAACTAAAAGCAAAATGTTCACATTTCACATTTTATTGTGCTGCCAAAGATTTGTCATATTCTTCTTTTAGATAGACAGGTTTTTTGACTATATTTTCTTGTTTAGAGAATTCTTCCTTTTATAAGGGAGTTTAGGCAAATCTCTTTCTATTAACTCTAAATTTAGGTTGATCATCAATTTATTCTTTAGAAACTGTTACTTAAAATATGTGTTTAGGTGATTTTGTTACTCCACAACCAATAATCTTGGTCCAATTAGTAATGATTTCTGATTTCTCATTAGGATTTTTAAAAAGTTCATTTGCTACTTCTTATGAAACTGCCCTATAAATACGTCCTATTAGAATTGATGATTTTATGTTACCTTATGGTAATTTCTATTCGAAATGGAATATGTAACATTTGCATGTAATTTTTAATTCCTCACATTTGCATGGGGTTTGTAATTGTACTTAATCCAAGTTGTCGGACTAAATATACTCACCTAATCTATTGACATTCTTGGCTCTACAATAGGTTCCAAAAACTCTCCATTTTAGCCACTCATCATCATGTGTCTTAATGCAGTGCTTTCGAAATTTATCATTATGATTACTTTATCATCCGTGTAGAACCATTATTTTGGTTCTCCTTATTTCAAGATAATTGTGTCAAATATTTTAAAACCGACTGAGTACATAGTTTCAAAGATGGAGGAATACTAACAATAGAATTTATTGATATACAGGCTGTAACATTTAAATTAGCCAAGGAGTGAAATCTTCTTATTACATTTTTTTAATATGTAAAATAATAAACAAAGTGTAAGACACATTATTTACGGATCGACTTCCTATCCTCGTCCAAGAGCAACTCGTTTCCTAGAATCCTAACTTACTGCTAGTTTGTTATTACAGAAATTACTCTACTTCAATGCATATTTCTCCTTATTGTTCCTGTATGTCACTTTAGGTATTAATATACAAAGAGTAAAATTTACGCTTTCATCATATTTAGCTTTGGATAGTCAAATCAAATTTGATGGATACGTTGAATTTAGTATTGTTGCTCATATGGGCTGTGCTAGAAGGGTTTCGCCTGTCAAATGGATATAGCGGGAATATTAAAGAATAGGTATTAACTGTCAATTAGCTTAAGTTTCCAGAATTATTTTCATTTGTGCTCATTACCATTGTATCTCTTGCTCTTTAAGTGATGCAGTATATTATTCCAACTTTGAATTATCCAATGTAATTAGGATTAGTAATCATTCAAACAGTTTTATACTTTTGTGAAATCATGATTGCCATATCATCACTGTGCACTTAAAATAAATCATAGTTGGCCTTAATGAGTTTGAGAGTCCCAAAATCTGAGAATGATTATTAAATTAAGAAACGTATTGAAGTAATATGGATGTGTGAACATCTAGGATTTGAGGATTAAATAAGAAGAGAAGTAACGTTTAGTGGAGCAGGAGCAAGAAAGGTTGACCTATCAAAATAATTATTGAAATATTAATTCAAAGCTTTTAATATAAACTCATTTTCTTAATAAGCATTCTTTCTCTATCACTCTATTAATCGATAATTTACTTTTGTTCAAGCTAATTTTATAGAAAGATAATTTTACTAATTTCTTTTAATAATCTCTGTTAATTTTTAATCAATTCTATATTATAACTATTAGATTTTTTGTTTGAATGACATTTCCATAGAAGAATATTCCTCCTTTAAGGCAGCTTCATATGATTATTCAAATTCCTCTGTAGTTTTGTATTTAGCCACAAACCTTTTATACAAGTCATCCTATAATATAGATAAGTTATCTCACTTTCTGACTCTTCATGTTATCAATCTTTTTATTTAATTCGATGATTTCATTGCTCGCATTTGTAAACTTTTATTGCACTTCACTTAATTTCAATCCAAGCTATAAATTGTCCTATTTAATTATTCAATTAATGTTTACATCTCTTAACATAGTTACGAGGTTTTGGTAACTATCTTTGACTTCGTCAATTACTTTGTTATAATAGGATGCAGGATTAGGAGGCAATTCTACAGTGATATGACTCAATTGACTTTGACTTAAAGTAGTTGAATTTGATAGTTAATCCTATAGTTTTTTGCATTGGTTTTACAAGGATTTGATTTCAGTCAATAGTTTAATGTTCTCATCTTTTAAATCGTACAACTTTTTTTGTAAAATACTCTCTCCATTTGATTGACTCAGATCCCCCTTCTTCTAAACTAAATATTCAATTATCTCTAAATTCAATAGACTCATCAAGAACCTATTTGGTAATATCCCTTGAGATGCTATTTTTTAGAAGTAGTTTGATTAGAAGTTAGAAAAACATTATTCGTATTATAAGTAATGAATACATTGAAGTTCTGTTATTTTATTGACGTAGAAGTCAAAATTTTAGATCATATTGTACAATTTAACAACAGCCTCATTGGCATCAGAACAATTGCAAATTTGAATAACTCTTTGAGGATCCAAACATTTATCATTCATTTTTATATTTGAAATCCATTGTTTTATTTTTTAGGTGTGAGTTGAACTCAATCTAGATTACTGAATGCCTAATTTATTGAGTTTTGAGATTTCATCTTCAATATTTAATAGGTCCATCTTAAGCGAGGTTGAGTAGGCTTGTTCACTCATTTCAAATGGAATTATACTCACTATTTATTCCTAATAAGCACTCTATGGACGAAAGGAGTGAGATGATCTTAATTTAAGAGTCTTAAAGCCTGTTCCAGTTTTATTCATTTATAACATTATATTAAAATGATCAAAAAGTATTTTAGCTTTGATTTTCAGGTTTTTGGAAAAGTACAAGGTAATTAAGATCTTGAATCTAAAATAGGAGTATACTTTAGAAAATTTACAAAAGAGCAAGGAACTAATTTGGGATTGGTAGGATGGGTTGAGAATCAATAAGATGGGTCAGTCAAGGGAGTTGCTTAAGGTGATCATAAGAAGTGTGAAGAAATGTAAAATATTTAGCGATTCTTAACTTTCTTAGGATCCATTGGTTAACGAATGTGGGATCTCCAAAAAGCAAGTATTTTGAATTGTTAATTTTAATTATAGAATTGAGAAGATGATTAAAACAAATGAGAGAGAAATCGATAAATTATAATATAAAGATTTCTAGGTGAGGGATGATAAAAAATAGAAGTGATTTTATAATATAATATTTATGCCAAAATAAAACTTAAGCAACTACATCAAGTTTTTTAACCAAATAAATGATCTAGAGTAGAGAGGATTTATTACATCTAAATAAAAGCATTTATTGAAGGTGAATCTGACCACCAAAGAGTATCAATTGAATAATCTTATTTGCGCCATCTATGATGAATAAGATTACTAAAGTGCCATTCTTTAATATTTACAAACTATTGAACCATAACCGAAGATAAGGTACCAATCTTCAGGGGAAAATGACAGTCCCATAAGATAAAGAAGGAGAGGAAACTCACTCTCAAGGGTTTCGTAATTTAATGAGTCTAAATTAATAGCATAGTTAGATGAACTGAATGATCAACTAATGACTCTCTGGCAATCCGATTCATAATTTGTAATCATTCTACCTTATATATAAAGTACTTAAACCAAGAAATCAATGAAAAGCTCAGGAAAGTAGGAGAATTTATAACCAAAACAGCAACATCAACTCCCAGCAATTCGTAGAAATAGGTAACAAACATAACTGATTCCAATTAAGTGATTGAGAATCTTTCATAACTATATAAGGATATGAAAGTAATTTTATTTATTCTTATTCCAGTAACATTTTAATGACTATTTGAGATGCCATCTCCTTTTAATGGATGATAAATTATCTACCGAACATTTAAATAATGTTTTAAGGGCTTTTATGAAAAATTTGGTAGATGCTGATGAAATATCATTTATATTTAACAATGAAGTTTACAGCTCGGAAGATGGGTAATTTAATGAAATAAATTTAACTGATCAGTAGAAATTAGAAATTCAATCTATTCTAGAGGGTAATGTTATTGAAATTTCAGAAACATACCCAGAAATAGCTTCATTATTTTAAACTAATAAATTCAAAAGAAATTATGTACTAAAAATACAGAATTCCACTTGTTTATTTTGCTTTCATTCCAAAGGAGAACACAAAATTATTATTGAATCTTTTCTGTCCCTTTGCAATGAATACCAGTTTTTTGAAGAAGTCAACCAATTGGCCTAATTTCTACTTGAAACCCTAAAACAAGCCAGAGTTCAATGTTTTAATCCATTACAACTGTCTCATATGATTCAAGACATAGGAATAGCTTTTATCAGATGTTCTAAATATTTCTTTATTCATAAATCGATTTCCATCTTGAGTGAAAGATACAAAGTCTGCAAGGACAATACATCTTTTATAAGTATGCATCCATTTGTTGAATTCGATTTTAGAGATTCCTTAAACTTAAGCATTCATATATGCTTTGATTTAAATAAAAAGGAAGATATGAATGTTTATAAATAACTCAATTTGAGTTTCAATAAATATCTGAAGTTCATTAAGCAATGCTACGATAGAACAACATTCTACAAATTTTTTGTGAAATCTCAAGATTCATTGATATTTGAGTTTGATAAGCAAGGATAAATTACATTTGTCTCATAACCAATTACCAGTAAATTGGCAGAAGAATTCAACATTAATTTTAACCCTTAATTTTATAATGCGTCCTACACAAGCATATTCAAGAATAAGAGTCTGATTCAGCATATTGAGAATCAATTACAGGATCAAAATAAATGGAAATTAACAGATAGTAATGCAACCTATGAAGTGTTTATGAAAATGGAGGAGAAGTATTTTAAAGGCTTTTTTGTGATATTTTAATAAGGGTGGTTCAGATATAACTAGAAATCACTTGATGCAAATTAGTGGTAAAAACTAAGAAAGAGTTTTCTTTAATAAGAAACTAGACAATATTTGGATAAGTTAGAATAAAAACATCCATAACTAAAGAATTCTGTAGTGTAAATGTTTAAACCCAAGGCAACTCAGAAATAATCTTAATTCAAAAATTTCAGTCCAAGTTTTAGTCCTAGACATCTAGATTAAAGAAATTCGCTTTAAGAAAGTGAGAGCATTCGTTTGATTCCAAAAACTAAAGGGATTAATCATTTTTATCCAGATACAATCACAGAGACTTGTATTGAGAATATAGATAACTTTGAATTTAATATACTCCCTTATAGTGCGGATTGGTTAGAGAAATAGAAAGTGGTATTTTCAATATTGAGAAGGAATAATTTCATTGAAGACTACAAGATAAGTGAGGATGCCTTATGCAGTTTCTTATGTGCATTGGAATATAAATATAATAAGAGAGGCAATTAATTTCATAATTATGATCATGGAGTAACAGTTATGTAATGTACACATGCTATCAGTTTGGAAATAATGAAGACCTAATATGCACATTTATTGAATCAATTCACGAGATTTGCATTGATTCTCTCTGGACTGTGTCACGATGTATCTCATACAGGAAGAACAAACATTTTTGAGATCAATAGCTTATCCAATTTGGCTATTAGATATCATGATAGAAGTGTGTTAGAATAACATCATGCAGCCACTTCAATAAAATTGTTATGTGCTCCTGCAACAAACATTATCCCTAATTTTACATCATCTGAATTCAGAGAGTTTCGTAAACTCTTCATTTCTAATATTCTATATACAGATATAACAGAGCATTTCAATTTAATGAAAAACTTTGAGGCCAGAATGAAGGAACTGAACTTTGGAACTGAAGATGACATCAAATTAATGACAGGTATGATTATTCATACATCTGACTTCACTGGAGGAGCCAAACCATTTAAATTGAGTAGGGAATGGAGTACAAGAGTGAATATGGAATTCTAGGAATAATACAGTTTGGAAGGCAAATTTGGATATCCCCAACTGCCGTACATGAAGGATTTAGATTAAGTATGATAAATGATAATCTTAGTTACCTATTATGGCCAAATCGGAAGTTGGGTTTTTCAAATTCATAGTACGACCTCTTTGGTCCATTATGTCCAAGTTTGCTGAAGACAGGTTGCAATAGAGTGTTGATAATCTTGAACAAACTATTGTGGAATGGGAGAAACTAATGATAAATTGATAAAATGTATTAATTTATAAGAATTATTCTTATATATTGGGATTTTAAATATTTATGTTATTATTATTTATCATATATTTCATAGCAAGACCAGCTTCTGGAATGAAGACTTCTAAGATACTCTTCAATTCAGCATCATCTTATTTGCTCAATTCACCAGTACTAAAGAATTACTATGTTAAATACCTTCTAATTCTTTCCAACATAGCTGGGTAATTTGTTCTGAGATGAGTGAGGAATTTCTCTTCAAATTTAGCGATTTCTGAAGTTTATACTTTATCCAAAAATCCTCTGACACCAGCATAGATGACACAAACTTATTCTTCAGCACACATTGGGACCTAAAATATGATTGCCATAATAACATACGTATTATTTTTATTTAAGTAATTCAGTTAATTAGGCACCTCTGTTTAATAATTATTATGTGGCAGCATCCAAATCTGAACCAAATTAAGCAAATGCAGCGACTTCTCTGTATTAAGCCAATTCTAACTTGAGTCTACCAGCAACTGTCTTCATGGCTTTGATTTAAGCAGCTGAACCCACTCTTGACACAGACAAACCGACGTTGATAGCTGGTCTAATACCCTAAAATAAATATAGAATTTATAGATATACCTTGAAGAACAATTCTGTTTCCAAGAAAATTTATCCATCAGTAATAGAAATAACGTTGGTTGGAATATAGGCTGAGACATCACCAGCTTATGTTTCAATAACTGGCAAGGCAGTTAATGATCCATTTCCATTTTCAGCATTGAGTTTAGCTGCTCTTTCCAACAATCTGGAGTGCAAATAAAAGACATCACCTGGATAGGCTTCTCTGCCTGGTGGTCTTCTCAACAACAATGACATTTATCTATAAGCAACGGCTTATTTAGAAAGATCGTCATAAATAATAAGAGCATGCATTCCATTGTCTCTGAAATATTCTCCGATAGCACATCCAGAATATGGTGCTAAATATTAAAGTGGAGCAGCTTCTGAGGCTGTGGCTGCAACCACGATTGTGTATTTCATAGCACCAAGCTTATGTAAGAATCTTAACCAAGTTAGCAACGGTTGATCTCTTTTAACCAATAGCAACGTAAATGCAATATAATTATTTATTCTTGTCACCAGAGTCAAAGTTTGGCTTTTAGTTGATGATTGTATCAATAGCAATAGCTGTCTTTCCTGTTTATCTATCGCCAATAATCAATTCTCTTTGTCCTCTTCCAATTGGAACCAAACAATCAACAGCCTTCAATCCTGTCTACATTGGCTCATGGACACTCTTTCTTGGAATAATTCCTGGTGCTTTCAATTCAACTCTTCTTCTTGTGTTTGTTTTGACAGGACCATGTCCATCGATTGGGTTACCAAGAGCATCAAATACTCTACCCAACATTTCCATACCAATTGGGACATCGACAATTGCTCCTGTTCTTTTGACAATATCTCCTTCTTAGATTTCTCTAGAATTTATGAGTTTTAATCATATACCTGTCATTACCCAAAACGACGATACCCACATTATCAGTTTCCAAATTCAAAGCCATACCTCTTACTCCTGAACTGAATTCAACCATTTCTCCTGCTTAAACTTATGTCAAACCAAAAACTCTGGCAATACCATCACCAATGGAGATGACTGTACCGTATTCTTTTATGTCATTCTAGATTATCACTATATTTCCTTACCAATTGGGAAATATTTTTAATTTTGTCTTCTAACACACTTGAGGCTTCTCCAATACCCAATTTCTTTGAGAATCCCATTGATGGCAAGTACCAAAGTGACTTTCTCAATACGGATGTGTACCCTCGTATCATAATTAATTTATTTAAATTAAATCTTTAAATCAAGAGCATAAATAGTTAATATATCAATCCTACTTCCCTTCTCTCTAATCATAATGCACCAATATCTTAATTTGTGGAACCTAAAAGTTCATATACGCTTAGGTTTTCTCTTCCGGACTCATCTGGTCTCCATTGTTCAGTGATTGTTGTCTCCATTTCGTATATTGTTTAGTCAATTCCGAAAACTCATTTAAGGCCACTTTCAAAATATTTATACTTGTTATCTGACAAGATGATAGTTCTTTTTCTAGTAGGATTTCTATATTCATTTCTTCTCTCAAAAACCATCTATTTCTCCGACGGAATTTCTTCCTTATCATCCTATTTCTACTCCTAAATAATTATATTCTGACTCCCCTAATGATACTGATTCTTCTGAGCCAGTTTCTCCTTCAGATTCTATAGAACACTTAGATCTTAATGAATCTGAAACTATTTCAATTGAATCTTGACCTACTCTATATTCATCATAAATCTTGTGTATTTTAAGTAAATGTAATCTGCCTAGATATTATTTAGAGATTAATACAATCAATTATTTCTCCTCCTTCCGGTTCTCATAAAAACTGAAATTCTTTCTCGGCTTCGATGCTATCAAATACTGCTACTCGAATAATTCTTCATCCATAACTGAAATCTTATTGTTCCTATATTGATGGCAGATCCGATAAAGCAAGAAACTCATAAAAACTGTCCTCACACTCTTTGACCAATGCAGAAACAACTCAAAACTCAATGGCTCAAATAATAAATCGATCACTGCTTTTCGGAACTCTATCGGAAATTTCAAAAAATTAGTGTAAATTAACTCCAAAACTGTAGCGATTGCTATTGCATGTTCTGATTATGTTAAGACAATTCTTATCCCATTTAAAAAGAACGGGTAATCGAAAACTGTTAATGTTTCTGGACATTAATTTATTATTAAACTCAATAAATCAAAAACCTAAATAACCTAATCAGATTAATACAATCTAATAATAATTATGGATCTTACTTTGTTTTATTAAATAATATCATTACGATAATGTTTATTATATTGTTATTCCGAGACACAGCCATTACACAATCAAAAAACGATATTGTGTACTATTCTTTTAATTTCAATTCACAAAGAAAGGATTTCAATAACAACTTGTATCCTGGCACATGCTACCATTGGATGTTGTTCTTTTACAATATATATTGTATGTAAGCACAGAAGTCCATTATAAAATACTGATAAATTAAACTCCTTTTGCTAAAAGTTTACATCCATTAATCATCACTCGTGCTTTAGCTAAATTAGTATTATGATTGATAGGAAAGATAGTTGTAAAAGTATGTCTGCCAATCAAATATCATAGCCACTTATTCATTAACAAATACATCTTACTCCTCTAATTAAAATTCATTCCCTCTCCACTCTACTAATTAAGGATCATTGGACTTAGTTATACACTTCAACAATTAGTCCTTAAAGTGAGGGATCCTTATAAATGCTAAAACAAGAAATCTCATTGTGAACTTTCTCTCATTTTACTACTGAGTTTTCAAAGGAACCTTAAGAAGTACCCAATTTAAAGTTTGGAGCATAAATTCCGAATAATGGAGATTAACTTAATTCTTTAACTCCAATTACTTCTTTGATAATTATTTGCATTCTTCAAAGTACCCTAAAGAATGCAACCTAAATTCACCTCTAGTGATTATTACTAATAAAATCTCATAGCAAACTTCTCTTAGATTATCATCCAATTTATCAATGTACTTAGTTATTTATTCTGCAATCTTAGTAAAATATTCTTAGGCTTTAAATAGGTCCTCTTGGTTTTTATAATAAAATAATTTAGAATTGGTATCTTTGTCTGCCTTTTAAACTTCATCTAATAGTTGCTAACTAATAGTTAGTGCTTGACGTTAGAGTATAGTTCTTTGTTGATCATTGTGACTTAATGATTGCATCTTAAACATCGATTCATATAACTTCTAAAAGATATTAGTTATTTCTGCTATCTAAGCAACTGATTTAGAACTACAAATATTGACACCTAACGTACACCCATTCTCAGTTCTAATGCCCACCAATTTCTATTTAAGAAATCTGGGTAGTTTTACGTTGAACTTACATTTAATAGTACCTACTTTATTACCCTTACACCATAGGCTTTTGGTTACAGTAGTTTTGAATTGCTGATGCATTTTAAAATCCTCTTGATCATCCTCTTATGTTAGTTTATGCAATGCAATAAAGGTCTCAGCAAAAAGATTCTATTCGATGATTACTTCTTTTTCGCATTTTTCTTTGATTGACTTGATTGAGCAAATTTCAGGAGATTGAAATTCATTTTCTTTATTTATACTCCAAATGCAAACTTACAATGCACTATTATACAATTCATTTGATGGCAACTCAATACTAAAAATAGGTAATTCGGAGGAACTATTCCAAGTAGTTCTAAACATCATTTCTTAGAGGAAATTGTTAAGGGACGAATTAAATCCTTTCAGATATGCTGGATTATAAAAGCTATCAGAATTTGGCGACGTAAAGTACATTTTCCGTGTAACTAATCTTAAGTTAAAGACGTAGGCTTTGTCCTTTATGCTCTCAACATAACTACAATCTATTTCAATAGGATTAATATCGATCTACAATATCTAGGCCATTTGCATATCAAAAGTTAGCCTACCTTTTCCAATTGAGTAATCAAAATGAATAGGCCCACTTATAATATCGAAAATGGGAATCTCCAAATTTGCAATCACATTCTTCTCTTCAAATAGGTAAAATTCCAGTTTCTTCTCGTGTAACTCGATTATGCTAGCTTAAATTTATGTTTCCACAATTTTCTTCCACTAAGGTTAGTTAATTATTTACAGCATGCTTACCATCTAAATCTATATGGTTTGGCGTTTCGATTAATATATCTCCAGCCAATTTAATGCTCAAATGACAAGACTTAGTCGGATATTGTAAACGAAGATTTTCGAATAGAATATTAAACTTCATTGGCTCAGGATTTATGAATGAGCATCCATATCTATGAAGTCCTTCTGGCGACTTCGCAAATTAATGATGTTAATGCTAATGCCCACATACACCTCCCATTATTATTTTTAATATAATAATATGTCTTGGTACAAATAATTAGGAAACTCAGTAAAAGAAATGAGATTCGTCTTCTGTTAAACATGTGGAAGATCAGAAGGCATAAGGTATTCATGCAAAATCAAAACGTAGAAATCTTGTATCCAAAAATTATTGGCAATGGAAGGATGCGAACCCTCACTTCCCATTTGTTGTTAGAGAGTGTGAATCTATTGACCCATACATCCTCATCAGATACAGTACAATTTATATACTATAAAGAATACGGTGTTGAAAAGAAAGCCTTGATCGGAAATCTTAATGAATCGGAATTGGAATAAGTGATTGGACAATTGGTTGCGCAATCCAATAAAGTGAATTCAACTATCTGATTAGCAATATCATAATCAATATAATCAAAAATACAAAATTAAACTATCTTATCTATTTGCATTTTTATTTCTTTTTACAGATGTCTCCCTTCTTTGCTTGGCTATCCAACCTTATTATATTGATAATCAAAGAGATAGTAAATTAATTAAATAGATAACATCATATTTTTATTAATTTCGGCTATTTTCAAAAAAGGTTCTTCCTAAAATAGACTTGACACTCTTATAACTGAAATAAAACTTAAATAAATTTATGATAAATAAACATTGTTTCAACAACACATTTTGTATTTCTTTTTTCCAACTTTTTTCCCACAATTTGGACAGAAGTGGATTATATCTTAACATTCTTCAAAGCAAAATGGCAAAAAGAAGAGAGGTAAAAAAAAGAGAAACAGTAACCAACAAGCGAGCCAAGTATGACAACCGCTTTTATGTTTAATAAATGTCTGAACAGGTTTTTGACAATAAGGGCAATTGATATCAGCAGGAAATTAACATCCATCTGCATTTGCTCTTCTTACTTATTATACAATAATTGGCTATATAATAACAGGTCCATCTAAAATCATTTAATTTTATACTGATAAATGGTTATTGCTATTGAACGGGAGCGTATTACTAATTTACCGGATATCCGAGCGGAACTCCTTAACCCTGATTTAAGGGTTACTATTGCTGATAAGCTTATTAATCTTAAGGTTAATTATAACCATCCGTTTAAGCAGGATAGTTATATGCTACTACATTAGGCTGCATTTTGTTAAACTTAATAATTATCAAACCTTATTATATTTTAATTATAAAGACTGAATTCTATATAATTTTATAGAATCCCTATTTCAATAAGCTGAGAATATTTTATTCTTATAATTAGAGATTTTGCATAATAGGTTGTTTTTGAATAATTTTGAACCATTTTTTTATCTTCAATGTGTTTGCATTTTATTTTAATTGGATGGCGAATAATTTTTTAAGGAATATAGCAACTTTATAATCCTTGAATTTTTAATATTAAATGATAAATAGATAGATTCAACATAATTCAAAAATTTTAGATCCAACAATTTTGTTACAACCCGAACATAGGTGAATTTTATTTTTACACTTATTTAAGCAGCAAGGCAACCAAAATAATGGGAAAAATAAAAGAAAAAGTATGATCGATACCTAAATTGTTCCCTTTCCTATCTAATTTTTAACTATTGTGAATCCAATCTTTTTACAAGAAAAGCATTGTATATTAACTGAATTGCTGGCTCCTTCAGCGGACTCTAAGTTGAAAATAAGAAAGTTAGGATTAATAGCATGAAGTTCAACTTCTCGTTAATTAATTTATTAAGTCATTATTAATTATTTTTTAGAGTGTTTATATATTTTCTTTTTTTGAATTATTATTCTATTTATTTATTAAAAGTCTAAAATAGGCTTATCCTTTAAAGATAAAGAATCCTTAAAACTTTAATCATTGATTCTCATAATTAGATGATTGAAATGATGATAATAATTATATATGTATATTTATCATTTTTTAGTGCTATTTTGTAGTAACATTTCAAGATTGTCATTTTGTTCAACTAAATTTTACATTCTAATTGGTATAATTATATGTTTACTCTTCTTCCAATAATGCTATTTGATTCTCTCTTTCAATTTATTATTAAACTACTGTGTTCAAGTAATCATTTTCCTCTATCAATGATTTAATCTTCTCTTCAAGTGCTTCAACCTATTCTCCTTGTGGCTCTAAGAACTTGTCTGCTGACTAGAGTTTTTGCTATAACTATTCATATTTGCTTTTCCAATTTTACACTTCTTTCTGGCTTTATTGAGTCTACTATATAAACTAAATAATACCATAGAAACAAGCTTATTCTTCTCATTTGTTAATTGCTATAATTATTCTTTTTTTGGGTTACTATCTTATTATGCTATTAAAGCGTTTAATCGTTCATTTTCAGAAATCAAACCATGAACTTTCTCTTCCAAATCAGTAACTAAATATTGAATTTATTGTTCTTCTGCCTAATTCTTTTCCTAATATTGTTATTCTAGCTCCTTATATTTTTTCATTTGCTCAGATAATTGCTTTTAGGCCTCGTTAATTTATTTTTATAGGAAGTCTAATTGTTGGCTGTTATATGAAATCTATTTATTAAGCTCTTATATTTCTCCTTAAGGTTAATCCTAAGCCTTCTATAATAATCTAAAATATCTAAATAATAATAAATACTCCATATTCAGATTTTATAGTTAGTCATTTTGTTAGATTAGTGTTTTAATTTTACTTTCCATTTCATTCAAAAATTAAGTATTATATGTTTTTTTCTCTTACTCCAATTTTTTTAATTTAGCAGTCAACAATGAATGTCTTTCTTTTTCCTTGGCTAATTCTTCAACAATTTGTTAAGCATTAGTAGGTTAAGAAATAGCAGGACCCATTCCAGATCCTCCAACTTTCTAAATCTAAGGAGACTTATTTTATTGTAATTATTGTTGTTATAATTTTGCTAAATTCGTTGTTTCATTAAGCAATTGGCTCTTTGGCATAGGTGAATACATCAATTACTGGTTAATTTGTTCTGGAGCTTGCTTTTGATCTAAACTTTAAATAATATGAATACTCATGAATTTCATTTGATCCTTCATTGGTGTGGCTTATCTTTAAGAGTAATCATTTTAGGTCTTATTAATACCTCCATTACTTATATATTAACTAGTTTTGGTTGTTTGCTAATTTCTAAGAAATTAATTGTATTAATTACTGAATATTAGTCAATGGAGCTGCATTTCTATTTTAGGCTTAGACAGGATCTGCTGATTGCATTCTACCTGGTGCCCCAACTTACTTTTATTATAGTAACTATTATTGGTTTTATGAGTAAGTAGATATCTATCTTTCATTACCATTGGCTTTTTAAGGTTAAGCATACTTGTTTTCTTCTTGGTTTTCATTTGGTTTGTTTTAATTAGTTTATTGGGCTTATTGTTATTGTTATTGTTATTGTTATTGTTATTGTTATTGTTATTGTTATTGTTATTGTTATTGTTATTGTTATTGTTATTGTTATTGTTATTGTTATTATTATTTATAGAATAATTGATTGAATTCTTTGGCTGTGAATTAAACATTCTAGTACCTTGGGTCTGTCTTTTATTGAGGTTATTATTATTATTATGACTGTTAATATTATTATTATTATTGCATATTTGGATATTATTATTTTTAAGGATAGTTCTAGTAATTTTGTGATTGCTATTATTGGTGCTACTGAGGCTATTGATAGTTTTTAGAGTCCTATTATTGTGGAATCATTTATCTGCCATAATATTATTGTTATCCAAAGGTTTCTTGGAAGCACCCTTAATTAGACATTTATTTTTGTTATTTTGGAGGCATCTATTGGTATTTAGGCTATGGATATCCGTTAACATCATAATTGAGTGGCTGATTTTGAAATTTAATCATTAACGATATTTATTTATTATTAATTATTTTATGCTATCACAAAGGGTAATAATATAGTAATGTAATAAAGCAAAGAATTTATGAATGGTATCTATATAAATTCTTGAATAAATTACTTAATAAAACAGACTGGGATGGAACATAAGATTAAAGTATGATAAGTCACTAAAATAATGTATTATTTGATTTATATTAATCAATAAACCATAGGTAAATATTTGTAAACTCTTTCAATGATGGCTGGAATGTCTGCTCCTTACACTTCATCAACCAATCTGCCGTCTTAATAGAAGACAAACCTTGGCTTACTGGTTGGCTCTCTGTCTAAAAGAAGATTAGAGTATGATGTTACTAAATTTATCATGTTTGTATGTAACGATTTTACTATAACCTAGAGTGTAGATATCCACTCTTTTTTCAAAGTCATCGATACTTGTCTATAAGGTTTTGTAAGTTGGATGCATCATTTCACATGGACCACACCAATCTGGGTGAACATCAAGCAAGACCAACTTTTTATTTTCAGAACTTATAAGATTAAGAAACATTTCTTCATCCTTAATGACACTCACGACTTATTGAGTTTTGGGAGGCATATATTAATAAATATATTATTTTTAATATTAATTTAAGTTACATAATGTATTTTTATTAATCTTGTAAGTCATACTTTTTCACAAACAATAATAAATTTGGATCCTTTATTTCTTTCCACCTTCTATCCCTCTTCAGTAGAATTCCAAATAAGTTTTGCAGCTGAATCTTATTCAACATCTTAAACCCGTTTAAACTAAACATAATTCTTTCATAAATACCATCTTATGCTTTTCAAGATGTTAAACATGCCAATTATGCAACTCCTCAACATCAGTAATACAGTATATTCTTCCGCTTGGTTTCAATAGATAAGCATACTCAGAGAGTAGCCCTGGATTGACGATTCTTCTTCTAAAATTTTTCTTTTTGAAATGAGGATCAGGAAAGCAAATAAAGATTTTTTCTAAACTATTTTTTCTAAAGTATTGAGGTAAATGTCTCATAGTATTAGTACGAATCACTGAAACATCGTGAGCTTAGCCCTCATCTCTTAAGGCTCTTATTTTTTCCCCCACAAAGTTCACTACTTTGCCTCTGATTTCCATGCCGAAAGTATACTTATCTGGATAATTTTCACTCAAGGCAAAGCACAATCCTCCAAATCCGCATCCACTTATTTATAATGTAGTAAACTTACATATCAAGAAAATCCACAATTGACTCTGAGTATTCTGGTTTCACTTAGTCATCGTAAGTAATTGGATATTCTAAGGTGTTGAGGTATAGCTTCAATGGATCCTTTCCAAACTTCTTAGGGTAATGCGATGACCAATCAACTTAATTGTAATTGAGAGGATAAGGGAACAAGGTTTCATTTAATGGATTGACATGAGCATGCATTCTAAAATCTGCCTTCTTTGGCTTTTAAATCTTGACTTTTTTTTCTATTTGTTCAATCTAATTATCTTTATTGTTTTCTATAGTTGTGTTCATAATTATTTATTTATTATGAAAATGTCTTTTTAAATAATAAATTTTTTGTTTGTTAATGAATAGCTTAGATCAATCACTACAATCGGAATTTTAAGAGTTCAGATCCTAATTCTAACAATAAGAGAAGGTTATTAACAACCCTGAATCCTTGTCGTTTTAATATAAGGTTTAAGGCCAATCACCCCATTCTTCTTTTTAGTTATAGTCTGTAGAATAGTAATCCCTTTAACAATTGAGTTTAGTTCATCCATAAGAATTACAACAAGTTGAAATTTCAGAAACATCACAATTCGAAACTGAATAATATTTGAATATAAGTTTCCAAGACATTATCTAGTTGATTTTCAATAACCAATGCTCACAACTAAACAAAGCCCTTAAAACTATAGTCTTTCGAAGCTACGTACTAATCAACCTATTCACATTACTCAATATCATTTTTATTTTAAATGAAGTAATTGCTCTCTACTTCTCGCTCATTACAAAAGATAAAATAAAAGAGTTATTCAGCGTTTATTTTGGCTTTAATCTAATTTCTGATTGCTTAATAACATACCTCACCTTTCAATTAAGATACTTAATTAATGATGCTGAACAAATAAACTAAGGTGATACCAGTACTTAGATTATAGAATATTTAAAATATACTATAAAAATAAATAGTCCTTTCGAAGATATTGTGGAGGATGAAGAACAATTGACCCAAGCATAACAAGTTGGTATAAGTATTTCTGAGAAAATTACAACTATGAAGTGGCTAACTTATTTATTAGAGAATCAGAATTCTTAAATGTTTGCATTAAATAGAGTATGCTTGCTGACAAAAATTATATTATTCGCTTGGGGTAATATAACAATTGTGTAATGGGTATATTTAAATTGGGATAACAATAATATCAATATGGATTAATTAGAATCAATTTTGATTATTTTGACAGTATTTTCAATGCTGATCGGTTATATAATGATTATACTTCTGGTAAGTTTTCTCCTGGTTATTTGTGTTATAATCCCTATCATCATTGGTATGGCTATTTGGTAGTCATGCAATTGGTGTACTTACTTATATAATGAGTATCAGCTTCATAGAGTTGCTTAGCAAAGACAAAGGTTTTTAAATAATTTAAACCCTTAAAAATTCGAGATATTATAAGAGTAAGATGAAAGTATTCACGAAGAATGCGCAATATGTTTATCCACATACTAAATGGATGATAATTGTGTGAAATTGCCATGCAATGTAGATAGTGGCAATAGGAAAATTAATCATGTTTTTCATGATACTTGCATTTTGGTATGGATTTAAACATGTGGATCATGTCCTATTTGTAGAACTGTTTTCATTGAGAGATATGAACAATGACAATATTATCTAATTATTTGCTTGATTCTCTTTTATTAATTTAATATTTTTATATAGCAGTTAAAGCTTAATGTCCTTAAATACTTCGATGCCTTATTATCGCAATTCCTCAAGAGAAGTCAAAACTATTAAGGAGATTGTCTAAGCTGAGGCAATCAAAAGTGCTAGATTGCTCAGCCGAGACAAAGTTAAAGTTATATAAAACACATCATTTGGCGATTGTAATCACTATTCTATAATTAGTGAATAGAAGTAAAAGGAAAGTTAATAATTCGTTTCATGACAACAGAAATAACTCTTAGATTGCAAGTTCAAATATTCTTTCTGGTTATTTAGCCAATGCATTTTAGGAAAAAAAGGAAAATATTCAAAGGAATCAGATGCCAGATATCACAAATAAGAATAAATATGATGAAAATAAACAGAGAGAAATCAAATATCTAATGAGGATTGCAGCATTAGAGAAAGAATCATCAAAACTAACTGAATTAGCAACTAAATTGAAGAAAGAGAATTAATTATTGAAATAATAAAATAATTAAGACTTGATCATATACCAATTATAAGAAGCTCTTAATATATCTAAAAATGAGAATTAAAATCTGAAAAAATAAATTACTCAACTTTAGAATTCTAATTCCAATTACTTTAATAATAGTGTATATCGAAATTAAAAGAACTAATCTCAAAACACAAATTACACAGTCAATACTACAGATAATATATCTCAAGATAATATTAAATTTTAAGAATACATTCCTAGTTATTTAGTTGCTCTTAGCTTAGCTGATTGATTATGTATTATAAAATACCAATTTTGTGAATACATGAATATATAATTTATTATTCATAATGATATAATTATTTATCATTCTAGCACTTGCTTTTTCTAAGCCACTAAATCCCAAAAAAGTCATATATGCTATTAATTGTGGTGCACCATCAAATTATAAAAGTCCTTCAGGAATCCAATATGAAAAAGTATTTTTGTTTTAATATTATTATCAAGGATATACAAACAGATCCTGAAACAGTGGTGGCAGATTACAGTTTGAATTCTGAGGTGTCAAGTCAGCAAATCAAATATACAAGAGAGCCTGAAATCTATTTAACAGAAAGACATGCATACAAATCATTCTCATATCAGATTCCATTGTAAAAAGAGGGCACATACACGTTGATTCTTAAATTTGCAGAAGTATTCAATAAATATAAATGAAAGATGTACTTTGATACCAAAGGAAAGAGAGTTTTCCATATTAAATTTGGACAATAAAGAGTCATTGAAAAACTTGATGTTGTGGCTAAGGTTGGAAAGTTTGCTTCGAATGATGAATATATAGAATTTGAATATGTGGCTGGCCAAGTGTTCCATAACGTAAGTTTACATTTTATATATACAATAGAATGTTTTGTGTGTAGATGCAGTTTAGGATGGTAAATTATAAGTGAATCTTGAAAAAACAAAGTTTGATAACCCATATATTCATGGTATAGTTTTGTATGCAGGTGGAATCACTGAAACGGATTATGAAGAATATCAATACATGAAGGAGAATTGGGAGAAGGTTATCAATGAAGAGAAGATTAAGGAAGAACTTGAGAGATAGAAGAAATCTGAAGCCAAGGTTAAAAGAAAGGAGAGAGTCAAAATTAGAAATGATCACTTAAATGAATTAGAAAATGAATTTGAAGTTGATGATTAAACATAGAATTCTTCTGCTCCAGTTGTTAAAAGAGGAGGATTAAGAAACTTAATTACAAGTTATGTTGGTACAGCAGGGTTGTACTTTTCTTTTTTTATTGGAATGTCAATTCTTAAAAAGGTGACTTCGACCATTTCAAATGTAAAATCCCTAATCATATGAATTTAGGCTAAAATTAAAGGAATTGAAAAGGATATTACTGAAACAAAACCTAAGCAAGAGAAATAACCAAAAGAAAAGAGTGATGAAAAAAAGAATAAACCAAAGGATACGAAAGAGAAATCTAAAGCAAAATAATAATGATGAGTTATATTTGTTCAAATATATTATGTTATTGCACACCCTATGTTAATACGCATTTTAAAAATTTGATTATAAAATTAAAGTACATGTTTCATTAATATTCTTATAAATACCTAATTTAAAAACATATGAATATGATCTAAATGTTATTCACTAAATTTGCTGATATTTTATTAACATCAAGAGCATACCCCTTCCTTTAATGTTAACCCCTGATCCAAAACTAAACAAAAGAAATTGGAATTATTTGGAATAAAGAAATCAACTTTAATGTTTAGCAACTGCTCCAAAATAATTGGAGAAGTGCTTAAACCAACGAAATGATTGTTTAATTTTTTCTTGAAAAAGATGGAAACTCCTTTTTGGTCGAGGAATGGAGTCTTATATAATCACAAAGTATCATGCTTAACATGCTTACAGCCAAGAAGAACAACTCCTTACTCAAACAAATAACTATTTGGTTACGATCAGCTATTGCCATGATGACTATGACTACAATATTTTAAGAAGAATTAATCACAAAATAATATAAAGTCACACATAGTTTATTATTTTATAATAGAAATACTAAAAAAAGAAGTGATTGGATAGATGACTCTAAATTATAAGTTAAGAAGATTTCAACCAAATTTCTTAGCTAACTCAACTTTTAACTAACCATAGCTTAATAAGGATAGCTGCAGCATGTCTTATCAATATAGAAATAAAAGATAAATTAGTCTCCCTTATTCAAAAGATGCCGATATTTATCAGAATAAATTGATATTAGAGATCCACAATTAATTGAAAGAAAAATGACCATGGATGCTGAATATTAAGTCTAATTAAGACAAGAGAATCCTCCAAGGATGTCCTTAAATAATCTCAATTTATCTTTTGTTTCAATATACTCAAAAAAAGAAGAGGTAGAACTATTATTTACACCTGAAGAGGCAGCATAAAAATTGAAAGATAAGACATTTTTAGAAGAAGACTATGAAATTAACTTGATGACTGGGGATCCTACAACCAATAAATTAAATTTATCAAATCATGGATAATAATTAGATAATAAATCATAGTTATTACTGCTTCCTGTGTGTATCTAAAATGAATTGCTAATTTCTTAGATTATGGTGTCACAAAAACTTTCAAATGAAGATAAAATCAATTAATCAATTATATTGGATACTTTAAAAGACATTCAGTAAGCCTCAAAAAATAGAAGAATAAGATCTATATAAATAAACAGATTATTAAGTTTTTATAGATAAATGTGTTGATATAGAAAGGGATTTGCTAATAGTGATTAATTAATATCTATGTTTAAGTGTGTTTGATATAATCACAAAATTTTTGAAATATTTAAACACGATTATGTTATTTATTAAACTTTTAAAAAATATAACGCTATTTATACTTAAATTGCGTACTAAATTGTTCTTAGCTCAAAAATAGACCATTAAATTAGCAATTGATTAATCTGTATTTGATTAATATTATTTGAAAGAAGTATTATTCCCATTCTTGATCAAGTAAAAGCTTTTATAATATTTCCATTTCAAATCGCACGGTTTTAATAAAACTAAAGAATTTTTAATCTAATAAGAAGAATAGGAAATTACATTTAATTTATATTTTTACATCTCATATTAAAAGTAAAAGTAATCTAGTATCATTCACCTCCCACAGATTTATAAACCTTAAACGCTTAACTGTTAGATTTTATTATAAAGATATAAACCGAGTGAAGCACAATCACCTTTAAAGCAATTAAAAAGGCTTTCCTTCTTTCTTAGCATTCTTGAATTTACTATTGGGTTTATTTTTTTATAATATATATAAGGTCTTTCAAATAAAAAAATATTAAATAAGAAATACTTAATTCTACATCTGATTGAAATCAATGGATATGAGATGATTAAAATTTAATCAGTGACAATTAAGCAAAATGTTACCGATCAATGAATGTATAAGGATCATATCCTTTACTGCTTCATGATTACCAAATAGACACTTTATATCGAAGATAATTTTTTAAACAGAAACTCTAAAGCATCTGTATAATCCGATGAAACTATGAGAGTTATAAACTTTGCTTTAAACCAGTGATTGTCTGCAACTCATTTTACCAAAATCGAGTGGATTATAATCCATCATTAAAGTGACATCAGCTGTGTCACTTGAAGCGATATTTCCAAATTTAAAGCGGAACTTATCTTTCATTTTATCTTAATGATTAAAATTATATATAAACTTAAAAAAAATATAATTGCCATAACGATACTCAAATATTTTAATAATTATCAAAAATAAATATTATTATCTCTACTTTATATTTATCTTTAAGAATCTACTAAAAAAATTAAAGATCTCAATTATTATATTTCAATTTAATCTAACAAATCTCAATGTTTGACCCTCCTTGCCTATGAAACCATTCTTTGTTTATTTAATACAATCCTCAGACAAAAATCGTACTTTTTTTTCTCTACCACTCAATAAATCAAATTTAAGATCATCATAATTTATGGTTGCTTGGGTTTAATCCATGATAAGTTGGGGCCTCAATGATTCAAATTCATAATCTTAAATTCTGATGTTATTGCCAAATTTATAATCTAAATTTCTGATTATTTTGCCAGTTCTCATTTCTCCCAACTTTAAACATTTCATATTCTCTGTAATATAACCATCCTCATCTTTCTCTCTTTGTTCAAAGATTTCAACAAAAATGTAGTTTTCTAAATTGTGTATTTTATTTCCTCCAGTTTTCCTTAATCTTTTTGATAGTTTGCTTTTAAGGATATTTTATAAAATTATCCATGAATTATTTTTTATTGCCAATGCATATTTTGGTAAGTTGGGTAATATGGTTAACTCTAGAATGTTATCAAACAAACTGTAACCATCGAATTCTTTATCATTTATTGAATATTGATATACATAACTACCTCTTAGTAAATATATGTAACCTTTGTTATCAATATCTAAGTATCTTTAAATTCCCTCAATACTTATGTTTGTTAATGTTTTGTTCTTAAGGTCAACTATTGTAAGCATGTCGGAAACAACCTAAAAAAAAAAAGTCGAATAACGATCAAACTCATTTTAAAACACATTAGAATTAGCAATGCTTATCCATTATCCTGAAGCTATTTCATTTGTAGTTTTTAAATCATAAATTTTAAATAGACAATCTATAGCTTCTACGTTATTATAACCTCTTTCAACAATCAAAGCTAAAAATTATTCATTCGGAGATATAAGAACCAACCTCACTGATATATCCGGAAAAAGGGTAATTCCCTTAATTTGAATAATTTTTTCATCTACTTCATCTGAATTATTAAGAGACATTTAATTTTTCTTTTAATTTCCAAGCTTATCAACAAAAAAGAGACAAATTTCTGAGAATTTTCTGATACATAATTTTTACTTTAAAGAATTTTTTTTCACTTAATACACATTGAATTACCTTTAATCCATATTATATACTTATTTACCGTTTATTGAAAAGACCCGTTATAAACAAAGTAAATTTACACTTATATCCATTTAAAGAGTTTGAATAAAGTAATTTTTGAATACCCTATTTTATGGATTAAACACTATAAAATTGCAACATTAGCATATTTTGGAAAAGTGAAAATATGCTTTCATGACTAATCAGAAAATAATTTGATAGATTAAGATTAAATATAGAGAAAATTGGAATGATATTTATTTAATCATGAAATTTGAACAATAAACTAAATTTGTAAAAAGGTAGATCAATAAAAAATTGCACTACCTGCGCCATCTTTTACTCAAGAGAAAGATGACCAAATAATGATCTTATAAGGTTAGTATAGGGACAAGTGTCTTCCGATTACTAAGTGAATGAAAAATAGATATGACATTTTTAATCTCAATTTTAGGGAAATAATGATTAAGAATAGATACTATTGTAACCAAATATTTAAGTCACAGTAAGATTTAATCGATGAGAATTTTGGGTTTAGATTAATAATTTGAAAAATATTTATTTCAAGGTAAAAAGTTGATACTATAAATCAGTTTAACAAAACGATTAAAATTTTCTGAATTTTAAAGAAACAATTTATTCATAATTAAACAAAACTTTGGACAATCTAAAAAGATTATTAGAATTCAGTTTCTAGTTTATGGAGTGATTCTAAAAACTAATCTGTCTGATCTTGAAATCATTGAGCATCAAACAGAGAACTTAAAAGAAAAAGAAGTATAATCCAATATAATAACTTAATATATAATATTCCTACTTTAATTTTCATGCAAGTAAGAAAAAAATAATAATAAAAGGTTTGCTAGATTTATGGAACATAAAAGAATAAAACTTTAATAAAATTAAGAGAGAAATTAAAAAAATAGAAACACAACTTGACCTTTCTAATCAATTTTAGTTTATATTGATAAACAAAGAGTTTTTATTAGAAATATTTAATTCTCATAATTTTTGTATATATTGTAAAAATATTCTGTCATGGTATCTGAAAATATCATTTTTTTTACACATTCAAGATAAATATTAGGATTATAATGGGGATTTAAATCAAATGACGCATTAATAGAGGCAATAAATTTACGTGTTTTGGTTATCAAAGTATAAATATCTTTTATCATTTATAAATGTCCGTGAACCTTGGTATTAATGGATTTGGAAGAATTGGTAGATTGGTTTTGAGAGCCGCTATTGAGAACAACAAACCAGTACATATTCTAAATATTCCAAGGTGGTTGTAAAAGCTATCAATGACCCATTTATGGATCTAGATTACTTGGTCTATAATCTCAAATATGACTCTGCTCATTTGAGATCACCATTCACAGTTGAGAAATACGATTAAGGAATTGTAGTCAATGGATAAAAGATCAGAGTATACGCTTCAAAAGATCCAAGCTAAATTCCTTGGGGAGATGCAGGAGTAATAGCTATATTTAATTTTATATAGGTTAACACAGTTTGTGAATCAACAGGTGCATTCTTGACAGACGAAAAGGCTGGATTCCACTTGAAGGGAGGAGCTAAGAAAGTCATTATGTCTGCTCCATCAAAGGACAAGGGCACACCAACTTTTGTCTATGGAGTTAACCATGAAAACTACAAGGCTGACTAACACGTTGTTTCAAATGCTTCATGCACAACCAACTGTTTAGCACCATTAGCTAAAGTTATCAATGATAATTTTGGAATTGTTGAAGGTAAGAATATCAGTATATTCTCCTAGGACTTATGACAACAGTTCATGCTTCTACAGCTACTTAATTGGTTGTTGATGGCCCAGCTAAGGGTGGAAAAGATTGGAGAGCCGGAAGAGCTGCTGCTGCCAACATCATCCCATCATCCACAGGAGCTGCCAAGGCTGTAGGATTAGTCATCCCAGAAATCAAAGGAAAATTGACAGGTATGGCCTTCAGAGTTCCAACCATCAATGTTTCAGTTGTTGATTTGACAGTCAGAATTTAAAAGGAAGCAACTTATGATGAAGTTATGGAAGCACTCTCAAAGGCTTCATAAGCAGGTCCATTGAAAGGAATTTTGGGATTCACAAGTGATGAAGTTGTCTCATAAGATTTCCTCCACGATGCTAGGTAACACATTTTCATTAAACATCTAGATCATCAATCGTTGACTCTAAGGCTGGTATTGGATTGACAAAGAACTTCCACAAATTAGTCTCATGGTATGATAATGAATGGGGATATTCCAACAGAGTTTTGGACTTAGCTGTTCATATTGCCAAAGTTAGCAAATTATGAAAAAGATGAGTTAAATCATAAAATAACAGTATAAAATTATTTTTTAAATATTCTTATTTCCTAAATAAAATATCCATATATTTTATTTCAACTCAATCATCTTCATATCTATTCCCTTTAAATACATTTAGATCGTCTTCCTCTTCCTATAATTTGAAGCTTTAAGTTTATTAAAACTGAATTTCAGTTTGGATCTTACTCTTCTAAGCTTCTTGCACTTTGATGTCTCTTTTTTTTTTGATTTAAACAAGCCATATTTCAATCTCCTTTTTTAGTTGTGGTTAAGGAATCAGATCTTTGGCATCCAAAGGAGTATTTGTGAAGGGATCTTATTTCTTTTCTAGTAATGCAGTGACTATAACTTTCCTATCCATTATTTCTTTCGATTATGGCAACATAACAGGATCTCTCATTAACTAGATTACTCATTAAAATTATACTTCTCCAGAGATAGGATCTTAAAATGTTTCTGGAATCTGAGTCGTTTCCAGAATTGACTCCAAGAATTTTTTTTTTTCTTCTTTAAGTTACAAACTTTGAATAAATCTACTTAATTTTTCAACCTTGTCTTATTATCCAGCAATATTGTTTCTGAAGATCTATTCTAACTTTTGAAAGTTTTCAATGTGATAGGATCTGTCGTCTTTAACAAGGATACTCACTACTTTTTTTTCATCACAAATGTTTGTAAAAAATATGCCTATCTGTTAAAGAAATACTGCTAATTTAAAATCTTTTTCAGCAATTTTTTTTAAGGAATCTAATTTCTCTTTACTTCTTTCATTCAAGAAATTATCAAGATAATAATTAATCATTTTTAATATCATCTCCTAGAAAACTATTAAATATCATAAATAATGTTACATTCATTCATGAGATCCTTTGGAATATGGTTGCTAAATTCAACTAATAATTTCAAATTGGATTTCATATTCTATAAATTTGATTGGATCTGTGATTTAATCAAATCAAGTTCTCTCTTTTTGTTGTATTTTTATTCGAAGGTATTTGGAACATCTAATTGTTTTTTTTTATAGGTTTCTAAATAATTAGTCCATATCTCTTCAAAACCATAATTCATATCACTTATCATAAGCTTAATCAACCTCTGACCTAGTTCACATTTAACATATTTCTTTAATTATGTTTAATAAATCTGTAGTAACATTAATTAGAAAAGAATATCATTAATATAGAATCTGTATTAAAATTTAGCATAAAATTGATTGTTTGCTCCTGTTTCTCCAACTGCTGAATATTAAGTCATTAATCCCAGAAGGAGATTGTCTCTTATTAGTTCATTTTAAACAAAAATGTATGATAGGTTCAATGACTTTTTAGTAACTTTAGTAAAGAATAGAATCACCTCAATAAACTTTCCGGCTAAGTATTTATTAGTGGCAATTGGCAAATGAATAAAGTACATTCCAAGTTCTGCTAAAGCAATGAACTAAGTCTTAATTAATAAAATACTTTTTGATGGTTAAAATAATTCTCTGTGAAACCTTCAAAGTTTTACATGTAAAAATCAACATAATCTATAATATCATTAATTAGAAACTCTGGAATATAATTTAAAATATCTGGTTACTACCATTAAGTTTAACCATCAACCATTTTATTAAGATTTAACCAACTTTTAAATAAAAAGATGAAGGTGTCAAATAACTAAACGGTATCTTTTATTCTTGAAGGGTTAAAAATTACTAATTCTAGTTAATGAACTTCCTCATCCAAAGCCTCTATTTCATCTTTAAGCAAGCCTTCTTGAGGATGATCCTTCATTAATTCTAAGAGGTCCTTTTTTTCTTGCATCAATTTTAACAGATCTTTCATTCTTTAAATAACTGGAATTATGCCAATTTGAACAAATTTTAGAGTATAGAAAAATAGATAACTTACATTACCAATCTAAATATTCTACTTGCTTAATGGTATGGAGGAAGCTAAACATTACAATAATCAAATACATAAAAGCATTTGCTCTTTCTCAAATGGAATAGTATACCAAAATTGTTTATCTATTTTTGTGTAAGTGTCGTCGGTTCTACCTGATATTTTATTAGATAATAATAATAAAGTATCATATATATTGAGCAAGAACCCATCTGAGGAAACATTCTACTTTAAGTTCATCATTCTATTCTGCTGATATCCTTCTTTAGTTTTGAACTTATTGCAAAAACATACATGATTGAAGAATTGTATTGTTTATTAAAATGTATTTCTAGAAAGACATAATTTTATCAGCGATACTAAATTTTCCACATGATTTTGATTAGTTTATTAATACTATTTAAGAAGAAGTTCAAATTATCTCTTTGTCATCTTGACTTTTAAACTTTGATGAGCCCTTTCTCTCACATATCTATTGTCTTATAGCAATGATATTGTAAATAAAGGACCTAAAATAAACTCTTTTTCTAAGATATCTCCCCTATCCGTATTCACATTCCTATATAGATTATAATTTGTTGTACCATTTGGCTATTTGATCATGGAAAATTAAGTCCCTGGTTGAGGGCTCCTTTAAATAATGCTAGAATAATCCAAAGTAGAGATTCAATTGATCATTGTACACATGAAACTTAATTTAATTTTTACATTAAAACCTTTGAAATGCAATTTCTAGAATATTAGATTATTTGAATGTGTAGCTTATTTTCACCAAAACTCTCTCCAACAACTTGTATAAATTGGCTATGTATTTCTGAATCAAATCCTATTGTCTCAAAAATGTCAAAAAGTCGAGCAATTAACTTTTAAAGATCTTTCATATTAAGTGTGAATACCTTGAGTCTACTCCAACTCTCTGTCTGATATCTTCCTTTGGGGTGAAAACTAGTCAGGATATTGAAGGATAGTCATCAAGTAATTTTAAACCATGATAGTAAACGCTCCAATAAGATTTCCGATTTCATGAGTACTATACCAAGGTTTTCCTTTTAGGTACTCGATATTCTACTTTATTTACACCAGAAGTACAAACGGGTTTGTTTGGCTACTTAAATGTGAAAATATACGGATATTTCAGTCTCTCCAAAATGCATGCCTCCAAAATATCCTAATTTTATGAAATCACTATGTTGGTTCTTCCTTGTATGTATTATTTGAAGGTATCAGGCAGAAATATTAATTTATCAGCTCTATAATCAATAGTGCATATACATACTTTGACGGATCAAGTGTAAACTTACAACATTCTTCCAAAAATGAAATCTCATTTGGGTCTGCAAACATAATAAAAAATGAAAATTATATAATAAATTTTCTATTAGCTTAATTATTAGTTAATTTTTTTAATACTCCATCATTCATCATATCTTAAGTTTGGCAAAATAATAAGCACCTCAGTATTTAAATTGTGTGATAGAAGCACTATAATTCAACTTAAAATAATTATTTTTATTATCAGCATATTAAAGTTTTAAATTTTTAACTTGGAAATAACAAAAATTAAAACAACCAAGTAATAAATAATATTTATTAAAAACTTCCTACGCTTTTATACTAATTAATGGGTTGTACTTGCTCAAATTGTTAATTCTGTTCGAATAAAGATAACAAAGATAACAAAGATGAAATTTAACTTTATGGATGTCATTCATACACAATAACTCAATAATCCCGTAATTAACCTTTAATCAATGAAGGAGAAAGCGAATTGGATTCTAATAAGGATTAAAAAGATTAACCTATGTTAGAAACTTATGATAAAGCTAATCTGTCTCAGGCTTAACAATTACACTATGATAAATAATCTAACATCGTTTTAACCTCATGTACTTTGTGTTGAGTTTATATTTTTAGAATCTAATAGTGATTAAGAGAACAGAATAAATGAAATGCCTTAAAGAAATATCGAAGATATGGGAGAAAATGTTGAAAATAAATGCCTTTCGAAAGATAGAGAAAAGAGAGAAAGATTTAAGTTTAAAAGCGGAGCCTATTATGAAGGAGAATGGGTTGGACAATTTAGGGATGGGTTTGGAGTTCAAATTTGGGTCGATGGAGCTAAATATGAAGGATATTGGAAAAACAACATGGCAAATGGAAAAGGCAAATTTTAGTATGTCAGTGGAGACATTTATGATGGAGAATGGATTGATGATAGGTTTTGCGGTTAAGGAAAATACATTCATACTAATGGAACTCAATATGAGGGACTTTGGCTTGATGATTAGCCTCATGGATATGGCATTGAGACGTGGATAGATTATTCTACATATGAAGGAAATTATTATTGTGGTAAGAAATAAGGTTTTGGTAAATACTAATCGAGTAATGGATCTTTTTATATGGGAAATTGGGAAAAAAATTAAATAGAAGGGTATGGAATTTATAATTGGTCAGACGGCAGAGTAAATTATCAGTTGACTTTAGAAATATATGGGAATGTGGAGTGACAATTTAATGTATGGTAGAGGAATATACATTTGGCCTGATGAACGTAAATATGATGGAGAGTATTTTTAAGATAAAAAAGAGGGTTATGGTATTTAATAGTGGCCTGATGGAAGAAGTATATTTAATGATAATATTTTAGAATATGAAGGTTACTGGATGAATGGAATATAATCTGGTAAGGGCCGATATACATCATCTGCAGGTAAGAAGTAATTAGGGTTATGGGAAGCTGGTCGTAAAATTTAATTGATAGATGATGACACTGAGAATATCAAACCTGAAGGATGGGATGAATATATACAACCAACATTGCAATAAGATAATCTTACGAATAAATGAAACTGAATTTCTATTTTATATAATTTCCCTTATTTTATTATGGTGTACTTTTTAAATAGTTATCCAAGAAATTGTTGAAATTTTCACTATATTTAATTTTAGGAAATGGCAATTTGTATCTACAGAAATAAATAATAAAATTAATTGAATGATTTGATACACTTGATCTATAAATAACAAATTTTAGAGTTATAAACTTAATTTTTTGGAATTGTTACCAATGATCTTGAAATTCACGATAGATATTTCCCATATATTGATACAATTAAAAGTATCAAACCAGCAACCTCAGTGTTGTTCTTGCATATTTGTATATCCATAAAGTAATAATAATAACTGTAATAATGATAATGTAATAACTTCCAAATACTATTAAATAGTATAAAGGAATGTTTTCTCTATCATCATCTACTCCTCCTTTTTATACTCCTCTACGTCAGTATCATTTGTAATTGTCAACACTATTAATTTGACCAAGACCTAACTTTCTTGATAAGCTTCAATTAAGATAATCCTTAAATAAGGACCTGTAGATACAATTTAGCAGCAGATTAACAAAAATCCTAATTTAAACTTCCTAAGGAGAATCACATGGATATTAGAGAGTAATAAATTGCTTAAAGCTAAAAAGATTAAAATATAAATATAGATATTAGGATGTGAATAGATAACTAATTAGAACAACTTAAACAATGAGAACCTAAATAAATGGATAGAGAATCGAGGGTAGCGATTATTTTGAGCCTAACTATTGAATGATTCATCATAAATTAGCGCAAAATCACATATCTTTTTTTCGTACTCAATTTTACTTTAAGTCTGGTTTTCTTCTGGGGGATACTCTCAAAGCATTTTAACTTGTTCCTGCTTTTACATTCAAATACTTAATAGGACTTACTTTGGTTTAGTTGTCAACTTAATCAGATTGAGAATTGCCAATAATCCTTCTGCCTTACCTTGGTTCTTCTTTGACTTCTTCTTTGGATGGAGGATTTGATTACTAATTTTAAATCGATTGTTCTTTAGGAAACAAAAGGATATTCTAATAAAATATGCAGCCTTACTTAAGATTGTTATCGCTCTAACTACTACTACTTCTCTTCCATCACAGTAACTTTACTTTTGAGTTCACTGTACCCCTCCTTTTAAGAATCAGGTATTGTAGTTTAATTGTTGCTACCCTGCAATTTTTTTTTCTGTAATCCATTTTTAAGGCCTTCCAATTGTTCTACAGCTTTTTATAAGACAACAAGCTCAAAAGTGGTGGTTTTTAGAAGACTCGGAGTTGCATTTTGATTGACTTTCTGATTTAATGCTTGGATTTATTGATTAGCATTTTCTAACTATCTCTTAAGACTTTAGTTTTCCTTCTCAAGAGTTTGAATTCGCAATGCCATGCTCTCCATAGATTGTGCATTGTTTTAGGGCGTATTTTGCATTTATCTACTTCTCTCTCTCATATCTGTAGAATAAGGTTTCATTCCTTCATTCTAGCCACCGAGGTTTTGGGTTGGAGTGAAGGGTTGAACAGGGAACTGTCTTTACATGGGCGAGCTGGACACATTCCTTTATTAAGGTGGATAGGAGGGAGCCAAATGTTATTAAGAATAATGTTACTGCATATGCTACATTAATTAATGTTTTAGATCAATTCTTTTTAAGTTTAGATATACATTATGCTATTCAAGAGGAAACTTCGGAAAGGTCTATTATATTCAATATCAAAAAGGATCTTTAAATTAAAAACCGAATATTTTAGATATAAAATTAAATTGTATCATTTCTTTTACTTTTAAACGGGAACTGCACTTTACGGTCTCTTTTTTTACTGCTTTAATCTTTCCTTCTCTTCAGCTATTCTCAAGGGCCTTTGTTTTGGTCCCTCCTTTAATTAGATCATTTTCTTGAATTCCTCTTCTGACTCCAATACTCTTTCTTCAACTAATCTTCCTCCTTATGTGAGAACCCATTATTTAACACCTTATAAATTTCCTTAATCAAAATATTTTATTATTATCTTGTGTTGCTTGATCTTTCCTTGCTTGTCTTTCACAACAGTAATATCTGCTAATTGCATTTAAACAGCATTTAATTGTGTACTCAACTTTTCCCAATTGATTTCCTTTCCCATACCTCTGATACTCATTTCAGTGTATTATGGTTTGGGAAACAATTTCTCATCTTATTCTAGATTCTTACCAGGCGAAGCTTAAGGAGACTGCGATTTACTTTTTGGTTGCTTTGATTTAATTTAATCCTGATTTTGTTTATCTAACATTTGATCGTAATATTTGTGTGTATCCATTTAAGAACTCATACCCTTTAGCATTTATCTTTAATGATATTTAGCCCCATAAAGCTCACTTTCTTACATGTATTCAACTTATTGTTTTCTTCCACTATTTTGTTATGGTTTTTATTGATAATATTTTTCCAGACCATTTCCAAAAACATCAGAGAAATTGGGATTTTTTTATTTCAACTCAGTATTTGGATTGTTCACTTTATCATATACTTTAGCTGGATTCTACAACTAATTAGATTATTATTATTATAATGATTAATTATTATTATCTTGTACTGCAAATGATGCAGTTTCAATCATGAGGTTATGCTCTTTTATTATATCATATGGATTTGGATTTGGATTCTATTATTATTAATCAATTTGTTATAACTATTATTATTATTAAGGCTTTTGTTGTTATTGTTATTATAATTGCAAAAATTATTAGTATTGCTATTGTTAAATTTGAAGGAATTGTTATTCAGTTAGTTTTTAATTGTGGGACTCTGTACTCACTCTTTGCTAAGCGGCAGTTTAAGGTCTGCTTTAAATCATGTGCACATTAGGAATAATGGGATTATTGGCATCTGTTTTCTTGTTTTCTTTTAAATTTTAACTATTCCACCAGAACATGTCAAATGGCAAGATTTCTAGTATTTTTATGAATCCTTACTTTCTGCATTTTAATTTGGGGTGACTTTACTGTAATCTACAAGATCCTACTAAGGGAGATGAAAGATGTTGCTTTGTTATTGTTTAACTTTCAATATCTTAGAAACATTGAAGGGCGAATCGTCAGGCTGTATTTGAGATTATTGAATATTGGTAACTTATTCAGTCAAAGTCTTTGGATGAGGTTCATAATTGTATACCACAATATTCTTTTGATTTTTCTGTTAGGACATTAATTTTAATATTCAAATATTCGAACATCCCTTATTGTCTGGCCAATATACATTATCAATATGTATATTATTCACCTCTAGGTTTTGCACCCATTATCCAAGAGAATTAGCAATAGTCCATGAGGATCCGTTAGGAATGGCCCAGTTTGGAGTGTAGAATATCGATTTTTGAGTGAAGCTACAATAATACTAAATTTGATACCAATGTTCAAGACAAGCAACACCAAATGCTCCAGTTTTAGGATCTGCTAATTTTCTATCATTAATGAGATTTGTAATCTATTTACGCATTGCCTCTATGCAAGTTCTCTCTTTGTTGTCACATCTTGTTAATGTGTAATCCCAAGCATTATATATATGCAATATATTTGGAATACATGCTGTATCATACAAAGATTGCATAAAGAACACAGGCACATTGATGTATTGTAGGAGATACTAAGCAAAATGACATTTCCACTTCTCATTTGGATAGCTTTTCACACAGTATTCATTTATTGGATCCACTTCCTCGTTTACTAGTTTATGATATTGTTTCTATCTTCTATCACTAGCAGCCTAAGCACCGTCATATGGTTGCAAATCCAGAAAGATACCTGAATCTGGAGCTAACAAAACTTAGACACTGCTTGGTAACCGATCTCTAATGTATTGTATCCAACTAAAAGCAGCTAGTCCTCCTGCAGAACAACCAGATACCACAACCTTTTTTGCCTAACTCAGCTTTGACAAATGCTCTGAAAATATTGATTTAAATATTAATTCTCCTCTCATCCATATAGTCTTGTCTTTTATTTACAAAGGTTAAGCCCTATACCCTTAGTGTCCTGTTCCATCACAATAGTTAACAAATATCGTATTCCAATTGTAAAAGTAAGGATTCACGTTTTGATTCCTATTGAACAATCCATCCATCTAAGTTGTTGCTGCCGAAAACTTTGAACTTCCCATATTCGTATTAGAACGATCATATGCCTGTTGCAACAATTCAGCTTAATCGAATCCCTGAATCCATCCTCCCCCCTCGTAAAAGATCAAATATTTGTCTGCTCCATCTCCATATCCTTATTCATAATAGTAACTCTAAAATAGACAAAGATCATACAGCTCTTGTACCATCCAAACACAAGGCATTTTAATCCTGCACTTATCTTAAAGTCTAAACAGCAATCGAAATATGGACAATGCAATAAATGATTAGATACATTACTTATATATATATAATTGAAATCGTATCAATGTAGATCTCTAATTCTTTTTAATTTTTCGTTGATTGTGAATGCAATTGCTGTTGCTGGCATAACCTTAGCATAAGTACAAAATAATCCTCTATAAAATACAATCAAGCCTTATTCCTTATACATTAATTTCATTGTCTCTATATAACTGTCATGTTGTTTTCCTATTATAAAATTAATTATTACCAGATAAAATCTAAACCTATAATCGTCTTCTTATAACATCTGTAGGATAAGTTATGCTTAATGCCATACATCCTGCCAAACCACCAAATATGAGATTTTGTGTGTCTTTATTTATAAAGCCCATAAGAGATGATAATTTTTAACGCAATATTTAGAAAAAGGTTAGCTTAAAGCTGGAATAAGGAGATATGCCAATCAATGTAGCAGATAACCCTTTAAATAATGCTAATGGACCCTTTCTTTAGACTATTTTAACTAAACAATCAGTGATTCCCTTGTATTCCTAGTCTATTTAATAATAATAGATTACTTGTTTAAACAGCTAATATTGTTTTGACTAAATCGAAAGGATAAACGGTCATTGTTGCTAGAGCTCCTGAAAATGCTCCAAAAATTAACATTGAAATATTCTATGCATTTTAGTTGTTAAATTAAAAAGTATTCTTGAGTATGTCAAACAGATAAAACTCAATCGCTTAAAAAGGAGCAATTCTTAAGCAGTTAGCTCCATTCCCTTTGAACATGCTTTTTGCTCCTTCTTAGGTGTACATCACATAAAGACATCTGATCAATGATTTTCTTTAGTAATTAGAGGCATTTGTTTGCTTAAGAATGATAGTTCTCTCTATAGGCGCAACGAAAGATCGAGAAACTGCACCTGATATTGCTCCTGAAAATAATCGCCATTAGGTTTCTGAGAATAGATATTTATCTTATTAAGCCATAAATTAATTTTAAATATGACTTCATCTTTCAATATTCCTCTTATATCTGCCAATACCTAAAGATCTATCACTAGCTGTAATTCTGCCGCATAAATCTCATTTAACAGTGCATTTGAGTTTTATTTTTATGGCCTTCCGGTGAAAATAGGGAGATGATTATTTTCTTTGTATCATTTCTCAATTCAGTTCATGCATTTTATTAATTACCTTATTTCTAAGATTCTTATAAATCAAGTATCCTATTAATAAAAAACTCAAGATCTTAATGAAAATGATAATTAATAAATTTGTTATTACCTCTAAATATTTTTAATCGCCCAATTCCTTATTCATTTGAGTTGAAACATAAATAAGAATAAATATCAATTAATTTACTCTTTGATACTTTTAATTTTCTAGAATATGCCGAATTTAATTGAGCAATTCTAAATATAGAATATACTATTAAATAATAATACTAAACAAATTAAAAACTCTAAAGATTAAGATAATAGCACCTCCTAAATTCTAAGTTATGATTTTATGAAACAAATGATATTGTAAAATGTAATTAATTCTTTTCTGGTATTATCCTTAAATAATCCTATATGAATTGTCACTAAAAGGCTCTGAGATCTTCAATTTAGAGTTCTCTTTCATTTAGATAACATTATAAACTAATTTTTATTATCCAGAAAATTCGTATGAACTCATTTTTTCAAAACCTATAGTAAATTTACCATAATTAATTTAGGTCGAAGTTGATCAAAAGTATTGAATTACATTTGTTGAAGTTTAGCCTAGTATAGAGTGAGAATGATACTTCATTTGCTCTTCTTTATTGATAATAAGGGGGATAATAATAGGAATATTGAGGTTAAATTTTTAACAACTTAACTTAGGTTAGTTTACTTTAATTTAAACTGTTATTTTATAGTAAAGTATATAAATACAAATAAAATATTTTAGATATATATTATTTATATATTAAATAAAAATGGATTAAAAAGCTACGTATAGAACAAGTACTCGTAGATCAACAGTGCAAGTTGGTGGAAGCCCTTCAAACATGTATAGACCAGAATATTGTAATTACGAAATATTATGATAATAGAGGTTGAGCAATTTGGGATTACAAGCCAGTCCAAGGGATACTTCCAAAATTTGGGAATTGATGGATTCGTACTAAGGGAGTGACAAGTTAGCATTGTAACAGTCCATTGTTCATCATGTCGAGTACACATTGGCCAGAACACGCTTTGATTTCTCCAAATTTCATAGTTATTAAGCTTTGTCTCATTCAGTAAGAGATAGATTGATTGAAGCATTTAATGATACAAATTTACATTTTCATTAGATGGATGCCAAGCGTATCTACTATTTAAGTTTGGAATTTTTGATTGGAAGATGCTTATAAAATGCATTGGTTAATTTGGATTTGGAAGAAGATTATAGAGAAGCACTTATGGATCTTGGATATAAATTGGAAGAGCTCTATGATGAAGAAGTGGATCCAGCTTTGGGAAATGGAGGTTTGGGTAGATTGGCAGCCTGTTTTTTGGATTCTTTGGCTACTCTAAATTATCCATCATTTGGCTATGGAATAAGATATACTTATGGAATATTCAAATAGTTGATCAAAGATGGTTATTAGGTGGAGTCTCCAGATTTTTGGTTGAATCATGGAAATCCATGGGAAATTGAGAGATTGGATGTCCAATATTAAATCAGATTTTATGGTTTTGTTAAGAAAGTATGGGATCATGGAGTCGAAAGAAGTGTTTGGGAAGGAGGTGAAACCATTATGGCTAGAGCATATGATACACCCATTCCTGGATATAACACTTAAAATACAATTGCATTGAGATTATGGAAATCTCATCCAGCCTCAGAGTTTGATTTTAGTAGTTTCAATACAGGTGATTATTTCAAAGCATTGGAGTAGAGATAAAAGGCAGAATACATAACATCTGTTTTGTATCCAAACGATTCAACTGATGCTGGAAAGGAATTAAGATTAAAGTAGTAATATCTGTTGGTTTCTGCAAGTATGTAAGATATAGTAAGAAGATTCAAGAGAAGAAAGGTTTTAGATTGGAATGCTTTTCCATAGAAGGTGGCTGTATAATTAAATGATACTCATCCTGCCTTGGCTATTGTTGAATTGCTTCGTATTTTGATAGATATTGAGTAATTGGACAACATGTCTGCTTGGTAAATAGTAACTAAGTCATTCAATTACACCAATCATACAGTATTACCAGAAGCATTGGAGAAATGGGGAGTGCCTTTGATTGAGAAATTACTTCCAAGACATTTGGAAATCATCTACTTAATTAATTTCTTGTTTTTGGAAAAAGTATAATAGAAGTATCCAAACAATTGGGGCAAATTAAGTGCTCTCTCTATTGTGGAAGAAGAGGGAACTAAAAAAGTCAGAATGGCCAATTTGTCTATTGTAGGTTCCAAATTTGTCAATGGAGTTGCAAAGATCCATACAGAATTATTGAAAACTACTATTTTCAAAGAGTTCTTTGAAATGCATCCAAATAAATTTTAAAATAAAACCAATGGAGTCACTCCTAGAAGATGGGTCAGATGTGCTAATCCAGCATTAGCTGCATTATATGATAGAGTATTAGGCAGTGACAAATGGGTCTTAGATATGGAGTAATTGAAATAATTGGAGTCCCATGTTTCTGATCCTCAATTTGTTAGGGAATTTTAGATGATTAAAATAGAAAACAAAGAGAGATTTGTTCATTGGATCAGAAAGACTTGTTAAGTTGATTTAAATGTTGATTCATTGTTTGATATATAAGTGAAAAGAATACATGAATACAAAAGATAATTGATGAATATTCTATATGTGATCTATAGATATTTGATCATAAAGGAATCAACTCCTGAAGAGAGAAAGAGGATTGTTCCTAGAAGTGTATGTTTTGGTGGTAAAGCAGCTCCTGGATATGTTAATGCAAAAAGAGTCATTAAATTAATCAATTCAGTTGCTGATGTTATTAATAATGATCATCAAATTGGAGATCTCTTAAAAGTAGTGTTTATGCCAAATTATAATGTAAGTAATGCTTAAATTATTATTCCTGCTGCAGAATTGTCTTAACACATCTCAACTGCAGGAACAGAAGCTTCTGGTACTTCAAATATGAAGTTTATTATGAACGGCTGTCTCATCTTAGGTACTTTAGATGGAGCCAATGTAGAAATTGATGAAGCAGTTGGCAGAGAAAATATCTTTATTTTTGGAACTTAAGTGGAGGATGTAGATAACATGAAAGAAAAAATGAGAAATACTGATCCTCACGAATATTTCCCATAAGAATTACTTAAAGTATTTACAGAAATTGATAACGGAAGATTTGGACATAATGAAGAATTGAAATGGATTGTCGATAGTATTAGATATAAGAATGATAATTATTTAGTTGGTTAAGATTTCAAAGATTACATCAAGGCATAACAATAGGTAATAATTCATTAAAGTATTATAGGTTGATGATCTGTATCGCTAACCAAATGAGTGGGCTAAGAAGAGTATTTATAATGCCATCAGATCTTATAAATTTAGCAGTGATAGGACTATCTACGAGTATGCTGAAGATATTTGGCAGTTGAAACCTATCAAGGTTCCAGAACCAGCAGCTTAAAAACATGAAAGAGTCAAAGGTGTTGCTTTGAGCAAATCATAATAAGAAATGGCTGATAAAATAAAACATTGATATCAATAAATAAAAATCATAAATTATAATCATAATTTAATTTTAACTAATTGTTATTCTGCGCCTATGAGTTCTCTGGTGTATTGATTAACGTCAAATTTAAATTAGGATATGGAGGATAGCTCTTTTAACTTTTAATAAGATTATAATCTAATTAAAGATTATCTCAGTTGTTTTAAGTCCTCTCTCAAATCAAAAGCATTAATTATCAATTAGCTTAGTTGCTGCAAATAAAGTATATATTGTTCTGTATTCCACTCTTTAATTACGACTCTATTGATTACAGTATTTTTATAAGCAGCATGGATTGACTCAATAAGATTCACTTTGAAAACCAAACTCAGCAATTATTTCTCAGAAGCATAAACAAATAAATGTCTAACTAACGTCATGAAGATTCGTTAATATACTCCATTATGAAAACTAGTATGGAATTAAATAGTTAATATGTGCATAGCAGCATCATTCAATTTAATAAAGATGTTTGAATATTTTATTCTAACATTGCAAACCATAAGCTATAAAATCTCATATATCATTAATTTCTAGGTTCCTATGACATTTACTGAATATGATTGTAAATGTAATTACTATGGAAATTGCTATTATTTATTTAATAAAGAAATGTTCCTGCATAATCTTGGAATTTGATTTCTATAAATCTTATTGCATTGTTCCTAAAGACTATTGCAATTAGATAACTTCTTAAGTACATTGATTATCAAGAATCCCACTTCATAAGCACTACCATTTTCAGGTTCTAAGATTTTTAAAGTGTAATGTTTAATTAGTTTTTCAAAGTTAAACAGTTTCTCATCAATTATTTGTGTAAAGCAATCATTTTAGGCCTAAAATTTATAACTTAAACATTCAAATGTGTTAACAATCAAATTTAATAGTTGACTATTTTAATAAGAAATGAATTCATTATTATATTGTATATATTCTTAATACTCTTCTCTCATTATATGGTCAACAACACTGATATCACTATTTGGATAAAACTTGTGGCATCTTGAAGCAGAAGTAGGGGATGAAATAGGATTGTTAAGTTTTTTAAAATTATTAGAAATCTCTTCAATATTGTCTATTTTTAATGACTTCTTCTTAAAAACTAATTCCTATCCTTATTTTGAGGATTGTCTTATAACTCTGCTTGTATGTACACTACCGCCACTAATTTTTGTACTTGATCTGAGCGATGGTAATTTTGTATCAACTGATTTATTTTCACTTAAAAATGATTTAATATCGACTGGTTTAGTATCTGCCTGATTATTTAAGAAATCTGATTTGAAGAACTGATCACTTTATACACTTCTATGAGTTTATTTGGGTATGCTCTTCTCACTACCTAATTTAGTTGTAACCTGATTAGGAGTGATTGCATCTTCATTTTCAAGTTGATTATTATGGTAAAACTAAATAACATCTTTAAACCTATCGATATCCTATTGGTTTCCATTTAACTCTGAGAGATGTATATTTTCAACGAGTATAATCTTATTGAATTTTCCAGTCATGGCTGTTCCTGAATGTCTCCTCGTATAAATTTAAGTTTAAGCTGCATGCAAGACTCTTTTCTTTTTAATTAAATTTTATTAAATAGTTTTTGCAGGCATCAATGGACCCAGATGTTGATCTAAATTAGAACTCAAATTATAAGTATGCTGCTCTGATGTATTTTCATCTGAAATATGAATAGATTATTTACCATTAATAACCTTTTGGTCATAGATACGTTTGAGAATGTTATATCCTTCTTTTGAAATATGAAATTCTTTTCGATTCACACCCAAGTACTCCTTGTTAATAATGCGGCCAATGATGTATGAGATGAAGCCTTGGCTATTCAAGAAATGCCAAATTTCATCCTTTAATTAGGAGGGGATTCTGCTGTAGGTTGGATCAATGAATCTGATCAAAATGTCAATGACATGTGAATTATCTATTTAGATTCATATTATAATAATATACATATATAATCTAAGAACTAGAAGTGAAGATTGCAATATAGAAAGTAATATATCGTATCTTTAGTGTCATTCTTTAGATAAAATTAAATAAGGGCCACAACATGAGTGATGTTACCAATAGATTAATTGTTCTGAAGAAACCCTGAGATTGATCGAACTACCATATTTTAATTAAATTTACAGATGATTTAGGTGAGATGATTGTTGGCTTCTGTTAACAATTTGTGATTATGCACATCTGTTAGAAAGAGCAAAGTCTTAAACGACCTAATTGTAAACAATTTATCTATTTTGATATTCTTAAATTTTTTGTAATCGTTTTCATCAAATTCAATTGAGTGTTCTGCAAGTAAATCAGTATCAAATATAAGACTAGGTTATGAGAGATAAGGATCTGTAATGAAGTATATCAGATTTTAGAGTCTTTCATTGGATTTGAAATATTCTGCTTATTCAGAATCAAGGATTCGAGGTTTTTCTTGGATAAGGATTTCCTCAATGTTGAGATTATCTACAATCTCATCATTGAGAGATCCAAAGGATTCAGATCTTTACCTGGATACAGCAGGTGATCTCATTGAAGGTGATGAAATAGTATTTTAATGATGCAGCCCTCTTCTGTTCTGACTCTCTTGTAATCCAATGGCAACTGACCTGAAATGTTAATCTTCAGTGTTTTTATTGCTTTCTTCTTGGTACAGTTGCAGAACGGCTAAACATATAATAATGATTACTTGATTCAACCAATTCACAAAACTAACTAAGAGACCTGATTCCATATCCATACTCTTCCTTAACGGCTTCAATCTTATTCATAATGTGCAACACCATCTTCTCTGACTCTGCATGTTTCAAAAATATAATAAAACCATAACAGATGTCATCCAATTCTAAACTATGAAAATATGGCTTAATTGAGTTACCACGCTTCTGCTGCACAATGAAGAACTTATTAAAAATATTCAAGGGAGTAAAATTTCGACGAGCTGATCGTGTTCGATTTAAAGACTGCGTACTCTTCAATGGCCTTACAACAGCCCTTAATCCATTCCACTGACTCTTTGAACACATTAAGTAACTGTCCCAAAATCATATCTATTGCTTCTGGCAACAATGGGTAAACAATTAACAGTAGCTTAATTAACCTGGGATCTTTGATGTAAGTGTGACGATCTGGAAATGGCAAAGAGTTAGTTATTAACTTAAGGGCTGGAAGTAGTTTAGTCACCGTATCATTCGATTTAATGGCTGCTTCCATTTATTCCATTACTTTCATTTTATTATTATAAAAAATACTCATTTTTATTTACTCAATAGATACAAATCAAGAACCACAATTGCTGCCATGCTTTCAACTACTGGCACAGCTCTGCTAACTACACAAGGATCATGACGACCATGAGCCTCTAAAATTATATCTTCTCCTTTGAAATTAGAGGTTTCTTATTCGAGACCTATTGTAGAAACAGGTTTGAATGCCACTTTGAAATAAATATTTTCTCCATTTGTTATGCCTCCCAAAGTACCACCAGCATTATTAGTAATTGGTTTTAAATTTTTGAATCTGTCATTATGAGCACTTCCCCTTTATTTGGTTCCCTCAAAACCTGAACCAAATTCAAAGCCCTTTGTAGCTGGGATACTCATTATAGCATGTGCCAAAACAGCTTGAAATTTATCAAAGCATGGTTCACCTAATCCAATTGGACACCCTTTAATCACACAGGTTACTGTTCCTCCAATAGAATCCTTATCAAGTTTTACTTGTTCAATTAATTTTACCATTTCTAATGCTGATTCTTAATGGGGATTTCTAAATTAATATTTTGCATTAACTTCCTCAATCTAATCTTGAGTTGGTGGATTCAATATCAATTATTGTTAGACTTCCTTAGGGATTTCAATGTTTCCAACAGAAGAAACCCAGGCTGAAATTGATACGTTCATTTAACTTAGGTATTATTAAGCTATGGCCCCTCCACAAACTCTTCCAATAGTTTCCCTTGCAGAGGATCTACCACCTCCACTTTCTGCTCTAATTTCGTATTTCATTTAATATGTAAAATCAGCATGACCTGGACGAGGAATATCATCAAATTATTTATAATCCTATGGTCGCATGTCTTCATTATAGACCATAATCATTATGGGACTGCCTAAAGTTAGATGCTAAGTGTTGAGTCCACTAATTATGATGGCTTTATCCTTCTCATCTCTTTGAGTTGTCAATTTAGTCTATCCAGGTCTTCTTCGATTTAATTAGTATTGCAAGGCATCTTAATCAATTTTAAAGTTGGATGGAAATCCATCAATAACACAACCAACTGCTTTGGAATGAGATTCTCCGAAAGTTGTTACTCTATACTTTTAGCCAAAAGTACTCATAATTATAATTAATTGTAAATATTATAGATTAATATGCTAATCATAATTCATTTTATTTTTTTCCTTTTTTAGTTAATTGAATTTAAGAATGACTATCAAAATCTGAACTGGATACACTTTTGACACTGCTCTCTAGTTTTTAATTCTTTTATGTCTTTTTGGTCTACTTGGATTTAGTACTATTTTCGTTTTTTTTATGAGATTTTTATGAAATAACAATTTCAGAAATCAGATCATCCTATCCTTTAGTAGCTTTCTTTCTATAAGCTCTCTTTTGCTTAATCTAATGATTCGTTTAAGCACTCGAATTTCTAAATAAAATAAAAAATTATACCTATCCTATTACTTTGTCTATGATGACTTTTTGGAAGTCTTACTTTTCTCCTTTTTTCTAGCAAATTTAGTTTTTGATTATTCTTCCGCACTTTTGCTTTACTCTATACTGGATTCATAGCTTTCGCTCACAAACTCCTCCTCTGTTTGTTTTTCAAGTTAGCATTCTGTAGTTCCCATGTATCTAGTGCACAAAGTAGGACTGCAAGTAAACTTTTCTGCATTCAAAACCAAGATAAGTTCTGTTGGTTTATATTTCATAAAGATTTCTGCTTCATCTCCTTCTATACATTTGATACATCTAAATGTTTAATCATCCTTTATTTAGTAGAAGATGAAGATTTCCATTTTGCAAGTACTGCATTACAACACTTCTCTAGAATTGAATCTCTTTTTGCAACTCTTGATTTTTGCAGATTGCTTTATGTAATTCTTTATGTCATCCTCTATAAAATTGTGCAGGTACATTTTCAATTGAGGAGATTTGCGATGAAAATATATATCCAGAAACAAGTTCTTAATCGGTATAACACTTGAGATTTTGTATTTGTCATTAATCAATTGTCTATCATATATTTATTGAAATGTATTCTCTTGATAGACTAGCAAATTCCAAGATGTATTTATGGTATTGCCTAGACTCTTCACCCAATGTAGACATCCAGCTCCCAAAATCACAAGATCTCCTTTTTTTTGTATCGTGTATTTTATGGGAATATTGTTTTCTAAAAAAAAGTCAATCTCCTTGAACCATAAACCTTCTATTTAATATAGATTGGGCATCGCTTCATATACTTTATTTACATATTGAGCATCCACAGTTAACCAAAGACAATCTCCAGGACCATGATTGAAATTTAAAGAGTTTACTGATGAATTTTCCTGATGTCCACCTGTCCAAACTCCTTTGGTCTTTATGTAGATCTATGGAATATTAACTCCCAAACAGAATTGTCTCATGTACACCAATCCATCATATTTCAACAATGATTAGGGCATATACTCATATAACTACCCTGTTTCTTCATCCCAATTATCCATGTCTACATTCACAGCAAATAACACTTTATCCGGTGAATATTCTGTGTGTTTCTAAAAAAACTCAGCTTTGTTTTTCAAATACTTACAATACTCATCAATCCTCATTTAATTAGCTATACAATTTTATTCAACCGTTGGAGTAAAAGTGTCTGTATTTGGATCTTGTATTCGAATGTCCACTATCTAACTCCCATGTCTCTTGGCTATGTCTTCAAAGGAGAAACACTTAGAATTCAATTTATTCACTATATCAGTTGGCAATTGCCACACTGTTACTTGTTCCTTTAACCAAGTTTCCGGTGATTCCACCTAACAGTCTAGTGAATAGGTCTGTTCCACATAGAATGCCTTTTCAAGACAACATCCATTTAACTTAGGATTTTATTTCTCATAATTCAACAGATATTTCTTGAATACATTGAGTTAATTTTTGTATACTTCAGAATCAAATATACTACACTATCTAGAGTAAACCTATCTATTTGAAATAGAATACTTGAACAAATCCCCCTTGAATTTGTACATCCGAATATAAATCTTATGTTTCTTTAGCTTCTAAAATATCAAGTTCTTCTTGACTAGGCTTGAAATGCTCCTTAATAAAGCTTAAATACATTCTCTGAAATATTTAATATAATTTAAGTCTGATATTATTTAAGAGGAACCAATTATCAAACAAATAATTATCTGGCTTTTTTTAATTATAAATAATAATTACAATTCCAAAAACATTAATATGATAGGCCTTCTGCCTATTTTATAGAACTTTAAACCATAAAATTATGATAAATTTTGCATTGAGAACTAGTAGGAATTGATCTAACTTTGACTTAAAGATAATTACATTTAAATTTCTTCAATTTTCTCATTTAAATACGCACTAACTACACTAACTATATGAATTTTTATATTCTTATTATGATTTGATTGTGTTTAAGATTTAAGATATTTTTTATTTACTATTATGTTTTGGACTAACCTATAAATTAATTGTTGGAGATATATTTTATTCATTCTAAGAAATATTATTTTAATCTCTAAATTATATTGAATCGATTCAAGAAATATATTTTATATAGAATATATCTCTTCTTAATCTTATATAATATCTCTTGAATTTTCAATTCAAATAATTAAGTATGACAATAAGATGATAATATTCTAATTACCTTCCTTTCTAAAATGAATTATTCTAAATAGAAATAACACTTCAAATTCATTATAAATAATGTATATATATTTAATCCTAATATCACTTTTTATCGGAAGAAATATATGAAATTGAATGAGTAATTTCAAAACTAATTAAAACTATAATTATCTATAATTTTCATTATAATAATATTATTCATTTTTCATAAATTAAACATATTTTTAGAAAGTAGAAATCCATTATATATGAATAAATGATTTCCCTCCAATATTTAAGTAGCTTAAATAGTAAAAACTTACAATCCAATTATCAAAAGCTCGTACTTAGATGTTATTCAAAGGTTTTAGATAAATTGTTATCAATGTAGAATGGCTCAAATTTATGATCCAGTTTTATAAAATAATACAGATTTATTAATTGTAAATTATAATCGTATTAGTTTATTTTGTATCCTACTTATTAAACATTGTTTTTTAATTAATCATAAGTATTAAATATTAATATTTAGAATTAAACAAAAAAGTATGCTTTGATTTAAAATTGATTTTATTGCAGAAATGTGAGCTAAAGTCAATTAAACAATCCTTATGTTTATCTTTATTAATATTTTGAATTTTAACAAGAGGAACCTTCAATAGGATTGATAATAGTTAAAAGAATCTTCTATGAGAATGTTAACTTAATGTTACCCGGAGCAAAATTTAAGAAAATGAAACTACAATTCAATCTTTTTAGATATAGAGTTGATGAATTGGTAGTTAAAGTCAAATGATTAATCGGTAAGCAAAGTAAATTTTTTTACGAATTCTATCTTATATTATTACTAAATATTTTGTTTAATTAACAGCTTGCCGATACGTTTTATATTAGAAGGGCAAATGTAATATCTTTAAACTAGAAGGAAGGGCTTGGGTGAACATCCTAAATTTCTTGGTCCTATGAAATATTGAATTTTATTATAGTTTGTTGCATATCTTATTTTATATATTTTCATCACATATAACCATGACAAATCTGATAGAGAAATATAAATAATTAAAATAAATTTTGAATGGTGCCAAATGATAAGTAAATTATTTCTCAATTGTAGTTAATTGGAATGTTGTGAAATGGAAGATGATAAATAGTCAGCAAAAGCAACTTCAAAAAAAATACAAAATAGAAAAATATGGTCCTAAAAAGAAGACAAGTTGCTTGAAAGAGCAATTCATGAACTTGGAACTAATTGGAAGGAAGTGGCAAAATATTTATATAATCGAAATCCTTCTTAATGCGCTCAAAGATGGAAGAGAATTAAGCCAGTCTCAGTATGTTTAATTTAAACTAAGCTCAGTAACGCTCTCGACATTCTTGGAGTGCAATCGAAGACGAACAATTGTTAGAATTAGTTAAAATACACAAACGGAATTGGGGAATGATTGCAAGCATCATGCATTGGAGAACAGGGAAGTAAATTAGAGAACGATTTATTAACAAATTGAATCCAGAAATAAGGGCTGAACCATGGTCAAAAGAAGAAGATCTAATTGTCATGGATGCTTATCAAAAATATGGATCAAGATGGACAGAAATATCCAAGTTATTAAACGGGAGACCTGTATAATTTATAACTAAAATTTATTTAGGAAAATATGATAAAAAATAGATTTTATTCCTTTATTAGAAAAGAATATATGAATATTTAAAATCCTTATTACGTTATACCAAATTCATAATAAAAAACTGACACTGATTAATTAAAATCATCCCAATAATTAGATGAAATCCTTTAGCAAGATCCTAATGATAATAGTTAGTCATCTAAAAGCAGTATTATTAAAAGAAGGAAAAACACTAAAGTTCAAAAAAAGAAAATGAAAAAATAAAAAGTAGTCAAAAGAAAGAAAGAGTAAGAACAAAAATTTATTAATAATATTGTTAATGATTAGAATGAACAGGTTTTGAATGAAATTATCTCAGCTGAGAGTTCAGAAGTGTAGGTGAAAGAAGAGGACGACAACGAAATTTAAGTAAATAAAATAGGATTAAGTATATTAAGTTAGAGTGTAAACAATAATCTAATTCAAATTAATAACTAATTAAATTCTCAATAATTGTTTAATGATTCTATAATATCATTATACAATTCTTAAGTCCTTTTCAATTAAACTTCATAATCACAGCAAAATTAATAACATTAATGTATATTGTTTTATTAAATTAGATGCAACAGCTATGCTTTTGAAATAAGAATTTGCAAATTTGATGAAAAGTTAGAGTCTTATGTAATCGTAATTAATGAAAGAAAGTAATCAAATCCAATCCAATCCTTCTAGTTAAGAAACTCGATAATCTTCATTATTGTAACTATCACTATCAAGCATGAGTTTTCTTCAATTTCCTTGTGTATTTAGACAAGAGTCTTTTCCTCAATCAATGTATAATTCATAATAATGAAAGAGAGTCTGAGCCTTTTCACTTATCAAATATATATATTAAATTTTTAATAAAGATCTTTAAAATATAAAAAAACTTATAATGCTTATTATTTTTAATAGCAAGTATAAATATTTCTTTAAATAAAAAATTATTCCTGCACTTAATATTTGATTGAGAATAAAGTGCCTAGCCATCATACTGTAAATAAGAAATTGTATATGGATTATCCTAAACCTGATTGTAGATATTTCTAGCATAATTACAGTTATGAGTCTTGCTAATATTTCTTTACAGATTTTTATTTCAGATGTTCAGAATTGCTTTAAGTTCGTAATCTAACTTATAACTGCAAGATAGTAACAAAAACAAAGGATATAGCGATTTAAAAGTTATTATAGAAGATAACATAACTGTTACGCTGATAATTATTTAAATACTTTATCCCTCTAAAATTCATTACAAAATAATTGCTACTATTGTTCATGAGAAGTGTAAATACTAATTATTTTGTATCTATGCTCTTGTAAATAAATATACAATATATTGATGCTCAATTTGAAAATTAAATTTGATTTAAAATGATTAAATATATTGTTCAAATAATTTAGGATGACTATTTGACTACTCTAGCCAACGTTTATTATAAATTCTATAACTCTTATAAATAGCTAAAATCTTATATTATATTTTACCCTCTTGGAATTGTAGTAATTTCTGCTGTGGGCAGTTGTGAGAAATATGACTGAATTTTAACTATATCTGTTAAGGGGATTTTTTCAATGAATTTAGGTGGAGATGAATTCTTTAAAAACTTATTAAAATTATTTGCATTTTTATTAACATTAAATATATCCTTAGTCTAGAGTGGTTTACTAGTCTCATAAAAATTCTCTTTTTAAGGTTATTAAGAGTATTTATAAAAGCTAATATCTTTAGAATTGTTTAATTGCTTTAATTGAAGATCTAACTTTGTATCCCAACTTCTAAATCTTTCTAAATTAATTGGTGATTAATCTCTTCCTGTTTATCTTGACAAAAGCGCTTAGGATTATCTTTTTGGTTTCAATATATTAGAGAATGAGTTGTCTTATCTACTAAAAGAATCATTTTATTCCTTTTTAAATAACTAATCCACCTTTCTTTATTGCTAATAATAAAACGTAGTTTATGACTAATTCTAATCAATATATTTCTTTTGAGTATTGCTAAGAATAAAAATAATAGTTACAAGATTTCTTCCATATTTAATCCTCCTGGTAGACTTTTCTTTGGAGATGACCTAGCCATATATTTGGCCACATTACCTTCGCTGTAAATAATTTGAAAAAATTACGTATTTTTTCTTTCATGTTTCTTCCAATTAGTTAATAGAATTGGCTTCTTCTCCTATTGTGGAACGAATGGCTCTCTTTAACTAATGTTGTTGCGTATTTCTTTTCGAAAATCAGCCAATTAAGTCTTGTTCACTTAATTAGTTGTTGAAAATGTCTGAAAAGACCCATTTTGCTTTTCATATCTTTATTGTTTAGACTTTTATAATCTCAAATTATCATACTGGTGAAAATAGAGATGGAGATCTCATAACGACTGGATTTTAATATTAATTTAATTTGAATTATAATTCTTACCAACTATAAAACATTTTAGTTTGAAATACTATAATATTATTCAAAGACTCAAGTTGGTTTAGAACTATTAGAATTAGAATTGATAATTTTATTATCATGTTACTAATTGATTAATTATCAATAAATTAATTTACTAACAAAAAAATATAGTATTAACAAAATTGCTTTTTTGTTATTATCACAATTCTCATTAATATAATCCTTAATATGTGTACTACCCAATCTGGGGAGCTAAGCCTATTATTCTCAATTCCAAAGTATCTATATCCTGAATTATTTCTTAATCATCATGTTACAGTTTCTATATTTAATCTTGGAGTATGGCAAACTCCCCAGTTTAAACAACCTCAAATTAATTTATTTTCTTTAATAATAATATCAAAAGCTTACCTATTTTAATTTATGTATTCTCAAACTGATATCATATTCTAAATTAATTTATTCTTTCTTTTATTAATGCTCAATAGTCTGTATCTAATATCTTAATTGGCCTATTGATTCCCTCAATGGTTTCATGTTCGATCTGGAGCTTGCAATTAAATCCTGTTAATAAACTAATCAGTATACTCTGACTTCTCTTATATGTTCATAAGCTGTGGAAATAAATACTTCTTGAGACAACGTGTCCTCATAATGACTAATATTCATCTACAACACTCTTGTTGAATCTGGAAAAGACTCAATTCTTGTTGAATCGTTATTCAATTTATAGCCACTATATGAAGAAGTACTTATTGATTTTTTCATAAAAATAATAAAAATTAAACCTAATTTTGCAAATTAAGTCTAATCATCAAATAAATAATACCTTAGAAATAACTTCTTTTGAAAAACTAATCACTAAAATATAGATATGACATTCTACTATAAAATCATGAATAATACTAATAAAATTTGATAAATTAAAATTTTTAACATAATTAGTCTTATGCTTTAGATTAAATTATACTTAGATGTTTGATCACTTTTTTATAGATTGAAATATATAATAGGAGAAGATCAAAAATATATATTATTTTCTTTGAAAGAGAATTATCATACACTTATCAAAGATAAAAGAAATAAAGTTCAATATATACTCACTTATCTCTAAAAGGCAATGTGTTTAAAGATATATTTTATTCACAAATTTATTTACAATAAACTAATGAATTTATAAATATAAATAATAGCATTAAATTAACCAATATAAATTTACAATTTATCTAGAAAAACTATTAAAATAAATTAACACTAACCAAATGTTGTAGGAAGATTGGAATTTGAAATTATTCAAAAAATTAATACAATGATTAATGCTTATATTTTTACTTACTAATAACAAGTCAAGAATATTTGGCTCATGATTAAGCAATAAGACTAGAATAACTAGATGTATAATAAATCATTTCCTTATTAATTTTTTACTAATAAAATACAAAAACACAACTTTTTTATATGGATTTTATAATTTAACTAAAATTCATTTATGCAAAATGAGTAAGAAAAATAGAATAATAAAGACAATTTACTATTTCTTAATGATAATATATTATTCTTTTTCAAAAGATGCATAATATATTAATTGTTAAAGAAGTGACATTAGAAAATTCATAATTAAAATAACTATTTTACAATTAATATTATTATTTGTATGAATACTTGATCATCATCTGAAATAAGTCAAGCTTCTGGCTGTAAGACCACCGACTTTAGATTCGTCTTCTTCTTAGTTCACCCAATATTCAGTGAAATCTTTCTTATCTTACTCATTGTTAATGTCGATTCTTCTGAAAACGTGGTAATCATAAGCAACATGATCTTTCTAAGAATGTTTTAATTATAATTATTACCCATTCTTATGGAACTTCAGTTCCTCTCCAAATCCATGCTCCTCTGATTTCCAAATTTGGCTCATCACCATAGACACCATGAATAGCAAAAGAGTATTTTCTGAAATTTTAATCCAATCTTTAATTGATAAATCCTTTCATTAAGTTATTTGTTAAAATAAGTTGTTTGCCTTCATTTTAAGATTTGTTATAGGTGACAATCCATAAAGACCAGCCTTGAACGTCAACTGATGTGAAGAGTTATTAAATATTCTTGGCAATGTCTTTTTCAGCAAAGAAGGCTCTTTTATAGTCATCAATATTGAAGGGAGATGGGGGAAGTAAATCTAAAGGATTCTTCTTCTTTTCTGGAAGTGGTTCATCATCTTCTTAAGCTTTTTATTTTTATGCTTCCTTTGGTTTTTCAGCTTCTTTTGGTTTCTATTCCTTTTACTTTTGTTCTTTTGGTTTTTCATCTTTTGGCTTTTATTCCTTTGGTTTTTCATCTTTTGGTTTTTATTCCTTTGCTTTTTCTTCCTTTGGTTATGCTTCTTATTTTGGTAATGGGAAGGCAACTTTGCATAATCTCACTCTTCCAAAATTCTATATAGATTAGATTAATTTATACTTTTTTGAACTGAGGAAGTTCAGACACAGCTGTGAACCATTTCATTAATGAAGGGTATGATTTTCTGGTCTTCTCATCAATCAATAAAATGAAAAATGGAGCAATTCTTACAATAAGTGTGACATCTGCAATTGTCAATTTATCCCCAACCAAATATGGAGAATTCTTGAAATGACCCTCTAATTATTTTAATTTGTCATTGATGATGTTTTTTGCAGTTTTGAAAGTGTCCTCATTGGCAGGGTAATGTCCCCATAATTGTGGGAATGTAGTCATGAAATTTGGGTCTAATTCATTTATTGTCCAATCAATCCATTGATCAACCTATGACTATTAGAAGGGAGTAGCACTTAAAATAAATCTAAACATCATACCCATATAATCCTGATTCTAATTTTGATCTAGCGAGGTATCTACAGATAGCGTTACTCTCATAAAGGAATCCATCGGTTGTTTCGATGACTGGAATTCTAGCAAATGGGTTTCTAGCTAAATGTTCCTTAGATTCGCATTCATGATATCCAACTTCAACTTACTCAACTGGAATTTGAAGAAGATCTGCTACTAGCTGAACTTGATTGAGTCTGGGATTTGTTGATGGGCCGTATAACTTGATTGACATATTTTAATAAAAGATATTAAATTTAAATCATTTTTTATTAATAAGAATTCTTTCATAAACTTTGTAAATTATTAATAATTTATTCGAATGTAGGCCTCTGATCAGGATTAGGATGCCAACACTAGGCCATTAATGCTTTCATTTCCTATTAGCATTCAAATTAAAGATCAGGTCTTTAATTTTGCTCTGTCACAGCCCTCATGATTTGCATTGGATTGGCAATATTCATATATGGAATCTATCTTGAAAATATTTCATATAAAACAATCTATGATATTATTATTGAATATTACTCCATAGGAATAGACATCAGCTTTGTTTGTGTACATTTCCCCTCGAAAGACTTCAGGAGCCATCCAGTGCTAATTTAATTAATAAACTTACAAATGTTCCAACAACAGCTGTCATCCACTCAGTCTTTTCCAAAGCTGTTCTCGCCAAACCAAAATCTGCAATCTTTATGTTTGAGTCAGCACTAAATGGTTGATCTAACAAAATGCTATCAATTTAATTAGTATTTACTTTAATGATTTCAGATCTCTATGCATAAATCCTAATTTATGAATGTAGGCCATTCCCTCAGCTATAAATAAGCTTAATTTCAATTTCGTTAATTAATCAATATTGGTCTCCCTATTTCTATGAATCAAATCAAAGAGAGAACCACCTGAGCAAAACTCGGTGATTATATATAATTTATTTTAATTGAAAGTAATTCCGATTAAACAAACTAAATTCTAATGATGCCTCACTTTTACCAAAGTAACTATTTCTCTCTTGTATTCTTTCATCTTTTATTCATCCTTTTCATTTATATCAATATCCTTTATTGCTACTATTTAATTTTTGTACTTTCCACGATACACCACTCCAGATCCTCCTGATGCTATTTGCTCATAAAATACTAATTCGTGGTATTATATAATGAAATCACTGATATCGACTTCGCCATCAATTATTTCATTGGCATGTTCCAAAATTTAAGAGTGTATTTTCTATCTAATAGGCGTTAAGTTGAAAGTTGGATTTATAGATTAAGCCAAGTTTTGTGGTACTTATTATTTCATCTCTTATTTTTATTAAGGAAAATTATCATATGACATAGGGATAAGATCCTCCTCATCATCTTCAATTACAATGTTTTATTATTAATTACTCTATTGATGCATTTAAGGTATTTACTGCTGGTATATGTTTTATTAATGCATTTACTATTAAAATCCTTGGGGCTATTATTATTAAGAAATGTTTTATGTCTGCCCTTTCCCTTCTTTTTAATCTTGATTTGCAATTTAAGTAAAATTGATGTCAATTGGTAATAGAAAAGAATTTTGTTATGCCTAATGAGGTTTATCATCAAAGTTAATAAGGTCAAATGGTTCATTGTTCTATGTTATAGGAACTACGTTATCATCATGAACATCAAGTAAATTTGTTACTTCAATTATTTTTGATTTTTCTTGTTATTTTTAATTAAAAATTTGAGATTAAACTTATTATGCTTATTACATTTTTAAGTAATCTTGGAGATTATTATCTTACTACTTATCATCATTTATTTTAAAAATAATTTATGAAAGCATTTATGGGTCAATTTCAGTTTAGATTGATTCTCTTCCTGCTTATTAAATAAATTAATTATTCAATGATGATTGAAGAGATTATTATTATTATTATTATTATTATTATTATTATTATTATTATTATTATTATTATTATTATTATTACTATTGTTACTGCTATTGTTATTATTAATGTTATTGTTTTTATTATTATTATTATTATTATTATTACTATTACGATTATTATTACTATTATTATTGCTATTATGAAAATGCTTATGTAAAATCAACCCAAGGCTAATCATATACTTATTCTTATGATGATTACAAACTTCCTTAATTATTTAAGAATCCAAAATCTGCAAAAAAATCTTGATTATTATTACTATTGAAATTAGACTTTATTTAATTTTAATTTTATGGTTTGTCAAAGTCAGACATAGATAATAGAACTTATTATAATTTTTACACAGTCACTTAATAACTCACTGGCATTTTAATTCCATGTATAGATCTTTAAGGATTGAGTTCAATTTTAGTTTTTCCTTTAAAATACTCAACTGATTAGATATAATTAATAACATCGGGTTGTAAATTAGGCATGAATCTTTTAATTTCTGCAAATTCAGGCAAAGTTGAACATTTTTCGAATAATTTCTTTGTTTTCAAATAGTTTTCCTCGTATCTTTAATCAACGCTTAAAATCCATTCTGTTAATTTATTTGTATCTAAATTATCACTTGTGTTCAAAGTTTCTTTTACAGCAACCCATAAATGAAGCAACATTGACAATAATGAATAGGTTTCATCAACCATTTGCATTATAATCAAAGTCTGAATCCTCCAGAGAGAATTTGGTTAAAATATTTCCGAGAGAAATAGTAAACAATCTGACCAATACTTTAATAAATCATCTATTAGTTTAGATTCAAGCGGTTTCCAAAATCCTCCCCTTTCTAAAGATAAGAATAGAGGAGATAAAGAATAACTTCCTTCAAATAAGTTTTTATTAGCATGACAAATTATTAATTTTTTGTTTATGATTGCAAAATAATTTGCAATAACTTTTACTTCATTTTGAGGATTAATCTTAATTCTTTGTTTATATAGATCAGTCAAAATTTTCATTATGGTCCAAATAGTAGGTAGATTCTTTTATTTTTAATCTTATAAAACATCTGGTGGACCCTTTTTGATATATTGATGTAAAAGAATTGACAATTTCATCATAACTCTTTGATTTTCAGGATGTGGTTATAGTATTTTCTGTTAGATTGCCAGATAAAACTTTGGTATTTTCTCTCTCTTTAACCATGCTTTAAAAACTAAAGATCTTATATCTTCTAATCTTGGAGGGTCATCATCATTGCTTGTACTTTGGATGACCCATGCTTCAGTTTTCTTGCTTAAAGTGAAAAGATAACGTTTGACTTAATCAAAAAAACCAAGTGGAGCTGCCTTCTTCTCAATATAAACATTGTCTACAGAAGCAAAATATTTATTGAGATTAGGAACAGGAATTGGTTAATTCGTTGCTTCTATGAATCTCTAAGGCAATTACCAATTAGTTTGAATTCTTTAGAGTAATTCTTATGCAGTTGGCCTATTCTTTGGATTTACAGAGAAGAGTGATTGAATCAGTTGGATTAATCTAGAGTTAGGTTAAAATTGAGTACTTAGGGGAATATTCATGAGAGTCTGGGATGAAATAATGATTATTGACTGCTGCTAAGCCACTTTCAAAGGGAGGTTTTTAAAAGCAGAACATAAATAACAAAACACCAAGAGCAAAGATGTCTGCACTTTCTGTAATAGGGTAATTTGCATAGAAATCAATATATTCTGGTGCTCTATAAAAAGGGGTCGTGTTTTCTTCAATCTCATCCTTGATTGTATCCCTATTAGTATTGTCAATTTTATAGTATTTTGTTTTGGTGACACTGCCAAAATCACAAAGTTTAAAATAACCTAAAGAATTTAAAAGTACATTTTCCATCTTGACATCCCTATGAACATAACCAAGCTATAAATGTATTCAGGAGTTAATACTTAATGAATTTGTATTAGGGCTTTGACTATGTCTCTTGCCACCATCAATACTAATTGTTCAGGAGGTCTTCTGTTTATCTTGATGATATTTTTTATAATACATAAGTGGTCATTAAATCTATCAGACTTCCCTTCGAACAATTTTCTAAAATCAATATTCCACTTGTTTGTCCTTATAATTGAGTGATGCCAGATTTCTCTAGTTTTACTATCCCCTCTCCTTAAACTTTATTCAAAATATCCATCTCGATTTAGAATGCTTTAAATGCTTTAGGGTTTGACTTGTAGCACACTTTGGCTACAAGATTTTAATGCTGAGTAGCATAAACTGTAGCAAAGTTACCTTCACCTATTTTTTTCTAGAGAGTGTATGTGTCTTTATCTAATTAAATTTTCATTTAATAAATTCATGCATTCAAATATACTAATGATATAACTCCATCGGATGATGCTGCATACGTAGCATTCTCAGTTTACGTTAAAGCCATAATCTACTGCTTTTTATCTATAATAATATGGATCTCATTTTACCTTATCTAAATGGTTTATAATCTACAATTGTTGATAACGTTTCTAAATTTATTATTTTTATTTGTCCATCATTGCAGGCACAAATTAATGAAGTTTGATACTGATTCAGTTTCATAAATTTGATTTCTGTGAAAGGTAACTTAATAATGAATGTATTAAATTACTTCTAGTGTTTTATAGATTTAGTTTTTTCTGATGTCCAAGAAATTGACAGTTCCTTTTTTCTAATTTCCTATCAAAATTGAATTCATGGGAGTAGAAAATAAGATGTCTGTGCCATTGAAATTCTCTTATGCCACAATGTTACGATTAGCTGGCAATAACATATCGTACAAACCAAAATGAGGCTTATTAGTAGAACTATAAATTGAAGCGAAGACTGTTCCCTCATTAATGAATGTTAAATCAGTAGTAGGTCTTAGTTTACTATTAAGTAAAAACAGTGGTGTATTAAGTTTGTTTACTCTATTGAGTTTCCAGATATAGGCACTATTATTAACATCATGTCCAATAAACAATTCACCAGAATTGTTAAACTTAAGAGAATCAATTTAATCTCTCTATTGAGTATTGAATTCAGCTACTACTTGGGATGATTATTTAAATGTCATTACATTAACCATTCCCTTTCCTCCTTGTAAAAATAATGGCAGATGAGGATGAGAAGCCAAACACTGTAAATCCTCTTCTGGAATTTATTTACTGGAACAATTCTAAAACTTCTCCATGAAATCCTTTTCAGTAAAATCTTTATATTCTTCATAAGGATGTGCTCTTGATTTTAAATAAGGTTCTTTCTCCTTATCCAATCCAACCTAGATTCCCAAAGCCGAGGAACTTAGTTTTATAATGTAAGGTTTATTGGTTTAAGATGCTTCTGTCCTTATAGCCTCATCGATTGTTTCTTCTTCTACTAGATTATAGCCATCTAGTGATCTATTTTTGTGTTATAGAGTGTTATAAAATTTCATATGCTTTAGGAATTTGCCATATAATACAAATCCTTCGATTGGATTAGCATTGTTAATACACATACTTTTTATTTGATCAGTCTTTATTTTAAATACTTCAACTCCTTACTTAAAGATTTTATTTTTAAATGAGATTATCGATTACTCATCAAAATTACTTATGGGATATTTAAACCCTTATTTAGTTCTATTGATTGAGATTTCCTCCAGATATTGATCCAATCCAACTTTTTAACAAATTTAAAAGAATTGATTTTGATTGAAGATCTTTTCAAGTTGCTTAAAGTATTGACTTTTAGCAAACGAAGACTCTTTCAGAACCATTCTAAGGTCTTCAATAAAGTTCTATTCTTATGAAAAATCAGAGAGATTCTTTAATAAAGTGATTACCATATCGTTTCTGGTGGTCACATATTATTCAGCCATTGTAAAGATATTACTATAACTAGTTATTGCAATATTGAACATTTCTATTTTAAAGTAACTCTTGGATATAGACAAGAAGTATTTTACAATCAAAGATTGAAATGTGAAATATATAAACTAATTCTAAATATTCTCCTCCCCTGTTGTCTTTTCTTAACTTAGATCTAATTGTTATGAGTCTTCAAGACTGTCAGATCGTTATGAATTTTATTATTCTTATTCTGATGTTGCTGGTTTATGCTTTTACATGTAGTCCTATTCACTAACATTGTACAAATCTTCAGGATAGGCTTCTTATAAAATGTCTACATTTCTATATGCTTTGAATCCTTTGTTGGAATATAGCCTTTTATTTTTAATTGCTGATTTTACTAACTCACAGAAATCATCTCTCAAATTCTCATATCCACAATCTTGTACATGTTGTTTGTATACAGTATTACAAAAAGTCTCCAATTTTCTCAATTATTCAAATGCGTTATCCCATAAGCGTAATTCCAATGCCAAAATCAAAGTCATGAACAATGCCAATAACTTAATGATGTTCAATTTCAATTTGTTGTCAAATTTCTTTTGATAATATTAGGATTATTAAAATAGTTTTAATCCAACATCGATTTCATAGAGACTCTGAACAAATGTCAAATAATATTCTTAACTTTTTTCAGACAAAGGATAATCGAAACATATTCTATACAATAAACTTTAGGTTTCTTGACAGAAGGAAATGAACTCATCCAGTCCTGTCTAATCATAATGAATTGCAAAGGTAAGAAAGCGAGAAGGAGATTTTAATTATCTTAATTTCTTCAATGCAATGTCATATAGTTTTGTTTTGTTGTGATATGTAAAGTTTGCTAAATCATCAAGTTTCTACATTAATTGCACATAATTTGTGAAATGTTCCTAATCTTCAATAGCCTAAACTATGTACATTTCAATCTATAATTCGATTAATTACTCTGATTGTTCTGTTTCTTTATTTAAATCCTATGCAAAAATCATTCCTAATTATGGCATTTAGATGTTGTAATAATATTCTACTGCTTATTACTTGATGAATTCTTAGTTATCATTTATCTTCTTAATTGGAACTTATTCTACAACTTCTTCCTCTTCTGATTCTTCACTTTCATAAAATTGAGAAAAGATATCATCTTCTGCCTTCTTACTCTTCTTTTTATTAGCATCAATGCTTTATTGAATTTCCCTTTTCACGTTTATATTTTCCTTGAGTTTTTCAACCAATAGAATAGCCGATGGATGATAATACGATAACTAAGGAGTAAATGTAGCAGGCCAACTAATGCAGACAGCCTTTCCAAAATTATCATATTCTAAAATATGATGTTCGGGTTCTCTTAATAAAACATTAACACTATCAACGTATCTTCCCAATAGATAGAAACCAATATGCAATAACCAAATATCGTTCATCTCTTCACCGCTTTTGATAAAATAGTCTTAGATCAATTATTCTCCCACTGGTCCACCTTGTGGTTCATAGATCTTTGTTGTTAAGTAAGCCAATTAGATATCCTCCATATATCTAGCCATGACGTTCACTGCATCATTCAAATGTCCTCCTATTAAGAAAAAGGCAGCTGCATCCTAGTATCTTTTTTTAGATACTAAGGCATAAGCATTCTTTGAAGCTGCTGATTTCCATCTAGGTTAAGTGAAATCTTGTTGCAAAAATTCATAGGTTGATTTGTATTCCTTACCAGAGTTAACTTCCTTTTTGAAAAGAGTTGTTATTACACTCTTTTTACCCAAAACTATGAAGTACAATAATGATTAGAACGGGTCTTTAGATTATTTATAAATCTACAATGCAATTTCTTCTAATCTTTATTTAATAAATGACAAATCCATCCATAGTACTGTTGCGTATCTTTTAAGTAAATTCCAAGATAAATCATCAGAACTAGCAATGCATTCTTACCAAAGTGTTTCTTTTTACAATGAATGTAATGCCCAAACTACTTCTTTAGAACTTAATACTCTATTTCTTTTATGGGTTGGTTGATTTCTAAAGATGTGTACATGGAACATAAACATTGCAGCGTAAAAATCTAATGAACGCGAATTATCTTCATAGTATCTTAAGTAATCTAAGATTATGTTAATTTTTAATGGATATTCTTAACAAATCTTTTTAAGGACATCAACTGGATGTAAAGTGTAATCATACGAATCTTTGTCTTGCAATTTCTTCATTTCATAAGTTCGAATTGCATCAACCCATAAAGGTTCTGGTTCAGAAGTCATTTGATATAATTCTAATAAATTTTTATATGGAACCATAAAATGATTTCCCAAGGCACCATGATGTTTAAACTTCAGACATATTAGCTTCAAAATAAATTGTACTAATTATAATTTACCCAGTTGTATTAATTCACTCAGAAAATCGTAATCTTACAATTAAACATTATCTTAATTTTAAATATTATAAATTACTTTATTGATTTATTAATTTGTAGCTTAAAGTGCTTGGCATCCAAAACTTATCTGCTAAACAACGTATTAATGAATTGCCTAACACTTTGACTTTTCTTCCTGTTTTAACTATCAGGCAGTCCTTTATTGTATAAAATCTGTAATTTTGAGGCATAGATTATTTCGACAATCGTTTGCAATAGATTCCTTCCCTATTGTTTAAATATTTTCTAAAGATAATAGTTAAATTGTTTACTATTTAATCGATGACAATTTATAGCTTTAATCACTTTTATCAAATTGAATAGCGAAGGCAGTCAAATAGTTATCCGTTTATAAAAGGAATGCAAAGTTGGTTAATGGTACAACTTACACAATAACTTTGGAAACATCGTAAAGAGCCTTGTCAACTCTGACAAGAAAGGATTGAAGATTGAATCTAACCAAGAATTCTCCTGAGGAGGAATGAAAATCAATTTCATTTTAATGACTCATCACAAAATAAATTGGTTGGATTCCTCTTAATTATCCAACCTCTTTGATATTGTAACTTTTAGAGATCTGAACAATTTACTGCATTTATTCATTAAAGCCCTTTAATTATTTCCCTGTAATGGAAATAAAAGAAAGTTCAGTTGATTGTAATATCTATAATCTTTCATAAGTGAAGTCTAGTTTCCATGTTTTCAATTCTATAACTTAAAAATCTATTTATCCATGGCCATAGACTTCAAATTGTATTTAAATTAAGGCAACCTTTTAAGCTGCTATCACTAATAATTGTAATTCATCTATTTCGTAGTTAATTTTTCTCAGTTCAGTGATTTTATCTCTGTAATCATTTGATAGATGATTATAGAGATTGATATGTACTTCTAATAGTTAATTCTGCTAAAAAGTGAAAGCCAAACAATTTTGAGCATTGGATGAAGTGAGTAGAATAACATCATTTTCCTTTACTTTGTCCCTAGTGATGTACATTTGCTAATCTACTATATACAATCGATTTTACATTTAGATAGATTGGCATTAATTTTCCAGATTTTAGATTGTCCATCTGAAATATGGTATTCCTGACTGATTACACTGTTCAATTTTAATTGTTGTAAACACAAGTAATTCCAATCATTTATAATGGCCACTTGATTCTTGCAGATTGAGAAGTGTATGATATTTTAAAACAGAAACTTTTCACATTAAAACACTTGTTTGGTATCATCCTTCAAGTTAACACATATCTTAATTAAATTCCATAATCTATCAAATCCAATAATTTCTATCTTTTATCCTTCAATTTAATCTACCAGAAGAATCTTCTTGATTTATTTGAAGACGTCACTTTTAGTTTTCTTAATAATCTTAACTGACTCTTCAAGTGAGTAATTTCTAAGAAAATCTAATTTGACCACACTTAATTCGCATTCTTAATGTAACAGTAGATAGTCAACACTCGATTACTCAGTATCCTGGACTCCAAATTAATCTGATTCTAAATAAACATTTTTCCAAGGGTATGGTATTAATCCCTTAAGATAAATGAAACAAAAGGAGGATATTTGATCAAAATGCAAAGTGTGTAGTTTACAGAAATTCTTGCATTAGATCATTTCTTGCCATATTGTTAATTGGTTGCTTTTGGTGAGTGTGACTATAGTATTGGGAGTAGGGAAAGGTGATGGAGCTATTCTAAGCGTTCCTCGAAACTTGTAAGAAATTACTTCATCCTAGTGATCCAACTTCACTCTTTATTATTGTGATAGCACTCCTTCTTGAACCTCTTTGATTGAATTGAAATCCCACACAATTACAGTGTTTTCATGAAGAGTAGTAAAATAACGAACATCTGGAGAGAATTTCACATTTGCTATTTAGTATTCCAATTCCAATGTGTAGATTTCGGTCAGATCGATTAATTCATATTAATCTAATTGTCCAAGTAATTTGTTTTACTTATGAGTCGCTTTCCAAATATGTAGTTTATTTTATGAACATCCAATAATATGTTCATCTGTTTTATAGAACGATATATATACCATCAAAGGAGAAAAATGCATCTCTTATGGGATTCGTGCAATTCTTACTGTAACTCTATTCCCAACCATTGAGTAGAGGCTTATACGCTATCAATTCTCTCTGACAGAACACTACAAACACTCCTTTGCTGGATGTTGCCACAGCCACGATGTCACTCATATAATTCCTAAAAGTCTAAGCACAATCTCATGATGTTAGTACTTGCATATGTTGCAATATTTCTTTGGTGTATATTATTAGCTTCTCTTTCGAATAGGTGAGAATGCACTCGTTCTAAAAATGTGAGACACTTTTTAGTATTTGATACATATTATTATTATTGTATATAATTTAAATTAAATGAAGAAAGCCAAAGGAGGAGACTTTAATTTTGCTTCCAGAGCACAAAAGATAGATAAACTTGAGTTTCCACAATCTAGTGAAGAGCGTTTCATTGTGAAAGCCAACAAAGATGTATCTACGAATAGTTTTTAAATCTTAGGGAGTTGGATTCTAATGGAAGACTTACGATGAGAAATTGTTGGGTAGAAACATAGACAAATAGACTTTCGATAACACTGTGGCTGAAGCTACTCGTATTTGTCGTAACTTGTGGAGAGAAAAATAAAGAGAAGAACATAAAGATCCAACTAAGGCATATTAACCACTCCTTTATGTTTCAGTTTTTTTAATCCTTTTGGCCTTTGTGTTTCTTTTAGTTTTAATCTATGGAAGTAGAGATAAATTAGCATTGCTCTATGTTGCAGTTGCTATTCTTTGTTTAGCTGCATGTATTAATAATATTATCAAAGTGCTTACTTTAATTGTTGTTGCTAAGACTTGGAGTTTAGAACCATAGTTCATGGATCTAGAGAAAGCCCAATTGAATAAGGTGACTGAATACTTAAACAATCAGAATATATCAATTTATCAAGCCAAGGGTTATAAATGGTAAGTTGAACCTAATCTTTATTGGATTGAGTTGGTTGTCATTTGAAAAATATCATTATATCTATATATAATTTATATCTACGATTTTTAGACTCTCAAATTCTTTTATCTTTTTATGATATAAATTACTATACTTATATAATGCATAATCAGTTATATTAATTAATTTAAAATTATTAATTTCTGTTCTAGTATGATCTAGTTTACTTATTAGAATATGTATCAGTAAAATATTTAGCATTTATTTTTATTAGTTTAAAGTAACAATTACTCTTTTACTGATTTAATCACTGTCAGTATATTCTATTATTGCTAGATCTTTAAAAAAAACGTGTTAGAATGATGGAATTATTCATCAATTTTTTAAATTTTATAATTTCTGTGCAATAACGATATATAATTAATTATAAATTCAGCAACATCCATTTGAAGTCGAACTCTATTGTTAAAGTTATGTTTAGTTAATTGCTTATCCTACTCGGACTCCTGGTAGTTCACCCTTCTATTGATTTCTCTAAACGATTTTGAGTACTTATGATGCTGCTTAGGAGAATGTCTGAAATATAAATTAGAAATTACTTCAATAATGTTTAAATTATCCTTTGCACTTGTTTCAATAAACAATAGGTTTTTTTCATTCGCTAGTTACTACCCTTCAGATTTGGAAACTTTACGCCATTTATATTATGTATATTATACTATTTTTCTAAATCAACTTTATTTCCAACCAACACTATCACCATATCCTATGTTCCATGGACTTAACACTCTTTGATCCATTCTCTGACATTTTCGAATGATTCTCTTCTAGTAACATCATATACTAAAATTGCTCCTGCAGCTGATCTATAATACTGTCTCGTGATAGATTTAAAGGTTTCTTAACCTGCAGTATCCCAAATTTATAGTTTGATTTATTTGCCATCCAAATCCAGAACTTTGGCTCCAAATTCCACTCCAACAGTCATCTCATGCTTCACTCTAAATTTCTATTCCAAAAATTAGTACAATATGCATGATTTTCCAACAGCTTCAAATTATCAAATTCTTTTTACCTGTATCACCTATTATGATAAACTTAAAGAGATAATGGTATGACATTAATAATAATATTCAAATTAAATCAATACATTTGCCATAATTCTACAATTTATATAAACCTCTTTAAATCTATAATAAATTATTTCTTTCCATAAATTAGAATCAATTACAAGATAATTCTTACTAACATCAAAATATAATATGAGATAAGTTTATTAGAAGTATAAACTGTTATTTACTATCTGTTAAAGTAGGAAATATATTTTCTTATTAAGAAAAACAAAGCAAAAATGCGATATTAGAGTTTTCAATCCAAGAAATACAAAATTCTATTAACTTACATATGTATTTTTAAATAATCGATTAAAAATACATGAAAAGTGTAATAGAAAAAATACTTTATATTTATAAAAAATTAAACCACTCAAAAGAGAGATTAAAAAGATTTTAGTAGGAGGGAGAAGGATTAATAAAATTAATTATTTGAATTCCTTTACCTCTTACTGTTTGTTCAATTTCTTTCTGCTCCTAAGTTACTGTATTCATAAAATAATTGTTATTGCAACTTAAGTAAATTAATGATAGCATTTATTTGGGCATCATTAAGAGGATTTATGGTAATTTGTGATATCCGTAGTGGAAAGTTTCTTAAATCCCTTTAATTGATTTATAAAGTGGGTAATTTTCTAATTCTTTATGAGATTCAGTAAGTTGAAGCTTGTTCTAGAGAAACAATAGCAAATTCTATAATCAACTATACGGAGATCTGATGGCAACTTGAACATCTGCGAATGTTTACACATGTTGTTTTTAATTTTGAATAGCATAATAATTAATTAAATCTTTATATATGTCGAACGATAACCCAGACGGTCAACCATTGGATATTGAGTACTATGAGACCAATTACCCATACTTGAATGTGAAAAAGAATCTACTGAACAATACATTGTCTAAGTGGAGAAGGGCTATCGCTCCATATAACCCATTTGCTATGCAGCAAATTCCTAATTAGAAGCGTATGGGTATGGGAATTAGAAATGGGAATGGATTTTACTTTCCAGATCCTTACCCTAACAGAGTAAATTGGAGTGTCTTCTTCCCAACCCATTACGATCCTTTGAGTGAATAACACTTTAGCAATCATGGTTGGCAAACAAGAAAGTAATTAGAAATCGTAATTGCTCTAGAGATGCTCCCATGTTTACAGCATTGGCAATTAGAGCTTAAGCACTTCCCCGAGGTTGTGTGAGATAGATCGAGTAATTTAAACGATGCCAGAGTGTAAATGGAGTGACAAAGTGTCAAGAAGAAGCTGACAATATTATATCGATTTGTCCAAAATGGGCTTTGGAAGGATTGAAGGAGAAGAAGAAGCAACTTGATAAGATCGAAGCCATCCAAACACTACAGTATCGTTCTGTGTTGGAGGTGTCTCCCTATAACAAAGTATGGGCAGATCATTGAAACAATAGGGTAGAACAGTCAAAGACGTTTCGGACAAGACTTGGGCTGATGGACACAGAGACAATCTTAGACCCGATACAATGTGGGCAGATGAAAGATACACCAATATTACTCAAGCGGAGATCAATGAAGCCAAAAAGCGTGTTGCTGCTAGGGACAAGTCAAGTGGAAGGTAATACTATGATTTTGAGGGTTTTAGAGTGAAGGAGACAGTTTATCCAGTACATCATCCAGATCTTTCAAGTTCTCATCTGAGCGAAGATAAACCTCTTTATCCATGATTTATTAATATATGCAACGGAAAATATTACATAATAAATATAATAATAATAAAATAAATCTTAGAGGATGGTATGAGTTTAATGCTTAATTAGGGTTTGCTTAATATCATTCGAAAGATTAAGAAGTCAGAAAAGGAATTAAGAATCCTTGTCTTGGGTTTGGATAATGCAGGAAAAACTACTATTTTGAAGGCATTGTCAAATGAAGATATAAATCAGATTGCTCCTACTCACGGCTTTAACATTAAAAATTTGTAACACGAAGGATTTAAACTTAATGTTTGGGATGTGGGAGGTTAGGAGGTAAATCCAAAACTACTTTATAGAAACTTCGAGAATATTGGAGCAACTTCTATGAAAATACAGATGCTTTGGTATTTGTGATTGATTCATCTGATTAAATGCGTTTGGAAGAGGGAGGCAAGGAGTTGGATAAATTGCTTGGAGAGGCTGAACTCAAGAAAGTACCCCTCTTGGTATTTGCAAATAAACAAGACTTGGTGCAAGCCCTTCCTGCTGACGAGGTTAGTATTCCATCTAATTAAGATCTCTGATAGTTTGAAATTAAATAAAATCACAGACAGACAATGGTCTATTGTCGCATGTTCAGCCAAAACTCAAGAAGGTTTACAAGAAGGAATGGAATGGCTCATTAAGACCGTCCAAGACAAATGAATATTAAATATTAAATATATTAGATGAAAACATAGATCGGAGTTTTAATTCATCTTCACAAATTCACCAACATAGATCTCTCCACATAAGGAATCTATCAAATTAGAGTTTCTGTGGTATCACAATCTACCTAAATTCTCTTAGCCGGGAGCTTAGCCATACCTTATTATCAATTCCACTCGCCAAGAAGCCATCTCAGTTAATGAGGTTGACGAAAACCACATCTGTTATCCAGAAAATATACATCATTAATATTTTTATTCTCAAGGATTTTTAATAATATATGAGGATGAAGAAATGCTAACTAATGTTGGTTGCGCATTCCGATTAGAAGAAATTTAATTAAATTCAAATATTCAAATCCAGATGGATTTACTTTTCTTAGATATTAAGTCACTTCCAGATATACATTCTCAAAACTTCACCTAAAATGTAAAGCATTTACATTCCAAAATGAAACCCATATCACATGCCTCATTCTAAGTGCCCAATCCCCATTATTACAATTAAATGTATTATCCTGTCGACTTCGATACCAACCATTTCTGTTCTGTCTAAACTCAGATCTTTACTACTCCCATTAACATATCATTCACTAAAGGATTTGTTGAAGAATAAATCAAACTCCAATTTAATGCCTTCATTAATCAAACTATAAATGTACTCAACATAAATAGAAATTCCCTTCTTGACTAATTATTAAAGATATAATCAGACAAAAAAATCATTCAATTATCTTACAAGGATTAAGAATATAATATTTAGAATCCTGATTTAATAAAGTAGATCAATTAAGTATACTATTCTAACTTATTAGAGTTTTTATGATTTACATCACGATCTCTATGTCCTATGGTGCGAATTAATTTCAATTTTAAAAGACAATTATCTAAATCTCCTTACCCTTTTGTAGTAAGATTATTGTGAACAAATAAAATAAAGATGGATGAATTGCATTTTAAGCTATTCCTCTCAAAATTCAAATATTTCTTCCCATGTTAATCAAGAATTAGCAAAAAATAAAAGACACTCCTTAAAAAATACTGAATTTTAGAGAATTATATATACTGAAGCCATTATTCCATTGAACTCACATCCATTTTTCTTTAGAACCACTTACTAAAGATAGGGATTGTTTTAAATGTCGAATGATTTCAGAGATCACTACGTTGTTTTACTTCATGGTTATTAAGGAACCTCATATGATATGAGATACTGGAGGGCAATTCTGAAAATTCGTTTTTAGGATAAAATAAGGTTGATATTGCCTACAAGTAATGAATTCGTCAACAATAAATCAATTAAATAATAAGCCTAAGATTTAGCCGATGAAATCACTGACTATATCAATCATGAAAGAGTATTTGATTTCAAATTGTCTTTTGTTGGACACTCCTTAGGAGGACTCGTTATTAGAGCAGCTTTGCCTTTGCTAAAGCAATTTTAAATCTAAATGCACTCTTATATAAGTTTGGGCACTCCTCATTGTGGGTATGCTTCATCCAAAAGTTTTATTATTGATACTGGATTAATGATGATATAAAAATGGAATAAATGCAAAACTCTTCAAGAATTGAGTTAAAAGGATAATAAGAATATAGGTTCAACCTACCTTTATTAGTTAAGCACATTTGAGGGATTAGAATGGTTTAATAACGTGGTTATTCTATCATCTCATCAAGATTATTATGTACCTATTCAGTCAGCCTTAATTTAAAGCATTGAGGAAACCAATGACCCAAAGAATCTATTTTACAATCAAATGGTTTCAAATATATAATCCAAATGCAGAAGGATTGATAGATTTGATATTGACTTTTTGATTACAAAAAAGTATATATCTAAAATATATTTAGAAAATTGGATAAGTTGATAGGAAGGGCAGCTCATATAGAATTTATAGACAACTTATTATTCGTTAAGATGTTTGTATACTTATTCGATGAGTTTTTCATCTGAATGGTTAGAAATAATAATTATCCTATTTATTTATCTATATATGTTAGTTAATCATTTTACAATATTTCTATAAAAGATATTTGCATATAAAATATAAAATTCTCAAATTTCGCTTTGATTAAATTAAAAATGAGGTAACTCTACATCAGAATAGCATTCTTCAAGTTCCTTCTCGTAATTTTAATTTTATTTATCCTCAGGTTTTTCCAAAGAACCTAGTATTTCAAATTCATCTGGAGCTTAAGCTTAAGCAAATTGTGCTGGAAATGACTAGTTAGACAATTTCGGTTGAGTTATTGTTACTTATTATTTGGGAGTAGGCTTTTCCATTTGAGATAATTTTTCATCCAGTTTCCCTTATGCTTTTTCCACTGTAAATAACTCTTATGCTTTATCTATCATTTATTTTCTTGATTTCTAAGTTGATCCCTAAGGTTTAAAAGATGGAATAATGCCTTTCTTTTATTATTACTGTTTTTTTTCTTGTTCCGCAGTCTATTTCTCATCAAGTATAACTTCCTAGGCATCATCAACTGAGAAGTCATCAATCAGAATGTCTTTAGAATTATCTTTTTGCTCTTTAACTTCTTCGAACTAAAAAGCTCTTTTAATCGGATGATCATCCTTTAGTACTTCCTTTTAGACTTCAATTATTTCTTAGGATTTATCGGTCTAAGTGATATTGATTGATTTATCCTTATATTATGGATTATCATCATTTTCTTTGGTTGAATTTTAATAAGATTATCTTTTAAGATTTTTAAATTTTTAGTCCTCATTTAAGAATTCTTGCTCTAAAAATGATAATAAAATAGTAGGAGCTGTTGCTTTTAAGAAGTCATAATGGTAATACTCTTGATAAGGTACATTTCCATCAGGTCTGGGTTACCATTGAATTAGAAATAATCCATTTTCTAGTGTAATAGACTTAATTTTATCTCCTTGATCAGATTTCAATGAAAGTAAGGTTTAATTTTGAACTTATTATTATTTAATTAAATATTTCTCATTCTAAAGTAAACTATTATGTTATTAAATTTATTATTGTTAAGGAATTTGTTATTGTTATTGTAATTATTATTATGTCTATTGAGGTAATGGTAAGATTTGATTGTTATTGACTTTGATATTTTTTTCAATTTGTTTATCTATTTTTTTTTGCCTTTTAAAAATTGGATAATTTTCATCTGATGGTATTGTAGGTAATTTAGCATGATTCTCAAAATTTTACATCTTATTATTATTTTCCCTCATCTTCTACAAAGTTAATTGATCGAATCTGCTACCACAGACAGAAAAATAATTATAATCCTCTATCAATTCTTAATAATTCTCTTTCATATATTTTTCTGTTTCTTGCTTTTATTCATTATTGCTGTATTCAACAAGATATCTAACTCCACCTGCATTAGAAACAAGTTTTTTTAAGATTTTCATAGGTTTAATGTCTGAATCATCTTAAGGGTCGATTAAAATCAATTCACAATCGTTTTTCTTCTGGGACATTTATTTAATATTTTCACATGGTATTATAAATATTATTAATATATATCCATAAAATCCTTGTTTTGTTTTTCAGATGAGAATTGTATAAAATTATCTCCATATCGGATCTTCTTAATTACATATTACATATTCAATAATGCTAACAACATTTTTCTGAAAGTGTTCTACAAATATTCAAATATAATAATAGTTATAGATAAAATAGACTATAGAGGAATATACTTTTGAGGTAGTTACATACAAAAATATCAAATTAAATTGAGGATAAAGATAAATCATAGAATAAATGATAGTTTTTTAATCTTGGTTCATACAAAATAATTAATTATATAATTTGAATTTTAAATTAAACGAAATGTAAGACGACCCAACATTATTTACAACTCTAAAAGGACATAAGGATACTATTACAGCATTGTCATTTCATCCTGGATTGTATATCAATAATTATATAGTAGAAAATCAATAGCATCAAGTGCCAATGATGGTGTAGTGTCTGTGTGGTAATTGAAATAACCAAGGAAGGTTTACAGATTTATGGGTCATAAAGGCTAAGTAAGTGATGTTCAATTCTCTCCAAATGGACTATTGATTGCATCTTGTGCTAAAGATGAGACTATAAGACTTTGGAATAATACAGTTGAAGGAAGTTCAATTTCAATAAAGGCACATTCAGCTCCAGTCAGAAGTGTTCAATTTTCTTGTGATGGTTAATTATTGGTGAGTTCAAGTGATGATAAATCTGTCAAAGTTTGGAGTGTTAATGATCGTAAATTTCAATATGGATTCCAGCATACAAATTGGGTTAGGAGTGCTGTGTTTTCATAAGATGTTAGATTGATAGCATCAGGAGGTGATGATAGAGCAGTTATTATTTGGGATTGTGATTCAAAAAAAGAAGCTTAAAGATATAATGAACACATTGGAGTAGTCTATAAGGTTCAATTCTCACCAGATTCAACAATATTGGGATCCTGTTCTCATGATAAAAAATTGAAATTGTTTGATGTAAGATCAAAGAGAGTTATCTAACATTATGATGCTCATGCAGATTCAGTCTTGGATTTGAAATTTCATCCATCTGGATAGTTTGCTATGACATCTGGAGCTGACAGTAAGGTCAAAGTATGGGATCTAAGAATGGGAAAATTGGCATATACTCTTTATGGTCATAATGGCCAAGCTACTACTTGTGCATTTTCTAATCATGGAGATTATTTTGCTACTGGAGGATCTGATAGTATGATTTTAGTTTGGAATACTAATTGGGTATGCAGTGGTCAGGAATCCTTGGATGAAAAGCCTAAGTAAGTAAAATCGAAACCCATTCAACAGACATAAACATAAGGATAACAACAATCATCATAACAGAAAGAAAATGTTTAATAAACTAATAGTTAATTACCTAAATAAAAGGAAACTGTTCTATATTCAAATGCAGACAATAGTTTACATAAGAAGAGTGAATTCAATTAAAGTGTGTAATTATAGAAGGAGGATGTTCCAGCTGAAGTTATCACTCAATTAGACAATATCAGTGGTTAGTTGGAATTAATTACAAGGTTTTTATCTCATTTAATTTTAGGACTTTATAAGCCCTTGAGTAGAGAGTTTCCAATAATGAATAACAAATTTGCAGACTCAATCTTGCATTGACTAGGGATTTTGAAAGAAGTGAACAAATCTAAAATCAAATCTATGATTTGAAACCCTTAGAAGAACAAGTTTAGGATTAGGATGAAGAAGAAAATATTAATTACATCAAATTTCATCGTGCAGCTAACAATTGATTTAATTTAATTTTAAATATATAATAATTTATTTTAAAATGTCTATTTGGCAAGAGAAATGCGCTCTGGATTTTCACATCTAAGTATATAATATTTAATGAAGTAATAAATAAAATTAGATGCATTAGAAGAACTATAGTAGGAATACAAAAACTATGAAAGACGAATTTCAAAATAAAATTAAAAATATGATTAAAGAAAGAGATATAAAAATAAGAAAAAGAAACATCGTAGTAGCAGTAGTAGTAGTAGTAGTAGTAGTTCATCATCTAGCAGTCCAAGATTTTAGTCAATTACCAGTTCAAGTGAATCTGATAGTTTACTTTCTTTACCTTCTGATTCTAAATAAAAAAAAAAACATGAAAAATTTTAGACTAAAATTTTAGATTTTGTTTTTGATATTAATCCTCCTAGAAGAGATTATTTAATAGAATATGAATTGAATGGATAGAAAAAAATGACTTCAATGAAAAATTTAAATGAAAAAATATCTAAACTAAATATCTAGTCAAAATAGATATAAAATGATGAGGAGAAAAATGAAACCAACGATGACAACTTGAAGTAATGAATAATCAAATACTTGTAGATAGGATTTAAAGGATCAATTGGAACTTGGAGTGAATCGATATTATCAATATAACCCATTTGAATACTGCTTTAGATGCAAGTAATCAGGACATCAGGAAAGATAATGCACTGAATAATAAACCATACAATGCAATTATTGTTTAAGTCAAAAACATGTTGGAGATATTTGTTCTAATGTTTCTTGTTTTAGATGTAATTAAATTGGACACAGAAAAAATGATTGCAGGGTAATATCACTTTATTAACTTATCTAGACATAATTAAAATTGCAATAATGCATAAACTGCGGTAAGAATAGTCATAAAGAGTCAGAATGCGGGATGTTAACTCAACAAATACACAAATTAAAGGATTAGATCGAATGCTTCGTTTGTAGATTGTATGGCCACATAAATTGCTAAAATAACATTATCTGATTTATAGTTTTGAAAGTTTCTAAAATATTTCATCATTCTTTTCTTTCTCAACTTTTAATAACTTCCAATATTTTTGTTAATAACTTTTATGCTGCTCATCAAAAATTATTGATTTATACTAATTTATAATTATTCACAAAATTGAATTAATTAACAAAAAGTTTGTTAAAATCTTGTTTTATAGTATTACTACCTTTATTTTTATAAAGACATCATCAAATATTGATTTGAGATATGTCATTGAATATGAGCTTTAAAAGCTAAAAAAATAATTTAAATTCTCAATAATAAAATTAAAAAAACAAATTATTTACAAATCTTCTTAAATGGTTCTTTTAACGAAATCAGATATTATTAGAAAATGTATATTATGAGTTTAATATTTTTTTAGAAATTCACAAAAAATCCGACCAGGAGATTAAGTAGAAGAAAAAGGTTGATGGTAATAACAAATATAAATATAATAAATATGAGAAAATATAGCAATATAAAACCAATCATTCTCCTCATAATACAAATTAATATCTCCTTAGTAAATTTATTGAGCAGCCGTCTACATCTTTATCTGCTCCCGAAAGTGTACTTGATATCTTGTTATTTTCAATGCCTTGAAAAGGAAACCCATGTTTGAGTGGAATTTTTATATATATATTTTTAATAAGTCAGTTCAACCATTAACGGGGGAAGTCGAGTTGCTTCTCTTGCTTTATCGAAAATTCATGATCATATTTAAAGATTGAAATCAAAATAATGAAAGCTTTCAATCGTCATAAATTAACAACAATCATAATTTCTCATCACAATTCTAGAACACCAACCAACCTTCTCAAATCTAATCAGACCTTCATGCAACATGTCTGTAAATCCATGATTCATATGCATATGAAATTAAAGCACCCATCTGAGTTGCAATTTACAATTAAAATAAAACTCTTGAAATCCCGCGTTCATTATTTCTTAAACTCGGTGATTAATGCAGTTCTTTTATCTTTGTAAATGCATTTATGGAGAAAGCTTCAAGTTATTATTGTAAGTTCTTATTAATTCTTTTACTATGTTTGGATATTTTTAAGGTTAATAACCTGTCAGTCTGCAATAAATGGCTAAAATTCAAAGATATAGCCTCTTTATGTTGATCCTTCTGTTTCAAGAATTCTTAGAAATGAGTTGATTTAAGAAATAATTAATTAGTATTATTTTAGACATTTTTTTGTTTTTTTCAGCTTTCTTTTAATATATAAACCTATGAATATCAGAGAGAATTTGAATATTTCCATTTGTTTATGCATTTATAATAATAGTTTAATAGTTATTATGTGTGTTATTGGAGGGATTTTAAGTTATTGAATATTAGAATGGTTTTGAGAATGGAGTTGTATTAGTTGAAGATATTGATAGTATATAAGTTATTAATTAAATATGAATTATAATTATTATCGAACACAATTCGACAATTAGAATGTGATTCATTCGAATTCGCAGTCAGTTGGCAAGTTAAAGAAGGGAATAGTCTTTCAAAATTACCCTTTTAATCCAGTATAGAGTTATAACTCCAATATGCAAGTGCGTCCATTTACTTCTCAAACTCAGCCTATCAAAAAGCCTTCAACAGCTTAAGTAATTAAAATGAAATAGGAAATAGTCAACTCGTCATGTTCCAAGAGCAGCGACTTCATAAACTCAAAGATAACCAAATATGCTGTTTTCTGAGTAAATAAATAACACTGAAATGGAGACCAAGCAAAGTAAACGATATATGAAAATATACTTCCTTAAAAGTAATGGCTCCTTATAATCAATTTAGCCAATTATCGTACTATTCTTCATAATGTCATGAATAACAAGCTCAAAGCTTTACCACCAGGAGACAGAAGAAGACTGTCAGTTCTTAACATTGTGTAAGACAAATTCAAAGAACTTACAATTTAAGAAATCAATTTGCTTATATGTTAACATGCAGTTTCTGAGAAGTTTTACATTTATTTTTCAGGTTCATATTAATTTATTAAATTTAGATTCTGAGTGGATTCCTTGCAGTAAATGCTGTCAAACTCCCATTTATTTAGTACTCACTCCTTAAGCTTAAAAAACCGATATATTTTGTAGCTAATGTTCTCGAAATCTTACAAATCCTCCAAGATCTGCTGTCTAAAGCAATACCGTTTTACCAAAATATTCTTTTACTCAATATGGACATTCATTACAAGAATAGAAGGAGAGATAAAAGGTGAGTAGAATGATTATTTCTGGAAAGTATAGAAAGGTGAATCTAAAAGAGGTTTATAATGAAGTGTAGGAACCAGTTTAACCGGAAGAGTCATATAATTTAGAGTTCCCTGTAAAAGAAAAATAATAAGAAAGCACAATTTTAGAATTAAAAGACTTAATTAATGAATTATTCTGAAAATAAATAACATCATTAAAATTATTAAATAGTTCCATTTACTAAATCATCAAAATTATACTATTCTTCCTCTTAACGCACTTTATCCTTTTCTAAAAATCGATATTTAATCTCCTCAATAACATTCTGAAATCTAGCTTATAACCTACATTTTAGATGATTAATATCTACTTGTTTTGCTTAACATAGATTTTCGAAGCATTTTGAGACTAAAATATTCTTTCAAGAAGATATACAATCTAATAATCAGATATGAGTATATACTCGTTAAATGTTATTTGGAATTGTAGAGTAAATTTGAATGGCTATGATACTGATGGCCTCAACAAATTAGGATTTATCAAGGAAAATTTAGTCTGAGTATTCTTACCCTTCCTAATTAAGTGATGCTACAGAATAAAATATGGAAGTCAGTTGAGTTTGAGATATTAGAATATTGGAAAGCTCAAAGTCTTAACAAAATTTCAGAAACTCTGATAAATACAAAATTGAACTTTATTATTTAGAATATTCCTAAAAATACCAATCAAAAACTGTTTAGATCATCTCATATAGTTAAATCTAATGTTATAATATGATATTTTTTATACAATTTATTCATCTTGTAGTAAATCAACCAAAACCTAAAGGATTTATTCTTTATTGTCATCAGAAATTTATTTTTCTAAAGGTAGAATGTTTTATTGAATCAACTCATTTATATCCATTCCACATTTCTCAGCTATGATTCCCAAACTAATTTGAAATTATCCAAAGGTCATTTTACCATTTGTCAATTATTTATTTTTTTATTAAGTTTTAATGGATTAAAGACCACATAATTTTGAATAGATCATATCAGAATCAGTTATAGTAATTAAATTGTTCAAAATCCCAGAGTGCAATAATAATTTATTGAATTTTGTATTTTTTAAAGATTAAATGTTGCTAGGTTCTCCACTCTATGCAAAGAACTCAAATAACTTCTTCAATGAAGAAATGTAAGATTAATCTATATCTTATAAATATTTGGATTATTTCATCATAGAAAGATTAACCCTGCTTTCATCCACTTTCTTATTAGTATTTAAAACTTATATGTTTGTGTGACTCACATTATTCTAAGTATTTTAAATCACCTAACTTTATTGAATTAGATTTTCTTATTTATAGATTCCACTTTTTTCTATGTTATAAAACAATCTCACCTTATCACTCTGTGTTCGATTGAGATTTCTTAAATATTAACTAAAACCTTCTGACTATTCAATTTTATCAAGCAATAGTCTAAATTGAGTAAACTCATCTAAATTTGGAACTGTTCTTGATATTATAATCAAACTTTCAACAAAATTATTCAAACTAAATAAGTAATTTCCACTTTCTTATAGATTTAGAGTAGGCTACCTTATTTATATGTTATCAAAAATCAATTGAGCTTAGGATTAATTAATATAATTAGGTAATATTTCGCATTAAGTTAAAAATTACATGAATTTCCATTAGACTTTGTTTATGTTTGTGCTTTAGTCTTCAAAAATAAATTTATGTAAATTGGTTAATTACTATTAGATTGGTTCTACAAACTCTTTAATTTAATTGCCTATTGGTTAGAGTACGAATTGAATTTATTGTCCAAATTCAGTAAAATTTAATATTTTTTAAGATAACTATGAGAGATATTCATTATATAATTTTTGAAATGCTTAGTGAACTTTTTGTTAAGGGTAGAGAATCATAGCTAATTTCGGTATTAAGTTTTAAAATTGTTCAAGTGTGAGACTTTCATTATTTTTTGTTTGCTAGGCATATAGAATATCACAATCTCGATTTGACAATAATTATGGCATTATTTGAGCATCGGACAACATTTTGATAAATTTGTTTGATTTCAAAAACCTAGTATTGTTTCTATTTCCAAAACTTGCATAAAATTTGAAAACTATTCTAATGTTCAACCTGATGTCTTCCATTGCAATGCTTATCTTTTGAGGCGATGCATTTTTACTTTGCTACACAGTTGATTGATGAGTGTTACCGAGGGTTTCGTTTTGTTATTCAGTTATTATTGGCATTCCAACATTTACTTTGATTTTCGAATAAGAGAGTTAGGTGCCTAAATTTAAAGGTTGATTATCCCTTTACAAATATCGATTGAAAGAATCCAATTCATTTTCATCAATATTTTATGTCTTCTTCTAGCGATCCATGATCATTTTGCTTATCATAATCGTTAATAAAAATAAATAATAGTAAATTTAATCAAAACTGTTATTCTATAGACGAATATTCTCTAAATTTTCATTTGTAAGGTCTACCTTGTTAATTGCGATTTGAGTGTAAAATAATTAGAAATCAATGAGTATTAATGAGGTATAGTTAAAATAAAATTTTAAGATAGAATGCAATTATGTCATCTCATAGATAAATTTTAATGTATTATTAATCACTTTTTGATTTATTTTACGATCTTGACCTCCTCAACAAGGAATGCTCTGATGATGCGATTTTTTAATGCTCCAGCACTGAGGACACCTCCATATGGTCTTGAGACTGTTCTTTGTCTTCTAGCAAGTTATTTGAGTTTTGTTGGTCTGATTCTTTTGAGACCATTCAAGACAACACTCAAATTAGAATCTGCACATGTTGATGCACTAGTCTTTTTATTTGGATATTAAGCCACAACATTGCCACCTAGAGTAGATGGATTTAAATACCTGGAGTCTTGACCTTTCTGATCTTATTTGATCTTGTGTTATAGCTGGTTCTTCTACGATATGTGACTCTTACGCCCATGTATTAAAATCTTAATTAAAAATTTTTTTTAATATTTTTATGGAACAAATTACAGAAGAACAAAAACAAGCGATTTCTAAAAAGAACATCTTCATATTTGAACTCATAGGCACATTCTTTTTAGTGTATATAAGTGTATGCAGTCAGTAATACAATTAAATACAATTAGGAATGAAGCATATCAAGTAGCATTGGGATTATTCGGATGCATGCTTGTATTTGGTAGATTGAGTGGAGGCCATTTCAATCCAGCAATAACATTGGCTATGGCATTGGGTGGAGGAATTCCATACGGCACAATGTTCTTCTATTTCCTCCCTTAATTTTTAGGAGCATTTGCTGGGGCTGCATTATCATTTTTGTTATTGAATATGGACAAGGCTCCATATATTGAAGAGTAATTAATTACAATAAATTAGTGAACCTATAAAGGAATTGGCTGCATCATTATTTGGAGAATTGATTGGATCAACAATCTTTTTGATTTTTACTTTAATTTGCTTTGTTAAAGAGACTTAATTATCTGAGAATAGAATAGCCACATTAGTCATGCTATCATGTATATACTATGCTTGCAGAGAGTAAAAATGCTGAATATTTCAATAGATACACAATCACATCTAGCAATAGTTTGCTTAATCCAGCTGCTGCACTGAGTCTGACTGTCTTTGACTGCTTAGCTAAGAGTTGGGATTAGATGATTAATATGTGGATTTATGTGGGGGGACCAATCGGGGCGGCTATTTTGGCAACAATGTTTTATTCACAATTATACCACTCAGTTACGCATAGAAAATGAATTTTATATAATATTATTCATGAACTAAGATGATTTCGAGGTATAATATATCGATGTAGAGATTATAAAAGATCTCAGTTGAAGTCAGCGATCCAAAGGTCTAATCGGGGCTTAACAAGTACACAACTTATTCAGTTCGAGGAATGGATAAGAACGGATAATTTGATGTAATACGTAGGTTTAGTGATTTCCGACTTATTCGCCAATTCCTTATAACAAAATGGCCTGGCTGTTACATTCCCCCACTTCCACCGAGAAAGGCAATTGTAAATATAGAGACTCTAAGACTTTTAGGGAAATATGGACTAGAAGTTCATAGATGATAGAATGCATTCATTATAAGATTGGATGAAGATTATGGCTCAGACCAAATACTTCTGGTATTCTGAGGAGTTCCAGTTATTCATCAAGGCCAATGGGGATATCGAGAAAGTAAATAAAGCACTATGTTTGTAGGCTTTGACATAAGTACCGAAATTGACTTACGATGAAATAATAAACAAATACCAGGAAACCTTCACAGATCTTTCAGGAGTAAGTTTTTGTTTATTGAAAATAGAGGGAAATCAATAGAGAATTAATTCAAAAGATAACAGATTTTCACATGTTTCTTAAAAGAGTAAATCCAATGGTTGAAAATTTTAAATAAATTGCTAAGTATTATATCTAAACATGATAGAAACATAGCTGAGGCAAGACAGAATTTTCAAGAATAAATGTCCACTTTCGTTTAAACTCACTTGGCTGTTTATGAATAGCAAGTCTTATTGGAGTTTAGCGAGAGTTAGGATAAATTGGTAATACAGAACATCAAGAATGACGAGTACCCAGCGTAATTATTAAATAATTACATTAATTTATTGCAATAGAATGAGTTCTAATCATTATACTAAGAAATTAAGAAGGAATCTAAATAAGTGAGGGCATTTTTAGAGACCATGATATAAAGGGAGAAATATGAATAGTAGAAGGTGTTTTATGAATAGAAGTAGAAGGAACTTCAAATTTAATTGTAAGAAGTGCTAGCAGGAAAGTCTTCGATCAAGAATTTGTTTAGTACCACAAAGAAGGAAGATTAAATAGCTAAGTTGTAGGTTCAGATCGATTAGGTATGTAAGGACATTGAAAACATGCAATTTATTTGCGATATACTCACTGTATTATTGGGATATATAGAGATTGACAAATTCAAGGTATGAAATTAGTTTGAATGGTAGTTGGAGAAGCAGTAGAATTATTATAGATTGGCTAAGAGTTTAATCCAATATGAAATTCAATTGAACCAGGCAACCGAAGAGTTTTGGGAGAGAGTCTAATAAAATTATAATTTATTGTGATAAATAAATATTATAATAAAATTATTTATGAAATCATTTTTTTGGTAAATAATATGTGTTAGGTGCATAAAATAGAGGTTTGTTTAATTAATTTAGATTGGGTCTATGATAATAATCAGTCTATCGACTAGGTTTCTGATCGATACTTTTTCTGCCACTCAACTGGAAACTTTGGTTCCCAGTAGGAGTGACTAATGAGCTAGTAATTGGTTGTTTCAGATGATTCAAACTTTAATGAATGCTCATTTTTGATTATTAGAAATTTTATGTACTTGTAACCTAAGAAGAGTATTTACAAGGTGAACTTTAAGGTTGTTAATTATGAACACTATTAACTCTAACAGTTCTAATTTATTTTTCACTGTGTAGAATAAGAGGGATTTATAATTTATTTTTGATCTGTTTTTTTGTGGCTTCCTCCAAACCCTCTCCAAAATATGTTAATTTGGGTGAGATCTCAAATTCTTAATTGACTTCAAAGCCTAATCGAGACATCCATTTTTAATCTCTGCGCATATAGGCTTGTCGTGCAGTATGAATAGTGTCTTTGGTTTCATTTGAAGGGTTAAGGATTGGGGCATATTCGTCTTCCCTTTTGACTCTGAATAATCCAAAGGATTGAATAGGACAATAAGGAATGGCTTAGTAATACGTCAATTCGAATTTAAGAGCATTAGATTGTGACATAGGTTTGATTAATCTGGAAGTTATGTAATCAAAATATGTACATTTCTTTTATCGAATATGGAAACTAGTTTGATTGTAAATCTCTACTTAGACAAAATGTGGTTTTTATAATTGCAACAAAGTTCAAGGGCATAATCGAGAGAACATAAGACTTAACCAATGACTCCATCAGGATTAGCCAAGCTTCCATTTTTGTCTCTTTTGACTAAATCACTATAAGAGATTTCATCATACTCTAAATATGGGATTACAGTTAAATATACCTTTGTATTACAAACCTTAATTGTATTAATTCACTACGATCCCTAGATTTTCATCAACACTACGTTTCTGTACACATTTTGCACTCAAATACAATTGATTTCTTATGAAGGCACCAATCCATAAGGGATCTCCAAATTTGCATAGTACATTTTCTATTGAACATAAGTGAAGGATGGTGATTCCTAAGAATTTCATGGTATCTAAAACAGATTGATTCAAATAAATGTTTCCATTGCCAATGTATTCATCAAATATCTAAGATTCATTGCTAAAGAGAATTTGTCCTTCCATACTAAATAAGGGTAATTTATCTTATTAAATAAAAAAGATCTGATCGTCTTACAAGCCAAAATGATTCTTTTCTTAAAAAAAGCTAGTAATCATTTCGTGATTAATATTGGTGGTCATGATGAATATCAATATTGGTAAACACTTTCCACAACGTTGTTTGATTAAATTCTAAAGACTCCAAATTCGTTCGCAATACAATTGAAACAAACACTTATGTGAAGGCAACTGGATGTCTAACAAACTAATGTTTTGCTGAGCACTCATAACGATTGCCACTAAATAGTGAGGATTGCCGTATACGTTTGCCCTCTGCTATTGTTGCATATCCAATCTCCTCGTCTTTCCCATCAAACTCTAAACATCTGATTGTCTCATATGGTGCCATCTAAATTATCTTTGCCTTGAATTATTGATAAGTCTAATCTCTAAACACAGGTTTACCTAATACAGCTATTTTATATCGTATTTCTATAATTTATTCATAATGCTATTCTACTCTGCTTCACTCAAAGTCTGAATATATTTAAGTAGATATCCCTGACCTGCAGATTAATAATCCTACAAACTTGGTGCTATCTTTTTCATTAAATAAATTTAATATACTATTTACAATTTATTGTTAAATAAATATATTCCAAATACAAAATTCATATAAAATAAGGCAGCCCCCTTTAATTCATCTAATTGTAAGTGAGCTCCTAGGATTCTTCAAAAAATAAGAAGCTCTGCTCTAAATTCTCATCCAAATTCATAATGCATGCTTTATTTCCACATCGATAACAATAATTAGGAACCGACCAAACAGAAACCAATTATTTCTAATCTCTAATCTCTATTTTACATCGAAATAATATTTATATCCTTCCATTACCAACTGATGGGACCTTGCAATCAAACTTAATCCATTAATGTGATTAAATTGTTCTACTACTTTTTTTCCGAATTCATGTCCTGCTCCTCGTTTACTTTCTTCCCATCCATCTGAATCTTACTAAGGATCAGACCATAACAAATCACTCATTGGGCCTTCATCCTCCTTCGCACATCTTCGATCTATTCAGATATCATTATATTTAACCAATCATTCGGATCTAGTCTATCTATTTTATTTATGGAGACAATCCCCCATGCACACAAAAAATCTTTTCATTGACTAATGCACATAATGGTAAGTAATCAAATACTTCACAAAAGTATTACCAAAGGTGTATGTTCCTATATTTCCTTTTCACCTCTTCATATAGTCCATCACATTAAGTTAAAATTCTTGATTCATTATTTCCTCTCAATAAAGTAATATGTTTTGGATATTTTATCTTTAAACAAAGCAAATATTAGAAGGTTTCAACTGAATGATGCCTTATGAAATCAATCAATGCAAATTACCCTCGATTGACATAATCTCCATTAAACACATAGCTCTTTTCTGGTATTTGACCTCCATTCATAAATAGTTCCAACAATTCAAAATATTACCCATGGATACCTCCACATATTGTTACCGGAGCCTTTACTTAGACAACATTTGGCTCCTCTACTAATATTTCCTTGGCCAATTCACAAAGCAAATGAGAGTCTCGCTCACTTAAGCATCTGATATTTCTTAAAGTCTCCAAGTATTTGTCTATGTCCATTTTAATTAATTTCTCCTATGCTTTCGCTTTTTATTTATAATTATCATTTATAATAAATTGAAAATTAAATTACACATTTTCAATTTACACTTTTCCCATCCCAATTGTAATAAAAAAAGAAGAATAACATAAGACCAATTAAAGACTTTTGTTGATTGTACGTTGCATAAATTCAGTCTTTAATTTTCTGATGAACGACCTCAAAAACCTTATAAAAATAATTAAAAATTATGCTCATAGGTTGCTGATAAGTTTATATTATTTAGATATCAGTTATAATCTCTTAAGCTTTTCTTCAATCGATGAGTCTAATTCCATGTTTGGCAAAACATTAAAGTTACTCATGTTCTATGGGATTACAGTGCATAGATAGCAACTATCCATTGATGAATCAGTCTCATTCAAGGTTTCAGTAATTGGAGTTAATTAGTTTAGCTCAATGATACAGTGTTGTGTAGTCTTGCAATATTTTTACATGATGGAATTTAGAAGCTTAATCAAGTATGCATGATTAGGTTCATCATGGAATAAATTGATTTATTGAAAGTAAAATCTAAATTCATAAGGAAGTCCTTGCAAAATTTCATTTGACTTTAAGCATTCTATTTTCTTTTGTCCCATCAACTATTGTGGTAGTGATTCCCATGGTAACGTTCCTTAACTTATTATTAAAATTATACCTTTTATCAACTTAATTAGAAGATAGCCCAAACTTTCTAAGTCATCCTTCTTAGAAGATACACGATTGTTGTGAATATGATATGGCAAAGAGTTTTTATTCAAAAGTTTTTTTTGTTTATCTTATTTTAAATAAGCTTAACCAAAACCAATTAAATGCAATTGCTAATCATGATCGACTGCTTCCTTTGAAAAGACAACATTTTCTGGACAAATGTTGGCATAAATAATTTCTTGTCTATGAATTCCACTTAGAATTCTGAGCAAAGACAATCCTATTGATAAGGCTGATTATAGGGTTAGGGTTCCGAATTTTTGTAAAATTTCTGCAAGGGATTTGGCATAGTAATCGATAGAATAGTAAAACCTCGAATATAGATTATTGATACTTTTCATCTGCACCAAATCCGTGGTTCAGTATTTTGGGCACTCCTTGCACAAATTTCAATAGCTCTAGTATTGTGTATTGATTATGGAGGTACTTTTTATTGCCAACCTCCACTTTTAGTACAATAATTTTGTATTTATCTTTGAAATTGGAGATGTAAACTTTTTCGTATTCGTTTTCATAAATTTCTTTAATAATGTTAAACATCTAAAATGTATCAACATTGCAAATCATTATTTTAAATAGAGAACTTTCTAAATATTTTATAAAATATATGTGATTTATTCGATATATCTAGCTTGTAATAATTTACGAATTAGAATAATCACTCAGAAAATTCTAATTCATAAATATCACATGAAAAATTATCAATATAAACTTTTTGAAAATAAATAACATTAGGATGATACTAATTTAAGGTTTTATATTATTAATTAGTGAGATTAATAAAATTCTTAATTTATTACTCAACAAATGAATGCAACATGGCTGTTAATCAAATTAAAAAGCAAAAATGTTGTGAGATCTAAAAGTGCTCCATTTTTGGAAAATACATAAATTCAAAGAGCGCATTCTTAGGTATGTGGTTCGTCTTAGTTTTTAGTTGCAAGTTTTGAATGATAATTTTATTAAATATTTTACATTGGGATGAATGTATATATTTTTCAGTATTTATCAGCAGAAGTTCAGAAATTGAATAATTAATTAATTAAAATTTACTAAGCAATGAATGACGAGAAATTAGATTGCATTAAGGTGACTCAATAGCATGCGGATAAACTGAAAAGACAGGCATTAGAATTCAAAAAGCTTATCGACAATTTTCAAAAGAGATTTCAATAGGATCAAAACGATCAATTTTATATTATGAGCTTGAAGTATTTAAATTATATAATTCAGGTGGCTAAATCAATGGAAGGAATAAGTTTCATATGAGGAATTGCTGGCTAATAAGAACCCGAACAAATACTTTGGAAAACTCAATCTGGAGCACATAAACATAAATTTAGAGGATAGGGTTGAAAAATGCTTCAAATATCACCCCTTAAAGGATCACCCTTGGAATACATTCATGAAGGAGAATCTCTAAGAAAACGTAGACTATATTATAGTTGATAAGGAGATTTGGCAATTCTTTACAACATATTATCATGGCACCCCAATCGTGAGATTGTCAAATGGATCAGGAATAGAGAAGACAGTCGCAGTCAATTTATTAAAAGTATTTGTTCAAACTATTTTTCGAGTTTAAAACCGTTTTGCTTTACCCAGTAGTAATCAAGTAGATTGCATTCGATAGATTTTACAAATAAACTTTTGATCAAGAATACTTATAAGTGGATAGAAACATGAAATTGAAAGACTATTACAGTTTGCTATCGAAGACTGTTACCACATTTACAGGTAATTTCGCAAAAGACAACAATGTCAGAATTTGGAGATTTCAATCAGATTAGAAGGATATTTTCAAAGCATTCTTTGCAGATGTTTAAAAGCAAGTTGGAGTCTTGGAAACCAATGACGAAATGAGTTTTGATTTCAATGGTGATTATATACACTATTCAATATACGATACTATCGAAGATGTAGGGATATTAGATAATCATTTGATTATTATAGAAGTAACAATAGATGTAATCTAAATAGTTCAAAGATGAAGTTAAACCTTGGTGTATTCGTAATAAAGCAGTTTAAGTAGAAGGAAAGTGTGAGAATTGTTAAATAGTCAAAATTCTTAATCATCCTTGTGTGTGTAGAAAAGTATCCTATTGTTCATAAGATTGCAAATATAAAGATTACAACTATCACAGTATGAGATGTGAGAAGTTTGGATCTGATGATGACACTATCAGAGGTTTGAGTTAACAACCAAATTCTATTGCAGGATTAGCTGGTCTGAGTAATTTAGGAAATACTTGTTTTATGAACAGTGGAACTCAATGTATATCAAACACTGTCCCATTAACAGAGTATTTTTTGAGTAATCAATATTTTGATGAAATTAATATGGATAACCCTATTGGAACTAAAGGTTAATTAGTAAAGAGAGTGGGAGCTCTATTGAAGAAGTTATGGTATGGTGAGAAATAAGTTGTAACTCCAACTAATTATAAAAAAGCTGTGGGTCAATTTTAACCTATGTTCAAAGGATATCATCAACATGATTCATCTGAATTGATCACTTTTGTGTTAGATGGCATTCACGAGGATTTGAATAGAGTAAAAAAGAAACCATATGTCGAAACAAAGGATAGTGATGAAAGAACAGATTTTGTTGTTGCCAAGGAAAGTTGGTCAAATCATTTGGCCAGAAATCAATCTATCATTGTTGATTTGATGTATGGATAATACAAATCTACTTTAAAATGTCCAAGATGTGAAAGGTTATCTATCACATTTGATCCATACTTGATGGTATAATTGGGAATTCCAAGTCAGAAGAAAAGAACCATCTCTTTTAAATACTTTTATTCATTCTTCAATTCAACTTCTAAAATCATCCCATTTGATAAAAACAAGAACATATCATTGAAAGAATATTATCAAGTATTGAGTGAGGAATTGAAAACTAAACCATAAAACTTACTTGGTTATATTGCTAATTAATACACATCTTTTGAATTATTGAAGGAAAGCAAATCTATTATTGAAATACGAAAAAGTGCGAAAAGATAATAACTATGCTTTAGGGCACTAACAGATGAGGAAGCTTAGACATAAAATAAGTTTCCAGTTTAATTTTCTAATAAATATTAAGACTATTAAAAGATGTCGTATTTTTAGAGTGGGTTCTTTATTTTTGAAGGGTCAACCACAAGAAAATAAATGCATTTGAAAATATTCTAATACTTGCAACCATTATTCGCTGAATATCAAAATTTAGATTACGAGAAGAATGTATTCAATAAAGTAACTCTTTTAATGTATTCCTTAGTATTACAGTCTCTTTTATAAATCAAATAGTAATTATTGGAACCCATGTTCTTATTGTTAATCTAAGAATTGCAATGATTGCGAAGTCAAATTTGATGATGAAGTACTTGAGGAAACCAAAAGTAAAGTAACTGCCTCTGATACACAATGCAATTTCGAAGTCATTATTTTATGGAAAGAAAGTCCATTCAAATCTGTTAAAATTTCTGAGATTTTTAATCACTATCGCAATCTTAATAAAATTGAAAGTAATTTCCTATCTAAATGCAATAGCCGAAGAACAAGGATAATCAAAAACTCCACTCCAGAACCATGGTCATTCTAATCAGCATTCTGGCAGTGTCACCTTAGCTGATTGCTTGTAATTCTCTCAATAACCAGAATAATTGAATTCAGAGAATACATGGTACTGTAAAGTTTGTCAGGAACATGTCTAAGCTTTCAAAAGCATGCAAATTTATAAGGTTAATTGAATACTTATCTTAATATAGGCTCCATAAATATTGATATTCACTTTGAAACGATTTAAAGCCTCCAATCGAATGTTTAAGCAAAAGCTGGAATACCTTTGTTGACTTCCCTATCAATGGACTTGATATGACTGATTATTTAATTAACTCCAAGACTCCTCAAGAGTATGAAAATGAAACTGAGGATGACAATGGAGAAAATAACAAATAAAGAGTTCTTTATGATTTATATGCTGTATCAAATCACTTCGGTGGCCTTGGAGGAGGTCATTACACAGCTTATGCTAAAAATAAGGTATTCATTTTCAAATATTCTGTAGCACACTAAAAAATGGTATAATTTTGATGACTCTCATGTTGCTGAAACAAGTGAATCTTAGGTGGTTACAAAAGCAGCCTATGTTCTTTGCTATTAATTGAGAACTGACGAATCTATGAATGTTTAAGGGTAGCATGCTCAAACCATTTAACAAAATGAGTAGTATAATAAATGATACATTATTAAAGGTTTTACACTAGTTTATTCTTCTTATATGATGAATTCTCCTTTTTATATTACATAATTCTTATGAAAATAAATTAAAAATAAAATGATTATTGAAAATGAAGATAGTGATTTGGAAATTATTTCAAAGTATTTTAAAAATGAGGCTGACGAATTTGAAGTTTATGAGGTACTCTCACATTGTAATTTAAAGGCAACAAGATTTCTTAGTTATCACCATAGACAAGATGAAATACTAGAATTAATATCTGATCATTATTCATAATACAAAGAAAAAATTGATACTCTCATGAAGTAAAATGTATGTTCTATTTCAAGCATAGAAGAGGATTCTATTCTTTTTGATATGACAATTGATTTATGGGTTAAATTTAAATAGAAGTCATAATGTCTCAAAGATGTGTTAAAATATTTGGACATAAAGACTCCTGTATAAAATTACATCACAAATATCCTATTAAAGTTAATTAAGGTGGAAGTAGAGAATAGATTATAGATGGTCACTCTATTAGAAATAAAAAGATTTAGACAAGTCATTGTTACATTATCCAATCAATAAGCAATTGAAGATCCTCCTTTATAGCTTTTAGATTTGTTAATTTTGTTGCCAAATTATTAGTAATTTGAAAGAAGATTTTACGAATAGACTCAAATTTACTACAAGGAGTTTATTTTAGATACTAATCCATCATAATCAGTTTAGATTGCAAATATCATATTCTAAGCTGAGAAAAGGCTTTCCAGTAAATTTTAAAATGAGTTTCAATTAAGACTTAATGAATTACTTAAACAACTAATATTCAATCAAGTTAATATGACTGATTTAGATTCATTATACTTTAATACTGAGATTATGCTCCATTATGTTCGATTTGCATAAGAAATAAATGCCCTTCCTAAATTACTATCTGCACTGTATAATTTATTATGATTTTTAGTCGAAAACATATTTATAAAGAAGTAATATGTATTTTACAACAACAACCAACATCAGCCATTGAGAATATGTTAAATTTAGAGAAGACTTGTCAAACTCTTTTCGAGCAATTACCTATGGAACATACTAATGCAACGATCATAACTCATGCTATTGAAGTAATTTATTCGATTATAATTAAGGATGCAGTAAATGAAAATTATGAAAAGTATTCCTTCACTCTTGCTTCTGTAATAAATCTTTAGAACTAGCATTCCATTAAGAAATATAAGCATTTAATAAAATATTTAACAGATAAAGAGAGCTTTTAAAACTATTATGTTAAATTTCTTATCAAACGACTTTTGAAAGAATATAATTAGAATGAGTTAGAATTATTGAATGAACTACAACCATATTGTAATTCTGAATGGATTTCTGAGAGTTTAGAATTCATTAAAAATTCAAAAGAATCTCAGAATCTCACTAATCAATTTTTACAAAAGCTTCGTTAAAAGAAGAGCCCAATCCAATTTCATTTTCATTTGATTCCAAAATCAATTTGGCCCTATCAAATTGAGAATTTAATACTACCTTCACCATTGAATCAGTTCGCAGATAACTTTATTAAGAATTAATCTGAAGATCTATTATTCTAAAAAAAGAAGATAATATTTTAATCTAAATTGAGCAAACTGAATTTAGTAGTCAAAATTGATCATTAATTTGAATTAGAGTTGCCATTGGCTTAAGGTTTGGAGTTGCTTAGATTTAATGCTTAAAAAAGTATTAATCAAATAAGTAACTATAAATTATATAATGGACTTATTGTTAGATCAGAGAATAATACCTTTAAAATTAATTATCAGTATAAACATGCCAATTAAATTATGATTATAAATGAAGAGATTTAAATTGAGATGGAGAAGAATCAATAAATTATCTCGGATTATTTGTATGTTGTTGACGCTGCTATTGTTAAAATCATAAAACAGAACAAAAAGATTAATTCAGAGAGCTTGATTCAAGCGACATTTGATTTAATAAAAAAGGAATATCCTAGATTTATTGATTTGTGTGAATATGATATTATAGAGAAATAGATTGTTAGTTTATTAGAAAAGGAGATGATTAAATAAAGATTTGATGATTTTGAATTATTATGATCAAATTGTTATTAATAATTTAATATAATTACTTCTAAATCTATGATGTAGATCAAAAATAAAGTGCATATTTAAACATAATAATTTAATTATAATTTATAGTAATGTAAGAGATCAAATAAGCCAAGATAGTGACGGAGAATTATAATATAGTAACCACTGTGGAATAAAACTACCTGAGAGTATATATAAATGAAGAAACCTTTTAATAACTCTCAATCGAGTATTTATTAAATTGTCTCAATATTTCAGTCAATAGGTAATTTAGTAATCCTATTTAAGAGTAGTCATCATTATTAAGCATCAAGCTTACTTTTAATTTATACAATAAAATTTGGTATTGGAAATGTTAAGAAAGGCTCCTAAATTACATTCTATTTTTGTTATAGGAAATGAACAGATCGATGAATTTAAAGATAAAAACATTTTTAGAATAGAATCAGTGAAAGAAATAGACAATATCTTGAAAGGTTTGGAGAAGAAGAACAGTTTTGAGAACGAAAGGCTCAACAAATATGGAGTGCCAATAGTTATATAAGAATTACTAAAATACTTCAAGAATAATATGCACCATGAGGGTCTATTTAGGAAGTGTGCAGTAAATAGTGAAATTTAATAATTTATGGAGGAAATAAAGAACTATGATTTTACAAGACTTGAGAATGCAAATCCTCATTTAGTGGCTTGTGTATTAAAATAGTATTTCGGGTAATTGGAGGTTCCTTTGATAAATACAGAATCAATCTTTTCCAAAGATTTGAATGCTATTGGTGTTATTAATGAGTTATCAGAGATAAATGCCAGAGTATTCTTTATGGTTATTTCATTTTTTCAAGAAGTAGCAAAGTTTGAGGAGCAAAACAAGATGAATGTCAAAACATTGGGCATGCTAATTGCACCTTCGATGGTGAAGTTCTCTTCTTAAGGTGATAACCCATTGGAAAAAATTAATAAGACTATTATGTTTCTGTAGAAGTATTTAGAAAACTTCCATAAATTCGTACCCAACTTCCATTATGAGGATCTTTTGGAGAAGGAAGAGACAGATGTTGGGGAAGGACTTGATGGTCGTGATTTGAAGGAGGAGTGGGCAAAAATGAATAAAGTAAAATAACATATAATATGAATGAAAATTATTAAGTGTAATTTTAATTATATTATTTCATGCCACCTAAAACTAGAAGGAATGAGGTTAGTTCACATCAACTCAAAGTAAATGATAACACATAAAACTAATAGGAAGAAGGGAACAAGGCTTTTCTGAATAGTGAATATGATAAAGCACTTACTCTGTACACAAAAGCCATTTGTAAGAATTGTCTTAATAGTTTTTAGAGATTGAAGAAAATCCAATCTATTTCAATAATCGTTCCCAAGCATATTTCTATCTGGATGATTTAGAATTGGCCCTCCAAGACTGCAATAGGGCTTTATAGTTAAATCCTAATTATTCCAAGGCCTTATCAAACAAAGCCTAAATTCTTTATGAGATGGGGTACATCGAAGTATTTCTTTGATCTTATGCAGGATGCTATTTAATGTTTAGAATCCTCAAACCATCACACATCAGAAATTGAGAAATTATTGAATCAATATAAAACATAGGCTCTCTAAGTAAAACTGATATTACTATAAGTCTTCGATTGATTCAGGGGAGCTCGATAAATAGAAGAGACTTTTGGAATGGCTTAAGAGTGGACAAGCCCTATTCCCTAAAATCAAGATTGAATGTTATGCAGAGGATTATAGAGGAGTCAATGCAAGGAAGGCTATAAGTTCAAAAGAAGTCATCCTTTTCGTCCCCAGATCCCATATGATAACTTTAGAAATGGCAAAAGATACACCAGTAGCTAAAAAAATAATTCAATATAGACTTGATTTATTATCACCCAAACACTCATTCCTCTCTACTTTTTTATTGTAAGAGAAGAAAATATAGGATTCCTTTTGGAAACCCTACTTGGATGTACTTCCAAAATCATACTCTAATTTTCCAATCTTTTTCAATGACAGTGATTTGGAATGGCTGAAAGGATCTCCATTTTTAAGTATTATACGCTTGTAACATTTTAGAATAAGTAAAAGATAAGATCACAGATCTAAAAAAAGATTATTGTGATATCTGTTAAGTAGCTCCAGAGTTCCTCTAAAATTCATTTGATGAATTCTGTTGGGCCAGGATGACTGCAAGCAGCAGAATCTTTGGCATCAACATCAAAGGAGTTAAAACTGATGCCTTTGTCCCTTTGGCAGACATGCTTAATCACAAACGTCCTAAACTGACATCTTGGTGTTATTCTGATGAAAGATAAGGGTTTATCATTGAAACAGATGAAAATATTGAAAAAGGTTAAATGATCTTTGACAGTTATGGCAGCAAATGTAATTCTAGATTTTTACTCAATTATGGGTTTGTTGTTGATGATAACAATGCCAATGAAGTAAATGTGATGGTTGAACCTGATGGAACTATTTCCCTCATTCAATTAAAGGAAGGACTTTCACGAGAAACATTATAATTCCCAAAATCCTTTAGATTAGTCATTGATCCAAATGGTATTTTACCTTTTTATCAATTAGATGTCAGCTTCTCTGATTTCATGAGTTTCATTAGATTCATTCTTATTCAAGAGGAAAAGGAATTCGCAAATCTTCTCGGAAAAAATTCTTATATAAAACCTACCAAAATCCACTTTATTAGCATCTAAAATGAATTAGCTACGTGGAATCTTATTGAAAACATATGCATTCGTGCTCTTAATCAATATCCAACAACTCTAGAAGTAAATTCCTTATGTTATTTTAAGTAAGACTTAGAAATACTCAAAATATGTGAACTGACGACCAATCAACGGAATTGTCTCATATTAAGAATGGGTGAAAAAAAAATACTTAACTTTTATAAATAATTCAGTGAAAAAATGAGATAGTTGTTTTCAAATTTTGATTTTTCTGTATGCTATTTTATGCTTATTAATAGGAATTGAAAAAACTGCAACAAATTCAAGAAAACTACCATTACTTTAATTATTTAACCAGGATAAATAATTAGCTAAAAAATCAAACTGAAAATTATAATTATAAATAAATTTCAATTTAATGATAAAAATAAATTATATATTTATAGATAATTTGAAATCATAAATATTATTTCATAAACTTCTCTATTTCAACTCTTAAATCATTTAAATTTGTATCAGTGGTCTTTGGAAACCCTATAGCTGTGCCATTTAATATCAACACATTTTAATTTGGAAAATTTGAATAGAGTGCTGGAATCTAATTTAAACTAGATATCGTATATATGTTTAAACTGAATTTATTATAAAAATAAATACTTTGTTTTTATGTCCTTCAAAATAGTAAGTAATACATCTGTCATGGCATCATTCTAATAGTATAAAATGATTTGCTTTCTATTGTTTTAATTGCTATTAAGGAAATTAAAATAATCTAAGTTGATTTCTTAAATCTTATCAAGATCCTGAGATAAGTAATCAATATTATGTATTCTCTCCTCAGAAGATTATTGGAGAAGATTATTTAATTGTTAATCAATTACCTCGAATCGTTCTACGAATTATATGTCTTTTAGGAAATACTTTTCATACAGTTTGGCCGTTTGTGGAAATAACTATCTTGAATAAGATATAGAATTAAAAATATTAAAGAGAACAAATCTGCTTTAAAATTTGTTTAAGTGAGGCAACAATTCTTCTAATTAATTCGTTGCTGATATCACAAATTCTAATTTGTCCTTATACTTCTCGTAAAGTCTGAAAAATAAAGATATCCTAATATGATTCTAATGAAGATATTAATATTTTATATACATCTAATCTATTTTAATGTTTAGGATCTAATTGTAAACTGACCACTAATTTATCATTTTGGTTTTTATGATTTTGAATTTTTCTTATAAATGCTGCTATATTACACTTTCTACTATTCTTCAAATAGAAGACTCTAGGTAAACTAAATTATTAAAGTTCAAAAGTAAATTGGTTCTTTTATTACTTTCTATCAGTAACTGTATTTGATTCAAGTTTGCTATTTTATTATTTCCATTCATTAAATGATTCATATTTTAAATTGCCCACCTGCTATTTATTTATCAATTGGGGTATTATTTAATTTTTTTCATTGATAATGCAGTTTTAGTATTTTTACAAGATGTCATTTCTAAACAATAGAATATCATCATCTTTTAGATTCAATTCTTGGCATAGTTCTTTATTTTCTATAATGAGGAATTTGGAGTTTTAATCAACTGTTTTTTTATCTAAAAATTAGAAGGATGTTTTCTTAAATAATTTGAGTTTAGAATCTTGGCTATTAGACTTAATGAAAACAGGAGAGTCTAATTAATAATAGCTTTCTAAAATAATTGATTCGAACTATTCCTTTGTTGTAACAGTTTAGTACATATCAATAAATCTCGAAACACGTGTTCTATTGTGATTAATAGGTATTACAAAATTTTATCTATATTATTTTCTTGATAAAAGTTGTGTTTTTTAAAAGGAAAGTAAACATAATCATCTGAATGTGGAGTTTTAAAAAATATATCAATTTTCTAATATTCATCCTCCTCATATATCTTTATATTTTTAACGCTATTGACTAATTTAGTGATAGATTTCAAAGAGGGCCTGGATACAGTGTAAACATGACCTATGTTTGATAAAATGAATTACAATCAATTTATAGTTTATCTGCTATTTATTACAATTTCTTGGCCACTTCAATGGCTTCTTTTTCGCCATACCCTCCATCGAGTTCATCTTTGTAGATGACCAGGAAGAAATAATCTTTGCGATTCCCAAGGACATTTTGAACAAAGTTTGATTAATTCATTTGTCGAACTGGAAGGTGATATGGAATTATGATTTACTTTCACTGGAACAATGAACAGACCTATTTCGATAGGTATGATAGATTAAATAAGGCAAGGTCAAACAACTGATCCTGGTAAACAATTTAGGTAGTGTCAAATTCCTGAGGAGTCTGAGTCGATTCATATAAATAATTAATAATTAAATAAAATGCAGAATTATGCACTTTTGGGAATCACTCTTATATTGGTGGTTGTATACATGCTAATGACTACTATTGAAAAGACAACCTCATACTTCGGGAAAAGATCGTCACTTAATCAAATTGAAGACAAATACGAGTCACTAAGAAAATAGAGGAGAGAAATGCTTGTAAGTTATTATGTTATTTCTTTAGTAACACTATTACTGGGCTTAGTCAAATAATGAGAGAGATAAGGAGAAGAAACTGGAAACTTAAATCTTTAAGATTGATGATGAATTAGAGGAGTTGAAGAATGACTTTGAATCACTTAAAGCTGGCAAGAAAGTTCCTTTGAAGAAAATATGATTTAAATACATTCATAAATCAGACATCATCTCAAAGTTTTTTGTATTATTCAAAAAGTCTAATTATCTATTTATTACATTGAAATATATATATACCTGTATTCGCATCTTATTGTAATGTCTGGCCATATCGATAGGAGTTATATTTTATTAGTCCATTATGTAAGGATCAGCTCCATTTTAGAGTAACCTAAACTTAAAGTTAATCTTACCATTCCACAAAATCCTAATTGCCCTTTAAAACTGCAACATGAAGAGGAGTGATTCCATCATAATTTTGGGAATTCACATCGTTTGCAGAGTACACAAAATGTGATTGTTTCATCATCATTATTCTGTTCTTTTGGACTGCTTCAAAAAGATAATCTACTTTGATCTTGTTCTATTGTAAGGGCAATCTTAAACTTTAGAAAGTCTTAGGAGTTGGAGTTGAAGTCCCAGTGCTTAGATTGAAACTTCTCTTTTCACTGTTCTTTCGACTATTCTCATCAGTTCTGATATTCCCAAAGTTTATTTAATCTTTAGCAATTGCTTTGCATCTCTCTAATTATTTATTTAGATAAAAAAAGGACACTTATTAATCCTATCCCGTTTCTATTTGATGAACCATATTTTCGCAATTGTCTTTGAACAAATAGTAGATTTACTTTCTTCTTTCTTCAAGCTTTTGCCTTAGTTTCTTTTCTCTAAATAATGACCTCAATTTTCTCTAAATAACTATTGCAGCCCTTATTTCCTTTTAAGTAGGTTAATAATTGGGACTCTTCCAATGTTCTAATTCTGGTTAAGTAGGAGGACCTCCAGAATAAAACTTTTTGAAATTCTTCCTTTATCTCAAGGCAGGATGACTTTTTAATCCAAGTTTAAATTTCTCCTATTCATATTTATTATATTAGGCAGATATGGGATTTATATAAGCTAATTCATTTTCTTCAGCTTCTAACTTTTTGTCTATGAGTAACTTTGTAGAAGGATGAAAAAGATGCCTTTTTATGTTCTATGTAAATTGTCCTCCTATGGTACTCTTAGGCCTAGCCATTGCCTTTAAATACTCTTGTCTCTTATTTTTGACCGAAGCTCCCCTCGGACTCTAAGGCTAAAGTTGTTTTTAACTTTTGAACTATTACTGAGAAGAATAATTGTATTAATTGTCATCCTCACTAAAATCTATGTATTATTTTCTTCTCTCTTTTTCAAGAACATAATCATATAATTTATTGATGAATTGCTTTTCAGTAATTTTACCCATCAAATAATCTTTGAGCTATGTTGCTCCTGGAATTTCACTCGGTATCTTTTCTTCAAATTTACCGGTTCTTTCCATGTGTTTTACAACAGTCTTGCAAACTTTAATATATTTTCTATTTAATTCCATGTTATAGGCATCTATTGATTATTTCAATAAGAGTTGTTCTCTTTTGACTAGTTTCTCCTTAGTCTTTTAGATCTTAACCCTTATGTACGATAATCTAGCCTTCATAGTTGCTGCTTTCATTTCCTCATAGTCGTTTAATATTTATTCAGCTAAGGATAATTCCATATTAAAAAGGAGATCAGGATTAACCTAATTTGCAGCTCTCTAAAAGAAATCCCGATCCAGACAAGCATTTAATAGTTCACTCGTATTTGCTAGAAATTGAAGTTCTTAAGCCGTAAGGAATTCGCCATCTGTGTATTTGTTAAGGATGTGTTCTCTTTATTATTTCTTCTTTTCATTCAAGGTCATTTATTGCAAAATGGGCAGAAATCCTAAATCATTCCAATTCGAACAAGCAATTTCGTTTCTATATAAACTAATACAAATACGTAAATAGTTATTTTGTTTGGCTTCTTTATTTTGTAAAGATTTATTCTTATTAATTATCCCAAGCCACTTCATATAGCGAGTGTTTAGTGCTGTCTTGCTTGTTGGTTTCATCATTCTGCAGATTTGAGTTTTTATTTTGCTTTTCTTTGATTTATTTCAATCTATCTTACCCCAAGGATTTTAGAAAGTGAAACTCATTGGAATGACCATATTTCTCCATGTTTTCGAAGATATTTCGAGTGGTAATGACTTAAACGTTTTTGAGCATGAGAGGCTAGTTCTAAGACTTGAGGGCTAATTATTGATTCTCGTAATCATTCAATTTATCAACTACTATTTATCGTAACTTATTTTTCAATTGTTCATATTTTGTTTTTAATTACAACCATTTGAAATGTCTCTTAGTTTAATTATTTAATTTCTCCTTCTTCATTTGCAAATCAACTTCTTTGCATTTCTATTCTTTTAGAAATATCTTGTCCGACCAATTCTTGAGTAATGTATCAATGGTACTGTTCATTTGGTGCTTAATGTATTCGCTTGCTTAATTAGGATTAATTACTGTCTCTCTTGCGAAGTCTTTAGCTGGTTTAAGTTGGTAGGATTAATGTCAAATGCCTTCAAAATGCTAAAAGAGAGTAAGGAGAAATAAGAACCTCTAACTCATTCGATTTAATGGTTAACTCTAATGTTGCAACAGGTTAGTCATTTATAATCCTTGGACTGCCGTTTATATAAGGATCGTTCCAAATAGAGATGTGGGACTGCTAATTTCAGGATCGCCATTGTCTTCGAATTGCTTGAATTTTTGATCGATTTCTTTATAATTATCATATTCGTATTTGGGATGGGGTGTCTTGATCTTGTTGATTCTTTCCCAAGTCTTAATTGATTTATATTTCTGCATTTTAATAATAATTCAATAAAATTAACACTCAAAAACTAAATGTTGCTAAGACAAAATGAATAGCAATAATATTATAAATTAAATCAATATATTATTCACGAGTTCAATTAGATGATATTAATTAATAAATAAATCAATTAGAAATGGATATCACTTTGACCTTCAAAGATCCTCAGGAAGAACTTAATTATGGACTTTACTCCCACAAGATAGACTTTAATTTATTTAGAAGACTTCTCTACAGTATGTTGCTTGGGTCTTTTTCAGGGTCTATATATTTTCTCATAATTGGGAACTATTTATATATTACCTTGGGTAGCTACATGTTCATTTAGACAATTATAGCAATTTTGCTTTCCAAAAAATCCATTTAATATCTCAATATAGTTGCTCTGGTATATCAGATCGAAATTTAAACACTGTTAGCTACCCTAATTACTTTATTGGACAACTCTTTGCACCGAGGCACCATTATGATAATCACCACTGCTGCATTTCAAATGTCAGTGTGGTAAATTTGATATATAAAACTCTCTAGCTTATCCATAGGTACCAAGTGCACTCTGAAGCTTCTAGTGAGTCTCTATTCAACCTTGATTTAATTAGTACTTAGTTTACTTATTGAAACTGTAAGTCTAGTTTGGATCGGATTCGCATTCTTCTCCCTATTGTTTGCCTTTCAAGTGACATATTACCAAGAATTCGAGAAGAGATAAAAGTACACTCTCCATTAAAATGCCCAAAAAATAAAGGAGAATTTATTGAATCAAATTGAAATTCCCATTCTCAAATGTTTCAGTAACGAAAACGATCTCAAATTGATTTATTCCGAATGTAATAAATGCGCTTAGAATACCCTTAGAATCACTGATCAAAACAGTTTTATCAAATTCACAAGAGAAGTCATCATTTTAGAAGGCAAAACCACTTCAATATTAACAAAATAGTCCTCAACTCTGTAGTTCTCAGGAAAATAGAACCTTGAATAATTGATCCATAGATTTTTTAAAAAACAGGTGGGAGAAGATTCCATACTTCATAAAACCTTTTAGGCTTATAGATGCAGAGTTAAACACTTATCCTAAGAGTATTTGTGCCAACTCATTTTGATACATGAAGATCAACCATTGTGTGTAATATATCTTCAAAAAACTTACGATGATTTTATCATAAAAACCAATGAGAAAATGGTCGTTTTAAATCAATTATTGAAGAGATGCGTCAAAGAGAATTCTCAGAAAATCAGTACTCAATAAGAATGCATATCTCTGTTATATAGAAATTTAAAGTAAAACAATTTGACCGAAATCATAAACAAATTAGCTCAAGAACTCTTTTCGCTCAATATCTTCTTTGCCAATTGCAAAATCTTGTTTAATTCTTAACATTTACACTTCACAACCAAAAAACAACACAATCTAATAGGCCTTATTCAATAGATTGTATTCCATTTCAAACACTCCTTACAATTCAAATCTATTTAAGTATCCATAAGAGCAAAATCTGATATTATGGTGGAAGAAAATGAAATTCTAATTAGACAATTGCTTTACAACGTCATCGAGAATGCCATTCAGTTTGCAAAAGACAAGATAAAGATTGAAATCAATTCAAATTATGACAGCAATATTAATCATTAAATAATTGAAGTTAAATTTGCAAATACTATAGAGTTAAACCTTCAAAAAAATAATAGTGAAAGTAAGTAATTAAGAATGGGACATTTGGTTGTGAATAAGATTCTAAAATTAATAAGCCCCTACTCTTAATTATAAATCTATTAAGATGAAAGTAATTATAGTGTAAAGTTTTATTTGTTTCACCAACTTTGATTTTGTTAAATACAAACTTTATATATATAAAATTTAACATAAATTTTAATTTAAATTAATAACTGATTCAATCATGATGAAAAGAAATAGTTAAAGTCGAGTACCCAAAATTGAAATTTAGACAGAATTATTGTCTATTAAATTAATCTAGCATAATCCAAACATTAATTTTGACAAATATGATTGGTGTCAAAAGTTTTCGGAAATCATACATGCTGATAAATTGAAATCTCATATTGCTATTTCCAATGACAAAGTATCAATTATCAAAGGCAAAAATATATATTCTTGGGGAGTTATCGATAAATCATTCACTTTTAAATAGGAAAAATCAGATATCCTAGATACAATCACGATAGATTCAAGATGTTTCATTTTAGACAAGGATAAAAAGGTTTATAAATCGAATGATAAACAGATACTTTTTAACAATATCAAAGCAATTAGAAACTTTTAAAATGCCTTAATACTCCTTACGGGTGATAATCAATTGTTGGATGAGAAATAAAATAAACTCAAATAAAATATAGAAGATGTTTAAAGTAGTAATGAATTCTTGGGAATTTAAACAAAAAATAATATTACTATTGCTGGTAAGTTTCCTTTTTAATAAATCTTTGAAGTGAAGGCAACCAAAATTTCTTGTGGCTTATAACATGTTATGTGTCTCTCATAAGAAGGATAACTATACATTTGGGGTGAAGGTAAGTCTGGTTAAATTGGCAACGGATCATTGAAGTAGTAATAATGGCCATAGCTTGTTATGACCAATGTCTAAGACATAGCTGCTGGCACAGAATCTTCCACTTTATTAAAAGGTAACAGAATTTACTATTGTGGAACCAATGAATAAATTAACAAATAACATACATTCGTCCCTTATTAATCAGATAACATCTTTATTAGGATCTACTCATGTTGGAGTCAGGTTATGGATGTACAATATGCACATTATGTTGATTTTGATCAAGAACTCTATGAAGAATTGAATAAGATAGTTAAGCAAATAGAAGATGATGATTTATTATTGCCTGACGAAAATCTTACTCGATAAACAAAAGCTATGAGCACTCATGAATCACAAATGATGAAGAAACCACTTCCACCTCAAATATTTGGCTAGTAAACAAAAACCTCTACTAACTCAAGTATAATTAAAAGCAAAAGTAAGACCCCTTAAAAAAAATTGAAATTTTAGTTAGATTGAAATAATTAATATATGTTTTCCATTTATTTATTAATAGATCACATCATTGATTTAAATATTTTAGACAATAATTTAATTTTCCAATTGATTTTGATTTCAGGATCATTGAGTATTTCTTCTTTTGTTATTTTTTCAGCATAGTTGAACAATTAATTTTATTCTTTTTTTAAATCTTACTTAAACATAGGACATTAAGTGAAAATATAAGCTTAAATTTCATTATCTCTTTTTTCTGATCTTTCAGCATAATTTGAACTGCCAATAATTGTCATTGTAGAACCATCCTAAAGTTCAGCCCAAAATCCCTTAGTATGAAATGTCCAACCATTTTTTTTGTATTCAAAAATTGGTTTATTTATAGCCAATTCAAAATTACGATATAATAGTGGAATAAATGACTTAGCCTTTCCAGCCTTATGAAATCCATTTGCTCCTGGACTAGCAGTAACAAACTTAATATCAGTCTTGCAATTATTCACAAAATTAATAATAGTCTTAGTAAAATTCATATATCCAGATGCCCAAGTCACCTCTTACTATAATATAATTTAATACAAGTAAACTAATCTAAATGCTCTAGAATCCTCATAAAAACTAACTTATCTTCATCAGTTTATAAGTATGGGATGTGTAGAGTAATTAGTACTGTGCATTCCTCTCCCTCATCTAACTCTCTTTCTTCATCTTTATAAAGTGCCTTCTCTAACCTGTTAATGATGTTTTGAACATCTCCCTTATTGAAACTCTTATTTAATCTTCACTATGATTTATACTTTATTTACATTAATTTTGCTTATTCTTTTCTCTCTTAAATCTTTTGCTCTACTATTAAATCTTTCTCATAAAATTGTAACATCTCTTCTTAAGATAATTCCTCTTCTTCTTATTCTTATTATGTATCATCATTCTCTTCCTCCTTATTTTAAACTTTAGCTTATTATTATTCTTTATATTCTTCATCATCACTTTTGATTTCGGCTGCTTCTTTGTAACTAAATTTGAAGATCTTCCAAGTTTGATGGAATTCTTTAAAATATTATTATCTTTTAAAAGGTTGAGCTCTTAAAGGATCAAATTTGGAATTAGAATCAAAGTCAACATAATACGCATGTTATAACAATGCAGATTAAGCATCATCTAAATAATCTGCAATCTCATTAGCTTCATGAAATACCATGTATCTATCTTGCCTATTAATAAAGTATTGTTCCTATAAATTAGCTAGACATTTAATTATAAATTACCTCCGGTCAAAATTACTCGATTATCAAAGATATACCACTTCATATGGTGAACATTGAAAATCTCTCTTGATGCAGATTCTTCGAACATATTAGCAAGTTAAGGGAGGAAAGGATGTCTCATTAATCCAAGTTTCATATTTTGGGCGTATAAATTTTGCATTCTCAAATAAAGATAATGATCCAATGGTGTAGTGTGATCTTTCTTATCTCTTCTTGTCCCTCTATAATAGTCCATTAATAATGAAATCCTTAATTATTCAAATCTCCTTTATTGATTAGACAAACTCTCTATTAAAAATTCTTCCATATTTCCATTTCCAATATATAAAGTACTCCATACTATTCTCTTTTAAGCATTCTTTATTCCCTTGTGTAAATTCACATAAAAGTCCACAGGATCTTTAAGTATTTCAATCTATGCTGTGTTTAACTTAAAAAATGGCTTATGAAACTTTAAATTATTTAACAATTAATTCATTAATTATATATTATTTTTATTCTAACATTTGTTCATTCTTAAATAATATTAGCTTCAACACAAATTATAAAACTGCTTAGATGCTCCAAACAATTAAATTTCATTCTCATTTCAATTGACTTCAAAATTGTAAAAATACAAAATTTATTATAGCCCATAATTTTATGGAGGGGTTTGTTAATCTTAGGGTAATCTTGCGTACTTTTAAATATCATATCTTTTAGCATTAACATTCTTAAAGATTATTAAGCTCAGAATTTATCCATAAATTTATATTAAATTAATTTAACTGAGTACAAGCATGGATAACATTGATGCAAGAAAGTACTTCAAGACGGGAAACAGGAAATCTTAATAAGGATGTCGCGAAGGCATTGTGATGAGAACTGAATCCTAAGAAGAAGATTTAAAAGATCTTGAATGCTAACTTCAAAAGAAAATGTGCCTGAATGAAAACGAATGTTTTTTCATTGAAGAAATCCTTTACACTGATCCATATGAACCAGAAGCTTTACTTGATGAGAATATCTGTATTAATCAAGATGTCACTTTCAACCCTCAATTTTATTTAAACAATGAGAATTCAATTATAGGATGATATATTTAATTAAAATCAATGAATTAATCTCACCCATCGAAAAAAAAATTATATTTCCAAGAGCTATGAAGTTAGTTCCAATCAAAATAATCATTTTTATAAGCATGATTTAAATAATCCATTTTTTTCTATCATGTGAAAGAATTTCAAGATTATAAAATATTAGTTACAAAACAAGAGAAACTTAAACATTTTGTTAGAATTCGAATTTCTGATATTCTCAAATGTAATACAATTTAAAATTTCAAATGTTTGAAAGAAAGTTATTTAATGATTTTTAAGAAGAAGTTTATCAATTGCAATCATTATCATTCCCAATCCAGAGATATTCTACCATCATTAACTTTTTTAGGTTTTCATTAAATTTCGATGACATATTTCATTATCGAATTCAATTAAAAAATATTAATATTTCTTAGTCTAAAAATTATGAATTCTATTTTTAATTGATAATGACGAGCTTATAAAATAATCTTTAGAACCAAAAATATAAGTGTCTGAAATAATGAAATGAAAACTCTACAATCTAAAATATTCCTACAATATTCATAATTTCTATTGGCCAAATAGAATGAAGTAATAAAAATATTAATAAATAAAATCCACAGTATCTTATACTTCTTGAGAATACTTAGATTAGAATTACAGATTAACCCAATTGTATTTAGTATGAAACATTTCATTTAATACTGAAATAATTGAATACACACAAATGATTACTAAAATTAAATCAAAAAATTTAGTAAAAGTATGATGAATGTATCTTAACTTCTTATCCTTATTAAATTATAACTTGGTTAAACATTAACTTTAATAAATATCAATCATCTTTTCAAAACAACCCTTAACAAGTGGAAATACAATTTTTACAAACTAAATTATAAAAACTATTCATTTTAATTTATATCACACTTTTTGCACATGATATCATCATTTCAAACTCCTCCTCGTCATTAGATTGTGCTTAAGCCAATACGTTTATTAATATGTCAGATTAGCTAATAAATTCGAATTCTGATAATAAATTAGATATGGAATTTTGAAATCTTGTTTATATTAATAAAAAAGGATTAACTTACCTGCTCGCTCTTCTATTTTTCTCCCTTCTTATTATTTGGATCCATGCTCAAGAAAAATATTGGCTAATTTAGCATATTTTTGTTTTTGATAATATATTTTTTGACAATGGTCTAAAGTAATTCAGCATAAGATGAATATTTAGTCTAATGATATTCCTCAGGAAGATGAGATTCTAACTATAGACAGATCTCTCTTTTGAATTGAGCATTCTAACTTAAAATGCTTTTAATTGTATCATCATAGACTAAGGAGGAAAAGCTGGAGGTAAATTGTATGAATTTAAATTATGATCAAAATATTGAATTTCAGGAAATTGCACAAATAAGTTGAATAATCTTTCATAAGCAACACGATAAAGAATTAATCTATGATAGATATTGTCTAAAGGAAACAACCTCCCTAAAATTGTGATGTATTCTAGAGTTGCACTAAAAAATTGATCACTTATCGTCTGCAACTCCTTGTTACCTTAACTACTTCAGTACTCTGCATACTTAGAGGGGTTTCTGATTTCCTAAAAATTACTGGTTTGCCTCTATATAAGTCTTTAGATTCCACTTAAAACAGAGCAATCTTTTCCAGTTTTGGCAGAACTATTTTTTACATCAAATGAATGTAATTCTAGTCAAATGTTTCAGCCAACTCTTTATTGAACTAATAAAGAGATTATTTAGAATTCTTACCTTAAATGCCGACATTCTAAAAATAAGCGATTCTTCATTGTCAATTAGGAAATTGGCCAAACATTATAGCACTAGTTTACTATAGATTATTTTTCACTAATAAATTTTACTTATCACCAAAAGGTACTCTCAGTTTGATATCTCTAATATAAGGATAAGTTTCATGGGAGTTTAAGTAAATTCTTAATTAAGTTTTTAATTTCATTAAATAAAATATGAATGACGAAAATTTGCCACTTATAGACAAATAAGAAGAAACCCAAGGTTACATTGAATTGCTCCAGTTACATAAATCATTTATTGAAGCTGATCTACCTTTATCAACAATAAGAAGCAAATTCATAAGCAATCCATTCATTGTTCCTATCATTTTTTTAATTCTTATTTCCTTAATGATGATCGCCATGCAATTGACTGGCTATTTCGATGTAACAATTATATTTAATTGATATAATGAGTAATCTCTTTATCATGAATATACGAATAAGAATTATGAAAAATAGCCGAAATTTGCTATTATATTTGTAATTTATTTACTGAAATGAATTCCATAATAAAAATAATATATAAATACATAATTTTTACTTATATATTTCAAATATTAAAGTAATTCAGATTTTCATCATGAGTTGGATAATTCTATCTATTTTCTTCTATATTGAATTATTAATCAAATGTCTTTTTCGCTGTTAAACCATTACATTAAAACTCAAATAGAGTTAAGGATTGATTTAATAAACTATTATATTAATACTTAATCAATATATTTCATGCATTATTATATTATCAGAGATTATTATGTTACCTATTTTAATGGCATTAATACTATATCAGAAATTAAGGTAGTGTTCTCTATAGAAGTAGATAATCAAATTAGTTCTATTTGTTTCAAATCTATTTTTCATTAATCTGGTTATTTACTTTAATTAAAAAAATTTGGTTTTGTTTTTAATTATAAAATCTTGCTAAAAATACGATTAAATAGATGTAATGTAAGAAAGGAGAGAATATATAATTTTGAATTGCCATTAAAAATTTACCAATTATTACAAAATTATGTGTATTTCAATATCATATGATTTTTTAAAGAAACCATAACCTATGAATTGTCACTTTTTTTTGGCAACCATCGTAGACTGCTAACATATCACCTCCTGGTGATATTGCTCCTTCTGTACAATCTAAACTACATTAAATGTATTATTGATAATAATTAAAGCTTAATTCACGCTTTGCTTAAAAGAGCTAAGCTATGTTTTGTGATCCTTCTTTGCTTGGTAATTAGGATTTACATATCAAAAAATGAATTCTATTTCCATATTTCATCGCCATTATGTCCTTCTCTCTATTGTATAACAACGGAAATTTATCATTATCATGTCTTTCTAGCTTGTTATCATTATATTGCTCATCGAATTAAACTTTTCTTAGATTTTCCGGCTTGAAGTTCAATGCAAGTTCATTATTATTTAATATCGATGTATCAAGATTTATTAAAATATTCACATAATTTTGTTTGAACATTTGCCAGACTATACAATCTGATCCATAATAGGAAACTCTTGTTCCAAAAGCATTTCTTTTATATTTGAGGATGAATTGCCAATCATAACTTTTGATATTTCTTTCCCAAATGTAAAAATTATTCTCATAACCTGAAGAGATCAGTCTCTATTTTCTTTTTTCACCATTTTTTATATCACTTAAGGATAGCCAAAAAACCCCTTCCTTAGAGCCATGCTTTAACGCCCCTTGATCATCTGCTGGCATATATTCGATATCGAAATCTATCCAATAGCAATTGGATATTTATTATCCATCTTAATTTGCCTATTAATTTTATGGTATTTATTATCCTACTTAATTTGCCTATTGATTTTATGGTATTTATTATCCTACTTAATTTGCCTATTGATTTAATTGTATTTGTTATCCATCTTAATTTGCCTATTGATTTAATTGTATTTATTATCCTACTTAATTTGCCTATTGATTTAATTGTATTTATTATCCATCTTAATTTGCCTATTGATTTAATTGTATTTATTATCCATCTTAATTTGCCTATTGATTTAATTGTATTTATTATCCATCTTAATTTGCCTATTGATTTTATTGTATTTATTATCCATCTTAATTTGCCTATTGATTTTATGGTTATTATCCATCTTAATTTTCATTCCCTCTAACTTCTTTATCGTAATGTATGATAACTTCAAATTATTTAATTAGACCGTCATAACCACCTGTTAATAAAATTAATTTATTATCATATGCATCTACTTATTAAATACAACTTATTTGACCACTATGAAGATATATAAGATTTTTAAGTTTCTTTTTTGGATTCAAGATTGCGCATAACAATTTTCCTTTCTTAGTTCCAATAAAGAATGGTTAGTTATCCTACTTTGTAATTGGAAAATGAATAGCTGTGATTGTGTCATTATCATTTAAGTGTTCCTAAAAATTAAAATTAGCTTCAATATTGTAGCTTTATTAAGAACCTTGATTAAATGTAACTTTATAGAAATTAACCCCTTTTTCTTATACAACAACAAGTTGATTATTATTCTCTGAATTTTAATATGGATTGAATGCTAAAGTTACGACTCTCAATTATTTGCAATCAATCTTTATTTAACCAGCCACAGCCAGAGACTTTAATATTCATTAATAGATATTTACTTATTATTGATTTTCATGATCATTTTGATTTAAATAATTTGAAATGGACTGGATTGCTCTATCAAAGGTTTATTAATTGCTTTGCAATTAGTTTGACATAAATTTATATTTTTAATAATACAAAAAAAATAAATACTATTTTAGAAGATGAAGTATAATCTCTTAATAGACTTTCATAATTATAGGTATTAGATCTATGAGTTAATTTTGTAAGCAAAGTAAGAAAAGTAATTTGGATGTTTATCTTCTCAAAAGTTTTCTATAGTATCTTACAAAAGAAGATACTAATATATCTATGATATTAAATATTTTCATTAAATTAAACTGTTTTATTGATTCATATAGGATAAAATCTAATAATTAATTTAATTTCAATGGGATCTCTATTATGCTCTAAATCAAATCCTAATCAAAAATAAGATCCTTTAATTATTAATCAATTGCCTTTAAGTTCTATATCATATAATTTATTGTTTGAGATAGAATATAAGGATGATTGTTCAGCTCTAGCATTTAACAAGCAAGGAACACTTTTGGCTACAGCATGTAAATCAGATATTAAGATATGGAAGGTGGATGTAGGAAAATTAATAGATTAGAACATAATTCTGAAAGGACATTCAAATCAAGTAAGATGTTTAGTGTTTAGTAACAAATAAAATTGGCTAATATCTGGAGGAAATGATTAATAAATTCTATGTTGGAAAGAACATGAACAGGATAATAGCTCAAATAATTGGATATGCTCATAGCCATTCAAAATGCATAGAAATTACGTTTACAACTTGATTTTGAATTAAAATGAGGATGAACTAATCTCATGCGGAGCTGATCATTCAATAAAAGTTTGGAAGGCAAATGCATCTGAGAATTCTATACAGTTTCTATATTCGCTAGACTAACATTAGCATTATGTCTATCAAATCAGTTTGAATTCGAGTGAGACCTAATTAGTCTCTTGTAGTATGGATACAGATATAATTATTTGGGAAAGAAAGGATGAAAATTAACACTGGAAATTTAGTACTAAAATAGAAAAATCAATTAAAGACCATGGTCATAGAGTAGGATTTCTTGCTGATTCTCTTATAGCTTGGACATAGTATGAAAAAGGTGACCTACATATTTTTAAATAACAAGATGGAAAATTTATACAAATGCCTTAAATGAAGATCTCTCTTAAATCACAAAATACTCAGGATATTTATATCATGTTTCCTTTAATATTTAACACCCAAAAAAAGGTTATGATTGTACGTCATAATAGATATGTTTCTCTTTTTGAATTAGGTTCAAATGAGCAGTTTAGTATAATAGGAGAACCAATTGATTGCTAAACTGGTGATAATTATGGAACTTTATCTAGAGACGGAAAATATTTGGTGATTTGGAACGATGTCACTAAGTAGTTGAAAGTTTATTAAATATAATATCCTTGATAGGATAATAATTTAATTAATATAAAATTATCTGTTAATTAATTATACAATAAAAATATTAATTATAAGCATTGAGTAAAGGAATAAAAGCAGGATTTATATTGTTCTGTAATATATGTATTTGTGGATTCATGGATTTTCAAATGGGAATGGAGATATAAAATTAATGGGTATAATATTAAATAATGAAAGAATAAATTAATGAAGTATTATTATATATTAATATGCATTATGCTGAGGCATAATTTTAAATAAATGGGGATCAGTTTTAATATTATTTTTGAATTTATCAAATAAAAAATAATGTCTAATCATCCACAAGCTGCATAATAACCACAATAAGCTCCAGCTCCAGTTCCTTAAGCTTAATAGAGACCTGCTGCCCCAGTTTATCCGAATGCTTATTTACCCCCTACTTATTATCCAGCCTCTCCAATTAGATAATCTTATGTAGCTCCAGTTGCTCCTATTCAATATGCACCAGTGGCCTAAGTGCCTGTTGCACCTATAGCTTCTGTTCCTGTTTAACAATTAGCACCTGTCCAAGTATAGCCGGTAGCAGTTGCCCCAGTAGCTCAAGTAAATTTGAATTAAATTTTAGCACCAAACCATAAAAGGTGAATCAAGAATTGAATATATTCCATATCAAAAAGCTGTTGTTGAATATGAGGAATAAGAAATTGTGTCTTATGTTCCAAGAGAAACAAAAGTCACAGATTACTATGCTGTTGAATATTAAACAGAATATATTCCTTAAGTATTCTAAGAAAAATACACAGGTATTAAAAAAGTAAATATAATTCAGAGTACGTCCCAGTTGATAGATATCAAGAGAGAGTGGAATACTATCCAGTTGAAAGATAAGTAGTTCATTAATAGCCAACTCAATATGTTTAATAGGCTGTTTCAGTTGTCCAATAGCCAGTCATCCAATAATCAGTTCAATATGTTCAACAACCAGTCTAATATGTTTAACAACCAGTCTAATATGCTTAACAACCAGTCTAATATGTTCAACAACCAGTCTAATATGCTTAATAACCATTGATTGCATCTAGAGTTGTTCCTTAATTTGTATAACCTTAATATGCTGCAGCTCCTGTGGCTAGAACATCATAACCATAATAATAATAATCCCATTAGCCATAACAAGTGCCATCATAATAACCAAGATCTTAGGCAACCCAACAATAGGCATAACAACAACAATGAAATAACATTATATATATATAGATATATATAAGATATATAAATTTAAATTGAAAGATTCATTGCTCTAATTCTTAGCTAGCTAGATTAGTAGAAGGGGTTTGTTAATATTTAGAATTTCTTTCATATAAGGATAACTATGAAATAGGTATGTCAGCGCTTGAATTGTATTTGAATTTCTTCCGCATTATCTTTTTTAATTAATGTTGATGAAATGACTTCTATAATACATTATTTAGTTTCTTGTAGCTTGGAGTATGGCAAATCTTTGGAGAGTAACACATTTCTGTAAACAAAATAATATCTTCACATTTCTTTTGGTTATCCTAATACTTCTAGCAATAAATGGATTTCTTTTTATCTAATATATCCTTGATGTCCAATTAACAAGATGAATTTCTATAAGATGATTATTGACTTCTAACTGACAAAGGGTTGACCTTGATTTTGATGGTCTACTTTGGAGAAGTTTTGGGACTTTAGATATCTGCAATTTTATCTAGTGTCTCTTCAGGAAATGAAATACGGAATAGTTTTTTTCTCTGATACTCTTTTTTTATTTATTATTTGCATTCTTCTGGGAATTTTTGGAAGAATTCATTTTTATTCATAATCATAAGAGTGGCATGATTTGATATCACTCTAGCACTGTATTCACACACACTATCTTGATTCACAACAATCTCTTCAGCAACAAACTATCCTTTAGTCAAAATACATATCTTAATATTTTTATTCCCAATATATTTTTCTAATAAAATATCACCAGAAGCAATCAAATAAAATACCTTCTATTACATTCCTTCAACAGCCAAAATTGCATTGTGTTAGAATGATTCAACCTACATATACTAATTTAGATACATCAAAACTATAAGCTAATGAATTAGATAGAGCAGTAGAATAGGCATCTTTAACTTCAAATTTAGTGTAGATCAGATTCTTTTTCTCTTTAATAGATTAAACAAATTATTGCTTAACAATATCGAAATCTTCTTTTTTCAAGATTAATAAAAAACAATCTTGAGATACTGCACAAGCTGTGAGTCCTCTTGGAGTGCCTTCAATTATTGCCACTTCTCCAAAACCATCCCCTTAACCTAAAATTCGAACAGTATCTCCGTATTTTTCATTTAAAAGGGACATTTCCTATTAAGATATTAATTGATCCTCTTTGGTCGTGTATTGTGTCAAAGTGCTCATTAATTTATTGGCGAATCTTTTTGAATTTGCTAAACTCTTCATAAAGTTAGGTTTTGAAATTGGTTGTTTATTAAGTTCTTTGAGATTGCTGGAAACTTTCTCTAGAAGTTGTTGCATTGGTTAAGCCGGTTAGACGTGTTGAGGTGTCTGTTGTTGGAAGGTATCAAATTTCTTTGCTCTAAATAGACCAACAGAACCTCTGAATATAATATAAAGTTTATCATTTGATTTATCCCCTTCTTAAAATAACAATGACGCTCCTTTGTGATGCTCCATTTTGAATCTGCCACATAACTTAGCATTATTAATAATAAAGAGATACATTGAGTAGAGTCTCTTTTTGGGTGCCTTTCAGAAATCTTTCGATAAAATAGTTAAAGAATTTGAGTTCTTATAGCTTCATGAGGATGGCTTGGAGATTGCTGTCTTATTTTGGATTGGTATTTAACAATTTGGTTAAAACTAAACTCTAGAATCATAGTGAGTAGATTTTACCTCATTCATTGTTTTAATTTTAATTTACTTGAATGAGTGAATAATTGGATTTGCTTCTCTTTCCAGTTGAAATTGTGGTGTTTTGTGCTTTGGCTTTTGGAATATTCAAGTTAAAGAAGAAATTGCCAAATTTGTTGTTTCCTTGCCAAGGTGTCACTATATTTTTACCTCCTGATGGCGAAGATCTTAAAGAAAGCAAAGATAAGAAAAGTAAGACTTTGGTTCAAATTAAAACAACGCCAAGCCAAGCCTAACACTTTTAATAAGTGCCCTTTGCTAATGACATGGAAATTACGATGTTGTTTATCTATATGCTATTTGCACAATTTGTTATAGTGGAGATGTTGAAAATGATTGGTTCAGCTTTGGGATATTATGTAATTGACAGTGGAATGCTCTTTTATTTTGATGGCATCATTGTCTTGATGATAATAAGTAATCGTATTTAATATGCATAGGGAATATATACAAAGCTGCCACTATCGGAGGTTATGATTCCTAACAAACCAAGATGTCCATTGTAATTTGTATTATCTCAATTGTTATTACAATCTTTATAAATTTGGGATTCAAAGATTTCTTAAACATAAACATGAGACACGAATTTTAAAGATAGGCTGTTCATCTTGAGATTGTACTTAGAACTTTTATTTAACCAGGAGTCTGGTCATTTATGGGATAATTCGGAGACTTATTCGTAATTGTGTTGGCTCTGATGGTTTCGATCATAATATTTTGTATCCTGCCAATTTTAATCAGATTTGGAAATTGTTTCACAGAATTGAAGAATAGCATATCAACAGATAAATCATAATAAAAATTCTTTTATTTGATAGCTGGATAATTGATAGCACACATCATCTATATAGCTTTGTACATTAAACCTTTAATTCAAAATTTGGATTATGTCTTTCATTTTCAATTTTTGGCCATCATTGTAATTGCCATATTACAAATCCTGACATACACATTGGAGATGGACAAACACATGGCTAAGGGATGCGATTGGATTATGATACTCAAAGATTAACCAGAATAATAGGAGTATGTGAAGAAAAGAGTGGAAGGATTGCTAAGAGGGTTTGTTATTGTGGCTTATCAACTACTATCAAAAATAGCTATTCCTATTTTATTATTCATGATCTTGTTATTGAAGAACTCCCAGATACCTGAGACTCATATTAGGTACAATTATTTGCCTGCTAATTATGAACAGAAAGAGATGTATTGTGTTAAGGACAATATTATAATGATGGACTTTTTATTTGAGGAGAAGGATGATCCAGTTGAAGATGGTAAGCATTAATCAATATTGATAGCTAATTTGGATCCATCAAAAATAATCATGAAAAGGATTACTAAATATGGGATTTTCACAAAGTCATTTATTTACACGTTCATAGAATTCATTCTTTTCAATTATTATTTCATTAGCTTCGTGCTATCCATATTTTATATATTCTTCCTCAATAAGACTTAATCAGTGAAGCAAACTCAAAAGAAGAAAAAGCAATGATTATTGATTTATATAAGATTTGATTGATTAAGAGTTCATTCAAGTATAATTCATTTGATTTTCAAAATATAAGTCAGCAATTTAAGTGTTTTCGATTCATTGCTTGGTTTCTAATGCTAGGTTAGTCTTTCCCATTTAAATTATGTTTTTTGACAACCCAAATTGATTTCCACAGCCATGTAAATGTTCAAAGCAATAGCTGATTTTTTGTGATTCAAAAACAATGAAGAAGTTAAGCTAGTCTCAGCTAAATTCCTAATAAAATGAGAATTAAACTTACATACATCTTTGCTTTATTTAATCAGAATATTTACAATTGTAACCTAGCATCTCTCCAATCAACTGTATCCACACCAAAGTGTTATCACTGATGACATTGAAATTTAATCTATTAAGTATTTCCTTTTCCATCTCAATAACATCTTTGGCTTTGATATCCGTGGCTCTTAGTAAAGCTGGCAAGGGAGGAGGGTAGATTTCTTCATATTTCGATGCAATGAAAAGACAGGTTATTGAAATAAGCTCCAATTCTGCGATTTCAGGATTGAGCAGTGAGATCGTTTGATCCATCAAATCAACAGTCTAAAAGAGTGTTTCAGGCTTTAAATTAAAACATCGAACAAGTTTTACTATGTACCTAACCTATATTCAAAATAATAATATACAGTTGTAGCTCTGACAGTATCATTGATTTTAGTGGATCCCATTTAAAAATTTGGTTCTCCCATATTTTTTTCTTTTTCATATAAAAATTCGTATATTTCTTGTTAATACAAACTAACAAGCTAAGGAGAGCCTGATTTATTGAAACCCTCCTTCGTCCAAATTGCATCATTTATTAGATTTTCCTTCCCTCCCATTTCATCAACTATCACATCTTTTTTGCCTTTGAGAATCTTGGATGCTTTGTCTGCTTGATTTTCAAGATTTTTCCCAAAAACTCTAGCTCCTTTCAACTCGTTCATTAATTTGAATTCAAAATTATATAAATATAAATAAGAATAATGTATAAATCATTTCTTTGCAGGTTTCTTTGTATTCTTTTTTGCCTCCTCTTCCAAACGCAATCGTTCCTCCTCCTCCTTTCGTTGCTTCTCCAATTTCTATTAAACAATCTGTTCCTTGATCTAATTAATTTCTTTCGCTAATTCATTATTCTCTATACAGTTATAAAGAATCGCTAACCTTGTTCTAATTACTCGACATCGCTTCTCAATTTTTCGAAGTCCTCATGAGCCCTTGTGTCCTTGTGTATGCTGAAATAATCAATAAGTGCTTGACTGGGAGAATCAGGCTTATTTGGAGCATTCCTCAAAGCCAGAAGAACTAGAAGGACAATTAGAATAAAACCTACATTTAACAATTGCAAGAGTGACATCCTAATTGACCAAGTATTCCCTGAATTCTCTCTCTTTATATTCATTCATCTTGGCTTAACTAAGCAAAGGCTCTTCAACTGTTTTATCTTGATTCATTATATTAAAATTAATAACAAATGATAAATAAGGATAATCCCTCATAGATTGAAGACGAGTTGCATGAACTCTACACTTGGGTCGATAGTGTTCCACTTTCCAGATCGAAAACCAAGATTGGCAAAGATTTTGCAGACGGAGTTCTGATGGCAGAAGTCGTTCATCACTTTCTACCTAAATAAGTCGAATTATAGAATTATAGCGAAGCTACTTCATATTAATCTAAATTATCAAATTGGAACACTCTTAATACAAAAGTAATAACCTCTGATTCCATTTAGGAAGGTTTTCTAGAATCTTGGCTTATAATTGACATAAAATGATATTGAACAGCTTATCTCTGCATAAAATGGAGCCATTGAACGCGTTTTAAAGATTTTGAAACCTAAGATTCTGAACTATTAGGATATAGAAACTGTTGAACCGTAGAAATCATCGGCCACCAACATTTCTATAAATAACAACCAATCCACAATACAGGATTTGGAATAAAAAATAGCAGATTAATAAGATATCATAGCCATTCTAGAACTAAAAATAAACAAACTTCAACAATTAGTTAAGCTTAAAGATAATAAAATATAGGCATTCTCATCAAAACTTTAGGATTTGGGTTTCAGGTTTTGATTTAATTTATATAATTATATATGAACATTAATTACTTATATTAATAAATTGAAGACTAGTATTTATAGTTCCAGAAGATCACTAGAGTTATTAAAACACTTATGAAGGAAGTAAGCATGATTCCTAAAACAATAATGAATAATAATTCTAAAGTAGAATTATGAAATGAATAATGGAATATGAATACATAAAATAAAAAATTGAAGAGAAAAACCTTCCATAAAAGAAAGCAATAAGATTGATATATTATAATATGATAACAACAGAAGAACCAAGGATAAAATTAACTTTGATTTAGATCAAGTTTAATATTTAGAGTAATCAAATTATATTTCAACAATTCTAATTTAATTGCGATCTCATAAAGATTACCAGAAATTAGATATTTATTATTAATTTTTTACTTTTAATGAAGGTTAACTAAATTTTCAACACTTATGTACATTATATTTTTCAATAAATGAAATATCACTAACTGAATCTATAAATTGTAGCAAGCTAACAATCGGCAATCTTTAGTTAAATATAAAAAATAATCCTTTATTATTTATCAATGCTTAAACGAAGATAAAACAGAATGTTATATAATACGACTATAGATGCTTAGAAATAGATTTATGAGTATTAATAAGGAATAATTTAACACTATCTCAAAGGCCTTATTATGTTATTTTAAATGATAGTTATTTTTATAAAGAAAAAGCTACATTAGATAATTCGACCATAAATTGTCCTACTTATCAATATTAAGAAATACATGGGATTAATAATTAGAATCATAAGCTCATTTTTTTATATTAATGGAATTTATAGATTATTACTATCCTAATTGACATAGAATTTAATTGATTTCTACACATTTCAAATGATTACTGTTATATGTATTAATATATATATGAATATCTTTAAAATCTCTTTTAATCCTTAGAGAAAAAAGGATAAAAATACATAATATATTTGATTAATACATGATTTTTTAGATATACCAACTGACATTATTGTAATAATTGTGTTTAATTTAATATGGAATCCACTTAGACAAATATGATTTAGATAAAATTAAAAAATATTATATAGTTAGTACAACTATTCAACTATTAATTTTTATTATGCTTCCAAAAAAGTTTGGCAGGACAATGCATATGGTTGGAGAGAACAATTAAAATTAAGAAAGATTAAAACAATTAATACTTGATAACTTGATTGGGGAATATGCTCAAAATGATTAAGTAAATACAAATGTATAGTTACAAATGAATTATAGGTAATTACAGCATATACGACTGACTTTTTTATATAATACAATTCAATAAATGCTATAAGAATCCTCAGGGAGGAAGTGAAGAAAGCTGTCCTCAAACCAAAAGAAGAAAAAATTATGTTGATTTAGAAATTGAATTAAAGAATCAGAAGTATTATTTTGAGCATATATATTTAGAAGAACAATAAGAACATCAGATGAAGAACACTCTAATATCTAAATAAGAAAACAATAATTAGGAAAAAAGACACCATACTAATTAATTGTCTGAATAAAAATAATAATAAGCAAAATTAAAGACTGATTCTATCATTAATGATGAAAAGAGAAAATCTATATATAAAGTCGATGGATCATTAGATGAATGGGGAGCTATAATAAAATATAACACTTTGTAATTTTAGAAGGAAGTAGAGCAAGAGAAAAAGAAAAAGATCATTCATAAATAAAAGATTAAGGAGGATTTAGATAAGTAGATAGCGGAAAAAGAAAAAGTAAAGTAAAAGGATAAATAAGACGAAATATTATATTATACAATAAGTCAATAATAGTTAAAGGATTTTGAAAGATTATAAGAGTAGAGAAATAAGTCAAGGAGATTTGAGGAAATGTAAGAGAAGCTGATAAGAGATCAATAAGTGTATTTTCATAAAAAACAAAAGTAAATATTACATTTGAAGTAGGAAAGAATAAAATGTTTATGTAAAATAGTAGGAAGAGGAAATGCTTATAAGAGTAAAAGAGGAGATTAAGGCAGAGGATTAGTTAAATAAACGAAAGAAGATGGAACAATTTGAAAAACTATAAGAAATATTGAAATAAAATGAAAATTTAAGAATTAAAGTAAAAGTATTCATATTTTTAGGCTAAAGAGGAGGTAATTAAAAGCAAACAACAAGAGCGATATTAATAAGAGATGTTTATTCTAAAGGATGAAATGTAGAATTAAAGAAAGAGAAGAGAAAAATAAGAATAAATGAATTTCAACATTAACAATTATAGTTAATAAGCAATAAGATATAAGAGGAATAATTAGGAATTAAATGAGACTTTGGATGATTACTGGCCAAATAATAAAAATGAGTATGTAATTTATTAAATTTCAGTAACAAATTAAGCAAAAGGGAAAAGTAGTTTTAATTGTTGAGTGAATTAGAGAAATAGGTATAAGAGAAAAAAAGAAGATACACACAACAAGAATCAGAAAAGAGAATCATCTTTGAAACCGAATTACAAGAGTAAAGGGATGTATAAAAATAAGAATAAGAGCGGAGAAATGTATTGAATGTTATGATAATAGAATATAAGATTGATGTACTAAAAGAATGCGGAAGAATTGAAGAAATAAATTCTATATGGATAGAATGGTTCACCTCTCAAAAGTAAATTAAATCCTTTTGAGAAAATGGGAGAGCAAGAATTACTATAGAATAAGAAAGTACTAAAAAGGATCGCCAATGATTCTTCGTTGGGTATACAAGTGAAAAAGACTGAAATATCAATTCCTGAATGATAAGTATTCAGTTATTATAATAACAATTTCACCATTACTATATTGCCTTCAACCCAATTTTAGTCATGTATTCTTTGGCTTTCTTTTGATGTTCTCCTCTACATTTATAGAATCCCACGAAATTAATTCCTGTCAAGCAAAAGGCAGTCATTGCTAAGACAGCCTATTGTAGATGCAAATGCTTACATTAAACCATCTTAAACCAATTAAATCCAACAAGATTAAGATTCCCCAAGTCAATACAACACCAAATTATGCAAACCAAAAGACATTTGAATTGAATGGATTAGGGATAAAATTAGCCACTTGAGATTCATATATCCATTCCTCAGATCCATCTTCCTTTACTTCTGACCACCATCTCAAACCAACAAGTTTTCTATGATACTGTCTATTACTACCTTCCGGTGATGTTCTTGACGGTCCAAAAATCAATTGCTGATAAAATCACTACGACGATAAAACAGTATGTGAGATTTAGTAAGCCTTCTGGAATGAAAAATCTATTTATAATGCTTGTTTTACACAAAAATGGCAAGACCCTTAAATAAACAATGAAACAATTATGAAAGAAAGGAAGGATCTGCTGCTTTTTGGGGGAGTGGCTGCATTTGGATGGCAACCTATTGAGGTTATTGGACTTAAGAGACAGTGTTGGATGAGATTTGATTAACTTTCTTTTCGTCGTCTCCTAATTTGATGTTCACGTTGTCGAGGTCTGGGATGGAATGTTAAACATCTTATTGTTCATCTGCAATTTACTATTATGAGAGACATAGAATACCATGTTGAGTTTATTAATTTAAATTAATTAAAACCCACAATCTGGGTATTGAATTCGTAATTCTATAAAAGGGAAATCACAAATTTACATATATGTGATGATCAAGTATTCCGACTTCGTAAATTAAAGTTGTCGACAATCTTCGCCAGTTCTGATCAATAATATATAATTTTTGTATTTTGAATATTTTCTTTAATTTTGGATAATAAAATTTCAAAAATAATATATGAACCTTACAGTTTTCGACCTCTTTGCTTAAATCAAAGAATTGTATACTAGTAAGTCATTTAAGCTATTTTAGAGTAAAGTTTAGATGAATTTCATCAACGTTTCAGAGGAGATGATGAATTCAAAAAAATTTCTAAATAAACTAAAATTCAAAAGAGTCAGCTCGATAGCTTGGAGGACAAGACAGCTTTGATTACCAAATTAAAAAAAATCATCAATGAAAGTAAAACAGCACACAAAGAGGCTTTATTCTCAGCAAAGAAATTTGAGATTGCTACCCAAGATAAAGAAAAAGGTAATTGTAACAATCTAAATCAAGTTTTAAATGAAAATTCAAAATTGAAGAATCAAATTAAAACTTTAGAAACTTTCAGAAATACTCAAACTAATCAATTAAATGAATATTAAGAAAAATACAGCAAAGTAGTTGATGAGGAAAAATAAAAGAAAACAGAGTTGGTTGAAGGATTCCAATAAGAAATCAAAGACATCTCCACTAAAATGGAAGAAGTCTCTAATGCCAAACACAAAAGTTAAGCTGAGAATGAGGCTTTGAAAGAAAAAATGAAAGAAATTCAAGAACATGTTGAAAAAAGAGATAAAATCTTCGATGAAGAACTAAATAAATTAGGTAATATTAATCACTATTTATTTTAAAGATTCATAAAGAAAAGAAAGAGAAACCAAAATATTTGAATAAATTAACAATATAAGTTAATCTCTGGGTACATCTGATGGCTCCGAAGAATAATTGCAAAAGATTAAAGAAGAAGAAGCACTAGTGGAAGCTCATTTGAATCCACATCTATAGAAAGCAGAAGAATTCCAATAAATTATTGAGAAAACAAATCAATAATTTAATTTATACAAAGGTGAAACAGAAAAAGTAACACACCTTCCTCTATATAGCTCGCATAATCATGTAGAACCTTTGAGCAGAAGTCTTAAGCTTGCTAAAGAAAATGTGAGAAATCAGACATCTACATTGTGGAATAAGCGAAAGAGGTATATAATTAAGCTATTTTTTAGCATTTAACTCTCTAAACTTAATTAAAACAAAAATAAGAGTAAGTAAATTCATTATTAACACTAAAGTAAACATTATAAAGTGGTTTAATATGAGTTATATTTAGTGGAAAATAAATTATAAATATTATTATTAAAATATGAACGATTAGTAGAAATAGTAACAACCAGACCAATATTTTTCTCTTTTTGCTTATCTTTAGAAAGATAATAGTGATCTATATGAAGCATTAATTGAAGGTCTTACTTAAATCAAGCTTTAAAAGTAACATTAAATTCATAAATTAGACCGAATGAAGAAGTACAATTTCTAGGAAATTTTCTTATTAATAGATCTTAAGAAAAAGGAAAGTGATACATTTTATATTTTGCATCTCTTTAAAATTAACATAATCCTACAGTTCATTTTAATATTTATAATAAGGAATTATTCATAGCTCAACTAAATAAATTATTATTAATAAATCAGAGAAATAGATTGACAATCATTATTTCAAATTTAACCATAGAAAATATATATGACAAATACATAATCATAATTTGGTCCAATCAAAAACATTATCATTTGGATATTTCATTCTTGTATAAAGATCTTTAAATAATTTTTTTAACCAAACATAATCAGGTCTCTCTTCGAATTTTAGGCTTTTGCAATAGTTGAAATATATAGAAAATTCTTCTGGCAGTCCATCACATAATTTTTCAATTGAAGTAGCAATCTTAGATTCAGCTATCTTTTCATATTTATCTTTCTTGTTATCTGTTTTTAAACCTTACCATGGCAATTATCCGTTTAAAAAATAAACTAATACATATCCAATTGCTTCCAAATCATCTCTTCTGCTTTGCTCAACTCCTAAATGTGTATTTACACTAGCATATCTAGCTGTTCCAGTTAAACTTTTACCTTCTCTATATGGAATATGGAGATCTAAAAAACATTATATTTATTTTACTAGTTCTCTAATCTCTATATTTCTTAGATAGACCAAAGTCTATTATATAAATGATATCACTCTTCTAAGTTAATCCAATCAGAAAATTGTCAGGTTTGATATCTCTATGAATTAGGTTTTTGCTATGAATAAATTCAATTCTTGAAAGCATCTATTAAGCAATCATTAAGACTGTTTTTAATGAGAAGTGTCTTTTGCACGAGTTGAATAGATCTTCTAGATTTGGACCAAGTAGTTCCATCACTAATATATTGTATTCTCCTTCACTTCCAACCCAATAAGATTATGGAATCCCCACTTAATTGATATTTAATTGATTTACTTCCTCCTTGCAATACTTTATAGATCTTGCCCTCGAAGATTAATTATGGATGTTTATTTGTAACGGCTTCCTAGATAAATAAAGTAGTCATACTAATTTAATGGCTACATCTTGTCCAGTTTATTTGCTTGTTCCTAAAAAGATTATTCAATAAGTTGTACCTAAAAATATTTGACCAAAGGAACCACTCCCTATTTTTTTATCAAAAGAAAATCCGAATTTATTAAGTCCCACTAACATTTTAAAATATACTTATAATTTATGTAAATTTAAAAGAATTTTTCATTCATCTAAACAGAAATAGTTACCACTTTGTTTCTACTCTCTATCCAAAATAGAATCCATTTTATTGATTCTTGGTCTAAAGTTGGTTGGATCTAAACATTAATAAAAGTGAGTATACCTCTTCTAAATGTAATATTAAGCACATTCAAGAACTTGTTCATTCCTGTCAATAAATCTTCAGGTGCATTAGCAACACAAGCTTTGCCTGGTACGCCATCATAGACTACGACTCTTGAGATATAGAATAATGTGATTACTTATCTGCCAAATAAGTTGCCATAATGAAATCATGTTCAACAACGAATCCTGCTCTTTTAGTATTCATAATATATCTTTTAATCAATTTAGATGTGGCAACTCTTTACTCTGCATCTAAATAGGCAGAGGGTTCATCCAATAGATAAACCTCAGCTGGTTTACCTAAAGCAAGAATCAAAGCGACTCTTTACAATTCACCTCCTGACAATTTCTTAACCTCATTATCCTCCAAGTCTTCAATTCTCAATGGTTTATACACATCAGTTTGGAATTAAGGATTTCTATGACTATCTTGTAATTTAGATCTGAATAACTCTTAAACAGTTCCATCGAATGTTGGTGCAATCATTTATGGTTTGTAACTGACACTCAATCTGGGAACATCAACAGCATCTTTATCCTTTCCTGCCAACATTTTGATGAATGTAGTTTTTCCAGTTCCATTTTCTCCCAATAAGACAACAATTTCTGAATTATTGAAACCTCCTGCCTTGATTTACAATGAAAATTCTCCTTACACTTTCTTCATGTCAGGATATTAATAGTTTTTCTTTTGTTTTTGGTTCTCCAACATTTCTAAATTATCTGATATCTTGAAATTTAATTCATAGTCTCTGAATCTCATATTTTCAGTTGGTACAAATCCAGCCAAGAATATATTGATACCTTCTCTAACTGAAAAAGGCATTGTCACTATACCATAAGCTGTTTATTCACCATAAAGACAACAAATAAAATCTGAGAGATAATCTAAAATGGATAGATCATGTTCAACAACAATAAGATAATTGTTATCTCTCACTTGATTTCTAATGATTCTAGATGCCACTACTCTTTATTTGATATCCAAATAAGATGTTGGTTCATCAAGCATCAAACAATCACTTTCTGAAATACAAGCCATCAAAATTGCAAATCTTTACAATTCACCTCCTGACAACATACTTATTTCTCTATCCAATAAATGATTCAACTCTAAATCCTTCAACAATTAATCTGCTCTATTCAATTTATCCTTGTTCTTAATAACATCTCCAACTTTCCCTTTGACTGCCTTACCAATAGAATCTACATATTATGGTTTAATTAACAGCCTTGACCTTACCCTCAAATACTTTTTGTAAATAGCTCTGTAATTCACTACCTCTAAAATACTTTAAGATCTATTCTTAAGAAGGTGGCTCTTTATATAAACCCAAATTAGGTTGCACTTTTCCACTTAGAATTTACAATGCAGTTGACTTTCCAATACCATTGGTTCCAACTAATCCTAAGACTTATCCTGGTCTAGGTGTTGGCAATCTATGCAATTTGAATGAGTTTGCTCCATATTAGTGAGTCAATTCTTTAGATAAATCTTTGGGTAAATTAATAATCATGATTGCTTTGAATGGGCATTTCTTTACACATATGGCACATCCGATGCACAATGATTCATTTATTGTGCATGTTTTGCTTTGCTTTGTAACCTCTATACACAATTTCTCACTCTTATTAATTGGGCAATTCTTCTTGCATTCCAAAGCACAACGCTATGGTTTACATCTGTCTTTATTGATAATTGCAATTCTTAACTTTGATTCTTCCATTAATTAAATTCTTTAATTAATTTATATTTCTTTATCAATAAAAATATTCCTATAATTAGATTTCTACAATCTAGGAACAATTAAAGCCAGTTCATCACTTATTATAATCATCAATCTCTATGCATAATATAGCTAGATTTGATTTCTTTTATTAATTAAAAAGGAAGGCTTTAACTATAGGATCATCTAAATCATCTAAAGTATCTTTTGATTATTGAAGCCTTCAATCGATTGAGAATTTTCAAAGAAATTACAATCGGATTTGAAATTATCGTATTCAGAAATTTTAGAGAATCAAGAAATACTGATCTAAATGCACTTAATTTAATGAGGAAATTGATTTATAAAATAGTGAAATTTCGATAGAAAGTTAGATTGCTAGCATATATGTTGGAAAATCATTTCTCTAATTAATCCTTTGATATAATGTTCAAATTAAACAAACCATACAATATTAATTTAAAAACTATTTAAGTCCAGATGATGAAAAGTAGATTCTCTTTAATTATGTATAGATGTTATCATTGGATTAAGACTGTTATAGTGGATCAACTTTTAAGTAAATGGTTCATGCAAAAACTGAAATAAGTTAAATGTAGGAACTGATGCATTTACAATTAACTTTGGAAGATCCTTGAGTTTAGGGAATGGAATCTGAGCTTCTGAGATGTTTAAAGGAGATGTAATAGAGGCTTATTTAAATAAAAAGATTATAATTAAATTATGCTTCTTGAATTAACATAAATATTTTTTATATCTTATTGATGAGTTTCTTTAGATCAGAGACAATGGCATACTATTAGATAATAGTGCCAAAGGAGAGTGCCTGGGAAGTGTTTAATGAGATGGGAAAATTGAGTATGGTAGGGAATGGAATATTTATTTAAGGTCTAAGTTGTGGATATGTCTCCAGATGAGCCTCAAGTGAATAGGCCTTTTTATCAGTACATAAGAAGGGCTGATGAAGTGATCAGTAAATTGAACGTATTGGAAGTTGAAATGCTGAAGTACAAAATAAAGAATCTGAAATGCTCTGATTATTAATAATTCTTAGAAAGAATGACCTTGTACACAAAGGAAATAAACTAAAGTGAAGATAAATGGTTTGATCTGATTGAGAGCACTTTGGATGAAAAATATTGTAATTATTTGTCTCGATCTTAAAGCTCAATTGATAGAACAGATTCAAAATTTAGAGCAAATCTCTGTTCGCAAAAACACCTTATTTGAACACAAGGCTGTCTTGATAAAATCAAAGGAAGTGTTAGGTCCAACATATTACACAAAGGGAAGGAATGTGGCTATAAACCCATAGATTGGTGGAGTACCAGAGCAACAGAAGGTAGCACAACCACGTATAATTTGTATGTAATAATGACAATAGTTTACAATCTGAATTATTTGGTGGGAGTAGTTGACAGAGTAGAAGCTAATCGTTTTAAAAGAATGGTGTTCAGAGCATCAAAAGGAAATGCCTGGATTGTGTTATCAGACATAGAATATTCGCGAATTGATTCTTCATTAGAGACAGGCAACTTGGATTCCGACAAGTCAGCTGCAAAGAATTTGGAAAAGTAAAGAACAGTCTTTTTGATTGTATACACAGGAGGAGGAGGAGGACAAGACTTTTTGAGAGCCAAACTCAATAAAATATGTGATTCATTCAATTGTGCCAAATTTGTTCTTCCAGATGATCCTTAACTCCTAGTCTAAAAAACATTAGAGTTGGATCGCTCTTTAGATGAATGCGATAATGTAATATCCCATTAATCCTTTAGTTATTGAGATTGACATCTGGTAAAATAAAGGAACTATTATTGGAATATGCTTAAATATAGCCATAACTGAAAATATCACTGTTGGAAATGAGTAAATTATTGATGGTCAAAGAGAAAACACTATATACAAATTTAAACTATCTTTATCAAAAGGAAAGAATTTACATTGGGTTCTTTTGGGCACCCAAACATGTGGAAGGGGAATTGCATCATATGCTACACCAATTGAGCGTTTCCCAAAGTAATACTTCAGTCGGATAAATTATTGAGTTGGAACCACCTGAGAAAGTGCTTACACCCACTTACTTTAAGATAAATGAATTCAATAATGTATTCTAAGAAATTGTTAACACTTATGGAATCCCCAGATATAAGGAAGTGAACCCTGGAATGTTTGCTGTTATGTTTTTCCCTTTCATGTTTGGTATTATGTTTGGAGATATTGGTCATGGAGGAGTTCTGTTTATTTTAGCATTCCTTTTAGTCAAAAATGCTGACACTTTAAAAAAACTACCCGATTATGCTGCTTTAGTTTAGGTTAGATATTTATTCCTACTGATGGGTTTGTGTGCACTCTATTGTGGTATTATCTATAATGATTTCATGTCTTTGACTTGGAATATATTTGGAAGTTGCTTTGAAAATGTCCCTGATTCTGAAGAAACTGTTTATATTCAAGGATGTACCTACCCCATTGGATTTGATCCTAAATGGTATATAGCAAGCAATGAATTGAACTTCTTCAATTCTTTCAAGATGAAGTTTGCAATCATTTACGGAGTCTCTCAAATGATTTTTGGTATTCTCTTAAAAGGAGTCAATAATCTATATTTCAAGGATTACTTATCCTTTATTTGTGAATTCCTTCCACAAATGATATTTATGTGTATTACTTTTGGTTACATGGGAATAATGATCATGTTGAAGTGGGGATAGAGTTGGGAAGGTAGAACTGATAAGGCTCCATCAATCATCAATGCTATGATCAATATCCCTCTACAAGGAGGTACCACAGAAGGAAAACCATTATTTGACTTAGAGTCTCAAGAATCTCTTTAATAATCTATTCTATTTTGGTCATTCTTATGCATTCCTTGGATGCTTATACCCAAACCAATTATTGAGGTTATCCAACACTATAGTGGAAAAAAGCATGAAAAGAAACCTTCAAAAGCTCTTGAACCCAAAGACGAGAGCAAGGAACCCCTGTTGCCTATGCAAACGAGTTAAAAATCAATTAATTAAAGTGCTTTGGCAGAGGAACTAAGATTGTAATTAATCTAAAAGGAAAAAGAGAAGGAATTAAGAAGAAAACAATTGGAAGAACAGAGACTCAAAGAGTAAGCAGCAGAAGATGATCAACTGAAAGATTAACCATAATAATTATTACCAAAATAACCAGAAAAGACTGGAGATCACGGACATGGACATGACGAATTTGATATTGGAGAACTTGCTGTACATTAAATTATTGAAACCATCGAATTCGTTCTTGGTTCTATTAGTAATACTGCATCATATTTGCGTTTATGGGCTTTATCGTTAGCACATGGACAATTGGCTAAAGTGTTTTTCGAGAAGTGTATTGGTGCAGGAATTGAAGATGGAAATGTAATTATCTTAGTCATTGGTTGGCCTGTATTTCTACATTGCACTATTGGAGGTATATATATTTATGTATGATAGTTTTAATGTGCATGGATCTTATGGAATGTTTCTTACATGCTCTAAGATTGCAATGGGTAGAATTCTAAGGCAAATTCTATAAAGCTGATGGCATCAAATTTATGCCATTTTCATTCAAAGAAGTTTTAACTAATCAACCAAAAGATTAATGATTTATTCATGAGCATTTATATATCATATAACATTCTATAAAATTGTTAAATAAATTAATTTATATACACTCAGGTAGTGAAGACTCCCTTCCTTTCCAACCTCTTGTTTCTCTTTTTCAATTTGAATCCATGTTTCAACTTCCATGTTTTCTTACCACTTATGGGTTTAAGACGAGATTGAATCAACTAATTCAGGATCCTCGTCTTCTTAATTGATTGTCACATATTAATTCTCAGGCTTCTTTGTTCTAGGTTTCTCTTCTTACTCAGGCAACATATTGTTATTCTATTCATCATTCAACAATCTTCTTTTCCTTATCAATTTATCAGTAATTTAATCATGAACTCTCACAAGTACTTTGACCTTCTATTAATCTCCCTGCATCTTCCTTTACTTCTTGATGAATTCTGGTAACAAATACTCAGATACAGGACCTAAGACATTTTTATATAGAGATACCTTATGGCAATTATATTGCTGATCTATTCAACTTCTTCTTTAATTATACGATTTGATCCTACAACAATTCTTTTTCTTTCTAATTCTATTAAAAGTACTCCACTAGATCTGGTGACTTGATCATCTTCTTTTTGAAATCTATTTGCTCTGCCATTTTAACCTAATACTTAGATATATTTTTGGTTGTATCTTCTATACGATAGCGGAATGCCTCAATTTCATTTTATTTTATTGGATATTCTTTGCAATTAATATTATTATACTCAGTGTTTACAAACTACATAACTGTTTCAACATTTTATTCATTATTTGAAACGATACACACAGTATTGCTCACAGATTTTAAAATTTAATCAGGCAATTCGTTTGGCAATAAATTGTACAAAATGATATTATCTAACTTCTTTAAAGTGTAAGGTTATTTGGATTTTTTAGTTTGTTATTTGCTTCTTTCAAAGAATTCATTTTCCAAATCTTAAGAATACATTTGCAGTAGCTACAAGTATTTAGATAACTCCGGTATTGAAAGTCGACAAAGTATAATATTTAAGTGTTTTTGGGTTTTCATGGTTATAAATTTGATATCTTTCAATATTACATCTTTGAAAAAGTAATTGTAAATAATAAATCTCAAACAAATTTTATACTATTATGAGTGTCTTTCCTTACACAAGGTTAAGTTTCAAAGTGATGTAAAGGACTATCTATTATTAAGTAAAGTCTGAATAAAAATAGTAAAACAAATTGGGCAATGCATTATTAGTTTATTAAATGACTCTATCTTCTTATTCTTACTCTTCCTAATCCTCTTCGATTTTAGCAACTGTAATTGCCTTTCCAAGTATAACTTCAATCAATTTTTCATCTCCAATATAAATTGTAAATTAATTCTTGGAAATCCACTTAGAAACTGTTTCCAACTAGTGTTATCCACCATATAGAGTGGCTAGGTTGCAATCATCAAATAAAGCAAATTAGAAGCATTTGTTGTCTACCTTACCACTAGCCTTTAATTTACTCACAGAATAATATGTGGCAAACAAAATAGATGGTTAGGTTACTGGAGGCAATACAATATTGTATTGATCATCTAGTTATTATTTGCAGTAATAAGTACTTTTTGCATTTAGGGGAAATTGTGAATTAATATCAAGTAAGGCAATTTCTTAAAGATAATTGTCTAACAATTTTTGAACAACGGATTTGCAATGTGCTGATTATTCCCTGCTTGCTGAGGTAATAAGCAAATAATATCCATTCTATGATAAATGTGGTTAATTCTTACTTCTTCGTCTGGAGTGAAGTGATCTAAAGATTTCAGGAAGTAATCCAAAATAATCAAAAGACATGACATAGTTCTTCCACTCTATTTTGGTGCTTCGATGCATGTTAAATGTTTTTTGTGTTGGATGATCTAAATAATTGCTATTAAATTACTTAGAGCAAATTATTCATTATAAAAGTGGGATGCTTGATGATACCGAACTCCCTTTTGAGTTGGGAGAGTAAAGGTGATGTTATTTGATGCTACTTGAAGAATTGTTGGATTGTAAGTTCGTGATCAATATATTACTCCATAATTAAATTTATATATGTCTCATTTTTTTAATAAAGGCAAATATATTGAATTGTAGAAAATCGATGCTATATATGCCCCAAACAGTGGAGCAAATAGAAACACCCAAAAATTAGCTAATTTAGTTGTGTCATTCAACCAGAATGCTTCAAATAATTCCAATCCCACACCCATAGCTGGATTCAGGCAACCTTAAATAGAAGAGTATGAAATACCTCCAGAATGTGATGATAACTATCTAGAAAAGAATAGAGCCAATGAAATCCAAGCGATGCCTGCAATGTCATTATTGGTCTAACGTGTTTATTCATGAACTTGAATGTGTATGAATAGAACAAACATAAAGGTTCCAAAAGCCTAAATTAAGGTGATGTAAGTACTTCTCCACACAAATCAGCAAGCATCCACTCTATGTTTGTACTCTTAATACTAGGAGATGTCACTACTCCCAATATTAAATAAGCAATCCAAGCACCTCCAACTGCACCTAATAATTGAGCAGTCCAATAGATTCTCAATGTCCATGAACTAATAGTATCATCACAATAGAAGCTGAATGACACTGCTGGATTGACATGGCCACCTGTAAATTTGCATGTTAAAAATATTGCTGCATACAAATAAGCAGCAATCAAGATATCAGATCCATTAGATGCCACTATGCCATATGCGAATAATCCTGTTCCTATGGTCTCGAAAATAAATATGATTGTTAAATCTCCGAATGTTTTTGGGGCTGGCCTTTTTATTGGGGGTTCATAGGTTTCTTCTACGTCTAGTTGAATTAGATGTGTCTGTGGTTATTGAACTTCATTTTGGTGCTCTTCATTTTCTTTTCTTTATTGAGGCGATTCCATTTTATAAATAAATAAAATATAATAAAAGTTTGAGTTAATATGCTAAATTCAAGGTTAGTTAAATAGATATTTTGAAGAATTAATAGATGAATGACTAGGAAATTTACTAAAATTAAAGAGGTCTTTCTTCGAAGAATTTGAAGAGATGTTAATTAATGAGGGTTGACGAGGAGATCCATATTAAGACTACTGTTATTGTTCAAATCTGGTGGATGATTATTATTAAGGCGATTGAATTTGTAGTTTTAATTAGGAAAGCATGACGCCGCTTTCTGCCCTTTTGAAACTATGATATTCAGATCCCCCTCTTTTTCTGTCTGGATCATTGGCTTCATTGGGTTTAACTATGCTTATTGTCATTATTGTATGTCTATCCTGTCTAGTTGATTGATTCTCTTATTCAAAAGGAATTGATTTATTATTTAATGAAACCTTCCCTTTCTGTATTTGATATGCTTTTCTCTAATCGCTCAATTTGACTTAATCAATAAACCCTCCTTAAATATTTAGTTTCTGAATCGATGACTATGGTGAGCTAGTTGGCAAATCCTCCTTATCTTTAAATATTTTCTCCAATTAAGCTTTGCATTTTAGACATCCCCTCCATGATCCTATTCTATTTTCATTTCATTCAAATACCTAAATTATTCGACCGCTTTTTACAAATTTTTCTCGCATGATATACCCTTATAGTAAATCTTCCCCCTCATATAATTAATAACAGTTTGATCCTTCAAAATATCTTCCAACTAATCCAACAGAGATAGAAAATCAGTTAACTAACCTTCTTCTCTCTGTAAATTTTGAAAACGAAGATTAAGTAATTTTTTGGCACACTTAAAATCACCATTAAATGCACCTTATTCGAAGATTAAGTCAGCCATTATAGGGTTGGCCTGCAATTCCTCCCCTAAACCATTTAACAACAACATTCCAAGATCGTAAAATGCTGGTAAATAGTCTTGATTCTTGGCTTGACTGAGTAATGGAAAAATTAATTGTCTTCTATTCTATTTATGTATAAATTAACTACTTACCTTATTTAAACTTTATTTACTCATTTCTTAGTACAACAAAGATAATTTATATGTAGCCTCCACTGAATTCCTTTTTTGAGCTTGCTTATAAAAGTACTCAGCATCTTAGTAGTCTTTTTCCAAAGAGTCTATCATAAATATTTAAAATTATTATTGTTACAATTTTATAACTACAAACCTGAGGTGTACAAATCACCTAAATATATCATTGATGGCACGTGATTCAATTCTGCAGCTTTCCTTAGTAGTTTGATAGCTAAATCACAATCCTTAGTTTTGATTGTTGTCACACTTGATTTCCTGCTCTATTGTTCGTCTTTCTCAAAAAATTTGTCAAATACTTTCTCTTCCTAAAAATTACTTGTTATTTATTACTAATATTAATCTGGATGCCCAATAGACACTAAATGTATGACCTTGGTCTGCACTCAATTTAAAGTAGTTAAAAGCCTACCACAAGTGGTGTTATAATTCATTACCTGATCATAATCTTTTTCTCCTAATTCTCCATCCATCAAAACCTATCCCATTATTGCCTATGCGATTGGATGGCTCTCTTCTGACAATCTTTTGTAGATTTGCAAAGCGCTGTCTCTATTTTTCTCGATTCCCAAACCTACGTACATTTCATGGGCATTCCTCAATTATGTATCTAAATATCCTTTTTTCGATTTTTTTAAGTTGTCGAAATTCTTAGTTCTGATCTCATTTGTGAATTACTCAAACCACTAGTTTAAACGTTATTTAAATTCATTTGTAGAAATTGTACTCGTAGCCCTGTTTTCCAACATCAACACCTATTCCCAGAAATAGCACAACTTTTCCAACGCACGCAACTGTTTATCATACTGCTTATTAGCAGGCCCTTTGCAAGGCCACTTGATTGATTCTAGCAAAGCAAATGCCTCATGCACTTCTTAAATAGTCCTTATAGTATCTCTTTGTAGATTGAACAATGACTGAGTAATCTTAATCTTTATCTAACATTCCTAAGAACTGTAATTCTTAAGAATCTACTGTGCCTAACTCAATATTTAAGTTGATAACTATCTCTTCCCTTCATCCAGCTTCGAACTTCTCTCAACCTAAGATATGAGGTCAGCTAAATAAATGGAAAAATGTACATATTTATTAATGGGCTACCTGAAATTTGAACCCCTCATAAAATGATTAATCGCACTCCGTAGAATTAGCACTCGCTTAATCACAATATTGTTCTATAATCTAATTTAAATTTTCTTGATGACTCTTATATAGGCTATTGCAGACATATCGCGAATTCAGTGACATATATATAATTTATTAATAATAATTATTATTTTCTTCTCATCTCTTCTGTCCACTCCAAGATTGAAGTTCCATAAACTTGTTTTGAGATCTACTCAGCATATCTTAAGTTTACTAATTAATCTACCCAATCGTACCTTTAAACGGACTTTCAAATCCTCCTCATCCTTCAATAATTTCTCCCTTGTCTTCTTTAGTTTCTCCTCAATCATTTTCTCATAAGAAACTCTCTCCTTATAAAATTATTAAGATTTCATCTCTTCCAATTTCTTGGTCTCCTCCTTCTTTTTCTTCCTCTCCTTTTCTTCCTAATACAATACTTCCCTAATCTTTTGGTTCTCCTGAAGTATGCAATCCCTCGTTCTACTTAATGACATTTTCATTGTACTCTTGTACTCTTTTACTTATGATTATTTCATTGAGTCTCTAAAATCACTTATTACTATAAATTACCCCAATTTCTACGCTAACTTCCTTTTTTGTATAAAATCCTACTCACTTTTTTTTATTTATTCAATTTGCTGCTTTCTTTTTTTCATAGTTTCATCCTTTATTTATTTAGCCTCATCCGCTAGCTCTTACAATTCTTTCTTCACTTAAATTCCATTCTCTATATTCTCTGCTGCCATCTCATATAATTTAGCCTACCTACATCAAGTTACATTTTACAAGATGTAAATTTTTCTACTCTGCTTATTTTAGCAAGGTAATTTTAGCCATCTATCTATCATATGCTAGTTTTTCTTGCCTCTTTTAATCAGTAGCCTAGGGCAAAGGAATTGCAGGTCTATCATCGTCATTTTAAGTCCTTGACATATCGAGAATTTATATTAAAAATAAAATAAATTCAGTCTCTATAAATTCCTTTAAAGATTCTTCATTAACTGATTTTTTTCCCCATATTTTTTAACCACCTAGACTCAATATAATTGAATTATGCTTTCATAACATTTAATTTATTCAATTTTACTAATATTTATAAATTCTCTTTTAAAATAAAATGCGAAATTAATATGATTTAAGAAATTTTGTAAAAATTCTTTCTTTAGAAGTTTCTAAATTATTAATGTCTCTAATACTAGATTTTCAATTTTACTTAAATAAAGGAATAGAGAGCTTCTTTATTCATTTCAGACTCATTTTGTAATTAACTCTATTTCGGTTACAAAATTGAAATGATGTGGAAATTCCTTATGGATAATTACAGTCATCTACTATGTAAAATAAATGCATGTCATTTGGTTTAAGAATTAATTTTCTCTTAGAAGTATTATAATCAAAGGGAAAAATTCTAATCTAGTATTGAATGGCTGAGCAATTTTTAATACTATAAATAGAAAATACATATGTCTAATTTTTCCATTTTTATGAACAGGATTTTTCTTAAATTATCTAACAGTTAGAGTTTTTAAATTCAACATATGGATTTTACTTTAAATTTTATAGCCGACTATTTATTAATTTTTTAAATTTGATGTAAAAAAAATGTCAAAAAATTGAAATATGAATGATTAGCAAAAATATTATAAATAAGATGAATTGGTTTATCTTCTATTTTTGCATGAAAATCATATTTAATTATTATTTAATTAGATTTTAATTAAATTTATATTAGAAAAGAGATTATTATTAGTTCATTCAATCTAATAAGATTCTTAAACAATTGTTTAAATTAATTTCAACTTAAAGTATCAATTACATTTAGAAATTCTTTAATGAGTTCTAGAATTTTTAATATCTTACAAGAATAAGACAGCTTTCAAACATAATAAACAATCAAGAATTATAAAGAGATCAACTTATATATTTGAGAAGAAACCTAAAATCAGAAACGAGTTAATTTAAAAATTATTTTTGCTTTTTTATATAATATCAAAAGTTCATTCAAAAAACTGGACCAATAGACACTTTGAATAATTCTAATTAGTAACTGCTTTGTAATTATTTTTATATACTGTTTTAACATTTAAAAGAAAAAATGATTAAAGTTATTAAAAATGCTTTAGATATTCATTGTTGAATGATTAGAATTTAATGAAAAAAGCTTATAATAATGACGAATTAAGTAAAATAAACAGATTATGAATAACTAAAGACCTTATTAATGGGATTAAATACATATTAAATATAATAAATGAAATAAAATTTGGAAGAAATAGCAGCCACAATTCCGAATTACAAAATGGTTGATGGTAAATATTACATCAAAACAACAAAATTGGGAAAAGGAAATTTTGCAGAAACGTATATATAAAAATATACAAAAGTCATTTGGCTACATTGAAAGACAATGAGAAAATAGTTTATGCTTGTAAATTAATTGCAAAACAAAACATCATTGAAAAACTCAAAAAAAGCAATAATCCAGATAGCAGAAAAGAATATATTATCAACTCGCTAAAAAAAGAGGTATCATCTTTTACCATTTATTTTTTAGGTTTCTTTGTGGAAGTAGATGGATCATCCTAATATTGTTAAGTTTATTGATTTCTCTGAGACTCCAAATAATATTTATTTCTTTTTGGAATACTGCAATGGTGGAGATTTAGATATGCTCATCAAAGATAAAGGAAAATTGAGTGAATAAGAAGCAGCCGATATTTTTCTCTAAATTGCAGAAGGATGTTCATACTTATATGATAAAAGTGTTTTCCACAGAGATCTAAAACCTGAAAATATATTGATACATAATGGTACAGCAAAATTAGCAGATTTTGGTTTTGCAAAAGTAATTGAAGAAGATAAAAAAGATGTTGCTGCCCATGGAACGTCAGTAGGAACACCATATTATATGGCTCCACAGATTCTAGCAGGGGAAGAGTATTTATATAGAAATATATGTTTTAGCTATTGCATTAAATGTGATGTCTGGTCTTTGGGTGTAATTCTGTATTAAATGTTATTTGGAGTGCTTCCATGGAAAGATACAAATTCTATTATATAGTTGTTGAATGCTATTAATAATTAGAAAATTCAATTTCCAAATACAAATCCAGTTGGTTAAGAGATGAAAGACTTAATAACAGTAAAGAATACATTTATTAATTATTAGAAAATGTTGTAAAAAAGAGAAGAAGATCGTATTAATATTAAGGAAGTGTGTGAGGCATTGAACAAAATAAAAAAGTGATATAAAATATTAAAATATATGCATTATTTTATTTATATTCTAACTCATTAACCAATTAAGGCAGATGCTGTCTTTGAGACACTTAAAGATAGTAAGATATATATACTATTTCCAATTTGATGGCAATTTTTGGGTTCTTCTGTAATATCTGCTAAGTCTATGGATTCTGCTTTCAACCAAAATCAATCTGAATTTGCTGGTAATATCACCTCTATTCTTCTCCAAATGCTTTCTGATTTAAACAGCCTTTTTAATTAAGGCATATAAATCTTCAGGGATTTTTGGAGCACAACCTAAAATTTTAATTATTGCTATACCTCTTTTCTTTAAGATTCTCAAGATCTTTTAACCTGTTAAGAATCTGGTTTAAGGGATACCTTATTAATCTCTTAAATAAACTCCGATTTGAGATCCATTCAAACCTATAAAATTGCAATAATGTTAAACGAAACCTTTCTTAGCTAAATTAACAATTTAGTCAACGATTGATTTAGATGATAAAGTCAACCATTTTGGTGCTTTTCTTTTATATGGGAGGGCTGAACCAGAAATACCCTTTCCCTTTCCCTTAGCTTACATACGTCCCATGAATTAATTTAAGATTTAATTTTATTTAAATTTGTTTAGTCATTTCTTTGGTTTCTTGGGTTTCTTTTTTTTGGCACCTAAACCGTATAGTTCTTTTCTTTCCATTAGTTCGTTCTAAATTAATTTAATGGCATTCTCCATTCGCAATTACTGTAATTCTCTTAATTTTTTGGCTTCTTATTCTTAGATTTCCTAAACTACTAGATTGAATTTACTTTTCTTTCGCGTTCCTATTTTTCTAATTCTTCCTTCTCAAATCTTATGTTCAATTTAGCTAGTTCTTCTAACATGGTATTTTTTTGTTCAGTCAATTTTTCTATTTTATCTTCTAGTTCTTATTTCTTTTCATCCATATATTTATTTTGATCATCTGTTTTCTTTTTTGATTCTTCCTAAATTTATATAATAATATATGTACTTCTTTTCTTATTAAGTAATCCTTTAATTATTTATGAACCTTTTCTTCTGTCTCTATTTTTGTAGTAAAATTTAAAATTTATTATTCAATATCCTTTAAAGCAAATTCAAACACTCTCATTTGGGTATTCTCTTTGGATGTACCTACTTTTTCGTCATATTTTTTTTTTAAATCAGCTCTGTTTGTTTTATATAATAGTTTTTCTTTCAAAGATTAAATATTCTTTTGTTTTTCAGTTTTCTCGTGTTCATGTTCTTTTATTTCTTAAGTTTTATCATTCTATAATTTTTTAATTTCAGCAGCTAACTCTTTTTCTCTTACTGCAAATTTTCTTAACGAATCCTATTCTTCTAAACTATTCGTAACATTTTGAGCAAATTTGTTTAATTGATTATTTTAGATAAATGTTTTGAGATTCTTTATTAACTTGATATAAATACTTCTAAATCTGAGATCAATCCTGCTCTCTCTTCATATACCTTTAATGAATCCTAATCTATATTTGGATTTTCTTTAAATAACCTTTTATTTGAAATGAAACTTATACCTACACAATTTCTTAGTACTTTCTTTGAGTCTCTAAGCTACCTCCTGAATATGCTTCTAAGTTTCAGTTAATTGTTTTCTATTAGAGATTCCTACCAAGGTACTTCGTTTGGCTACTAATTCTGCATATTTAACTTCCAATGTTTATTGATCAGTCAGCAATTTACTTTGTTCATATCCTGCCAATTCAGAAGATATATCATTATCTCTAGTGATTTCTCCAATGAATTATAATTTCAGTATGCAATCCTTAAGCACAAATTACAATTTGTGTTAATCTATGGGATTCATTTTTTATTAATTTATATATATATATTTATATCTGTTTTAATGCTCATTCAAATTTGTAAAACTATTTGGGCTTGTCAATTTGATTGCTAAATAAAATGAATCACAAATACATGCCATGATGCCATAATGATGGTTCAAAGTTGTTGTCATCATCAATGAAAAAGAATTTTTTATCTAATTCTGGCACATCAAACTTATTTTCCCAAACAGGAGCTCCATCGAGCAATTTGCCTATTTCTGGTTTGATGCTTTTTGCGTAATAACTTCCTGATGCAAATCTATTGATACATTTAATTTGATTGAATTACTTTGTTCCTAAAAACACTGCACCAACAATTCCAGCTTTGAAATAAATGGCTAACTTCTTTGCTGGACCTATTCTATTGACTGCCTCTAAACTCAAATAAGTGGTAAGTAGTGTTGCCTTATTCTAGAAACTAGATTATCGATTCACTAAATTAATGACCTAATTTTATGTTTCTGTTGGGACAAGTGAAGTATGAGTCCACCAAGACTTATTATTTTATGTGAGGTTGATATACATTTAATTATTTAATAAATCTTAAATTATCAATGTAAATAAAAGAATTATAATCTCTTATATAAAATCCAGATAAAATTAATAAGAAATATTCTTATTCTAATATAATTAGATGATTAAAATGGATATAAATTAAATAATAAATACATTTCAATCATAAAAAAGTTCATAAACTCTAAATTATTCTTTGCACCATACTACTAAATGTTTACCACTATTTGATAAGTTTGCATTACTGTTTTCATCTTCTAATTCAATATTCTAGTCTTGAATTGTTATATCATTTTATTTGTCAATGGTTAAAAAATAAAGATTTTTAAGATGTTTTTAAATTAGAATTTATTACTATGAATAAAATATTGATGGTTAGTAATCTCCATCTTTTTCCTTATCCTCAGGTAGTTATTTTATTAAAATCTTAGAAAATTATCTATCTTTTTCTTGAAAGATTTAAATTTATCCTTTAAGTTATTTTGAAACTATAGTATAGTCATTTAAAAAATTAACATTGCATCCATCTGAGTTTTCTATTTGTTATTTAAAGTTCCATTCTTATTAATCATTTTTGTCCCAAATAATTATTTTTCTATCTAAAGATATAGACGCCATTAAAGTATTTCTTTAATTTAATCTAACTTAGGTTACTGGGGCAGTATGTTTTTCTAATTATTGTAGAGGTAAAATAAAATTCCTTTCATAGTTTACTGCCCAAATTAAAATTTTGCAATCACTGCTGCAAGAAAATAATTAATCTTCCTTTTCATTTAACTCAAGAAATATAATCTAATCTCTATGACATTAAGGATAAATTTGTTTTTTCGTTATATCAATGTTGAATAAAATTTTTTTTGGTTTCCATAAAATGATTGAAAAATCCTTTCCTGCAGAGAATAACCAATTTTTCTTTTTACTAAATAGTAGAGTATTAATTGTTTAAGTATGTTCATTTAGATTATAAAGAAGATCACTTATGTTTCCATCTTAAAATTTCCATATTTTTATTTCTCTATCACAAGCAGTAGCAATTATAGAGTCATCTTTATTAAATGAAATTGCTTCACACTGTATGGGTTAACTAACTGTTTTATTTTATTTTTTATAAGATATTTTTCTTTCTTATACTTATTACATTTCCTAAAATACATCTATGATTTCTGAGTTTTCTCCTTTAAATACAATTTTTAAATCAGGAGATTTTTTAATTTCAATTTTCATATTTTTCCCCAAAAACTGTTTCCTAGGTGACTATTAGATAACATTCTATCCATTTAGGGATGAGCGTAATTTATTTAATTAAAGATTTTTTGTTATTAGAATTTCTAAATCGATAAAGCTTTATTCTAATTTATCTGAATACTAAGATCGTAATTTCTTCAAAAATTCATCTATCATTTAACTATTATGTTGTTGCTCATGCTATAATTCTTGAATAAAGTTAAATTTAGACTTTTCATCTAGCTTACTTTCTAAATCCTCCTTCCAATTATTAAGATCCATAAATAATTTTCTAATAACTTCTTTAATAGAATCTTATAATTTAGAAAAACATTTTTGATAATCATCAAGTGTTGTTAATTCAGGTAATAATTTCATTTAATATTCTTCATATTCTGATTATTTTATTTTACTAGTTTTATCTATTATTTCACGAATGTTTTAAGCTTTTTTTTCCCCTTCCATTTCCTAAAAACATTATTCGCATTAAAGTTGAAACTTTTTATTTTCTTTAATCAGAACATACTTCACAATTTATTAATGTGAATTACATTAAAAACCACCTTCAGGTTAAATCATTTAACATACCCTTAATTAAGAATTCATTATAAACTTTTATTATTTATAAAATAATTCAATATAAATTCTACGCCCATTTTAATATTAATCAAAAACGAATGTTAAACAAATCTATTTTATAAATGTACATTTTTTGCAAATTTATTCCATTATATCTTCTGTGATGGCAAAATAAGAGACTTTATAAAAAAATCATATGCCTTTATTTATTCCTTGTAGATGACTAATATTCTAGTTTTTTAGATGAAATCAAACACTCTTAAATAAAGAGAGACTGAGTTATAAGTTATACCCTTCTATAAAGTATTTCGATTATTTAGATAAAATTAAATTAATATTTAATGAAGATCTCTCAAAATATTCTTAAAATAAGTAATCATTATGATAATTATTTACATAAAATTAATATTGGAAAACAGTCAAATAAATTATATTGCTACTCAAAATTCATTATTGCTTAATCTATTATAAAAGTATCCTTAAAATCAAATTCATGAATGAAAATAAAAAAAAAATACAAATATTTATTAGTCAACTAGAATAGAATGATAAAGATATTTGGCTGTTTAAATAACTGAATAAATATTGAAATACTTCTTTTTTTGAGAGGAATTAAATTTTTAATTTGTATGGTTCATAACATTGAGAAATAGAATAATATTAAATATGATAAACTTATAATTATTTTAATAAATTAATAAAGTAAAATAACCATCTAATTAAAAATCATTAAAATGGTAAGTTTAAATATACTTAAGAAGCTGAATATATTTGAGTAATAGAACATATAATTCTAGATGTAAGAAAAATTGAATAATTCTGCCTAAACTCAACATGAATATAAGAAATTAATTAAATTTTATAGTAAAGCATGATAAAAAGTGATACTAAACAATTATATAAAATCAAGAATGCTAAACCATTGATTAAAAGCAAAAATTAAAGTCACAGAACGTGGAACTAGAAATTACTGGTTTAAAATCTAAAGTTTTATATTGAGCCACTATAAGTGATGAATTTGAGCTAAAGTAAAGAAAATGTTGCCATTTGAACACCAGGTAGAATTATGAACGAGTTTGCTGGGTTTTTCAAACGGCTAGTGAGTTAAAATATCTTTAAGGATAATAAATTCTAAAATAAATAAAATATTAAATAATACATAGATTTTATAATTAATATAATATACGTATCATGGAGATTTTTACATTTGATAATTGTGACCATTCTAAGGAATTCTAGCTTCTTGTTTAATATTATTCCGTATTTGACGAAGATTTTGAATAATCAAATAGGACAAAATCAGTTGTTGATTTATTGGATGCAGGTTTAGAAATTTAAGAAAAGTTTCGCAATAAAGCAAAATAAGAGAAATAGAGTAACTAATCTTAACATTTATTAGCTTAGAAAAATTTTAAGACTCCTTTGGATTTTCTTCGAGATTCCTTAAAAAATAAAATTGATAATACTTTATCATTTTAGCAATTATTGATCTTTTCGAATCCGCAAGTAGTTAAGAATTTTGGTAAGCCAAAAGTTGTGCATCATAACGGGGAGTTTCTGATTGTAGGTGGATCTTTAGGAAATATTCTATATTACTCTTAATAATAGATGGATATTATTATTTAGTAATAGAAAATTGGAGCTGTAACTGCTTTAGACTCATTGAATGAATTAATAGCTGTAGGTTATGAAAGTGGATGGATTAGCTTAGTAAGTATGAATAAAAAGAAGCATTTATACACTTGTTAGAACATTACTAAATCTAAAATAATAGTTTTGAAATTCATATTTTAATCTAAAAATTTTTATAATGTCATAACTTCAGATGATGTGGGAATTATAAGGATAGTAAATTTTCGAAAAGGGATGTTGGGATTCGACTACCAAATACAACTAACTATACCAAGATAATAGTTTCCAATGCTGAACATAATCGTATTGTATAAAAGCGAAACAAAAGAGTTTATGGGTGACTTATATGAAAAATCAAGTAGAATAATTGGATTATGTTCTCTGAGCAAGTTTTATCTTATACTTACTTATAAGGATGAAGAAAAGAAGTTGAAATCATTAATAGAAATAGAAAATCCACATATATCAGGTCCAGAAAAGCCCTTTTATTGTTATCTTTCTTATGGTTTTGGTGTTTTACCTCCTCCAAATTAAGAGTCAGAATAAAAATGGAAGGATAAACGGTTGATAATTTTACTTTGTTGGAATTGTCATATGTTCATATTAGTTAGAAGTAATGATTAGGCAAGATACATGACACTCAAGCCGTTGATTTTTAAATAATAAATACATGCTGCTTATTTTGTAGAGTAATCCATAATAGAAGTTATCACTTCAAACCAAAATATATACTTATTTAATACGCTTCATTTGGAATTGCATATTGTTCCAAAAGGAATAGGATAGATACCATATTTCAGATAAAAAAAGAATTGGCCTGATTCTCCATTCACTTTCTCTTTATCAGGTTGATATTTTGAATAAAAAGGAAGAGAAGGAATTGAAATAATATCCATTGCAAAATTAAATATATGCTTTAAATAAATTAACAAGATAAATTCACATTTTAGTTGAAGGATCCATAGTTACGGGGAGTATAAACAATTTAGAATAAACTATTGATATTTTTATTTAGAATAAAGATTGGGCCAAGGGAATGCTATTGATTCTAGCTTTAATGGATGGTAGCATGAAATCCACTCCAATCAAATTTAACATTTAAGTTTTAAAGAAAAAAGTATTGGAAATAGCCACTCATTATATAAAAGTAGTTTTGGAGGAAATCAAAACTACATTAGATAAACACAAGACTTTGATTTATACTCCAATTTCTTAACTTAGTCATTAAAAGGATGTGGAAAAAGTGAAGACACTGCTGTCAATGCTTGTGGATTTTCTTTTGAGAGTTTCAAGTGATATCTTATTTAATTAAATATATTGTATCATAAAGAAATTTTTAAATGGAGATGTCAGTATATTATGCAATGAATTAAGTTTATATCTAAAGAATGGAAAGGTCAAAATGATTGATGCAAATGAATAAACCATAAGTATTCTATTTATTTTTAATGACATTAGATGAAATCTTGCTTTATTATGTTAAAAAAGGAGAATCATAATGTATTGATACTTTTATCTCTAAAATTGAATATTCAAAAATTAATACTGAAGAACTGATTCAACTCTGTCTTCTAAATAAACTTACTACAAGTTTGAGTTATGTATGCACAAGATCTGGGGATTTCTTGACTCCTTTGGCTAAACTATGGGGAATCATTTAATAAGACATAAAAAAGAAGGATCCATAATTGGTCATAGAGTAAGGAAAAAGCATCATTTTATATTTGGAATATACATTGCATATTGAGGAATTAATAAAAGAGAAATCTGATCAGATATCTCTATGGTTGTTTGAAACTCAAACATTGTTTTTATTAATGAGTATAGATTTTGCTGGTTGTGTCTAGTTGTGTTACAAATTTTTTATAGCACCATATGACTAATTTTTAGATAAGGAACGATTAAAGAAATATTATGTTAACATGACGTAAGCTTTTTAAAAATTGAAAACGATAAAAGATTAGACTGATTTAAAATTTCAATTGACCTAATTATAAATAAAGACACTACCTGATGCAATCGGATGGGAAAAGATGATTAATCAAGTTGGCAGATCTATTCAAGCAAACATTTTGAGTAAAGGATACACAGAATAACTATAAAATAAATAATTAACTGAATTATTCTTAGATTTAGTCAGTGAACATCGACATTTGCTATTTTTACCACTATAATGTTTACCTCTACCTAATATATTACATAATGATGAACCAACTCTTAAATATTGTTTAATTTATGCATACAATCAATTTATAATCAATCTCTTCAAGAAATATCCAATGGTTGATAAAGAGGATATTTTAAATTCGATGGCATCAGATGGATAGTTTGACTGGGTTAAAATGTATTTAAATGAAGAACTTAAAAATTACAGTAAAACTTTGGATTTGAGAATCAAAATTAAGAATCAATTACAATATTTTAACCTCACAGTCAAATTTGAAATTTTCACTTGGATTTCCAAAGTTTTATAAAAAGATCCTCCGATTCCTCAACTAGATTCTTTTCGAGATAGAATACTGCATCATATAGGATCTCTAGTGTCTTATAGTGCTATTCACACAAGGTCATTGATTTCAAAATATTTCTAGGCAAATGATATTAGTATTCTGAATAAAATGGGTGAATTACCAAAGTTGCAATTAGAATATCTAGAATAAATAATGTAGGCTGATAGAAAATAGTATTAATCCAATACAGAATTTTTGAAGTTATACATAAAGTTGCTTTGCTAAATAAAACCAGAGAAAGTTTTAAAGGAACTCCAAGAATAGGAATATCCTTTAGATGACATAATCATAGTATTAAAATAATATCCTGTGCCTGATGCTTTGGTATATTTACATGAAAGATCAGGAGCAATAACAGAAGCAATCTGTGTAAAACTAGACGATTTTATTTAGAAAATACAACAGAAAGCGTTTTAAAGTAAAGTATGTATTTAATTTGAATGATTTAGAGTGAATTTTATTGTTATTTTTTGGAAATTTGCAATATTTGCTTTAGGAATAACAAATAAGATGAATTGGATGAATCCTGGGATATGGTGACTTAATGCATCTTGGAACTGTCACAAAATAGATATACTCCATAACCATACCCTTCTTATTTGGAGGAATATATTCCATTATTGTTAAAGAAGTGGGCAGCATGCAGTCATTTGGATGCCTTTCTTGATAAAATTACTACTAAATACATGAGATTAAGTTCGTCTAAACTTAAAATGACTTTCTAATCTATGTATACTCATTTCAATTTCTCTACTACTGTTTATACCAAATTGGTAGATATCAATTTTATTAAATGCATTAAAAATATGAGAAACTTAGTTCACTTATCACTTTAAGGAAAGGGTTTCTTACCTGGTTGCTATTAATGTCATCATTATTATGAGTATCATTTACAATTGGAATCAATCGTTCTTCTAGCTTGTGGTCACACCTACCATTATAATTGTCTGATTTTGGATGAGAAGGCACATTATCATTGTCCAGTTTGTTTGAATAATCCAAGGATTGCCATGGTTCATTTCCTTTACCAATTGAAATCCAAAAAATATTTACTTAAGACTGAAAATTAACAGAAATAATAGACTTAACAGAATTAAAACCCTGTGGTTGTGAATATCATTAAATAAGGATAAAAAAAGCAATAGGAGATTGATGAGAGTCTAAAGTTTATTCAACATGAGAGTAAGGAAGAAATTAGCAAAATGAAATAATTCGAAAAATTAAAAAAATTTGAATAATAAAAATTGGGTAGAATGAACAGAGCTTGGTAAGGAGTTATGACTTATTGAAATAATGATATAAGTAATTTAAATATGAATTTAGATATTTAAATGTATTGAATGTTAGTTATATAATAAATAATGAATTTCATGAATTAAACTTTTAGCAGAATCAGGCCTAAAACAACAGATTCTAAGATTAGAAATTCCTCCAATCATTAATTGATCTCTCAATTGTTTCAACAAATCAACTCTTATTATGAGTAAGAGGAGAAACCAAGACCTAAAACTTAATCTAGATAAAGAAAAATCATTCCTTTGAATTATTCACAGTCTGATACTTATGACCCTACAGACAATTTAATCGATCGATTGTGTCCTACTATATAACAAGATGCGAAATTCATTTTTATCAAAACAAGGGAAAGAGCCTTGCGTTAACCATCTTCAGGTTCAAGAAGAAAAAAAATGATTGAGGAACCTAAATTTCAACTTAATCCAATAAAGAAAACCACCATAATTTAAGAAATCAGTGAATAGACTGCTCCGCCTAAAAAGACCATTGAATAAAAGACTGAACATTCATTTTATCTTGTCAAGTAGTTGCATATTAATATTTAGTTCTATTAATATGCTCTAAACAATGAAAAAAGATAAAATGAAATTATTTAATTGCAGTTTTAATTGACTTTTTATTTTGCTATTAAATATACGTGTTAAATTTTAATGAGCCATCCTTCAACCCTTCTTGAATATCAACCAGCCAAATAACCCAATCCCAACATAATAAAATTGCTCACTCAACATCAAGACTTGTTTCTCATTCAGAATTAACCCCCTTCTACCTTAGGAGCTCCATACCCTTTAAAATTGGATGCCAAGGAAATGCTCATAGAAGTTCAACCAGATCAAAAATTCACTCATCCAAAATACTTCTAAAAAGATAACAAAGTTCAAAAAATTACAAAATAACCTTCATAGCCTGCCTCTACTATCTTTGTGGAAAGTGGGCTTTGTGATCCAAATAAGAAAGCTTGGTATTACTTGGACGAAGCCTAAAAGTCACAAGGACCTTTCACCTCAGCTGAAATTGATTAATTGATCACTAAAGGCACTATCAACATGCAAACTAAAGTTGCTTTGGAAACATTAGATAAATTGGTTAGAGTTGAAAAGATTATTTAAGCAGTAAATAAAAAAAAAGAAGCTGATTAAAAATTAAAAGAAGCATAAAAATAAAAATCAGAAGAACAAAATCAATAAAAATCACTTGATTCACCTACTAAAATCGAAAAATAAGAAGAACTCAAACTTCAATAGATTAAATAAAAAGAAGAACAAGGAATCGATTTCGAAATAGACTATTCAAAGATCAAATAGAATATTCAAATAGGATAATGGGCTAAGCCATTAGTTGCACAACCTATTTAAGTCAAAGTTACTAAGGCTTTTACAAATAATCCATAATAATCAAAGCAATAATAAAAATAAACTAATAAGCCTACTGAAAGAAAGCGAAGTGACAATAAGAGCATGCACGTGGAAGGAAATAAAGGAAATTTATACTAAAAAAAAGGATATGAAAGGTAATTTAAATTTTAAACTTATTAGATAAGAAGAAGTCATTTTGGAGGCTAAACCAAAGGAAGAGTCAGATGCCACTATAAATTAAGAAGTTTAAGATTATTTAAAGAAATTGGATTCTAAAAAACCAGAAAAGGCAAAAGAAGAAACCTAGTAATAACCAGAAAAACAACCTCCATAATAATAAACTTAAGTTCCAAAAACATAGAAATTGAAAACTGAACCTCCTAAATAAGAATAGAAATTACAAACTAAATAATAAGTTGAGAAAGTAGATAGTGCTGATGAAGAGTGGGAAATTGTTGGAGCAAAGAAAAATACATAAACTAAAAAGGATTAATAATAAAAATAAACAACTAAAGTAGAATAGTAGACAACCTAATTAAAAAAATAGGAATAATAATAACAATAATAATAATAATAATAAAAATAAGAATTAAAATAAGAATAAAAATAAGAGTAATAGTAATAGTAAGATGAAGAAGATGATGATGAAGATGAGGATGGATGGTAAACTGTTGGTGCATCAAATAAAGATAAAAAAAAGCCAGTCAATAAAAAGATCTAATAAAAAAATTCACATATTCCTGGATTTGCTGTTGAAATCAAAACAGATTCAATCACAATATCTTCTGGTTCGGCCAAGAAACCACCCCCTTAAAAATAAAAAAAACCTGAGCCAGTTTAATAATAGCAACCATAATAATCGCAACCTTAAAATTAACCATAAAATAATTAAAATGATGATGATGACGAGGGTTGGATTGAAGTAGAAGTAGGCCAAGCACCAAAAAAGGTTACCTAATCTAAAAAAGGAAAATGATACCTTTAGTATAATATGTTAAATAATAATAGTAAATATAATTTAGATTTATTGATATAGTAAATCTGTATATATTTTCTTTTTATTATAATAATTAATAATTAGAATAACCTTTTTCCAGTGAACTGATTTCATCATTAGAAATATGTTGTTTTAGTACTAATAATGGACTAAATTATTATACATCTTGTAAAATTTGAGTTTGATTTTCAAAGATCATCCATTTATAAATGAATTTCCTTTTCTATGTTCCAATAGGAATGGGAATTTTTATAGAAATTTTTTGTAAAGAAAAAGAATCTTCGAATAATTAAATTATTAATTCATTAGAATATGATAAAAAGTTATCAACTCATATTTGCATACATACGCAATCGGTTGAGAGTCTAATTTAGATTTCATAATAATCTCGAAAAATAATTATATTAGTTGAGCAATGGTATATCAGAATGATAAATCTTGAGTTTCTTAACTCTTATTTATCGATTTGATTTATCTGACTTTTATACAAACGAAGTCTGTTGGCTCTTTGGGAAAAATACAGTCTATTTATTAGAGAAGTGCTTCTTAATGATTTATTCCACTGGTGATGAATCAGTGTATTCTTAATTTTATTTTATTTTATTTATGTAAAATGGATTCTCATTCATATGCATGGTCCTTTCAGTGTTATACCTTTCCGTTTTGATTTGGTAAACCCGTTTTTATAATTATTAATTTTTTATTTTAACCTAAGGGACTCTTATTGGCTGTAATGGAACAATCAATTATTTCTTTTCTTTCAATTTAAACCATGGCCCTAATTCATCGAAGTTATGACCTTGGAAGTCTAATATGAATTAATTAGAAACCTTCTTATTCATCAAAAAGCATTGATGTTTACAAAGCTAAACTACACTTGTTCATTAATTGTTTTATAAACTTGAAATTTATTAAAAAATAAAATTTACTCATTTTCTTGAAAATGAGATCAAATAGAGCTTGGTAAATTCTAAAAACCGTAGAACTTAATGTGAAATTACGACCTTGTTTCTATATTAAATGAATAATATTATACTTATAATATATATTAAGAACTCGGTTAAATATAGTAAAGGACAAAATATAAAGATGCTAAAATCACTTTATTTAATTTTTTATTATTATTCAAATAAGAAATATTCTTTGATCTAATAATTACTCTTAAATTTCCTAGATATTTAATCAAGAATTTCAAAATCTTTATTAAATCTAAAAATATTAAGAATTTAATAAAGCTTTTGAAAATTAGATACAATACTTTAATCGAATAGAGTAAAAGTAATTAACAATTTATTATTTCAGAAGATTAATATGAAAATTTCTTTCAAAAATTTTAGCATGAAGATTGCAAAATCAAAGTTTTTTTTCCATTGAGTAAAATATTTAGTAATTCAAACAATCTTATATCGCCATCTAATTTTTATGTTTTAATAACACCAATCAGAATATATAACTATGGGTCTTATATTTCTTTATTATAAAATGAAATAATTACTTTGATTCTTTTGTTCAGAAAATATAAGATGAATTTATTCTCTCAATTCTTTCATTGTCATAAAACAAGACAATTGTGAGAGGTCAAACTTAAATTCAAATTCAGTATCATTATGCAAAACAATAATATCAATCAAAAAAACTGATTCCTAAATAATAAAGGAATTATACTAATTATGCCTTCGTAAATTTGGATAATGCTTTCCAAACTCTAACTTACAAATCATTCATTTTCAAATACTGCGAAGGACTAAAAGTTTGGTTAATAAATTACTCATGAATGGATTTGATTTAACTGACAGAGATTGACACATCATTAGATTCAAAAGTAACAAATGAATTTCTCCTTTATTATCTAGGACTTTAATTATTATCTCCTTTTGAGGAAGTGGAGGTTTTACGAAATGATGAAATATCAATAATTCTGCCCAATTAACTTGATTCAAAACTTGTGGTTCTTTCAACATCCGATGTCTCTGATTCCAAATGAGTGTGATTATGATTCATAGACACTTTTTTTAATATTGGTTAGCCAGACATTTTCTTCATATATGAAATATTAAATTTAATATATATAAATTCAATTACAATAATTTGATGATTACATTTACGTAATTAATTAATTTAATATTTTTAGTTTAGAAAGTATCTAATTTTCTATGTATGATTCCAGTTAATAAGGAGCTAAATTTATTCATTATCGTAATCTTATGGAATTACAAAATTATCATTTCCACTCTAATAGATTTAAAGCTAAGTAATCCTAAACTAAAAGTGAGTGCAGATATTAAAATGATATACTATTTTGTTGACATATCTTAAATATTCAAGAAATATTTACGAAGAATGAAATGTAAATATATTCACTTTTGTCAAAAATTTATATATTGGTAATTATCAAGTAAGATTAATTTCTAAATAAATTGAAACATAAATTACAACTCTGTCTCAAATAATTGATTAAATTGATTTCCAATCTTAAAGCACACAATACTTCTTAAATCTAATATACATTGAGTTTTAACATTTATTTAATTACATTTCAAGAAATTATAGTTACTACATACTTATTTTCTAAAAGAATTTTGAATAACTCATCATAATTTAAGATTGTTTTATGATTAATTATTCGATAACTAATAAAAATAGTAATATAATTAATGAGTAAATCATAACCAATATTTATATATGGGATTACAATCAAAGATGATAGGGGAAAGTTGAAGAACTGTTAATTATGCGGAGCAAAATTCTCAATGTCAGTTAAAGAACATTAATGTAAGAGGTAATTAATATTTGTTGATCCATAGATGCAAAAGAGCAGTTTGTGATAAGTGTGCTCCAAATAAAGCTCAAGTTTAGAAGGCAGACGGCCTATCTAAGAAATCTCATCGTCTATGTAATTTTTGTAAAGACGTAATATCTATATTTCAATATTTAGGAAAGTGACTCACTAAAAAGATTCTTGGAACAATACAAAATAAGCTTTAACAAAGACTCATTCTCTCAATAATGGTTATAATCATTCGGAACTGATATTGCAAAAGCCAAAAACGTAATAATTTGAGACTTAACTAAATTTTAGGATTTCTTGAATGCATTAGATGATGCAAAGCTATCTAAAGATACAAATGCTTATGATATCTTCAAAGCTAAGTTAGAAGTAGTGATAAATGACATTGATGGATTTGTGAACTATTCCATCAAAGATTTTATGGTAGCTGCTTTGAAAAATGTGGAGTCATTTCGCCAAAAAGAAGTAGTCAAAACATCCATTTTGAGGGTTGCTGGCACACTTCTATTATTGTATCCTCAAATTGGATATTCACATGAAGTAGTACTCATTACCTATTTTCTCCTTTGTTTTGCATCTGAAGCTTCTGCATATATACTCTTAACTGCTATATATGCCCATATCCTCCCATCTCAATTGTATCCCAAGACTAACACTAAATATGATCTCGTTAATGAAAATGCCATTGTGGTTGGCATACTGAGAGATGCCCTTCAAGTCGATTCAAATGACATGAGTGTGATTAAGAGTTTCCTCTCATAGAAGCTCAGATGCTACTTAGTTACGTTGAGTATTAATCTCTTTTTATTTGAAACTACCTTTTTCATTATAAGTTCTGTATTAATGTCTGGTTCAAATGGTTATATGGATTTACTGGCTCAGATGGCTGTTTTATTTTAATTATCAAATCAGGAGATGCAGAAAAACAAATTCAATCATGAAGAAACAGAATTGTTCATGCTCAGATCACTTAGAACTAATCAATTAAGTGTACTTTACAAATAAACTCAAAATTGTGATTTTGAAAGTTACAAGAAAGTTTATATCACAACTAGATCAGATTCAATCAAAGTGGATAATTTGAATTTGAGTGCTCGTTAATCAATGATAAAACCTGATATGTAGAAAGTAAGTGAAATTAATTAGAAACTCTAAGAACAAGTTGATAGAAGGGATTTAGAAAATAAAAAGTTGAATGAGGAGATCATTTAATTAAGAGATAAAGTCAAATAATTACAAAAGGAGAATTCTATACTTCTAAGTTAATAATAAAACAATGATTCTGAAATGTATAAAATTAAGTTGCATGAAATGAGAATTGACAATTCAGACTTGAAATCATAAATTGAATAACTGAAAAATGAAATCTCTAAGTATAAGCTATAAATTGAGGATGATACAAAATAGAAAATAACAAAACAAAAAACTGAAACCATGGATAGTGATTATGAAAATGATTTGTAAGAGATATCTCAATTCAAATTAAAATATGAACAATAAATCAGAAATCTCAAAAAATAAGCTGATGAGAAGAAATAGTAAAATCAACCTAATCAAATTTAAATTGATGAAATTAAAGAGAATTACGAAAATAAAATTAAATTACTTTAAAAATAAGTAATCTAATTATAATCGTAAGATAATACTGAAGAAATAAGAGATTTGAAAATCCAAAACCAACAATTACAAAAAAAATTAGAAAAAATGAAAGATGAAAAGAATAAAAGTGAATTAATATTATAAAAAAATGATGAGATAGAATTATTAACTGAACTGAATGAAGAATTGACTAAGGAAAATTAACGATTAGCAAAACAACTCCGAGATTTAAAATCGCAGAGTGGTGCTTCAAGTGCCTAATAGATAAAAGTATTGGAAGAGTAAAATAAATTATTAGAGTTGAAATTGGAATAATATCATTTATTGATATAAGAGTTGGTTAACATAATTGGTAAGGTAAAGTATGAAAAATAGAAGTAATTGGAATTCTCGGATATGAAGTTTAAGCAAAAGGAAGATTTAGAAGATGTCAAAATGGTTGCTGAGATAAGAACAGTCTAAACTCAATTATTGAAGGGAATGCTGAAAGAAAATCAAGCTTAGTTAAGTGATTTGATGTCTAATATAACGCAAATGCGTCAGGTTCTCGAAAAATCAAAATCATTAAAACTTTGAAATATATATAACAAATAATAAATATAAAACATTGTTTATAATGAAGACACTATTAAATAATAAGAAATAACTAGGATAATAGGAAACTTAGACCAAATAATTGTAGAAACATGAATCAGCGACAACCGTTAATCTAGTCTACCCCTAGTTGAAACAACAAAATAGAATAACATCTGCATATTATTCAGCGAAGTTGATAAAAGGTAGCATCACCTTTCCATATTCTTAGGTCTTCCATTAAGTGCACAACCAATTGCAAGACCTATAAAAAAGGTTCCACAGTTGCAATATCCTTTTTTTCAAGAACCCCCACAATTTTAAATGCAATCAATTCATGATGAGGATGTATAACAATCAAAGCAAACTCAAGAACCTGAATTTGAAATTAGAGCCACAACAGCTCCAGAGGGGGCTTAAAGAAAGCCAAAACTTGTTTAAGATTTCAGATAATTGATTTAACAAGTGCCATAAGTAATTAAGATGGAACCGACAGCAGGACAATTTGTCATTTAAAATAGATTTCCTGAATATATTGTAAGATATGGAAAATTAAATATATTAGAATGATTTTGATGAATTTACGGTGAATCCGCATGTTCATAAACATATGGAAAGATTAAAATCATCGAATAGATTAGTGCAGTATCAATAGTTGCCTCGTAATCAATCTTCTAAATTGGAGAGACAAAGAGAACTAATTGAGAAAACAATATCAAATAGACCAGTTCAATCACAATAAATAAAGAAAAGAAAGTTATTACCCGACAATAGACCTAAGACAACAAACTATAAAAGAGAAAATCCTTTGGGTGATTGTTGGAAAGACTTGGCTTAAAAGGTTGTGATCTAGGCAAATGAAGCAAATAAACCTAGGGAAGAATCACTTCATGAATAAGAGAAATCATTGACTCATTTGGATTTAGAATCAAACGTATTGACATAGAAAGAGAAAGAATACATAAAGAAGAAAAGAAAACAATTTTTAGATGATTTGAGACCATATTTGGAGATGAAGCAAGCTTAGGCAGAAAAAAAGAGAGCAATGGCAAAAAGAGAGTTATTATTGGACAAATTTGACTAGCATAATTCATTATTAAGTGAGTTAGAGGATGATGGTGATTTAGCAAAAGAAGAAAGCTTTGAAATGTTAGATGATGAGATCTAAATATTTAACAAACCTTTAGTTGAATAATAAAACTTTTTTGCTAAAGTGGATCCAATAAATAGATCATTTGAATAGCAATTGAAGGAAACTCAATAAAAGTTTGAATAAATGGTCAAAGAGGATAACAAATTATATGAAGATGCTCAGAAAAATAAGATAGATAAGCCAGCACCATTTTTAAAGGTTGGAGATCATTTCTCATTAGATGAAATCAATTTAGTATTAAGAGAACTAAAGAAATCAGTAGATGAAAGGAATTATGAATGTAAATTATATATGTATAATTTAAGTATTGGATGGTATTTGCAAAAACTTAAAATTCTTTTGGTAGTTCAGTAAATAAACAAGAATTCTATTATTAAAATTGAGTTCTTTAGTATTTTACAAATGTGGTGAATATATCTTTTATGAAGGCGATGTTGGAGAATAAATGTATATAATTCTTAATGGGGGTTGCCACGTAAGAATTAAGAACCCACATGTGGCTGATTGTAATCCAATTGTGAGTACTCTTTATACAGGATAACAATTTGGTGAATTGGCCTTGATTGATCCAAACACTAAAATTAATAGACCAGATCAAAACTAGTTGCATTCTAATAGCAAATACACATTAAATATGATAAGAGGTGAGATGTAGAGATAAGAATAACAGAAGGAAAAGGCTAAGAATTGGTGGAAGAAGGATTACAATGAGGAAGAGAAACAAGAATAAGTTAAAATCTAACCGAAGAGAAGTGCTTCAATTGAATGTGCTGTTGATACTTATTTATTGGCCATCTCCAGAGATTACTTCAAAAGCATTATCCTGAATGTCATTACTTCAGAACTTGAAGATAAATTAAAGACATTATTAACCATGCCTTGTTTTGATGTATTATTGCCACTCATTATACTAGTTCCTATCTTAAATGGAATTGATACCTATAGCAAATTTATTGGAAAGTGAGACCTATAGATTAGGCCAAGTGATTTTGAAGGAAGGTGAACCATAGAAATACTTTTACATTGTTGCAAGTGGGAGATGCAAGTGTGTGAAGGAGGAGGTGTTCATTAGAGATTTGAAAGTGATGAGAGCGGATGATCCAAATAAGAAGAAGCCATTGAAATGTGGTTTAATAGATTGTAATAAAATATCAATATTAGAGACGCTTAAATTAGGGAGGACACGAAAATGAGAGTGAAGAATACATCCTTAGATTTAGAGAATGTGCCTGGATTAGGGATACCCCCAATCTTTTTAATATTAGGAAATATATAAAAAATAAAGAGTATATGGCATTCAAATACCATTTTCTTTATAAAGAATTTGTAAGAGGAGACTTCTTTATGGGGAGAGTGCTATTGAATGAATATAAATTATTTGATGAGGACATAATGGAAATGAAATATGATCTATCGGAAAGAAGTAGATTGACAGTAATTAGTGATGCAGCTAAGACTGAGGTGTACAAATTGGATAAGGGACTATTTCATTTGGTTAGCCAACCTTTGAAACAACATTTGATTGATGGAATTAAGAGAAAACCTGAATTCGATCATATTTTTGATTCTGAGGAGGCAAAGAAAGTTAAGAAATGGGATGCCTATAAGATGAATCTATTTAAAGCTGTGATGGACTAAAAGGAATTGAAAAATTGATTTTTTTTTTAATTAATTCATTATTACGATGAAATCTGGATTATGGGACAATATGAGAAAGATGGTCACTCTCATTGATGATCTAAGAGATTGTGGTGTTTAAGATTACATTAAATTGCCAAGAATATGTGTTGTGGGAATGTAGAGTGCAGGAAAGAGTAGTTTATTGGAAAATATTTGTGGATTGGATTTCTTACCTAGGGGTGATGTAATCGATTAATTGCTATTCAAAAAAGGGTGTTGTAACTCGTAGACCGTTGGAATTACGTCTTGTCCATATTCAAGAAAGATTATAACCTTGGGCAATCTTCAAGGAAGTACCAGAAAAGAAGTTTACAGATTTCACTAAAGTTCGTGAGGAAATCGATAGATTAACTGATGCTAAGGCTGGATAGAAGAAGAGTAAAGTAATTGTTTGAGCATAGACATCTTACCTGATCCTATCGAATTGACAATTTGGTCA